GGCGGTGCTTCCGGTGGTCTTTCTGGCGGTGCCTCCGGCGATGTCTCTGGCAACGGTGGTGCCTCCGGCGATGTCTCTGGCAGCGGTGGAGTTTCTGGCGGTGCCTCTGGCGATGTTTCCGGTGACGTTGGCGGCAGCGCTGGTGCCACTCCCACTGATGTCGGTGTTTCCCCTGTTGCTACTGGAGGTGCCGGTGGCAGCGGTGATGTTTCTGGCGGTGCCTCTGGCGATGTCTCTGGCAGCGGTGATGTTTCTGGCGGTGCCTCTGGCGATGTCTCTGGCAGCGGTAATGTTTCCGGCGGTGCTACTCCTACTGTTGTTTCCGGCCCCAGTGGTACTACTGTCTCCTTTGGTACTACCACCAGCGTCTCCCTCCCTGGCGGTGGTCTCTCGGCTGGTATCTCGGGCAGTGGCAGCGTCAGCGGCAGCGGTGATGCTGGCGTAGGTGCTGACACCGGAGCTGATACTGGTGCGGGTGCTGACACCGGGGCAGGCGCAGGTGGTGATGCAGGACTCGATGCTGGAGCTGGAGGCGATGCCGGCGCCGACGCCAACGCCAACGCTAATGCCGATGCTTCCGCTGATGGAGATGCTGATGCCAATGCTGATGCTGACGCCACCGCTACTGGTGGCGGTTCTGCCTCTGCTAACGCTAATGCGTCGGCTTCTGGCTCTGGGCACGCCAGCGCTAACGCCTCTGCCAACGCCTCGGCCAGCTCTTGAGGTATGCTTCTTTCCCGCTGCTAAATGATTTGGGCCGTGAACTAATTCGAGAACAGTTTCTTCGACAACAGTCTGCTCAACAAGCAACAATGACAACTACCACTACCACCCCCTTATTAATCACGGGCCACCATCGTGATTCCTCTTTGGCATGATACTCACTCACTTGAAGTGGTTTGGAGGATGATGAATCAGGATATTTTGCTTATAGTCATTCGTTTATAATTGTGTTTATCATGAACTGTCTAATACCGACATGTTATTTAGCTAGGAAAAGCTGATCTAATCTCTTGCTACCGCAATGCACAACCAGCTTACAATTGTCTCTTGCTTCTAGCCTTCTTCCTTTAAAGTATCCCAACTCACCGAATTTCCGACCGAGCCAACAGATCGAAGCTGATCATGGTGGCTGTGAATCTGCTTCTAGGGCTGCAAACCTCCCGATTGGGTTTCACATTCGGTGTTCCGAGATGATTGCTGATATCACGCAGGCTCCTTGTCCGAAAGGAAAGCGAGGCTAAATCAAGTCACCAATGGATGAGCAGACCCCAGGGAGAGTGATCAGCGCTAAGAAATTAGGTGCAGTATCCTCGGCAGCAACTCATGTTTGGCCTCCGCTTATTGCACCACCCCAATGCTTACCCTGTCAGCTTTCTGTTGAACGCGATCCTCATATAAATGCTACAATTCCCCCAACGGCCACTTTACTCGCGAAAGCTGCTTGGTGGATTCCTAACCATCGCCCACAATGCCACCCAAAAATCTCCGACCGTGCAAAGTGCTAATTTCCGGCGGAGGCATCAGCGGCCTCACCCTGGCGCTGTCGCTGGAGAAGCACGGCATTGACTACCTTCTCCTGGAAGCATACCCAGACCTAGCCCCCCAACGCGGGGGCGGTATCGCCATGATGCCGAATGGTGAACGGATCTTAGATCAATTAGGCTGCTACGAGGACCTGCGACGGCGGGCAGGGAGCGTGGTGAACCGGTCGTATCTGCGCGGGCCCGACGGTACAGTCCTGGCGACGGTGGAAAACCTGGACAAGCAGTTAACAGAGAGGTTAGACCCCAGCCCATATCTACTTCTGCCTCGAGACTCTAAGCAACATCATTGACTGTCCCCATAATCCCTTTAGACACGGCTATCCAGCCATGTGGGTAGACCGTCAAGTCCTCCTGCAGACGCTGCACGACCACATCACCGACCGCTCCAAACTCCTACCGAACAAGCGTATTACACGCGTGAAGCACCTCGACGACGGGGTGCAGGTCACCACGACCGACGGCACCTGCTACACAGGCGACATCCTCGTCGGCGCCGACGGCGCCCACTCGACCGTGCGCAAGGCGATCGTCGCGCGGGCCGCCGATCTCGGCCTGGGGCCGGAGTACTTCGAAGAAGAGCGTACGATCTGCCCTCCTGAAATCTCCCCTGCCATCCACCCTCAATACTGATTTGCTCAATATACGACTGCAGATATCCCGTCAACCTATGACTGCATCTTCGGCCTCTCGCCGTACAACCCCGCCCTGACCATCGCCAACGAACCAGGCACCCTCCAATTCATCCTTGGCGATCACCACTCCTACGTGCTGGGTACCTCCGGCCCCGCCAACCGCACCTGGTGGTTCCTCGTCACGAACCGGGCCAGAACAGACCACGGTGCAGCCATCCCGCGGTACGACGACGCAGCCAAGGAGCACGTGCTTCGCGCGCACCAGGACGATCGCATCGCCCCGACCGTGCGGTTGGCGGATCTCTGCGTCGGGGGGCAGGTAAAGACCGTGTATACCCCGCTGCGTGAGTGGGTGTATACGAAGTGGCACCTCGGCAGGCTGGGTGTCATCGGGGATGCTGCGCATAAGGTGAGTTCTTAGTCCCATACCTCAGTTCACCCTGGACTTCGGGTCTGGCCGAGAATCTTGAAGCTAATACCTGATGACTCTGGGCCTAGATGACGACGGTAATCGCGCAGGGCGGCAACCAGGCGATCGAGAGCGCGGCGGCGTTGACGAATAGTCTGGTCAAGGTGCTAGGTAACGGCGGGTCTGGGAGATTGTCTGAAATGGAGATCGATGCGTTGTTGGAGGAGGTGCAGGTGTTGCGCGTTCCCAGGGCACGGAAGATGATGGAGGCGTCTCACAAGAAGCAGATGGCGGATGCGATGGAGGCGCCTGAGTTGAGGCATTTTTCGATGAATGTGTTTCCCAAGGTTATGAGTACGGGGATCTTCAGGGCGTGGCAGGTGTATTTTGGGGAGGCGGTCTCGTTGAGGGCGTTGCCCGTTCCGTATAGGAAGAGAGTTGTGCTGTTTGATGATGAGAAAGTGGAGAAGATGGAGAGGTCGTTGGCGAAGCTATAGGTGTGTGGTAGATATATATCAAATCGATTTGGAGCGGACAATGGAGCTGTAGGTGAGTGCACGAGGTTTATCTACGATGTAGGTTCGCCTGAGGACGCGGACGGGATATGGGGATACCGGCGTAGGGTTGGGGCTGTCAGGTGATTGACCGTCTCAACAAAGTCAATGAAGCAGTCAAGTAGTCCATCTCTGTTCAATGTCCATTAAGTATAGTTCGAATGGTTCCTGGCTGCAATTGCAATTCTTTACATCGAAGCCTAAAGTTAATCCCAGGTCATGACGTCATGCCATATAAGATAAGCTTCTGCCTGCATTTTCTTCTTTGTACTTTTGCAAGCTCAAGATTACCCCGAGATGTCGCACGATTACCATAAGAACCGATGGGCACCCCGCTGTTCGTGGCCGAAGAAGTGCTGTGCACATACCCGATCAGCACCGTGTACGACTCGTGCCCACGGTACCTCTTCTATGCATTGCTGCTAGCTACTTGCGTGACCCGGTGGACGGGATGGCTGTCCGACGTCTTCCTGGGAGCAGCAGCAACATACGCCGGGACTGCAGCTCTTGAAGCCTTCATCTTGGTGGCCAGCCCAGCCCATCATGCCCGTCCATCGCCAGTATCAATTCCCTATATCCCGCCCAGCGACAGCACCACCGACGCTCTGTACGCCTCCTTCCCAGCCCTGGTCACCAACACCACCCAACTCCCCATAATCCCAGCAACCATCGACCTGGACGCGGATGCCGTGCTCGCCATCGTAGTGACAGCCTACCTCATCTTCCTCCCACTGCAAGCCTGGTCGCGGGCCTTCAGCCACTCGCGCGCGCGCTACATCCTCTTCTCCCTCTGGCACATCCTAATGCTAGCAGGCACCATCAGCGCGCTGATCTACTGGCCACGAGTCCGCAACACCCCGACCCAATACGCCTTCTGCGCGCCGGACTACTTCCCACCAGAGGAGACGGTCTCCAGCGACGGCTGGCAGTCGTGGCAACGCACGACGCCGTCGTGGAACAGCAGCATCTGGGCCATCTTCAACAACGTGACGCTCTTCAACTCCCTGCCGACAAGCTGTTACTACCCCTGCTTCAACACCACGCAAATCCTGCGGCAACAATCCGCTCTCGAGGCGACGATCGCAGCCGCCAACGCCGACGAGAACCTCAGCGCCCACGCACGCTCCGCCTTCTGGTCCCGCGTCATCTACTCAGAGCGCTATATCTACAGCCTAATCGGGCTAACGCTCCTCGTAAACGCAACCCTGCTCCTCTACCGACTCCTCCCCTACCGCTCGCGCATCCCATCCAGCCGCATCCGCACAGTCTGGCTCGAGCGCCGCGCAATTCTCCACGGCTTCAAAACAGACTATTACGCGGCCGTGCACTGCGCGTCTTCCCACCCCAAAGACCTCGAACAAGGGCGCCCCGCCCCCGCGACCATCGTCGAGAAAACCCGTTGCGCGCTGTCGAGCGCCGGGGAGGAGCGCCTGTCTGTCCCGTGTCTGATGCGCCTGCATACCCTCGGCTCGTTGGTGCGGTTGCTCCTCGACCTGTGTATCCTGTGTGCGCTTGTTTTTAGTATCATTGTCAGCCCGCTCACGGTTGTTGCGTTCGTCGCGTGGATCGAGTACTATATTCATGAAGATGGGCCTGCGCAGGAGACGCCGCAGCAGGTGGGTCAGTGGGCGCCGCTGGCGTCTATTGGGTTCTTGGTGCTTTCGGCGGGGATTTTGAAGTTGAAGGTTTGGGTTGCGCCGAGGAGTGAGATTGAGTGGGAGATTGGTGAGCTGAGGAGGAGGGTGAAGCGGTTGGAGGAGATGCTTGTTTAGTTTTGGCAGTATCTAGAGTTTTGCGGCTAGTTAAGAAGTGACTCTTCGTTTTGGAAGCTTTTGTTTCCTGACGCGGTAGCTTATTCGAGAAATATATACAGCGGCGTTAAGCTAGGCCGCGACAGTACAATCCCTTAAGATCCCCCCTGCAGCTGCCCCGCCCTTCCCGGGCTCTTGCGCCGACCCCCCAGCACCCTCACAAGCAACAGGCGAAATTGGCCCCATCATCACGCGCCCGCGCGCTGGCACGACGTGAGCAACAGAGCACAGCAATGCTATGTGGGACAATAATAGTAGAGAGACTGACGTGTTGAGTGAACAGTAGGTTAATGCAGGTATCATCTTACATCAATTGCGTCGATTGTGCTTATCGTGCGAAGAGCCCCGACTTCGGAGCCCTCTCTGAACCCCTCCGGAAAGTTCGCCGATATTTCCTTCATTTCTCCATGATTCACACATCCGGCAACAACACAGCAATACATACATACACAACATGTCTTCGAACTCGACATTAGCCATCATAGGATGCGGTAGGACAGAGTCACTCTCTCAGGATGATCAGAGGATAAGCGATTGATTTATCCCAGGGAACATGGGCTCCGCCATCCTAAGCGGGATTCTGGATGTCACGCGCGACGACCCTACCTCAAGCCCCTTCGGGCGCATCATCGCCTGCACCAAAACCGAGCAATCAGCCACGAAGCTACGGGAGCAGTACTATGAAGACCTCTCGCGTGTGGAATTCCGCGCCGGCGATAGCCTCTCCGCCGTGCGGGAAGCCGACTACGTCATGCTCGGCTGCAAGCCGTACCTCGTTGAGGCCGTCATCGCCGACGAAGGCATGGCCGATGCGCTGGCTGAGAAGTTCATCATCAGCATCATCGCGGGGAAGACGCCCGCCGTGCTGGCAGGTTATATCACCGAATATGCCAGCCCGTCCCTTAAGGCTTCCCAGCCCTCTGTGTCGCGGGCCATCCCCAACGTTGCCGCCAGCTTGCGCGAGTCAATGACTGTGGTCGAGCTGCCCGCCCATTGTAAGCCCGAGAACCGCGAGGTGGTCGAGTGGATGTTCTCCCAGCTGGGACAGGTCAAGGTGCTCAGCGCCGATCTCTTCGACTTGGGATCGATGCTTGTGGCTGCTTTGGCCCCGATGTCAGTTGCCGTGGACGGTATTTTGGACGGGTGTGTGGCGGAGGGCATGCGTCGGTCGGAGGCATCCGAGATGACGGCGCAGTGCTTGTTGGGCCTTGCGCAGCTGCTGAAGAGTGGTATTCATCCCGCCGTGCTGAGGGAGAGTATTTCTTCGCCTCGAGGCTGCACGATCCAGAGCTTGTTGACGGTCGAGAAGGCCGGTGTGCGCAGTGCGTTTGCGGAGGCGATCATCAACGGCACCAGACACCTGCATAACCTGCAGAGCAAATAAGGTAGACAAGGACGAGATAGATAACTTAGACAGGTCATACACAAGTAACTCATCCATAGACGAGCGCTCAACGACAGAACTATGATCCTATAGTCTGAGCGCATCACGAATATCAATTGGGACACTTACTCTTTTCAAATGTCCGATTCTTCCCACGGTATTTGCATCAATTCCAACTCCAGTGTGTGAATTATGTAGCCAATGTTTAGCCCATAGAAACTCTAAAGACCTCTGACTCTTCGTAAAGTAAGTAGATGCTTGACTAGCATTATCTTCTGCCAGTTGTGAACCCCAATCTTTACAGTATCTTCCAGGAATCTGCCGTTCTACAAAACAAGTTCTTTCAAAAGCAGCGTCCACAACCCTCACGAAGCGACCCCCGTGTCCGCTCTTGTTCCCATCTTACTCCGCTCAATCCTTGTTCAACGGCTCTCTAACTGCCGAGATGTACTACATTAACCAAATCAGCCACCCGATTATCAATTCCATGGGCCCGGACAGAAAAAGAAAGCTTTGAAAAGGAAGCTTACCGGAATAACCTGCACCTTCTCCAGATCCCAAACCCCGCTCTTTGCATAAATATCATTATTAATAATCTGATGCACATCCCCCAATGTCTCCCCAGTCACCACAATCATACTTCCCTTGAAGGTAGGGGGTTTTCCTTCTTCGGGATGGGATTCAACCATAGCACCTGCGGAAATTCAATTCAGTACATGACAAACCTAAGTCAGGGGAGAGAGCAGCGAAAGGTAATATCTTTCGGATATAGTCCATCCCGGCCGAAACTCACCACCAACCACCATCTTCCCAGCCTCGACCAAGGGTTTCAGGTTGGCGAAGTGTGTCCTGTGCTCAAATGCTTAGTTTTCTATGTCGGTGTACGATACGTCACGAGAATGGAACATACGGTCGAACTTTCATGCGCAGCTCCTGTACGTTGGGCTTATCGGGGAGGATGCAGAGCCATTCCTTCTTCTTAGGGGGAGCAGTGGCCAAAGTGCGGAAGGCGAGATGGCGGGGGAGGGAAGGGGTGGGGAAGGATCGGGCAATGCGGAGGGAAAACATTATGACGCTGAGGATTTGTAGAAAAGCAGCGATGATTCTGAGGGCGGATAGATTGGGCGTCTCAATGTTGTGTACTGGCTGGGGTTGGGAATAACGCGTCGGTGAAGAATGGCGGGGAAGGCGGAGCCGAGGATGTTCCGATGATCGGAGGGTATTCCCGATGGAGCAAATGCTGGATATTTCAATTCGATCGGAGCACGCTGAGATACACCTTCAGCATTTCTACCTACTTACAATGACAGTATAGAGTTGGTGTATATCGGGAAAAGAGGAAGATTCAAAGTCAACCCAACGCCACGTCTACACGAATGGAAAGACAATCTACTAGCGCCCTCGGTTAGCCCTCTCCAACTCCGTCAACAACTGGCTTCTTCAGGCGCGTCATTCTCCCACTTAGTTCGCGGACGCTCAACGTCGATGTGATCCGTCCACAGGAGACACCGCCAAGCTGAGACACTGGCCGCAGTTTCTCCAGGTCAATGTGACTGAAATCCGCATTGGAAGTGCCCTCCTCCACCCAAAAGCGCGTCGCCTTGACAAGCACGACAGCGGACTCGCTCATCCTGGGGAAATGCGCCGCGAACTCTTTGACCTCAAGCACCTTGCCTTCGATTGAAAAGACCGACTCCTTCACGCGGGATGGCTTAACTTGTCGCCGGTGCCTCGTGCAGCCCCGAGATCTCCCACTGGGAGACGCCATACGGCGCATCAGTCGATGTCGCATTGACAGCCTCGATCATCCCCCTCGGAGATGGTGTTGATCACGCACTCCCCCGTCTCTTTCAAGTTCTGGTAGGTGTCCTTGACACGGCCCGGCCGCGAGGAGAATCCCACGATGAACATGGGCGGGTCGTGGTCGACCACCTGGAAGTAGCTGAACGGGGAGAGGTTCTTCGTCCGTCTGTCTGCGGAGACGGTGCTCAGAAAGCCGACGGGTCGCAGCGCGATCCCTGATACCAGGACCCGGTAGTCGTTTAGGGCCAGGCGGTCGCTGGCGTAGGGGTCGATCTCGCGGTGCTGCTTGCGGGCGCTGGCGCCGTTGTCCGGCACACCTTGCCCGTATTCCCAGCCCGGGTATGGGGGCTTGCGTTACTTCAATGGGAGTGTTGGTGTGGTCGAAGGCCGCTCATGCAGCTTGTGCTTTGTCGAAGTCGCTCACGTGCATGACGATCTTGTAGTTGGCTTTGGCGGCCTTCGAGGCTGCTTCCTCGGACGACGCTGCTGGGGCTGTGGCTGTGGCTGTCGCGGCGGCTGAGGAGCTCATTCGGACTGGAATGCGCGGACGAATTGAAGGCATCCCAGGGAAGAGAGATGGTCTAGTTGTTCGTTTAGCATATTGTAATGTTTATCTAGGTGTTGAAACTGATCTTCCGGTGATGAGTCGGCCGACTCTCTTGGTCGCTGCAGCCATTGAGTTGGTATATGTTTGTGGGATACTCGCACAAGTCTGCACAGAGGTGAAACACAATGCCACTGATGTTGCTTTAACTAATGGAAGATGAGAAGCTGATCAAATCCCTGAATGACTGCAACCGCCTCGCTTGATTAAAAATCATAGTCGGTGGGCGGGCCCGACCATCGGCTTGTTCGATCGGGACGCCGTCGGGGAAAGACGCCGATGCCGATATTCACAATTATAAATGTCCCCTACCTCTACTAGCAACGAGGAAGAAGACCACGGTAACAGGTGTTCACACTGATGAATTCCATGCGCATGAGCCTACCTGTCATATGCAGTTGTATCGGTGTCTTAACATACTCCAGTCGATCTCATCGCTGCAGTTTGACTAATCGAGGGTAGCAGCCTAATATCTAGAGTCTGCAATACTGCTCTTCAACCATTGCGATAGCTGCCTATACGACTACGTCATATGCGTCAAGCTCCGGTGAAGCAGTAAAGACTCAGCGCACGGCCCAGAGCCCAATCGATCAAGCTGTAGACGCTAAGTGAGGGTAATCTTTAAACCCGTTCAGGTTGAATCTGACTCACTTGCAGATATCCGGCGGCCCAATAAAACCTCATAGATCTTAGCATTGTTGGCTTGCAATGAAAGTTGCTGAGCCGCAAGGACTATTTTTGGATGTGTAGTTGAAGCTGAAGCATCACGGGATCATCCTCCGACCAGCCCCGGTGCTGACCAATCCACAAAGCTTCATTACTCAGCCTAGTTATTCATGCCTGACGAATAGCACAGAATGAACAGACTGAGTTGCATCGACAATATAAAAAGAACAGTAGATCCGGCTACGTCGTAACGTATATGCACAGCATCACAGTCAAGGTTCTGTGGTAGCCACGACAAAAATGGCCCCAATCAACCTCAACATCCCCGCCTCAGACAAGACTGTCGAGGTCAGCATCATTGATACAACAGCGAACATACAACTCCCCGCTGATGTCTTCTTCGCCCCCGAAATTGGCGGCCTCAAGCAGCTCCGCGCCGGTGCCTACGCCTTTCTCGTCGAGAACAAATCGCGGGACAAGCGAGTACTCTTCGACCTGGGCGTCCGCAAGGACTGGGAGAACCTCGCCAAGCCACTCTACGATCGCCTTAAAGAGATCTTCGCAGTCACCGTCCGCAAAGATGTATCAGATATTCTGACCGACCACAGTATCCCATTGGACACAATCGACGCCATCATCTGGAGGTACGATAAACCCACCAGCCCGCCAGAAGCGCACAAAGCACCGACTAACCATGGACAAAAACAGCCATACGCATTTCGACCACGTCGGCGACACCTCGACTTTCCCACCATCTACATCTCTCGTCGTGGGCCCAGGCGTCACTGCAGCCTCGCTGCCCGCCTACCCATCCAATCCCGCCAGCGTCCTGCTGGAGTCAGATTTCCACGGCCGCGAGCTCGTCGAGATCGCACCCGAGCAATTCACCCTGAAGATCGGCAACTACCCCGCCCACGATTACTTCGGCGACGGCTCATTCTACCTCCTCGACGTCCCGGGTCACTCGATCGGACATATCTGCGGTCTCGCGCGCACCAACACCGCCGGCGCAGCCGGTACAGACTCGTTCATCCTCATGGGCGCAGACACAGTCCATCATGCTGGCCAACTCCGTCCCTCAGAGCATGTGCCCCTGCCCAGCCAGATCGCTCCGAATCCCTACGGTGGCTCAGCACCGTGTCCTGGCGAGATTTTTGAAGCAATTCATCCGAGCCCGGACAAGTATCAGACCTGCGCCTTTTACCATATCCACGTCCGGGAGGATGGGAGCAGCGTAGCGGTGGACCCCGAGGAGGCGCAGCGGAGTGTGATCTCGATGACGGAGTTTGATGCCTCGCCCGATGTGTTGGTCGTATTTGCGCACGACACGAGCTTGGAGGGGGTGGTCGAGACGTTTCCTGCCAGCGCGAATGGGTGGAAGGCTGCCGGGTGGAAGGAGACGGGCAGATGGCGGTTTTTGCGGGATTGGAAGGTGTAATCACGGGCTTGCGGGTGAGTGTGTATTGTACAGTACAGTATAGTGTATTTCTAGCTAGCGATGATATCTCTATCTCTTCTCAATCTATTTGGTTGCATTTGTGTTCGATTTGATGGGCTTTCGATTGGATCGAGTCGACATAGCTAAGTCAGATGCGAAACCAGTACGAAGTGAAGCTAACACGACCGATATGTCAGTAGTGAGGTGCGATAAGCTTGGCAGAATGCCGACTTGGATCTGATATGTGCCTTGTCTGTCTGGCCATAGGCGTGTTGGGTATGCGTTGTTCAAGCATACACTCGGACTTTGTGCGGTACAAACTGTCTTCGCAGAGATCATGCGGTCTGTATGGAATGCAAGAAATGCATCGGTCCTGCACCTTCGAAAGTGCTTCAAGAAATGGAAATCTTACCTCTCCACGATGATGCAAGGACTGAGCCACGACTGCGCTCGTCCACGTCACGTCCCAGGGAGGAATCGTCGAGATATCTTTGGTCGAATTCGGTAGGCACACGTTGTCATAGGCCACTTAGACTACTTCCTATGTATATGATAGCACAGATACCAGGTATACGTTTCTATGACTCTGGGTTTCATTACGCCTAACGACTCAGTTTACCGCTTTACCATGGAATGTGATGATGGCACTTGAATAGGTCGACAATCTTACCGTTGCAAGACATCAACGTGCAGGAATTCTATGGTAAACTCTCTTACTTGCCAATGAAATCTTCACAAAGGTGCCAAGGTTCCCCGCAGATCAGCAAGGTACATTAGGCGTGTTGGTCCACGTAGTGGCTCCTTGCAGCCAAAACTGCTCCATGTGGACCGCCAAGTGGCAACCGCACTGGATCTAGACAGGCCACCGCATACCCTCTAGGCTCCTCGATTCTGCACAAAGAAACGTAACTACACCCTAAGGCCACTGCGATCTATCGGACGTGATGTCATTTGATGCGTGTTATGTGCGAGGCCAATGCCGGGCGTATTTATCTTGAGCGCATCCCTTCGCATCCGTAATCCGGGTCGGTCGCTGAGTTCACCACCCACATAGATTTCCAAAGTCTCAGACAGATAGCACCTAGAGGGATAGCTCGGGAAGAATTCTTCACTCATCTTCATACACCATGGCCGCCTCGTATCATGTCAAGCAGAGAGAAACCCGGCTTCCGTCATGCACATTGGACGTCAGTCACCCACCAGACACACAACTCTGCCCCCTCATTGACGCATTCACAGATAGTGATTGCCGGAGCAGGCATCGCCGGTCTAGGCGCTGCCATCAGCTGCCTGCTAGCCGGACACAACGTCCACATCCTCGAAGCAGCGTCAGAGATCAAGCACGTTGGCGCCGGGATCCAGGTCCTACCCAACGGCTCCCGGATCCTCAAGCACTGGGGCTTAGAGGAGCGATTAACCAAACACTGGGCCAAGGCCGAGGCCTACCGGATCTTCGGCTGGAAGGGCAATATGATCACGAGCATGAATTTAGATGAAACGGCGAGTGCGTACCCGGGCACATGGTTCCGGGCATTCTATCGCCCATACCTGCAGCAGACCCTGCTGGAGCGTATCGCGGAGTTGGGTGGGAAGATAAGCTGCAATGCTAGGATTGTTGATGCGGCTTTCGCTCCGGATGGGAAAACGGCTACAGTCATGACGGAGAATGGCGGACGGTGGACGGCGGATCTGTTTATCGGCGCTGATGGCATTTTTGGGAAGCTCGCCGATCAAGTCTTGGATCATCCGACGCCACCGACGAAGACCGGGGATCTGGCGTATAGGGTCCTGTTGTCTTCTCCGGATGTTTTACGGGATCCGGAGCTTGCGGAGTTTGTGACTAGGCCGAATATGAACTTCTGGTATGGGCCGGATAAGCACGTCGGTGAGTGGCTGGAGGACTGATGTTGTGGACGGATCTAACTTCTTGGCTAGTGGCATATCCTCTGAGTAAGGAGCTTTTTAATATCGTGCTTCTGGCTCCGGATGATATTCCGGATGATTCGAAGGCAAGCACCGTGGCTGGGAATGTGGAGGAGATGCGCTCTCTGTTTGGAGATTGGGATCCTCGGTACGTCGGATAGTGTGGTATCTCTGTTATCTTGTGTCCGCTGACGTATACTAGAATCTCGAAACTCCTAAAGCTATGCAAATCAGTTCACAAATGGCGACTATGCACCCGATTCAACACTGGAGGCTGGTCCCATCCATCAGGCGCCGGCGTTATGATCGGGGACAGTGTCCATGCGACCCTCCCTTATCTTGCAGCGGGGTGAGTACCACAGCTTACCCTACAGGAGCAATCGAAAACCTGACATCTATCACACAGCGCTGGCATGGCCCTCGAAGACGGTGCAGTTCTGGGTGAATGTCTCTCCCGTCTTCCCAATGATGCCAACATCACCAAGTCTTCGCGCGAGTTCCTTCTTGCGAAGCGACATGCACTTGCAGTCTTCGAGAAATGTCGCAAGCGACGGACATTGATGATCGTGACGCGGTCAAACGAACAAAAGGACCTTGAGCATCTTCCTGATGGGCCGGAGCAGGAACTGCGCGACAGGGAGATGCAGATGGTTCCAACACCACCGGGGGAAGCATTGGTGTGGCGCGATCCGGGCATTGCTCCCGAGCTCTATGGCTGGGATCATGTTGTAGAGGTGAGTCTTTGGCTTGTCGTACGTTGTGGAGGGAGATAGGCTGACGGTGGCTACATAGGTCAACCTACATTGGGGCGTGCCTGCAATACCCCGTGCGGTGACGGTGGGTGTCAGGGAATCACGACTGTAGGAGAATTGCTATTCTTTTGCGGAAGCTCAGCAAATATTTTGACAGCCTGAACATAAGCTATCCTGTTCAGGGGTCTCCCTTGTTCATGCTTTGTCGTTACTACATTGATAGTGTATGTATGGAGGCGGATGTGGCTCGAGACGACACAAAGAAATTATATATCCGCAGTAGGTAGAACCTGTACTTGACCTATCAAATCAATGCAACGAAACTTGTCCATATGATATAGTTGATAGATAAGATAAGAAGATGGGCTATAATAAATGTGAGACTCACTATAGCAATTGCGGTTGCAATTGCTATGAATGCCATAAGTGACACAGGTTAGCGAGAATCGATGGAGCATAAGTCTTAAGATGAAGGGAGATTTACGTTTCAGATTATGTGAACAAGAAGTTGTAGTACTTACATCAATTGGGGCTGTGGTTTAGTGGTATAATATTCCCTTAGCATGGGAGAGGTCCGGGGTTCGATTCCCCGCAGCTCCAACTTTTTGCTTTTCTACCTACGGAGTACTTCCACCCCCTCTGAGCATCCAGGTCTTCGGCACAGGAGTTGAAGGATCCTGTTCATTATTTTACACAGTCGGGAGAATCCCGGATCTGTCCGCCGCATTAAAACCGACATTCAAACCCGCGCTTTTTGGTTCCATTCAGGGTTGAGGATAGTGAGGGTTGAAAGGTGATTTTGACCACACATCCATACTTGAAAGGCTTCCATGTACATCATCATGAGCGAAATATTCTTGTACATTCACCTCCAAATCCACAGAGCCAGATTCTTACCCGATCTGACAACCCTTTGCTCTACAAATCGCCGAGCAAATGGGGTCTAGTGCAGACACGGTCCCATAAGCTCATCAAAGTCCGCAGAATTTAATTTCTTCCATCCAGTGAGACCCGCTGACATTGAAATATCGGACCAATCTGATATTACCGCAGATGAAGTCCCCTGATCCTAAGATTGCACTGCCCCACCTTGGCAAGCTGGTCGACCACATGGCGTGAGTGCTGGAGATGAGAGTTGGCCGCTATTTGGCGCTATCCTGCATCGCTTGCAACTCGACCATGATCCTGGAGGATCTGACCAGTGCTCTGCTGGCCCTCTCTCGGCTTCTGCACAATTTTGGTTTAACCTCCCCTGATAAGCCTGGGACTCGCACTGGGTCCGGATGCGCCCGGAGAAGGTGACTGGTGGCTTGGAGGCTCTACCAGACATCCCATGCTGCCTAAACACGCCCTAACGAAGCTATTGAAATCACCGGCTATACGGAATGCAGACGACTGCGAGGGTGGGATGACGGTGAAAAGGCTGACTGTCCCACCCCATCCTTCCCTTGTCCAATTTCACTCAGCCGAGGGAGACCCGTCTCACTCACAGCTCACTTTGACCTTCCTTGCGACCGAAGCCAGAACGGAGATCGGATTGCTTCAAGATGCGTGGTGCCTATCTCTTCCCAATCCTGGGGCTATCCGCTGTTCCATATGTGGATGCACTGCAATTGCACCGGCGTGATGTGCCTGCGACGGTTGAGATACCTTTTGAGCGCAAACAGGCCGTTCAGCCGCTACGGAAAAGAGACAACACTGTTGACGTGACGCTCGACAACCAGGTAAGCTCAATTCCTCAGATTGACTTTACCAAGAAAGTTTGCCGATAGCTAATTCCTCACGAATAGGACTATTTCTACTACAGCATCAACTTGACCATCGGAACGCCTCCACAGAAGATGGTCCTTGCCATAGATACTGGCAGCAGTGATACCTGGGTCAATATCGCAAGCTCAGACGAGTGTTCTGCGCAAGGCGATCCATGCAAGCCTTATGGTCTATTCGACTCCAGCGCCTCGTCCACCTACAAGAAACTCGACACGGTCATGAACAGCACCTACGGAGGCGGGGACAATGCTTACGGCCATTATGCGACCGACAAAGTCACAGTTGGTGGGACAACAATAAAAGACATGCAATTTGCCGTCGCCGAGAAGTCGACCGTTATCCGTAAGTCAATATCTCGTGCCGCGCACAAGCAAGATCTACCCATTCTGATTGATCCTTAGACGGCCTCGCTGGGATTGGATATCCCAGTCTGACATACCAAGCCACGCATGCGGACAAGACATACTCCAATCTCCCACAAGCGTTAGTCGACACCGGCGCCATCAAGTCGCCCGCCTACAGCCTGTGGCTCGACGACCTGCAAGCCAATACGGGATCCGTTCTGTTCGGTGGTGTGAACAAAGCGAAGTACCACGGCGAACTGCAAACCTTGCCGATTGTCCCTTACTTAGGCCAGTATATGTCCTTGGCGATTGCCCTGACCGAAGTATCCGTGGAAAAGAGCTCCAGTCCCAGCAAGTACACCACCGACCTTCCCGTGTCATGCACTCTCGACAGCGGCAGTGCTCTCATCTTGCTTCCCGAGGATCTCGTCAACAAGATCTACAAGGAGCTCGACGCCGCCTACGACAGCGAGACCCAAGTCCCCTATATTTCCTGTGACGCCGCGGAGAAAGACTACAACGTGACCTTCGGCTTCTCCGGCGCCACCATCACCGTTCCGATCAGTGAACTGGTCCTCCCCCTCGCTGAGCCCGACTTTGACAAAGGAGACTGTATCTTCGGTATCGGTCCCGGTAAGGCGGGAATGAATCTTCTGGGCGACACGTTCCTGCGCAGCGCTTACGTGGTCTACGACATGGCCAACAACGAGATTTCGCTGGCCAACACGAATTTCTCGCCCGGTAAAGATGATATTTTGGAGATTGGCACGGGCACCAACGCCGTGCCGGGGGCTACTCTCGTGCCGTCTGCCGTCTCTTCTGCCACGGGCAATGGGGTTGAGCCTACTGGTGCAGCACCAGCGGTGACAGTCATGGTGTCGGGGTCCACGACTATCACCATGGGTGGCAGTCAGGCTACAGCAACGGAGACTACAGCTGCTGCCAAGAGCACCTCGTCGGAGGCTGGTGCGGCGAAGCCCACTGGCAATGCCGGCCGTCTTCTGTCGGGTCTCGCAGGTGTCGGTATGCTTCTCGCACTGTAAATCTCACCGCAGCAAAGACTTGAAAATGTCTATTCATGCGTCCGGACGCAGTTGTCTGGTTTGCTTTCCCATGCCTGAAACCCATGTCATATGACAAGATGCACATAGTTCAAACCATATATGCAAAGCCAGCGCACATAATAACCGTAATGAAAGCATAATACATTGTAATGAGATTTTCGCTACAACATCAATTCTTTATCACGAGTTCTAGTGGTATTAACCACCTTCCTAACACCTCCCCTGTAATCACCGACTGCACTCCCACCGCCATGACAACCCAGGGACCCCCCTGGTAATCCTCCCGCACCCTCGTAACATACTGCAAAGGCCACAACATGAACCCCCCTCCACCGCACCAGCAGCACCCCATAAATTGTTTTCAGATATACGAAGAGCGACGACAGTAAGCTCTCCATGGCAGGCGAGTGCCTTCAGAGGGCTGCATTCCGAAATCGACTGGCTCTGCACCACACCAGCAACGACGATGATGCGCAGATCGGCCTTGAGGTTGCGGATCTTCTCGACGAGATCTACCACCGTCTCGCCACTATCGATAACCCAGTCGGTCAGTATCACCGTGGTCCGATCCTGCACATGGCAATCACGAACGTCGGTTGGATTGTTGGCATGAAGAAACGCAGTGGGGAAAGCGGCGGAAAATCCCGCAAGCCAAAGGCTCCCCACCTCGCATCAACGATATGATCATTGTACATGCTTGGTCTCGCAGTCGATGACCAAAGGTTTCGTGGCCTTGAACATGCTGGATAGTGTAGGTTTCCACACCAACGATGTCGCATAGGTAATGAAGCGCGAGATAAATCCCAGCGTCACGATGAGCCTTCTGGAGGGCCGGACTATTCACTTTCGCATCCCTCGTGGGACTTGCTAGTATCCGTGATGCGGATGTCTCGGGCGTATGGATGGCCTTGAGATTCTCAGGGGGACAAAAGAGCGAGTCTACCAAATCTGGCTGTCGAGGGTCACGACCGGGAGCTTCTTGGAGGTTGAGAAGAGATGGTCGGTTGACAACATATGCATTCGAATGAGTGTTAAATACAGCAGGATATATCCCATTCTGCTAATGGGCTCTGTCCAAGGCGGCTGCTGGGATTGTCCGACTGTCATTTATGTATCATTGATTGCTATGACTGTACATGTTGCTGATACTGTTGCTGCCCTTGGGCTTCGTCCGACACCTCTATATAATACACCATCACATGCACGCAAAGCTCTACTCTTTGGTTCGCACCGACGCATACCCCCCAATGAAATCTGAACTCATTTCAACTCCTCGCCCAAATAAACTCCACCAGCGCCTTCCTCCCCACCGGCCGAACCGGCGCCTCCGTATGCATCGCGCCCGGCACATCCGTCCTGACCATCTCAATCCCCAATTTTTTCGCCTCCTCCTCCAGCTGCGCCGCGGCCTCAGGGGGAATCACCTCATCCTTCTCGGCCGTGAGCAGCAGGATTGGCGGCAGCGATCTCTTCTTGCCACTTTCCTGATGCATACTCGCTGCATCCCCAACTGCCCCCTTTCTGACAGCCTCATCCCGCCACGCGCCCATCCGCCGCAACGCCGCAACGCCATCCCAATGATTCCACAGGAACGGCCACAAATAGCGATACGGCAGCCACCGTTGCGGATACAGACTGATCAGCATCTCCTTGACACTGCTGGAGGGGGCTTCGAGCACCAAGCCGGTAATAGGCAGTGCAGCTGCGCTCTCCCCTTCCTGCCCCGTTCCTGCGTTTTCTCCTGCTGCTACCTCCCCCGCACCACCTACAGAAAGATGCGTCGCAAGCGCAGTACTGGCCACCGCCGCACCGAGACTATGACCCCACAGCACGACCTTAACCTCCCCATCCACATCCCTACCCTCCGTAGACGACACCCGAGCAACATAAGTACTTCTCACCCACCCCAAGAACGCCTGCGCATCGCGCTCAATACCCCGCTGTGAAGCACGACCCGAGGAGGTCCAGTACCCGCGGTACGAGAGCGCGACGACGATATACTCTGTCTCTACCTTTCCCTCTAGGCCGGCTGGGGCGCGGGACAACGCGCGCAAGGTCTGCGAGAGAAGAGGCAGTCGCAGCGGCGTCGAGCCCCCGTTGCCCTGGAAGTAGCAGATTACTACTTTTCTTCGGGGACGTGGACGTGGACGGTCAGCTGGACGCGGTAGACGGCCCTCGCAGACGGAGAGCTTCGTGCCGTCTAGACTGCGGATCTGGGTCTCTGTCCATTGCACCGGGCGGCATTCGCGCTCGTAGTCTTCGATCTTTTCGGAGCGGGAGAGCGGGGGTAGCCAGGCTAGGTAGAGAAGTTTGTCTTGCAAGAGGACGATCCAGAGGCATTTCCAGGTCCAGAGGGCTAGGAGTAAGCCTAGGAAGATGGTGGGGGGGATGAGGATGGGTGGAAGGGTGGTTGTGATCAGGGTGCGGGTTTGTCTCCGGAGATTTGGGATAGTGGGATACTGTTTGAAGGGGAATTGGGGTTGATTTATCCTGGGGCTAGGGGTGGAGGTGTGGATGGTCGTCGCTCGTTGGGTTCGGAGTCGGTGATAGCCTTGGTATGATGTGCGCGGTTGGAGCGTTGCCACTGGCTTCGGTGTCCTAGGGCTGAGGCTGCATTGCGCGCGCGGAAATACCCATTGGCCTCGCATTAACGGTGGTATGCGGACTGCGGTGGGCGCAGCCGTTGGTGTTATCGGTGTCTATCCCTGAATAATATTGTAACAGTGTGTTGAAGTGAAGACGTGTAGTTATGGCTTGGCGTTCCGAAAATCGCTCAAACACTAATGATTATTCTGCCCAGAGCGGTAAAGCTCTTAGTATTCATCTACAGTGTAGTATTTAACCTTCTTGCGCTCTCGAAAAACCAAGATAAAACCACCCCAAGGTTGAATCCATATCACAAGATCAGCTCAGGCTCAATGATCACTACCAGGAACTCCTATTCAGACTAATCGCAGACAATCTTCTCCTGCGACGATCCGGGCACCGAAAAAGGCTCCGCATCACCCAGCCTCTCGGCAGTCAGACCCGCGTTTCCAGGCCGACGCATGCCCGCCTCGAGCTGGCGCTGGTAGGAGACACGGCGCAGACGGGCGGCTTCAGCGGGCGTAAGGTGGAGATACAGCTCCGCGGCAAATACATGGATGGCGACCGCAAGCCAGGCCGCGGCGCCGAAACTGAGGTTGAGCCCCGCGGAGGCCTGGTCGACCCCGCCGGAGCCATGGCTGCCAAAAGCATCGACGAGGACGTGTCGGCCTGTATCAGCCCCGGAATAGAAGGCCTCGCAATCTGGGTGCACTGATTCCACCAAGCTCTGATTTCCTGAGAACATGAAGTCGATGACGGCGCAGGGCCGGGCCTCGTAGTAGCCCTCCGGGCCTAGAGCCAAAAGCACCTTGTCTGTGATGATGCCGATCACGCGCATGGTGATGATGAAGCCACCCTATAAGAGTAATGTTAGTATTTTTCAAATCAGAGCGTTCACGGTGACTGGAATAGATGCGTGACTCACCACGACCCAGGCTCGGATCATCCAGGCACGGTGCTGCTCGATCTGGAGTCTCTTGATGTTCCAGTAGGCGATGCTGATGCTGCCCACGAAAATGATTGTAGCCAACCCTATTGCAATCTGCGTGTCCAAGCGACCGCCGAAGCTGTGCTCTGCTATCATCAACACGCCAGCCATGCCGATGAACGACGCAAGGATGACCACGTAGCCGTTGATACGGTGGAAGAGGATGAGCTTGTGGCGGATAACGGGCACAAATTGCAGGACGGCGAGGATACAGGCTGGAAGGATGGCGCCCAGGTGCAGAAGGATGCCCACGCGACCTCGAGTGGACTGATAGTAGAAGCATTCGCCCGGAAGTGCATTGGCTCGACTCTGGTCTTCAGGGCAAAAGATGTTATCAAAATCGAGGTACATCAGACGGGCGAGAGAGAAGCCGAGAAGTGCCCCGGCGGAAATCACCCAGAGGACGAAGTTGTAGCCCTTGCAGAAACCGATGGGGTTGTAGATCCTGCGTACGACGGCTACGAAGCCGTTGGCTGGGGGGCGATCGACCTTGACCATGGTGGATATGTGCTAATCAAGGAGGTTGAAGAAGACTAAGTTGATGAATCGACTGGAAATGTGTTCGTTTCAATCGATGCGATGAGAGCGTGGGAATTGACTTCTTTGTTTTGTGGAATGTTGGACATGCTGAAAAGGATGTGCATACACTTATATACCTCTTTCACCCTTACTTACACGCAGCCGTTTACATCTGAGTAGCCTAGTCCAGTGGCTGGATTTATTTGAGGAACTCAAACCTCAGTAACAATACCATGCTTCTTCAGACAAGAATTTTGCGAGAGTTTACATTCATCATCGACTACAATCCCATAACTATATCGAACTAGGTAGTGGTTTTGCGACTGCGGCAGCTGGCCAAGAACCATTCAGGTCCGATAGGGGGGTTTCGGCCAGGATTCGACTGGGAACCCATCGACTAAGCTGAATGAGGTATCGGTTTTGCGATAGGTTAGTAGGTGCAGGTGCCCCAACATGCTTACTCTTGGCATGCTGGATCACTACCGTGGACCTAATTAAGGGTGCAAGGTTGAAGATGTTCTCCCGTCGCAACATCACAGCTCCTTTCGGCATCGCCCACTGTCGTCGCTATGGTCAACCACGGACGTTCAGGAGGATGCGTTACATGCAAAACACGACGCGTCAAATGTGATGAAGCGAGGCCCGAATGCCAGTCATGTCAGCGCCTCAGCCTTCGCTGCGGAGGCTACAAGACGAAGCCCGTCAGGATTCGATTCAAAGACCAGAACCCTAAGTTCTTCTGCACCAAATCGGCTCCAAGAAAAGCCCTTCAGGATCGGTGCTCAGTGCCCGATAAATTGCGATCGTTAGCCCAACCCGACCCTGCCGTCCCCTTCTTCCTTCAGCATTATGCCATCATGGGCCGTGACATGGAGTCGACCCGCGGCTTCTTCGAGATATTGGTTCCGGTATATGGCGCCCAGCGGCAGGACTCGGCGCTCTCGCTCGCGGTGTCAGCCGTAGCTTCGGAGATCCTGTCGCTTTGGCGACACGGCAGCAGCTCCCGAGCGTCACAGGAGACTTATACCCAGGCCCTAAAGGGTCTTCGACGGACAATGCAGGATCCTGGTGAATGGGGAAAGCCAGAGACCATGCTAGCCGTGTTAGCGCTTCAATTCTATGAGAATCTGGCCGTGATCTACGGCCGTCACTCCTCCACGAGGGCGCATCACGACGGGGCAGTCTCTTTGCTCCCATTTGCAAGTTCAGATGATAAACATGGGGCTATCAGCGCATACATCCAGAGATATATCATCCATAGCGAGATCTCCTCGGCGATACGCCAAAAAAGGCTGCTGCGGAGCACCGCACACTCGTGTCTGGGGAGCAAAGGACCCTTAGCGGCTCCAGCGAGTCTAATCTCTACACTCGATACAATCAGTGCGTCTGTTGCCGAGTTACAGGCAAGTTATTCGCTAACAGCACGAAATGGCTTCGTGTCTTCGTCGGAGATAATTCCCAGAGATTGGAGGGCCGAGGCCAAGTGCATTGACGAACAGCTCCTGGCTTGGGCGCAGAATGTACCGGAACATTGGCAGCCGCTGAGACTCAGTAGTGGACGAGACATCGATCCGTCGATCCCGACCTATGAATCTGTCTGCGAGGTCTATCTTTCCTGTCAGATTGGGACACTGTGGAATGAATGGCGCGTGCAACGCCTATTACTCGTCAAGATCATCCTCAGCTCGCTTAGTGCGAATCCAATGTCAGAGGCTTCTGAGTGCTTAGAGAATGCGGATCTTGCCAACTACAAGCACAACCTCCAAGACCTCGTGGACTCGGTGTGCTACAGCGTGCCGTTCTACCTTGGCAATCAGGCCGGATACCTGAGCATAGCCGACTTCACCGATCCAGCGATCTTGCTTCCTAGCTACCACTTACTAGCCTCGGTGTGTAAATCAGGTTGTAACCAGCGAAGGCCCAACCCGCAGGTGTCAGAAGAGGAGCACAGAAGCCACATCATCGCTCAAGGGCCGTGGCACATCATGAATCCGCTGAGTCGTCTGTTGACGTTCTTCTGGGAGGATCACGGTCAAGCCATGGCCATGGCATCGTTGCTCAGACCTGGACAGCACGAGTGGATCCGCGAGCAGTTCCTGCGTGTCACTATCCTGCTTCGTATTCCACTGGCTGACGGTGCTGATGTTGAAGGGACATTGTACCCTTTCGACTCGTCTGCTCAGGGGAATGTAGACAGCAGGGTTGAACATCTGGCGAAGAGGATCAGGAAGGGCGCGTTTCTATAAATTGCTCTTAAGGGGATGCTACGGCTACCATGTAAAACTCCAACGATCCACATTATATTGTTCTGATTGAAATAAGTCTATGGTGTAAGGCCCTATAATCCAGCAGAGATACAACTTGAGGCAAACGCAGCGGCACTTCTGATTGGGTGGAGTTGGTACGGAAGGCAGATGCCGCTGACAAAACAAGGTGAGAAGTCACGTGCGAGAGATGCTCACCTCTTGTTCGACTCTCCATCTCTGCATCCAGCATCAATCCAGGACAATGTCGAGCAACACTCACCTCATAGTGCCTGAACAACAGAATGCTAGATGATTGTGGCTCAGAGATGTTATAGCTGGTTTCTGAAGTCCTCAAACCTCTCGCCCGCCAAATGCGACCGTGTGAAAGGCTGGTCCGCAGTATGCCCTGATGCCTGGCTAGAGACGACCTTTCTGACGAGTTCGGGGCATCCCCCCTAATAAAAAGCATACATATATGCCAATCTACCGTCTCCACTTACGATACAGCCGCGCAAGGCACTCAGTGTGGAGTCTGTACTCACCATCGGATCTGGCAGCCGAGGATCAGCAGCCAAGCCTGTCCTTTGGACATGAAACGCGAACAGAATAACAAAATATGGTATATTGAGAAGTCAAAAGCTGCCTTTACTGCAGAAGAAAAGTATCAACAAGAACTAGCCACCACCTTGAAACACTAGGCCTAGTATATACTTCGGGAATATCAACAACTCTGGAGGCATATACAGTGAGAAGAGCAGCCCGAGGTGGATATACACGCTCCGTCCAGTTCGCAGCTCAACTCAAGAGCTTAAGCCAATTCAACCGGAATAGTCAATCACAGCAGCCAGACGCAGGGGTCCCGCAGTGACGGAGCCACCGATGCCACCGACGGAGCTCTCGGCCGGGGTATAAGCGTTGTGAACGGTGCCAGCGTCGGAGGTGATATACGAACAACCGATGGAGGTGCCGTGACGACAGACCTTCATGCCCTGGACGGTCTGGTCGGCGCTCTGGGCGACGATAGCGCTGACGTCCCAACCGGACCAGCTGCTGTTCTCCTCGTCGCCGAAGTCGAACTCGCCCCAGGTGCACGAGTACTCGCCGTAGTCGTTGGTGGGCAGGCTGGAGCCCTCGGCGGCGCCCCAGCCGCCCTGCGAGTTCTCGTCGAAGGCAACGTAGCGCGTCTCACCGGCGGCCAGCGTGAAGTTCAGCGCCGAGTGTCCGAAGAAGCCGTCGTCCGCCCCGTCCGGCCCGATCTTGTTCCAGATGCTCACGAACCAGTCCTCGCTGTTCTGCCCCGTGAACTGTACCACGTACTTGTACTGCCACGCCGAGCTCGCGCTCACCTCGATAATGTTGCTGCCCCAGGGACTGCCCACGTTGCCCACGTACGTGTCGCCGCTGCTGCTCGTCCCGTTGCTGCGCTCCCCGAACCCGCTCGTAGAGTATACCCCGTTCGTCGGGTACGTGTACCACGCCGAGCTGACGCCTGCGGCGCTGCTGCTGGCTGCGGCCGAGGTGGTCGTTGATGTGGTGCTCGTGTGCGCGTGCGTCTTGGTGCTGGTGGGCTTGTAGCCTCCGATAGAGAGGCCAAGGTTGAGGCTGGCGCTGATGGCCAGGTCTTCGTTCAGGTCGAGCTCGACAAAGGCAGCGGCATCGCTGGTGGAAGTGGTGGCCGCGGCGTCAGAGGCGATGGTGGTGACCGCCTCGTAGGTGGTGAGGGTTGGAGCTGCACCGGTGATGGTGCTGGTCACGGTGATGGTGTGGTAGTTCACCACGGTCTCCACAACCACTTCACGAGCAGCCAAGTGTGCCTCCGGGGCACGGTCGGCATGACCGTGGGAGTGCTGTCGGCGCTGGTGGCCGTGAGTGCGAGCCAGGGCCGATTCGGCGATGGCACCATAAAGAAGGAGTGACTTCCACTGCATTGTGGATTGGATTGGATTGGCTGATCAAACACTGGATCTGTGGAATAATGTCGGTTGAGTCAAATGAAAGGAATGTTGTGAGAGTATGCTCTGCGCACGACTGCGATGAATCTGACTGTCTACAACCGACAAGCCACGATGAAAGGAACGACTGGATGATGCCTGCAGGAGAAGAAAGAGAATAGAACGAGGCACGCGGTCCAGTCCCAGTATATAGTATAGATGAATCGGCCCACGCTCACACGGGCGTCAAAACGGATAATCAACCGACGACGCTGGACGACGCAAGACAGCGCCGAGTGGGGATGGACAAGAGTTGAGAATCGTCAGCATCGGATTCGAACAGCCATCGTCTAGTGAGAGGATTGTGCGTCGCAGCCGCGAGGCCTGTCGTCTGGATGGCGCGAGTCCAGACCAGCTGGCGACTAAGGAGGTCGAATCGATAGCCCCGTTTAGGGCAGTGAAACGGAGGGCCGGTTATCGTTTTTTTCCCCCAGTCTATGTGAGGGCCGAACTGGTTATAATCCATCTTTCTGTGGGCTGGCATTCCTGCAGCCAGTGTTTTGATTGTCAGTGTTGACTCCACAACAAGAACTCTTCACTGTCTGTCGATTCAGGTACACAGTCCCGGCCATTGGCATGCCATGCATCCCTACGTAAGCCCCGGCGCCCCCTTGCGTCGCCGACAGGGCTTTCTCACTGGTGATTGGTCTGACAAGAGGAAGCGGACATATTCAAACCATGTGTTCTCCGTGTGCCTGGCCCCCCGATGAGGACCCGAGGGAATGGAGACAAGCTAGGGCAGGTTGCTGGGGCGAATAGCGACATTCCTGAGGCATTTGGGTCTGGACGCTACCGAATCTACAAGTAGCGAACAGAGCGGAGTCATCGGGGTGGGTCAATTCCGAACGACTGATCGCGAAGTTTCTGATGCGAGTTGTCAAATCTGCCTGTCGATTTGCTGATTTGATGGGTTGACAAGTAGGAGAAGTGGTCGAGTTCCACCAGGCAAACGCATAAGAAAATTCGGAAGTAGCGGAGTGGTGGTTGAGGGCTAAGCCTTGTTAGCGTTTCTCTAGCCGTGCAACTCCTTTCCTTTCCCTTCACTTTGATCACCACCACGTGTATCGCTGGATCGATGGCAGTGTCTGATCGACTGATTACTCTATGAAAAGTGCAGAACAACTCCAGAGAATATTGAACACGCATCTCAGCTTTGTGCCTACCTTCTTCAGCCCATGATCGATCGTGATCATGAGCTGTATCTCTCCCTTTCGCCGCCACATTCAGACAAGCCCAGTGGGGCGTCACTTACGTATACCCGCCAGAATTAGTGCTGGGCCAAGGTTGGCGATGACGAATCCACGGTTCCAATTATTACCTTATTCTTTGCCGCTGCCTGTGCCTGAGGGGAAAGTCAAACAAAATTATGGTCAGCCATAGAGAAAGAGCTTGTAGTTATCCTGAATCAGAAGGCAAAGCAAAACACAAATTTTCCCAAGTAGCACACACAAAAGAAACAGATGAGTAAACCTCGACACCACATCCCCAAAGCCCCTGTCTTATTGCCGCCCAGAAAGAATACGCAACCCATGAGAAGTCCAAGCCCTACACATCCTCATCCTCCCACAGGCGTTCTCGGGTGGCTGGATTCGGCATCCCCTCCCCGGCGTAATACTGGCCCTGGGTGACCAGCTCGCGAAAGGTCACCTGGCTCTTCCCCTTCCACGTCTCACGCAGCTCCCAGAACTGGATCTGGAGCTTGTACACAAACTTAGGTTCGCGAAGATGCCACCTCTGCACCATTTCCCGATGCACCCGGAGAAATCGATCCTTGACCGCCGCGTTCACCTCGGATGCCGAAGAACTGATGCTAGATCCGACGGGACAATGAGCAAATATAATCACATTCGTGCACTGGAGCAGGTTGGCGAGGATGCCCTGGAAAGAGGACAAGACATCAGCTCCTGCGCACAAAGCTTGCAGACTCATGCTCTCGTAGCGGCTCTTGCGCTCCTCCCGGTCGACGAGGTTCAGACTCCAGGCTTGGTAGACGACATTCGGCGGGGGAGCAGTGAGAGAAGCAACTTTGCGCGCGAGGGGCGGACCTGGGGCATATCTCCGGGTAGAAGCAAAATCTGAACATAGTGTCGTCTGGAAAGGACCTGAGGTGGGGACCGTTCGACCCGATCAGGTCCATGACAGATACGTCGATTCCTGTGATTGAATGGTCTGGAGACAGGTTAGTATGTTCTCGCTGATAAAGCTATATGAGCTTTGAGACTACAGAAAAATATATATATCACCTTTGGGAGGTGTCTAGAATTCTTGCGCTTCATGCCTCTGTCGATATCTGTCAATCTCATGTGAGAGTGCTCTTGCATTGCCCACCATAAGTCCAACAGCCTCGGCGTCGATTGGATTGGGGATCAAGTCTTGGGCGCCGTTCTGGTCGGTCAGAAGCTGATGCGGGGGATGTGCTGATCCAAGTGCCGTAGGGCCTATAACACGAAAGATCGTGAGGACATTCGCGTGCCACACCTTGTTCATGTGGACGGACGCTTGGGCGACTCGTCCAATGTCTTCGAAACTGGGCAAGTAGGTCATTATGCAGACGAGCAGTTCGGGCGGCAGGCGTAAGAAAGGATCATTTGATGAAGGCATTGCGGCTTCCTGATAGTTAAAAAGCTTCATCTATGTTTGGATGTTCACTGATATGAATAGATCGTTGAGTGAAAGCAACTGTGGTGGAGGTGGTGAGGAGAAAGGGAGAAAGAGAAGATGTGGTCTTCATACACAGATAAACCTGATAACTGCGACGACTAATCACGCCAAATCATGGGGCCCGGGAGTTGAGGTCCGTTTCAATCATGCACTGCGCACCTAGTCTAAAGAAAATCATCATCAGTGCATTTTCAGCACTGAAAGTGGGCGACGAGCGTTCGCAATGATGCAGTTTGGTGAGACGATCACAAAAAAATGATAATAACTCATCTTACCAAGAATCATCCTAGTGAGAAAAGCTTTGCTATATCGAGAGACACAGTCCAAGCATAAATCAAAAGTTGTAATTAACACATGGTGCAACTATCGACGCTGATATCATTGTTTCTATCCATGGACGCCTAATGACACCGACGGGGACCTAGCTATCATCCCACAACCACAGGTCCGTCTGCAGCCCCTCGCGCTCCGCGTCCAACACCAGGTTATTTGTATTCAGCTGATCGGTCGCAGAGAGCATGTAATCCAACGATAACCCAAGACCCCGCCAGTCCAGCGACAGCTCATCCTCCGGATCTGCGGGCACATCGGCGGGCGGAACGGTCGGGATACTGTCCACTTCACCGGTACTGGGCCCCGTCAGTTGCTCGAGCTGCCCCAGAACACGCTGCTGGCTTTCAGGCGTGGCGAGATGACCGCTCGCCAGATCTGCCGTGGCTGGTGATGTGCTGTGTCGTTGAGTCAGGGGCTGGACGAGTTCTTCCAGGAGCTCGATCTCGGACTTGCGGAGTTGCGCGACGCGATTACCGCGCTCGATCATCTCGTTCAGGAGACTGAAGCCTGTTTCCCGGTAGGTCGGGTCCATGGAAGCGTCGGGTAAGATGGCGGAGATGAGGGAGAGCACGAAGAAGGATGAGAATAGGTTCTCTAGGTCGAAGGGGAGGAATGTTTCTGGTTTGAAGAATGGTCAGGTCAGCAAGGAGATGCATAGAGAAATAGAAGAGTTCGACGGACCGAGCAGGTTCTGATCTCGAAGTGCAGATAGAATTTTCAGCGATTTGACAGCGGAGTCAATGCATGCCTGGAGGAGAGTTTGGACAGGGGAGGATAAAGTGCGGAACTCAACGCCCTTTTCATAGCAACTGAGGCGTTCCCATAAAAGGCTAAGTACAAGAGGTCTGGTCGTGACAATGATACACTACTCGTTATTAGTATAGAACTTGCGCTTAGACGAGGCTCCTTACCAAGTGGCATGACAGGGTCAGACGAGTGGTGACGCCCGAAAGCGCATCCACTGAGTTTGCGAAATGGTTGGAGAATACTTCGTCAAGCTCGCGGGAAAGATCAGTCATCTCCTGTAGCACGGAGCGTACCTTTCGCAGGAAGAGACCACCTAGTGTGCCATCCGCACTATATATCGCTGATGAAGTGGTTAACGAGACGACATCGGCTAAGAACCACGTCACTTACTGTTCAACACACGAGCGATCACCTGCGAGATCTTGACGTGAAGACTCAAGACTGCCTCATTCTGCGAGCATGTCCGAGGTTCCCATAAAACCGTCGTGACATCATCGTCATTTACCGAGTAAGGGGAACCCATGAACGATGAGAATTTGCGATCCAGTATGTATACCGTCCACCAGATATTGCTCCATCGAGTAACCAGCTTCTGTCCCAGTTGCTCCACAGGCTGAGCACGATGAAGCCCCTCCACGAGAGCCATTCGCATAGAATGTCCGATCTGTTTCAGTGAGAGATAGTTCGAATATTTATGCGATAATCACTCACATAACAGTAAGCCGTATCTCTCATGTCCACCGAGTAGAAGTAAAGCGCAATCAGGGCAAGAGTCTCGATGGCCAAAGTCGGATCCTGCCACAGCCCTGTGATATCCGGCAACAATGACATCGCCCTCGAAAAATATTTGGTCCACGCAGCAGTGTTGGATACCGTCCGCACCGGGGCCAGAAACGCCTCCCCAAAAGCGAGGATCACCAGAAACTGCACATACCACAGACGTGATTCCTGCACCTTTTTGGCAGCATCCTGGTAAAATTCGTACAGATGGCGGAGGAAGGCGTCCTCGTCGAACAGCCGATACATATTGCTGAAGTGAAACTGTACCGTGCTCACCATATATAGCGCATGTTCCAGCGAAGGCAGACCGCTGGTATCGGGAGCCTCTTCAGAGCTAGCATGGCGCCATGTTATCTGGTACGCATCGCCGTCAACCGCTAGAGGAATTGGCCGCTGGCTATCGGGGTATATGCCCTCTTGAACGATATTGAGGATGCGTCGGCTGAAGGACCAAGTTGAGGTAGGCCCAAGGAATACTGCCTGGGATCAGTCGTGTTGTTTCTGCCGTGAGAGATACCACGTACACCACTTCCGCTGTTGTCGCCCGGTATGTTTGACGTATGTGGATGGAGAGACTAAAAGATTGGAGGCAAACCGGTCATCGTAACGGTCGGCATCGGGAGGAGTTGAGACTGTCGCTTGGAGATTCTGATCTGCATTTGCTACAACGATTAGACAAGCTTTGGCCGGGCCACTGCCGGATCACATACCATCAACCGCTTCATTGACGGTGTCTTCCCTCAACGCACAATGCCGCTTGCTGGTTGGTGAAGGTGGCAAGCACTCCAGCTCTTCAACCCTCCGCTTCAACGATAGGAACAGCCTGAGTAGGAGAAATCGTGGTCAGTGGGTTGAGTAAGGGGTATTGGGCGCATGGCAATTAGGTACTCTTCGGAAACGACGATCTTGCGGTCCTCTTCGAAGACGCAATTTTGTCGACGATGGCGACACTTGTCGCACGGATGAGTTCCTGAGCACTTGACTTTTCTAGAGCGACATCGCTGGCAGCTGGACGGTTTGTTAGTTGTTCTTCTCGTTTGCTCATCTCGTTTGCTAGGGAGTCACGGGAACACACGCGTTGCTGGTCCGCTTAGGACGCTGGGATTGGTTCATGCTGCACAGATCTATCATATTCTGACTAGCAACTTACAGCCTCACCACCACCACTCTTGAACAGGAATGAAAAGAGAGGAAGGGAGCGAAAAGTCAGAGGCAAAACGTGCACGAGCGACTTATCGCGGAGAGACGCCGACTTATCCACTTTACCCCGCATCCTGCAGCTTATCAGCTTATCATCCAAGAAGCGAAGATAAGACGATCCTTCTTGGCATGAAGCAAGGAGGACTGACTAGAATCGTTTTTCATTTGCTACCAGGCAGGCTAACTTGGGTCGGGACATGCAGCTCGCTTCCAGTTGCGAGCATAACCGTTCCTCTCCGCCAACTGATCTGTCTTCATCTCTCCGGTTACCGAGAGAAGCGCAGGCCAGATCTCCTTCTCTCCTTGAGCCTCTTCCTTCTGACGGTGCTCCATCACCATCTCCCTTAGGCTCTGCTAGAAGTGGGTTGGACCCTGCCGTCAGTATTAAGCACGAGTTGCCAGTGTGGTATCGGCAGCAGCCAACAACATACCTTTTCCTTACTCGGGTGAAGCTCTCCGTTGATGAATACCCCCATACTCAGATTGGCCTACACTCCAACACAGAGCTGCTTATCATCTTCCAGAACCTGACGATAAAACGCGTTGATATTGGCGAACTCCTCGTCTGTCGCGTCCCGGTGCCGATAGACCTCATTTTCGATCTTGCTAGTAGTTAGACTCAGCGGAGTCATCCGCTAGATATAGAAGAATTCATCGCTGCAATAGCCATCAGCAACCCAGCAGACACCGCACTCCAATTGATTCAACTTACGTGATCGTGCCGGAGGTGGTCGGGAAAAATAGATAACGATCGCTCGCCGAAACTGGGCGTCGATATTGTTCTTGGTGAAGATATGATGCTCCATGTAGCCCGCGGTGGGCTCCACCCGATACCGTGGCAAATCCGAGACCCCACTGATAAGAGAATGGGAGGTTGCGCAATGATAGCACTCGTTGTAGTTCTCGATCAGCAACTTCCAGTTCGCCTTCAAATCCATCTCCCAGTAATGGTCAAACGTGTACTTGCCGGCAAAGTCGAAGTCCTGCATTCGCGGCTGCTCGTCGATACTCTGGAAAGCTTCCTGCCACTGCACATCTGGGCTCTCGCCAGCCTGTAGGTTCACCCAGACGAAGCCGGCCTTGTCGATATGCACGTGGATGGGGAGTAGTCCATTTTGACTCTTGTCGATCTCCGGCGCTGTCTCGAAACGGGGGGCTTTGGATAGATTTCCCTTCAGCCCGTATGACCACCCATGGTACTTGCAGCTGAGGATCGAGGCGGTCCCTGACCGAGGTTGCACTATGGGGTACGCGCGGTGCCGACAGACGTTGTGAAAGCCATTGATGTTGCCATCACGGTCCTTGGTGCGGAAGAAGGAGGAGCCAGCAACGGTGAAGGATGAGAAGTCACCAGCATTCGCAAATCGGCTAGAGTGCGTAAAGAGAACCCAGCATCTTCAAAATATGGCGCGTTGTTCCAGTTGATACATTGCATCGGAGCGGTACCATGATGTTGGAAGGCCCCGTGGCGGAGGCACTTTTTCGGGTTCGGGGTCAGTAGAAGAGCGGCCAAACAATCGCCACATCTTAAACGATTAGACATGAGCATGTAGTTCAGTCGAACGGGTGTGGTCCGAGGCTCACATAGTCACTATATAAGCTGCTATAGTAAGAATACTCTGAGTGAAGTGGCATCATCCATCCAAGAATGGGGGCGTTAGACCTCCCCGCGAGGTTTTCGTTCATAAGCTACTGATACTACTGATGCGATATCAAGCTATGCGACCAGATAGAATCGCCCCAGATCAACATGTGATTGGCACCAGCATCATGTAAATAAGAATTGAAACAGGCGTGATGAAAGGCACTGGCAGGCAAGAGGCCCGATCGATATATGTCCGGCACGTACCTACTAGAGGCTCCAGGCTTGGGGTGTTGCCTTCCGAATGTGAGACGTAGCTGCTAACGAGTCATCAAGATAGTCAATCAGATTAATTCCATAGTTATCATTTCGATATTCGATAGGTCTTTAGAGTTCTCACTACCTAGTCTGTCTTTCCCCTCTCCTCTACTTTGACCCCCCTTACCTCCCCCCGGCAGAATAATGCGACAAACACCATCCTTATGGGCCTTCTCCGGGCAGAGTAAAGTAGCTATCGCCTCAGTATAGCTTCATTGGCTCCCTCTTACGTTGACTTATGATTGGGTTGTACAACAGAATCCCCTCACAGGGGGTTACATGCACTGTGTACCCCGTGACCAAGTAAGTCACCTGCATTATCAGGCCAAAGATTCCTGCTGCCAAGAACCAGAGCACCAAACCAAATCCCCCATCTCTTTCTCATCATCCAATTCGCAACCAACAATGTCTTTCTCATTACCAACAATTGATATTTCGCCCTACCTCACCACTGACAGGAACCACAGCTTTGAGTCAAACAAAGCCATCGTCACTCAGATCCGCCAAACATGCAGAACAACTGGCTTCTTTCAAATCATCAATCACGGCATCAACCCCGCCTTACAATCCGGCATTCTCGTTGCCGCAAAGCACTTCTTTGCACTTCCCCTTGACTTGAAACGTCAGTACATTGATACGACCGCGAAAAAAGGGTACGAAGAAATCGGGGCTCAGGCACTGGAGCCAGGGAGCAGGCCCGACATCAAAGAAGTTGGGTTTTTTCAGCCCATGTCCCCTACTACTGCAAGGTTCGCGCTGACCGAAGATAATGGATGGGTGGCAGTGCTACTTCGTCGGTTCGGAGCCCACCGTTTGCCACGAACCTCCCTACAAACCGTTCGAATACCCGAACATCTGGCCCGAGCCCTCAATACTCCCCGAGGCGGTCTTCAAGGAACCGATCCTGAAGTACCATGAAGCAATGTGTAGGCTTGCGCAGGTGATCATGGAGATTCTAGTCAAGGGGCTGGAGGATGACTTTCCGAGGTTGAAGTCGGGAGAGATACTGGAGGAGTTCTGTCGCGAGCCCTGCGCGAGTTTGCGGCTGTTGAGGTACCCTGGGCCTTCTTCCAACCGTGCTGCTACCTCTGTCGGTGAGGTTGGGGATACCGACGAGTCTGCTGAGATGTGTCATGGAGATGTTGTGGCGGGCGCGCATACGGATTTCAGGGGAATTACGCTTTTGCTTCAGGATGGAAATCGGGGGCTACAAGTTTTGCATCGCGGGCAGGGATTGGGACAGAACGGTGAGAAACAGGAGTTACAAGGGGTTGGGGAACAACAGATGTGGATAGATGTGCCTTCTACGCCCCATGCATTTGTGGTCAATATCGGCGATATGTTTGAACGGTGGACGGGTGGTTGGTATCGGAGTACAGTCCATCGAGTGGTCAGTCGTTGTGGAGGAGAGAGGTACTCGGTGCCTTTCTTCTATGACGGAAACCTGGAGTTTGTGGTTCGATCTTTGACACAGAATGGCTCCTTGGGTGGAGGAAGGTCTGGTGAGTATGGCCAAGAGACGGAGGAAATGACGGTTAGGGAGTATCTGTTGAAGAAGTTCGACGAGATTTATCTTTGATGCTCTGAAGTCCTTGATACATGTGAACGTACGGCTGTGCCCAAGAGAGATTGAGTAAAAAGTGGGTAAATTTCGTGAACGTTATCGCCTGGACTTACTCTTCCAGCAGGAATTATGATGCGTAAAAGCATGGTGACTTGCTCCGGCAACGACAGCACTTGTTAATCAATCAAGCTCTGTCTTCTGCTACAAGGCTCTCACCCCGCTTTTATGCCATCGCCTCACCAAAGCAACTCAAATCCACTCTTTTGAGCCTAGATCCACCACCCACCTTGAAGTAACCACCGATCCTTGACACTTATATTACTCGCACACTCTTGCTTAGTCGGTTCACGCGTCTTCTTTAGTGCTTCTCGAGTCCACCTTTATTCAAATTCTGATTTCCACACCACAAATGTCTGCTGAAACACCCCAGCATTTCGAGCGACGCAAATACTTGGGGGAGTTGGAGCATAAGGTCGAGGCTCTTCAGATTCATACCTTGAATTTGTCGCAGCTTAATGAACTTGGAATTGACTTACAACCAATGTCTCTCAAAGGGACTTCTGGCCGTAAACCTTTCTTCTTCGAGTCGCATTCCGGTCTTCCAGACCCGGACGAGGAGGAGGTCCACGATACCCAGTCAAAGCTGGACGACGAGGACACTGCTTCACGAGTCCCTTCGACCGTGGAGGGCAGTCCGAAATTACTTGGTCTCACTATGCCTTTCTTTCAAAGTATTATGCGGACAGGGAGACTTGGACTAGGAAAGAGTGAATGCTCGCCCTGACCGTGTTTCCACCTGTCTGCTAACAGCAAGAAATAGGCCGGGTGACTACAAGCCTTACAAGAGTTTGTACCACACGGGTTGGCCATACCATTTTGGCGTTTACCATATGACCGATGTCCATGGGAAGAAACTTCCCACACACCATGGCAGTCATTTACAACAACCTGGAAGGAAAAGATCAGGAAATCCTTCGGGGAGAGTTGTTGATTATTCTTCGAATGATGATAGGTCAGATGAGGAAGCGATACTTACTTTCCCATATGAGAGTGCCGGCAGCTTTGTCCCCCTTTGCTCTTCTCTCCACGTTCTCGTCCGACGCGTCCGCTAATTGTGCTTTTGTGGCCAGATCATGGTCATTTCGTATCTTGGAAAATGGGGGCGTGCGATCGAGGCGTATTGCGATGGCCAACGCCTTGTTTTGGGATGCACTGACCTGTACAGCTTCCGCCATCAGACCGTTGCAGCGTTGAAGGATTTCGCTCGATTATACTATGGCAAGCCTATTGGGGATACTGCATAAGTTGGGTTTTCGCTATGCTTGATTGCGTGTTTATGGGAGTTGCTGGATTGGACCAAGGGTAACGATCAATGGAGTTTTGGGTTTGGTTGGGATGGGAATTTGGCGTTGGAATGTTTTCCATATGGAATACCTTATTTTTCCATATATTACCGCTGTACTTGCTACCTTGTTCTACTATTTTTCACAAGCTTTCAACCACAGACGCCATAGAAGATATGGCTTATCTTTCGTGCTTATTTCTCATTTGGTCTAAAAATTGTCGCCCAGGGAAATGGTCAGCAAAGTAATAGGAAGGACAGGACAGCGTCACCACCATCAAGCCCCATTCTACCTCCTATCAGTCGATCGTATCTAGTTTCAGGATAACCTATACAACTGAGACTTCATTCATTTTGTTTGAAGATGGGTTGAGGCAGTTTGAACATATTTCAGGGATAAAACCATTCAGTTGGCGTCGCTATGGAGTAGTAGAGCCTCGTTCCTAGCCACGCTTCAATAGCTTGCCCTTGCACCAAAGACACTTGCAGCCCTCCTTACACAAAGTAATTTTCAACGTATGAGATCGAAGTCGCCCAGTGTAACTCTCTCAGCGGCTCTGCCCAGCCTGCGAGCACTGAAGCGTGAAATTACAAAGCACCTGTTTCCACAGCAGACGATATGAATGCCAATTAGGACCTTATTTACAGAGAAACTTAACCCAAGAGCTTAGAGATCTTAGACCCTCGCTTTACGACAGCGACTGGCCTCAACTCAAAGCCCTCGTTGAAGTCAGATGATAGCGCCAGGGTAAGCCTCCTACCCACCTCCTCGATATGTCGATACACAGCTTCCTCGCAAAGACTCTCACCCTCACCCCATTCAAATTGACCACGTTCCGCACTATGCACAAGCGCCTTCCCCTGCTCGCGGATCTCCCAAGTCTCCTCTGCAGCAATCTCATCTGGCGCATTCAGTACGACAAACACCAACTGCAGCCGAGGAAAACATTCCTGGATTTCTTCTAACGCAGTGGGTTCTCTCTCAAGCAGCGACGCGGGAACAGCAACCTGCGTGAGCCCGTCGCCGCCCAGAATAATCCGCTCCATAAGATCCGGCTCAGCCTGTCGATCGAGCGGGTCGACAGCGAAGTCATTGAGCTGCGTCGGCGAGATGTAGAGGATATCATGATCTCGCTTGAAACAGCGCGTGAGGATGTGACGCTGCTCCTCGTGGGAGAAGTAGACTTTCAGGCCCAGCTCCTGAATCCAGGATAGGCAAATGCCATGGGCTTCGCGGTTGACGAGCAAGAGAGAGGTTCTTGTGCTGATCGGCCCCAGTCGTTCTGGGAAGAACTCCAGCGCTATGTTTTCATCTGGGGTGGTTGGGTCGTATGCTGGGTGCGAGTCTGTGAGGTGCAGTGGGCCCCAGCATCCTCGCCGGAACTGGAATAGCACGCCTGGTTTGATTTCGTTGGGGAGAGCTAGTTGCCAGATACTGTTTCGGAGTTCGGGGGGTAGATCGGGAAATTGAGTGAACATGATGAGTTTCTTTTTTAATGAGTGTTGGGACTCCGGAGGGATCCGCAAGCGGGAGTCAAGTCGGGTGGTATTATGTTGAGTGGGATGCAGTTTCAAAAGGCGTGCTGGGCGTACAGACCCTTGCTCCCAAGTAATATGTCGCGTTGTCAAAAAAGTGAGCAGGTTGGTCGTATTCAATGATACGCTTGTGGGGAAAAGCTTGATACCACAAGATAATCACATGATCGCGTCTGACGTGAGATCCCTGCGAGATCCCTGCATTATTCAGGAGCCTTGACTGCGCCTCTCCTTTAGGCAGCCTTGTTTCACTCACTATATCTTAGGCCCCCCATTGTTAGATTGGCAAGGGACAGTTGGCCCCAAACACCACAGATCCGCCGCATCCGATCAGAACCAGGAAGGTTGCACTGTTCCTGGCAGCTTGTATCACCATCAGAAGAAGTGTGCTATCTCTGTTTGGATATGTACTTAAATGTACACACCTTGGGGGAGTCTATCATTATTGATTTCCATCACCATATTCCATTTCCTGAAGACCCCTTCATAAGCCAGGCAATGAGGCATGTTTAGATGGTCTGCATTCGGAGAGCTGGATTCTGTCCCGACTAGACCCTTTTAGTTCATGTCATATCCAGCCCTACAGGGATGATTGGGGCTGAAGGGACTGACATGCTTAGCTCTGCGCCAATTTTTGCAAGATCCTTTGGGGGCGGGGCCAAAATGAATACACCTGATACGTCAACTCGTCTGCATGAGTCGTATTGGATCAACCACAATGGCTGATAGGTCGGGACGCTGTTGGATCGCTGCTCGTCCGCCATACATGCAAACTGACAGCCAACATCCTCAATACCTCAAGCAGCCACATAAGCTGACAGACTCGATCATGAAGGTCTGAAGCCATAGATGCCGAGGACGCATATAAGTAGCCGGTCAATTCTCATGAGAATTGGTCTCCCATCAATCAACCATTATCAAGGAACATCTCCCAAGGACAATTTGCTTCCAAGCTCAAAGCACTAGACAACTAGTGAGTCTTCTTTGAAGAGCAAAGTGATCAACTTGTGCTAACGCCCTGTTACCAGTTTCAACCCCCCACCATCCATAACAATGGCCAAGTTCGGATTCTCCGTATTCATGCTCCTGGGTCTGCTCTTGCTGGCCACGGACGTCCTCGCCACCCGCGTCAAGTACAACGCGTACTACAACCAGGTCGTCCACAAGGATGGCAAGGAGGTGACGGAGAAGAAGACCAATTCCGACATGCGAACCATCCCCGACGACAAGGAGACCGAAGTGAAGGACGGCATCCACGGCTGGTCCGGCGGCAAGTACCGGGCCCGCGAGAGCAGATTCAACATGCTCTACATTGAGACGACCTCGACTCTCGCTTCCAACAAGGAGGCCAAGGACGCGGTCGAGGACATGCGAAGCTTGGTTAACAAGCACATCAAATAGAGGTACGGCCTTAGTCGCAGGTCCGCTGTTCGTCTGGGTGATTGAGCTCATCTAATGGGACGTTTGACTAGCCAGGCCCGAGCTCCGAGCTTCTATACATGAGAAGGTGATCTGTAACGGCCGGTGCGGTGAGCTTCTGGTCGTTTGAAGGGACCTTCCCGTTTGTGCGCGACTGTCGCGCTTGACTGATTGTCTTGTCGCGAGATTCTTCGCTGTTTGTCGTTACTGATTTTCGTGCTTTGTGCTTTGCAGACTTGTGCATCTGTCGAGTCTGCTTTTTTGTAGTTTTAATTCTGTCAGAGTGAATTCACAATTATGTACTTAGCTTTACTCTTCTTAAAGACCGCTCCGTGTGCGTTTTCCATACAGCTTGTGATTCATCCACGCGATCTTCCAGCGAACAAGAGCAGTATTCGAGAAATACACAGTTTCTCGAGCCCTCGTACGCTATAGTTATCAGCTTGAATCATTGGACAAGTTGGCGTTTTATGTTCCCCCATTCCCTGCCTTCATTTTACCAATTTCACTGTGTCAGGGGCAAGAAGCTTACAGGACAACGGCATAACAGCACAGATTGGAAGTTGTGCTCGCTGACTAATCAATGCAACTGCATCACCTTGCTCAGCTGCGAGTGTGTTCGATCAAGACAGGATCGTTGTTAGTAACTCAATTCAAAGACCGCTCTAGCCACGCTGTACCATCTTTCAGGGTGTAAGAGCTCGACAACAAAGCATCAAGCCTCGGTGCCCTTCCGACAGGGTCCAGCATTGCCTGACCACCGCCTGCGCCACACCGTGAACACAGAAAGCTGCTGCCTAAGCCTGTACTCCGCAGCGAGCCCTGCGCCCTGGGCGAGCAAAACAGAAAAATAAAATTAATCGCACAAATAGATTCTCATTATCATTAAGCGTGGGATATATACACACAACCAGTGATAAAACGTCTGCGAGTCTCAAGCATGCCCAATCGATACGCCACGTGCGCCCGTGCCCGAGTTTGTAAGGATGTCTGAATGACTCATGGGAAAGGAATTAGGAGGCTTGATCTATTTGTTGGCCAGGATGTAGCTGGGGAATTGTTAGCTGGATTTCATGTGTACAGATAAAAAGGAGGGGGGGTTAAACGTACTAGGCGTGAATGACACCAGGGAACCAGCCCAGAATGCACAGGCAGATGTTGATCAGAAGATCGCAGCTGCAACCCGTGCGCATGAAGACACCCACGAAGGGGAGGAAGAAGGCGATGATGAGTTCGCAACAACCGCTGATTGAGGATGTTAGTATTTCTGCTCGAGGATGTGACATTGCGTGGAGTAAGGGAAACGTACACCGCGCCAGCCATTGTGATGGTGCGATGAGAGTAGTTAGGTGGAAAGGTAGATTTCGTTGGGGTAGTTGAAGGTGAGGTAATATAGGGCCTGAATTACTGAGAAATTGAGGAATTGAGGAACGTGGAAGAGTGGAAGGAAGGTCGGCGTCAGGAGACCTTAAAAGGATTTCGGGGAGAGAAATCGATGACATCAGGCGTGTCCGGCGAAGACTTGAACAGAGTCCATTCTTAACATCATAGGGCTGAGAGTGGAGCGGGCATGCCGTGAGACGCGCCCGCAAATCAATGGCTATTCCACAATCCATGAATGTTTCTTGATAGCCTAATTTATTATGACACAACCAATGACGATGACGAGTACCAGCTAGGACCTTGTGAGGTGTTCTGGCCTTCTTGAGTAGGGCTACACTCAAATTACAGGCATGTTTGCCAAGGAATCGGCCCGGATTGAATGGGCTGCAATGATGTAATTCTACCCCAACTTTGACGCCGTGCCTGGCCCAAGTCTAACTATTTAGTAGCTAGGATCTTTGAATGATCTTCCACATGCTACTTAGCAAAACTCGGTTTGTCTAGAGTTGAGATTGCCGCTGTTAGAAGGATCTTATCTTGCGCGATATGTACCCAGTCCAGAAGAAGGAGCCTTAGCAGGGTTGTGACCAGCCGGTAGGCCATCAATTCCATTGTGCTGAGGGTAATAAAGGAAGAAGATGGCTCTATCAAGCCGCGCCTGGATTGCGGGTATGACATACTATATATCACATAAGAGGTAGACTGAGTATCAATCTGGTGCTCAGGATTGGGCCAATCTAGAACACTGCACCACCCTTGATAACGAGATACTGCTATCTATAGAGATCACGTGCCAGCTTTGATGGGAAGTAACTCGGTGATTTCCTCTCCAAGATAGGCTGTTTGTCATCACGGTAGGGAGGTGGCCATTAACCATGAGTTGCGAAGTGTGTGTGGAAAGTAGAGTAACACGCCTGGAAGAGCCTGTTTGGCTCAGTGTGAATGAGAGTATGACCCGCTTCACACATTCATCGATTTCATCCTTTCGCCTGTGACATGAAAATACGCTTCTCCTTCAGTTCAGCGACATGACAGCCTTCGCTTATCAACTAGCCTTTCCTAATTTCTCTAAAGTGATGTTTCACAGAGGATGCTCGAAATGCAAGTCATACGAAGCTTTAACCTCGCATGGATTCTCATCCTATGCCTGGTCTTAAGCCACCCCTGCTACAAAGCCACAGCGATCGACCTCAACATCCACGATCCAGGTGAGTATCAAAGACGCTTGAACAACGCGATCATGTCAAGAACACGCGACTAATATCTTGGGTCCTAGTGAGTATCAAAAACGTCGCGCGCCAGCTAGCCTGGGACCTTGTAAGCTTTTACCATGGAAACAACACCGGCGATGTGCCTGGCAACCTCCCCGATCCTTACTACTGGTGGGAAACCGGCGCGTTCTTCGGCACACTGATTAACTACTGGACCTACACCGGCGACACTACCTACAATGAGATCACCACACAAGCGATCCTGCACCAGGTGGGAGAGAATCGAGACTTCATGCCGCCTAATCAGACGCGCACGGAGGGCAACGATGACCAGGCGTTCTGGGCCTTCACGGCGCTGCAGGCTGCAGAGAACAACTACACGAACCCTCCCGACAATGAAACTTCGTGGTTAGCCCTGGCGCAGGCAGTCTTCAATCAACAAGCCAATCGCTGGGACTCGACCAAATGCGGCGGCGGGTTGAGGTGGCAGATCCACACGTTCAACAGTGGATACACGTATCGCAACGCGATCTCCAACGGATGTTTCTTCAACATAGCCGCCCGGTTGGCGCGATACACGGGGAACTCGACCTATGCGTACTGGGCCGACAAGGCATGGGATTGGTCCTCGGCGATCGGTCTGATCGGGCCCCAGTTCCAGGTTTACGATGGCACCAGCGAGGCGAACAATTGCTCGGATCTCAACCATGTCGAATGGACGTACAATAACGGGGTCTTCCTGCTTGGCGCGGCACATATGTGGAATCGTGTAAGTCATGGGCTTTCTTGTTTCCTCCCACCGTTGATGGCCAAGAGAGCCAGATTGACTGATTGTTTCTTTTGCAGACTGACGACGAGGTCTGGCGGCAGCGGATTTACGGGTTGTTGGAGGCACAAAGCATATTTCTCTCCTTCAACGAGTCTTCCAAAAACGTGTTTTACGAGTCGGCGTGCGAGCTGTGGAACACCTGTCAAGTGGATCAGTTTTCCTTCAAGGCTTATCTCTTCCGATGGATGGCCGACACGATCAAACTGGCGCCCTTCACCCACGATATCATCATGGCTCGTCTCCGACCAACGGCGCAAGCAGCTGCGGCTCAATGTGTGGGAGGGCACACGGGAACGTTCTGTGGAATGCAATGGACAACAGGGACTTATGATGGGAGTCTTGGCGTGGGACAGCAGATGTCGGCCCTGGAAGCGATCCAGACTCTGCTCGTCCAGTCGGTGGCGGGTCCCCTCACTCACCAGACTGGGGCGTCCAGCAAGGGCGATGGGTCTGCAGGCACAGGGACTTCGGATTCGTCCAGAGATCCCAGTGCGCTCAGACCGATCACTGCCGGCGACCGAGTGGGTGCGGCCATTTTGGCGGTGGGTGCGATCGCTTTGATGCTGGGCTCCACTTTGTTCTTGTTGTCGTAGGGTTTGTGGTGATTGCAAAAGCTGCGGGGAGTGTAAGTTGACTGTCAAGTTGTATGTCGATGAATATTTGTCTGGAAATGATGCTGGTTGAGCTGAGCAATAGCATAGTCGATCATCAATCAATACCAAGATTCCATGACACGCACGACTGACCGACTATTGGAACTTTACTGCATCACCGCCAACCCGATCGGGAAAGCTTCTAGAATGACATAAGCACGTCCTCAAAGCGTTATCATGCGCTAACCTCTTTGTGGCAAAAGATACGCCGAGTCGGTCAATCGGTCCAATCAAAATGGCTTTGTATGGGTGGGAGGCAAATGCCGGGATCGGTATTGTTGGTTTATCAGCCAGTAGTTTTCTACTGTGAAACAAAAGAGGCGGGGAGAGCGAGAGTTACTGTCGCTTGGCCACGGTCTCTATCACTATTTAACTTCTCCTTCTCTCTACCCTGACTTCCGCCAATTGACCCATCCACTGAGCTCAAAAGACGGAATCACAATGGCTACCTCCAGTGCACACCCTTTTGACCCTATCACGCCGGCCGAGATTGTTCTGGCCACTAAGCTCCTGGAGGCTGCGTTTCCCGGCGTCAAGCTTCGATACAAGAAGATTGATATTCAGGAACCAATCAAGAGCGAGGTCCTTCCTTATATCGAGGCCGAGCGACTCGGAAAGCCGCTACCTCCCAACCCGACACGATTGTTACAAGTGCTCTTCCACCGTCTGGACACCGGTGCTTTTCTGAAAGCGTCCTTGAACGCGGGAACACGATCCATCATCTTTGCCAAGGAGTTGCCCAAGGATGTCCAGGTAACTCTCCATTGGGTCACAACCCCACCATTCTTCGGCTGCTGACCTGCCACAGGCCCCCGTAGATGCGGACGAGTTGGAGGAAATCGAGCGACTGTGCTTGAACCACCCCGCCGTACAGGCCGAAGTGGCCAAGCTGCAGCTCCCGGCTGGGGTGACTGTTTGCAACGATCCCTGGATCTATGGGAGAGACGATCCCAATGAAACTCGCCGGCTGTTCCAGTGTTACATGTACATCGTTGCCGCAAACCACCCGCAGAACAACCATTACTCCGCCCCGTGCAAGTTCTCTCCGGTGTTCGACGGCATCACGCACGAGCTGGTCCGGATCGACTTCTTGCCCGGTGGAGCCGATTCGCAGACCACAGAGACCCAACCGTGGAAGCCGGTGAAGACTGTCCAGTATGCGCATGAGTTGCTTGAGGAGCCGGTGCGGACGGACCTCAAACCATACATCGTGCAACAGCCCGAGGGGCCGTCGTTCAACGTGCAGGGTAATGTGGTCTCATGGCAGAAGTGGAGATTTCGCGTTGGATTCAACAGCCGCGAGGGGCTGGTTATCTATAACACCACCTATGACGGACGGAGCCTGTTTTACCGATTGTCTGTTTCGGAGATGACCGTGCCTTATGGAGGTAGGTTCTCACCCCAGTTGTGATATGCATTCACTCCTCGCTGTCAGCATCCGGCAAACACAAGCACTAACCTCAATCTCAGACCCCCGCGCACCCTACCACCGCAAACAAGCCTTCGACGTCGGCGATATCGGGTTCGGCATTACCGCCAATCAGCTGTCATTGGGATGCGATTGTCTAGGCCATATCAAGTACTTCGACGGCTACCGCGCCGACTCGAAAGGCCAGCCCCTCCTCCTCAAGAACGTGATCTGTCTCCACGAGCAAGACAACGGACTGCAGCACAAACACACCAACTACCGCACCAAGGCCGCCACCGTGGTGCGCAACCGGCAACTCGTGATCCAAATGATCTGCACCGTAGCGAACTACGAGTACATCTTCGCGTTCATCTTCGACCAAGCCGCGAACATCGAGCTGGAGGTGCGCGCGACCGGCATTCTGTCCACCGTACCTTTCGACAACGAGACACCCGGCACGACAGTGCCCTGGGGCACGAACGTCGGCCCGGGCGTCATGGCACCGTTCCACCAACACCTCTTCTCGTTCCGCATCGACCCAGCCCTCGACGGCCACAAGAACACAGTCTACTACGAGGATAGCGTCCCGCTGCCGGACGACGAAAACAACCCGTACCTGGTGGGCTACACGACGGAGCAGACGGTGCTGCAACGCAGCGGCACAGCCGAAACAGACATCGCGCGGCACCGCGTATTCAAGATCCGCAACGACGCCTGCATCAACCCCATCACGTACAAGCCCGTGGCCTACAAGCTGCAGACCTCGCCCAGTCAGATGCTGCTAGCGAGCCCCAAGTCGTATGGCGTCAAGCGCGCCCGCTTCGGCACCAAGCCGATCTGGGTGACGCGGTATCGCGACGACGAGCTCTATGCGGCGGGCGAGTTCACGAACCAGAGCGCCGACAGCCAGGGGGTGGACAAGTGGGTGCAGCGGGGTGATGTGGTCGAGAACGAGGATCTCGTGCTGTGGCATAGTGAGTGGCCTCCGTAAGATCTCGGCTAGTGTTTGAGCTGGAGCTAACCGATCGTTGCAGCATTCGGCTTGACCCATAACCCCCGCATTGAGGACTTCCCTGTCATGCCCATGGAGCGAGTGAGTGTGATGCTGCGGCCTGACGGGTTCTTCACCAAGAACCCTGCGTTGGATGTCCCCGCGTCGACCCAGACGTTCAACCAGTCGACTCTGCACCCTGAGCCGGTTGCTTGCTGTGCGCCGGTGGAGAGGCAGGGGAAGTTGTAGATTGTGTTTGTTGCTGGATAGATTTTCTTTTTCGAAGCGTCACGATTGATGATTTGGTGCATAGTCAGATTCATGTTGCCTATTGTCTACTGGGCTTGTAGAGCCATTGCTAATACAGCACATTGTTCTCACCTTGATAAGCGTATTCCACCATTATATGTCTTAGCACATCATAGCTTCGTTTAATAGATTGAGTAGTCACCATGGACCCGATACTTGAGGTTCAAGGCATGAGCATAAGGGCCAATACTGCTAGTCGATCTGAGTCTCAGCATACATACATCAGTACGGAACTGCTGCTTGGATCTCGGCTATTGTCGGACTCTCACATTTCTGGATACTTCGTCCTGAAAGGGCTTAGCGCGCTGCACCCTAGGCTGTTTCAGGCTTTTGACTGCTGACATCATCAGAACATCTCACATTTCATAAGTCAAATGCTCCTGGATCTAAAGGTAGAATAAGCACAACGCAGTCTATACTTTATTATACTTTAATATATATTCTTCAAGAACAGCAAGGATCAAGCATACCACAAAGATAGTGCTCTAAAACCGCAGAACCCCAACTTGCACCTCTAAAAAGTCCATCCCCAGGCACATTATCCCCAGCTGAACCAGAAATCCAAGCAGACCGCCACCGCAACCAAACTCACTAAACCAACAACCCTCATCAAGTCCTATCCAAACTACATCATATCCGAAAGATCCGACCTCCCCGCGTTCACCGTGATCGAAGAGATCCACATCGCCGACCCGACCTGAACCCCGGAATGATCGCCGACCAACCATCCCACCCATGACTAAGCAGCCACATATAATCCCCTCCGACCCCGCCACCGAATCAACTTTGACTTCCATCTTCTCGATATCTCTATCGCAATTCACTTCACTTACAATAAAAAACCACAACACAAACCTCCTACAACCGTCACCATGTGCATGAAGGCCACTTGCTCTAACTGCCGTACGTCTTCACATCACTACCCAGAATCTATGATGGAGGAGCGAGGGAAGCAGGAAAAGCTAACAACCGTGCAGAAAAGACCTCTTGGTGGGGCTGCGGCCAGCATATCCCCTCGGTCATGGATGCCATCCCGGAGAGCGAGCGCTGCACTTGCTCGCCTAAGGTTGAGCGCGAGGGAAAGTCGTATCCTCCTAAGGCTGAGCGATGACTCCCTGGGTGTGTGATTGTTTAATTATGGCGTGGGAGAAGAATCGGGGGTGTTGACGGTGGTGTGGCGATGGGTGGCGTTGGTGGTTGTTGGGGTTAGCGAGTGATTAAGTTGTGGCAATAGTCCCAATGTGTGTATGTATGTATGTATGTATGTACTGCTGATGACGCAGTACTTCAAGAGCAGAGAACAGGGTTCGTGCCTGAATGAAACTGTTTCTTCATTACCTCACGCTCCCATGCTGAGCACTAAAACCTACTGCATCTCACAACGCAACAACAACCCCCTGGCCCCCTCCCCTCTTATCCCCGAATCCCTCCCTAACCACCCTCGACACATTCCTTACCGGAATCCCGTCCAAATCCCGCGCATACGAAGCAACCGCAAACGCGGCAGCGCGCGCATTCATCAAGAAAGCCTCGGGACTCAAATTCCCAACGGTATCCCCAGGCCCATGATAATGCGGATCATACGGCACACCCATCCTACCACCAAACACCTCCGCCTCATGCTGCGTCTTGACCTTATCGGACCCCGTAAACAGTCCCCCAACCGGTATACCATGCCGCATGAACGCCCTGTAGTCGGACCGCCTGATGAACTCGGCAGCCTGGTACGAGACGTTCTGGCTCTCAAAATACCCCTGGAACGTCTTTTCGATATGCCCCGACCCCGTCGGCGCGGAGACATTGAAGCTCGACCCGTCGCCGTCGTAGATCATGTACGCGTAGTTGGGCGAGGCGATCATGTCGAAGTTGAGGTAGAGGCGGATGTGTGCGCGGTCGGTGGCGGAGAGGCTGTGGAGGTAGTAGGTGCTCCCGCGGAGGCCGAATTCTTCGGCGGTGAAGAAGAGGAAGCGTACTGCGTGGCGGAGGGGGAATGAAGTGTTGCTGGTGGTGAGGGCGAGGGCGCGCGCTAGGGCCAGGCTGCTGATTGTGCCCGAGCCGTTGTCGTTGATCCCCGGCCCGGCGTCTACCGAGTCGGTGTGGCTGCCGACGGCGATGATGTTGGTCGGGTCGCCGTCTTTGGTCTGCGCGATCACGTTGTAGGTGAGGCGCGGGGCGGATTCGGTGTGGATATAGAGGGTGAGCCGGAGGGACGGCGTTGCGGTCGTCGTGTTGGACGAGGTCGCGTTCGGCGTGATGGAGCGGAGGAGGCGCTGGCCGTCCAGGAGGCTGATGCCGATCGTCGGCGCGAACGGGCTGCTGGGGTCGTTGGGATTGCCCAGTGTGCCGCGCAAGCGGCCGGCCACGTTGTTGTAGATGATTAGTCCCGCGGCGTTGGCGGACGCAGCCAGTATCGACTTGCTCGCGAAGGAGCACCCCCCTCGTCGCGTGAGGAGGACCTTGCCTACCGCGGAGGAGTCGTAGTCCGACGGGCTGCAGCCGAGTCGTGGCGTGATGGCGAGTTCGGCCGTGACGTTGGTGCTGGGGCTGTGTACCATGCTCAGGGCGTCGATCGTGTCGCCGTTGACTGTCAGCGATTGATTCCCCGTCGTCCAAGTGTGCACTTGGGGCTGTCTGTGTAGGTCGTACGCGCCTGTTTGGAGGAGCTCGTTGTAGATGTAGTTGAGCGTGTCATTGTGGGCAGCACCGCCGAAGACGCGGTTGCGCTGGGGGTAGGAATATGCGAATTCTTGGAGTTTCTGCGTGCCTTCGAGGAGGTAATCGAGACTGATCTGGGAAGAGAGAGTGTCCTGAGGGGAATTTGAACTTATGTCAATAAGTGCTTAATGTGGCAAGAGAGAAGCACGTACCGGAGAAATAGGAGCTCTCTTTGTTGCGAGAGCGACAATGACTGGGGCAAATAACAATGGAACGACTGACTTCATCATAGATAAGGATATAATCAACGATAGCTTGTGGTATAACGATAGTGATTGTGCTAAAAATGGAGGTTATCCTTGGTCTGAAAATGATCCGAGGGCCTCTGATGGTTTTATCTCTCCCCGTCGTAGTTGCCAATTCACCCGATATACTATAGCCAAAGATGACGTTACTCTTTAGCTGGGGTTCATTCCCGTCAGGGTCGTAATTGTGTGACTCTTGATCAGGTCAAGCTCCGTGAGACGTTGACGACATTCCCAGCTCAGATCACCCTTCTCGAGCGGTATGGTCTAGAAGCCGACCTATCACCTTAAGATGCGCAACGTCAAGTACGTTTACAAGGGGTGGTCGCATCTTGCTGATATCGCCAGGCACTCTTTGATAGCCTCTATAAATAGACCTGGCCCGTTATTTTACAATCCGTGGTTGAAGAATGTAACAATGTGGACCAATCAGATTAAATCATAAAGGACATTGTATCGTCATCATAAAAAAGAACGGGTCTCCGCGTCTGGCAAATGGGCGAACGGCGCAGGGACTGATTTGGAGCTGATGTATCGGATGGCTAGGGTGTACGGTGTGAGGTGAGAACGGATAGTCGTGCAACGTTAATCGCCTGTCAATGTCTACCATCAGAACAAGCCCCTGTTGAGGAAGTACCAGTATCCGCGCGGTTCAACACAGTATAAGGGTAGATTCTAAAGAAATGGTGCGAGAACAATCAAAAGAACATTGCATAAAAGAGGTACATAACATTAACATTGTCTTCCAGGCATCATGATCTCTCGTAACGTCTTACATCTAAACAGGAACTATAGCACACAACGAATAGCAAATCTATAGAGCAAACATGGACCATAACCCCAGCAGAATAGTCGTACAGTCACACCAAGATAAACCTACAAGATGATACATTTCCCGCGCGACAGCAAAAGAAAAAGCACAACGTCCCGGCTAAACCGGCACCGCACAGCCAAAGGACGTGGCGACCGTACCACCGGCGCCGAACACCTCGATCAGACTCTCGATGGCAGCCCAGGAGCCCATTCCCGAGCAGGCAAGACCACCCAGGAAGTAAAGTGTGCAAAATACATTCATGGCCCAGCTTTTCTTGAAGCCACGAACCCAGCGTCGCCAGCCTTTGTCGTGTCGGATCGTAACTCCTGTGACCGGGTTGTAACCCTCGCCGGGCAGGGCGGCGTCGACCTGACAGCGGTATCCGACGTACAGAATGCCGGGGAAGGTGTAGGTGAAGTTCAGGATCAGGAAGGCGCCCACCAGACTTGAGATACCACTGAAGTTGGGGACAGCTGCGGCGACAACAAAGGCGATGATCCAGTAGATTGGACCGAGAGCATACCAGAGAAGTCGGCCCCGGAAGGTGGTGATGGCAGGGAAGTGGAGGATCTCCTGGAACACTTCCTGGTAGATGGTCTTCATGCCGATGTTGAAGTAGAGGACTGCAGAGTGTAAGATTAGGGGCTACTGTGAGGGCTTTGGAGGGATTTTGGAGTTGGCGACTTACTGCAGGCGATGATAGCGGTGATTAAGGCAAGAATGTTGCCGGCTAACTGCAGGCCATACGGCTCGACCGCGTTGTTGATGTTGGAGATCGAATATTGGCCCCAGTGTCCGTAGACCTAGGAGGATCGGTTAGTCGAATGAATCCTCTGCTATGGCATGCTTGCAGTTGATGGGTCACTTACAAAGGCACCAAAGAAGATGTAAACAATGCAAATGAAGAGCTGAGCGCACAGCATGCCTTTCCAGAAGTCCCAAGGGTGACGCATTTCCGCCATGAATGAGATGAACAGAATGGCACCACCATAACTGTCTGTAGACGAAGTAAGCTTAAGAGCCTGTGACACGGGAAAGAGCACCAAATCAACGAGAACGGATATGCCCGAGGATCACATACAAACCAAATTATCAACTCCAGTGAACTGGCCAGCAAATCCAGTAGCCTGTTGTTGAAACATGTCTGGAGGGGGTCCGGCAAAGGTTCTGACCGGGCCAATCTTTTTAATCAGAGTGGAGTGGATAACGGCGTTGTAGTCAACTCCGTAGTTGGCGCAGGCCACCAAGCTGGTTTCAAATATTAGTACACCAGGTCCGACAGAGGACGCGCGAGTCGAAAGGCTTACATGATCAAGAAACTGACAATGTTCAACCAGACCGAGGCGTTGGTAAGCCATCCAAGGCGCTGCAGCGAGCGGATGCTGCCCAAGACCATACCGACCACCATCAAGATAACCATGCAGACAACAAAGCAGATCTTGTTGTTGGCCAACTGGGCTAGGGTCTGTGCGTTACCCAGAATAAGAACCGCCACATTCATCAGCAGCTGCAGCGATTGTCCGAGGTTGATGAAGTGACGAGACTTGGAGCCGAAGACCCGGAAGAAGCAGTCGCCAAAGTTGACCATAGGATATCGGCTAGAATCGAGAGCCAGGAACACATTCCAGAGAATCCAACCACTGAAGCCTGCGAAAAGACCGAAGACCACGTACAGCGCGATGGCCGGTCCGAAACCCAAACTGGCGAAGACGAATCTAGACAAGCAATGCGTCAGCTCGTGCAGGCGACTGAACCAGAAGCAGTAGAAAACACTTACGGACAAGACGACCAACCCAAAATATCGGTGGTGATCATGTAGAAGATGGTTCCCCAACTGGCAGTGCGAAGAGCACGGGCCGCAGTCCGCCATTCTTCGTCCGAAACAGCGTTGGATCTGGATGAAGAGCCATCATTCGTGGTCAGGGTTGCTCCGGTCTTCTCCCCGGACGACGATTCATTCAGGTTCTGTGCGTTTTCGTGCTCTCGGCGTTCCTGCTTTTTGCGATTTTCGTGGTGGATGCCCTTGGAGAAGCGGCCCTTGATCAGTTTCTTCACGGTCAACGGTCCCTGCTCCTCGACATATTGGCGGTTCTCTTCCTCCTCCATCTCACGCTCAACCTTCGCCCAGTACGTGAACTCCTCGAAGCTAACGTTGGGATCTAAGCGGGCCTCGAGACCCCAAACGCGTTCAACGACCTTGCCCTCCTGGACATCTGTGTAAGAGGGTGGCAGCCCCTTGGCTGGAGCCGGTTCTTCGACCGGCTGGATCTCGGTTGTCTTCATGAGAGGTGTAGTGGAAAGGGCTGGAAAGATCAGTTTAATTATCTATACTTGGGGAAGATTAAGGGTCAGGAACTTGGAGAAAGGAAAAGCGGGAGGGGGCCGCTGTATAAGAGCGTCGGAGACAGAACAACCCGCAGGCACGCAATTATGGGGAACTTCCCTGCCACTTTCTGTGACTAGGTGGCTTAAAACTGGCAGACTAACTGAACTAGAAAGCCCCGTAGCAATTCCATCCGGGCTTGCTTGCATGTGCTGGATCCGCTACCCACGGTTAATGCCATACCACGCGATATGTGGCCAATGATGGAGCCCTATTCAAAGACAATGACCTAGGTAGGCCCGACATAGGCCTCGTATGCTTCTCTAGTCTGGCAGACTGATTGGAGGATGGAATAATTTCTCCAGAAGCATCCAGCTATCATTCTAAGCTGTGGATGACCAGAGTAGGATACCCAAAATAGGATCGCTAATTGGACAAGCTCGAGTGTTCTGGAAACCAAGCGGTGGCGTCCGAAGTGTGCCAGACCCACGCAATTGGAACCAGTGGTGACAATTAGCTATTACCGTGGCGCGATAGCCACGAGCTGCTAACATTTTATCGTGCCGTGCAGCCCGGATGCGAGCCGCCCGGATATGAGCCGCTTCCTTGTGTTTGATATTATTCCGGACGATTCAGGCATCCGGTACGAGAAAGAATCAGCAAAAAGTGGTTTGTGGGCTTGCAGTCCATATGACACAATGTCTGACCAAGGCTATTGTGTGGCGTAGCTGATAGTAGCCTGCATCAAGCACGTTATCGGGATACAGTATGAGGACTGCGGTCAATGCCTCCTCCCTCCTGCACTGGGGTTCAATGGCGAACCTGTCTTGGACGGGGTGAATGTAGTGTCTCAACTTCAACGACCCAGCCAGGACATCACCGAATTAGACGTCGTGATGCGCTTTCCAGACCATTGGGGTGTTATTGCATGGACCAGGATGGGGCACTTCAAGCATTTCCGACGGAGGCCCGACTTTTGGGTCATCAATGCTCCACGACATCCCCTGATTGGTAACAGGTGTGGAGATGCCGGGGGCAAAGGGAATTCTGGCTGCCGCAAAACGTGGAAACGCAGCCAGCGTCTAAACTCATTCGGTGACTTTGGCAGCAGTTCTGCAGTTTCTGTTTGTCATCGCTCACTTACCATCTGCCTCTCAGCTTGCTTCATGGGAGGGTGGAAGACGGGGCCGGAAAAGACGAGCTCAAGTCCGGAAGATACTGTATGTTTCCTTGACTAATAAGCTATCAAACTAGAAAGCCATTGATTGAAAATCCATGATAAGAAGAGAGATCTTTCTCCGGGTCCGCGTGCGATTCGTGGACCCTCCATTTGAAAAAGCTGGGCATAGTGCTTGTTTTTCAGGGCCTAAAGCTTGGCCAACACCCATCCGAGGTCCGACGTCGGCTTCACTGCCGGGCATAGATTGTTTAATTTCTCCGACAGGCACCAAGCAAGGCCATGAGGATCAAGATGGTGCTGACTGGACTGATTTTTACCGACTAGTTTAGCTGATGCGGAATTTATCGTGAAGAAAACCTAGGTCGGCGCTAGAAGGAGTTTTGGTGCGGGCGGCGTACGCCGTGCAGCGATAGTGAATTTAGTGAACCTAGCAGGGTTAACGTAATCGGTAAGCGAGCGGAACGCGCAAGCGAGTGGAATGCCCAACTCGTGACTTCCGCATTCCCAAAACATAAGGCTTTTGATTAACGAAATCAACCACCAAAATGGCTATATTATCAAAAGAATATAAGGAACAAGAAGACAGGATCCTCTTAGCTATTGAGGCTTTAAAGAATAATCAAATTCCGTTATTATAAGAAGCAGCGTGTATTTTTAATATTCTGTAAACCACCCTCTGGAACTGTGTTAAAGGAGTCAAATCATAAAGTAATATATATATTATTTCGTGTAAATTAATTCTTACAGAGGAGGAGATGTTAGAACAGTAGATTTTCTTTTTAAATAAGTAAAGGCTTGCCCCTAGGCCTTACTATATTTATAAAATAATATCTATATTAATCCAGAAATAAGAAGTCTTACTGGAGGTATTAGATAAGGCTTTAATAAAATAAAAATAAGTATATAACTTTATTAAATACTATAACTTTTTAAAGATATATTTTTTTTACTAATATAATTATAAAAGAGCTCTCTGCAAAAATCTGAAGCTTATTAAAAAATAATTTAACTATATTTAAAATACTATATTAGAGAACAGAATTATAGATAAAAATATTTATAACTTTAATAAAACTAGATTTATTAAAAATTTAGTAGCTACTGCTAAGGTAATAATAAGATCGTATTATATAAATAAACTATTTCTTATATAGCCTGGAAATCATAAGTAGATAATATTAATTAAATATATTAATATCTCAGGCTGGGCCCTGCCTCTGTATATTATTATTAAAGAAAAGATATATATAGAGGCCTGGTATAAAAATAATATATCTTATTTTTAAAAAATTAATACCTCACTAAATAGTTAGATAAGTAATAAAATCAGATTATATTAGTTTAAATATTATTTTATTTCTTTAATTAAAAAATAGTAAGTTGAGAAATATAGTCTCTTAATTTTTAATAAATATAATTTTTATTTAATATCTTATTTTGATGAAATCTGCAGCTAGAATAATATTATTTTTATTTATATATCTTTATATTTCTTATATTTTTACTAGTCTTTAGATATTGCCTGTTTTATACTGTTAAAGAAGATATATAGTAGTTTAATTAAATAGTTAATTTACTAAAAAATCTATTATATTAATAAGATTAATTTCTTGAATATATTTTCTAAAGCCTGAGAATTTATCTTTAAAAAATTATTTATATAAAATATCTTTTCAGTTTCCAGCTTAGTATTTTTCCAGCTAGATAAGATACTTAGAAAACTGATATATAGTTTATAAGAGATTACTTCTACTAGAAATTAAACTATTATTTTTTTTATACTAAAAATACCTAAGAATACAAGGCAATTAAAGAAGTATAAAACTATAATTAAGAGATTACTATATAAATATATATAAAGTCCTCCAGAGTCAATAAACTATATTATTATATATTATTAAAAATTATAAAATTATGTTAAATAAAGTAGTTTTACTTAAACAGGAAAATTATAATTTACAGGCTGCAGACAAATACTAGACTAAAAAGAGAAAATAAAATAATTACTAATTAATAGACTTTAAAGAAACTACAGTTTATAAAGTTATACAGCTTTTTTACTGGACTCGTGAGAAAAATAAAGTTTTAGAAATCTAATAGTCTAATTCTGCAGCCGGTAAGGAATAGCCTTGCCAGTATGCGCCATCTCGCTGTTCTTTGTGTAATAAAGTTGGTTATATATAGATATAGTATCCAGCAAGAGTAAAATACCAAGAAGAGGCAATTTGAACGGTGTAAAAAGGTTGATATTTGACTTCAAATTTGTATATAAAGCAGAATTACGAGTTGGGCGTTCCACTCGCTTGCGCGTTCCGCTCGCTTACCGATTACGTTACGAGAAAGGATGAATAAAGGGTTGTGTGCCGAATTGCTGCTATCTTTGTTCATTTGCACTTGCCAAGAATTGTTTTGCCATTTTGCTGCGGGTAAAATTTAATCAGCTACTTTTCACTCCGTTGGTGTGTGTGACATTTGCCGATGCTCTGTATGCATAGCTACTGTTATGTTCGGTATAGTCAGCTATGCATCGTGGCATAATTTGGTAGGAGCGAGTGAAATGCAGCCAGCAATGTCTACTACATCCACGAATCTGACCCCGAGCCGAAATATGGTCTTGTTAATGGCTGTAATAATGCGTTTCTCAGTCAAGCGTATCAGTCTCTTCCTTCTTTCTTTCCCGAACACCACACCACCACATCAACCCCGGGCATTTCAGGTCAAGCACAAACACCAATTGGGCCACACTCCGAAAACAAGTCAGAAACTTGATTCGAGCCGACCGATGAGTATTATTTAAAATTGATGTAAAAGGGGCTTAGTGTAATATTGCTACAAACTATATCTGGTCTTTACTGGATCAACAGGCTTCGCGTAACATGATTAAGCTTAAATCTTCGAGTATCGGTCCTCGCTGGATACATGTCATCCATTGCCCTCTTGAAAATGCATACTTCGAGATCGTGTGAATCTAACAGTCCCAAACGTACTAACTGTTCCTTGTTGAAGGGACTCTCGATTCTGAGGGATGGTATCCGAGGATGAAAGAAATCCTTCAAGAGTAATCTGGTTGCCTGTGTGAGCTCCGCGAAGAGAAGCCCAAAAAACACTTCTCAGCGCATGCTGTGTTCGGATCCAGATCCCAGGCAAGCTGAGCTGTCATAAGGACGCTGTATTGCCTAAGATTAGTGGGCACTCATTCAGTCTTGTTGGCTTTTCCTTGGTTGCTGACTGCAGTATTGATCGATAAGATAAATAATATCAAACACCGTGCTCGATGTGTTCTCCGTCCGCTCATGATACAAACATCCACGTAAAATGGTCGGTACTTCGCAATACACAAGAACTGACATCCTTTTTCAGCTGAAGCAGCATACCACTGACATTGGCTCCCACTTGTATGCTGGGCTTATTGAATTGAATCGCTTTCGAGAATGGTGCCAAGATAGCTCCCCCGCAAAACCCCTGAGAGTTAATCTCAATGGCCCAAAATTAGGCATTACTAATAATTGGTAAGCATTGATGAAATGCCTCTCACGATTGTCTATCTAGAAAGACAAACGGATTAAGTCCAGAAGGGCAGAATGTGCTTTATTCTGGATTTCACGGTTGCCTGAAAACTAGGCGCCCACGATCCTGAAGGAGCTCGTTCACAACTATAAAGAACGGGAAGGGCCACGACCATCGATAATATATCGACAGATAAACAATATACCAAGTGCCGTGGGTTGCGGGAACGTACACCATCTAATCAATTCATCCCAACCAAATACTCGACATCATGGCCCTCATCAATATTTCCATCACTTCCGACCCTGTCTGTCCATGGGTAAGTTCGCATCTCGGATATGGTTTCAATATCTGGGTACTCCCCGCCCGCTGATATTCTCGCAAAGTGCTATATAGGCTACCGCCGCCTCACCAAGGCTATTCGCTTATACCAGAAGACCTACCCCGGTGGGGGTCGAGACACGGTGCGAGTGAGCTGGAAGCTATATATCCTAGACGCGAACGCGCCAACGGAAAGCATTCCGTACATGGGTGACTATTTCCCTCTGCTTCCGCAAGATCAGCTCGTCGTGTAGCTAGCTGACTATTTCTGGACAGAGCGAATGACCCAAAAGCTCGGCGCAGATAAAGTCGCCGGCACTCAAGCCCACCTCCAGCGACTGGGCCGTGCCGACGGAATTCACTTCCGATTTGGTGGCAGAATCGGGAGTACCATTCGGGCGCACCAAATGATTATGTTGAGCGAGTTGCAGGATCAGAAGAGCGGCGATGATACCCGTGCCGGTACGGCCGGGGTTGTCGAGGCGATCTTCCGGGCCCATTTTGAGGAAGAGCAAGATATCACTGATCCTGAGACGTTAATTCGGTTAGCTGTACAGGCGGGGAGTGGGCTGGAGGAAAGTCAGGTCCGCTCGTGGCTGGAAGAAGGGCAGGGGGTAGCGGAGATCCAGAGTGAGGCGCAGAGGGCGCGCGATGAGGGTATCCAAGGGGTACCGCACTTTCAAATTGGAGAGGGGAAGGGTATGCGAACTCTGAGTGGGGGGCAGGATGCGTCGGATTTCTTGCAGGCTCTGATTGCATATAAGGAGGGGTTGGGCGGTACTACTGAGGACAGTGCGTCGAGACAAGTCTCGATTGAGAATGCATGCTGATCCTGGAATAAAACGGGCGTTTAGCATGGGGGACTCTTCACACTTAGCGTGCTAGAAATATGTGTTAATCTTTCGAGACAGTATTGACGTGCACCTTCGACGAGAAACTTATAGTCTGCGAGTGCACTGTTTGTCGCACAAGGCCACAAAAATAGCAGCAAGCTCTATATCTTGCATCTTGGAAGAAATCTTTGTCGCACCACATTCAATGCTGGCATACCATCAGAGCCTCAATCTATATAGACCCGTGTCAAGCTGTACTTAGTAAAGTACACGCGTCGATTATGTTATCATTGCTAGATCGAGACTCTTGAACTCTTGGGCTTAAGCCCGACGGAAGGGTGAGAAGCCAAGTTTTCCATCAAGACCTTGAGTTTCTCTGGTGCTCCTCATGGCTTTGGGGTGGCTGATATTTTGCATCCACTAAGGGGAGGGTACTCATGCAGGCGACCGTATCCGGGGCGAGCAGTAATGCTCAATCACAGAAGGACTGGCATTATTCCAAGAATCATCCACTCCGATGATCTGACCGCAGTCATGGGGTTAGTCATGGACTAGAAGAATCACTTACCACCTGATTTTGATCCCTTGGGAGATGCACTGGCACATGAGAAGAGTTTAGATCGTGGCGTGTTGAGCTGCAGACGTTGTCATGATATGACAGAGATCTAGCGATGGTAACCAGAGGTTGTGTGTAGCCTCACTCAATTCATAAATGGCTTCGATAGGTTGAGCGGTTATGCCTGAGTTGTTTCTCAGTATCTTCTGGTTCGATACTGGAAGTAAAGCAAGCGAAGCTAAGCTCTAGGCACTCCACAGGCCAGCGTTTGTCTTGGCAGCCAAGCCGCGTGGCGAAATGGAGAAAAATGCTCCATACCGACTTTTGACTGCATTTCAGCCAATCAGAGCCGGTTCTGGCCCGTTTGAAGCGGTGATGCTGTGTTATGCCTAAGTGGTGAAGGTACAGTACGAAACTCAGTAGACATTGATGCCTACAATAGGATTGTTTCCCTTCCCCCCTAAAGTCCTCTCTGATTGGTGATTATAGATAGCATGAGAATAGAAAATAAAGGTCGATTCTCTCAGAGAGAGTTGATCCCTAGAATTACTGTTAGTGAATATTCCATACAACCTAACACAACTATGGAGGCAGATACCCAAACATCAGTAACACACACTAGGATATTCCACTCCCACCTTCCGCACTACTCCTCCTTCTTACTGATCCCTTTAACACATGTTTCGTTGTCGTCTAGAGAAAGTATCACACCACAACCCTTCCCCCTCCCCTCTCCAATATCCGTCCAGAGTAAAGGCGTCCACGCGATGCCACTCCTCAACCTGCCGCCGGAGCTCGTCCTGATGGTTGCAGCCCTGCTCGACCACAGGGCGGGCGTCAACTCGCTGGCCAAAGTCAACCGCAAGCTGTACAGCATCGTGAACCCGCACCTCTACCGACACAACGCGCGATTCCACAAGTCATCGGCCCTGGTGTGGGCCGCGCGACGGGGCATGAGCGGTACAGCATGCCACAGCATCCAGGCAGGGGCGGATGTCAACATCCAGGACCGGAAAGCCCTCACGCCGCTGTGCATCGCTGCCATGAAGGGTCGTGTCGACGTCGCTCGCCTCCTGCTGCAGACGCCGCAGATCGACGCCAACCGACCCAACGCCGACGGCAACACGCCCCTGATTCTCTCCATCACCTACCGCCATCTGAACGTGCTCCGCGTCCTTCTCGACTCGCCTCGCGTCGACGTCAACGCGGGCCATCTCCTCACGCCCTTCCTCCATGCCGCCTTCATGAATAATGTCAAGGCCGTGAAGCTTTTGCTCGAGAAGGACGGGGTGAATGTGAACGCACAGGACCCATCGGGAAATACGGCCATCCGGTACGCAGCGGCCTTCGGGTACCACAGGTTGCTCAAGCTTCTGATTGAGGATGGCCGCGTGGAGATCGATGCAAAAGGAGGGGAGAATGGGCAGACACCGCTTTCCCGCGCAGCGTCGACCCTCTTCGATGCTACGGTTAGGCTGTTGCTCAACACTGGGAAGGTGAATGTCAATTCGAGGGATAACAAGGGACGGACTCCTCTGTCGTGGGCGGCGGAAACAGGGGCTGATACAGCCGTGGAGTTGTTGCTCAAGCAGGGTGGTATCGAGGTTGATGTTCGAGACAAGGAGGGCTGCACGCCGCTGTCCTTGGCCTCGAAGAACGGTCATGAGCAGGTGGTTCGGCTGTTGCTCGAGACTGGAAAGGTCGATATTGACTCCGTGAACCACAACGGCTGGAGCCCCTTGTTTCAGGCAGTGGTACACGGACATGAAGGCGTCAAGAATCTGCTCCTCGAAGCTGGTCAGAGGTGATGTTGGGTGTGTAACTTGATGGCTTGGCGGAAAGAAACTCTGTACAGTACATAACACACATAACATCGCGAAGCATAGAATGAATGAGTACTCCCATTTTTTCTAGGGCGAGGTTTCTTGGCTCACAGCGAGAAAAAGGAAACAAGGGAAGCTGTTAAGAGAAAGGTCTTTCAGGCCCGACAGACATAATCTATTTGCAGGGTAGGAAACTGCAAGGCATAATGCATATACCAAGTACAGTACATTAAACTTACAACCATCTACTCTCTTAAACTAACCCACGTGCCATTATTGGACGACAGCGTCATTGTCAAATTCTCCTGCCAAGGTCTACAATCACGACGTTCGAGCACCGAGAACTTCTGCGCAAGACAGACGGTCACATACCCAGCCTCAGTCAAAGCAAAGTGCTGACCCAAACAGATCCTTTGCCCTCCACCGAAAGGGAGGTATGCTCACGATTCAGGCCGCAAGTCCTCCCACCTCTCGGGCCGAAAGCCAAGGGCATCTGTGCCAAAGATCTCCCCACGCCGATGCATCGCGTAGATATCGCCGATGGCCATCGTGCCCTTGATCACAAGCACGGGGTCGAGCCCCCGGAGCCCACCACCCACCGGCAACACGGTATCGCGGTTGGCGAAGCGTGTAATTATCGGCATAGGAGGATGCAGCCGCAACGACTCGTGCAGACAGTAGCGCAGGTACTTCATCTACTTCAGCTCGTCGTAAGTGGGCGGGCGACCGGCCAGGAAGGCGATCTCCTCGCGCAGCTTGCGCCACGTCTCGGGGTGGCGCTCGAGCATGAAGAACAAGTTACTCGTTAAACTTGCGGTCGTGTCGCGGACGGCGAGTAGGATGTGTAGTAGCTCGTCGCACAGACGCGTGCGGTCCGTCGTCTGCTCGATGATCGTCTCCTGGTACAACGACACCGGCCGGTCGCGTTCTGCGAGTATCTCGTTGTCCTCCTCGACCTTCCCTAACGCATCGTCAATCACCTCGCCGACGAACCGATGGCAGGCCCGGATGCTCTCTTTGGCTCTGGCGTCTCGGTGGAAGACTCGCAGGATGCCCAGGCGCATGCGGGTCTGCATGGCGGCCTGAGCGTGGTTGAACGCGCCGGCGACATGCGCGTCTTCCCCGTGTTCGGCGCCCGGAGACTGGAGTTTGCGGAGGGTGTGGATGCAGCGCCCGGACAGGTACTCGGTGGCCGAGTCGATCGAGTAGCAGAAGAACAGCTTCTGGAGGTCGACGGGGCGACCGTCGGTGGGGATCAGAGCCAGCAGATCGTCCATCAGTGAGTCAAATATCGACAGATCGGGGATCTGTGTCTTGGCGAAAGTGGGTCGCAGCAGTGCGCGTGTGTGCGACCAGCTCCCTCCGTCCGTCGTCAAAATTCCCTGTCCCAGAAGGGGGCCTGTGGGTTCGTGCTGTAGCCGTGGAAGTTCGTCGCCAGGATTGCTTTGATGTTGCGTGGCTCGCGGGTCATCACGATCGGGGTGAGCAGTTGGCGCTGTTGGTGCGTGTGGCCATATCGCGCGAATCGCTGTTCGTTTTGGACCAGAAAAGTGCGGGATCTAGCTGCGCGCTGGGTCCATAACAGGTGATCGAGACCGAGCAGAGGATCTCTGGTGGGTAGATGAAATGGAGGCTGACATTGATGCTGCCTGGCGAGCCAGTATCGTTGCCACTTGCGGTGGAGAATGTGGATGGTAATCAGAATGAGAAGGACAATCATTAGAGATTTAGCCCCGAAGAGAGACCCCATGGTTGAATGGAAACGGTTATTGGCGAACCGCCGAGGGATTCCTGCAACGATAAGACGATTAGGGCTTCACCAGTGGCCGGGAGAAGCGTTGAGCTGATGGCTTCGTCGCGTTCCCCGCTGTGGCTCAGAAATAGGGGTGATAGCTGATAATTTTGAGCATGACATGTGCATGGCTCTCGGTGGACAGTTGCATAAATAATAGTATGCAAGCCAACACCACTCGAGGTGATGTTTGTTAAATAGACATGGTGGACACCATTGTTCCTGTCTATCCTGGCAATGATATGTCCATCTACTGCTGAGCAGCTGCCGGAGATACTAGTAAATTGGGTGCACGACTTCGCATAAATGTCTGTATGCAACCCTTGAGATTATATCAACGCGATCCTGCCATTGACGCTCTAGAGTTGGGGGAAGCTAGAATATCAGAATTCCTGAGGACTTTCGGCCGGGCTACAAATTCACCCTCAGCGTATATGACATACATCCCCGCCCATTGATGGCATCCGAGATCCTTTAGTTTGACATTCATCCTGCAATAGATTGAATGATTGCCAATGCTCACCCCACAATACTCGACCAATTTTCCCTCCTTATCCAATCTTCCAGGCTACTCATCGGACAATCAATTCCTGCCTAAGCACGAGTTAGCCACAATCATATCCAACATCCACAGACAACACTCACCCGTCTAATATCCTCGGCCTTCAACAAACTCTTATCACCTCCATCATACCCCGGATCACTAGAATAAGAGAACATATCTCCGACCTCACGCCCAAACTCCGGATCCGGCGCTCGTTCAACGAGCTCCTCGAGCGTGATCTGCCGATACCGCGCCGCGACGGAGTTCACCTCGCCCCAGATCCTCATATACTCGGTCCAGCTACAACTCGACCCACACGCCATATAACTCCGTCCGGGAGGCATCTGCGCAACCGCATGAACAAAGCCACCCAAATCACCCTGCACATCGAGATGAGGCACCGCCGCGTCCGGCGCCGTCGTAAACGTCATCTCGAAGCAATCCTCTCCTGCGTCCGTTTTCGCCTACCACACATCAGCCAATCCATTTCCGACTACTTCACGGACAAACCCCGACCTACCTTCCCAAAATAGGCCCCCGGGACAAGCCGATAACTGGACGTGAAATACCCGGTCTGTACACAGGACATCTTCCGCGCAAGCGCAGGATACTTTCTCTCCACATAAACAGGAAACACCTCTGCCTTCGCATCGAAATGATACAACTCCTCAAACCGCCCACCACTGCACTTCCGCGCGTGACTTAGCGTGGAGACAATTAACCCATTCTCATCCAGCGAGTCGACTGTCTGCGCGGCCGCGTCGGCGATGTTCTTGCCTTGTTGCAGCTCGACGCGGTAGGCGTGCTCGCGGCATGAGATGCCTGCGTCGGCGGCCTGTTGACGCCCCTCGGCGCTGGGGAACGGCTCCCAGTAGTTGGTGACGCTGAAGATGAGGTTCGCGCCGCGTAGGGCTGGGGTCAGCGTGGTGGGGTCGTTGAGGTCTGCGGTTATGAGCTCGACGCCTTGTGCGGAGAGGGTCTGCGCTGCTGGGGAGCGTGGGTTGCGGGTCAGGCCCCGGACGTGGTAGGTTGGGTCCCCCAAAAACCGTTGGGCGACAGAGTTGCCTTGGTTACCTGTTATGCCGATTATGCAGATTGTTTTTTTGGTGGGTGCCATTTCTTTTTTTGTATGGTATGGGGAGAGGGGGGGAAGGTTGGTTGTTTGCTGGGTTGGAGAGTTGGAGAGTTGGAGAGTAGTTTTGACCCCGCTTTTGCTACGGAAAGTTAGTGGTGGGGTTGCAGTCATACGATTGTGATTGAGCTGTAATCTTGATATGAAGACTATACAACCGATATAGACGATATTATGTACCAGAAGTATCTACGAGCATTTTGAATACTATACTTAGTGATAGTTATGGCTAATGGCAACGGTCGAGAATCAGGTGCCAACAATAATTTACAGTGTTTCTAAGTTTCTATCTAGAAACACGGTTGTCCAAACCTTCTGTCTGCGAATCTCACGTAAGATGATGCACGATGAACAGGAACTAAAATCCTGCTACCTATGCGCGTATTTGCTAAGCACTAGGTACGAGCTGATTACTGCTTTCGATCTAGCCCAGAGCTATGCTATTGCTGATGTCTAGCCTCCTTCCGCGATAAAGCGTTACTTGTTCCTTCAACGACCAACAAACAACTGTAAGAATACCACCACACTCTAAGTACACAATTCCCAAAAGATGAATGCACAATCCTCAATCAACCCTTTCTGGGGACCCCCAAGCTCCCACTCAAAGTAAGTCCGACCAACCCACACCATCAACTGACGCCTTTTCACATCAAACGCAATCGTTCAGTTTCTGCGAAGAGGTATGTACTGTACCCCCATCCACACCCCATCACCAACCCATCCGCTCACCTAATGAACCTAATCCAGGACTACATGATAACCCGCTACACCGCGGAATTTATCAACACATTAACAAATCTCATCTACGGTACCTACTCTTTTCACCCACCCACCCACCCACTCTGTAAGCAAGACAACCAACACGACGCAGTCCTCTACGCAATCCACGGCCTCGTCCACCTCCCGCGCAACCCTTCTCCGAGTCTCTCGCGCCGGATCCCATACTACGGCCTCATCGGCGTAGGCATCTGCTCCGCCGGCTTCCACATGAGTCTTAAGTATCATACACAGATGAGTTCGTGCTCCTTCTACCTTTGTCTTCTTTTAATAACACGCGGAGACTACAATGCTAATCGTCCCCTCCCATTACTGGGAAACTGGGGAAAGAACAGTGGATGACCTCTCGATGCTCCTAACCACGACCCCGCTGCTCCACCGCGTGCTGACGGTTAACGCCGACCCCCGGGGTTCGAGTCTCGTGGCCATGGCTCTGGGGTCAGCGCTTGTGGCGCTCGCGGCTGTACACGTCGCAACAGACGAATTAATCCTTCATGCGGTGAGCTTTGTGGTGAGTGTGACTGTGATCGGGGTCCGGACGATGCAGTTGCTCGCGCGGCGGACAGTTGTGGGGTCAGCGGAGCGGAGGGCGCTCTGGCGGATGGTGGTGTTTGGGGCTCGTGAGTTACCTTCTTTCTCCCGGCTAGATTTAATAGGATATTTGGTTACTGACTGGGCTGGAAGTGATATTCAATGTCGGGTATGCTGTTTGGCTGGTGGATGGGTGGGTATGTGAGTGGTTGCGCGGGTGGCGGGCGCTTGTCGGGTTGCCCTGGGCGTTTCTGCTGGAGTTGCATGGGTGGTAAGTTGTCCTTTGTCAGTATATCTTGTGGTAAGCAGTGTGCTGGGGGCTTTGACTGATTGTTTGCGTGTTGTAGGTGGCATATCTTCACGGGGGTGGGCGCTTATACCTTCATTGCGGTGATTGATCATCTTGTGTCGGGGGGAGCATACGAGGACTTCGGTGAGTCGGTGGCATGGCCGCTAAGTCTGATGGTTAGGCCTGGGCCAGAAGAGAAAACTGGAGGTGAGATGTGAGTCTTCGACTCACTGTTGATGTTTGTTATACACCGATCTATTGGGGATGATAGTGAGCCCTCCACATTCCAGCCCCACATGCGCCCACATGGCTCCCCCACATCTCCTCCACATGCACAATTTGTACACAATCCAGCTTCATCTTCTCTGTCAATCCTGTTTGGATGACACTTGCCTAGAAATTGTGAGGCAATGGGTAACGCGGGGCCCCAGGATGAGCCCCAAGGTATAGAAATTCTGGAAATAGGTACCATAACCCTGAATATCAAGTGCCAATCACCAAACAAACCTTCTGGATAAGATACAGGATAGACATTGATCGGGACCGTCGGCAAAGGGCAGTCCCGCCCCAGTCCAACGATGTAATGCGGGGCCAAACCTACCAGGGATTCCCCTCCCTCCTTTTTCTTTACTTCTTATTTCCTCCCTCTCTGCTGCTTCCATCTTCCCCCTCGCAGTTCCTTTCACATAGTGCGACTCGATACACTGAATCACCATGTCTTTCCAGCTGCACAGTGCCCCGCCTTTCCGGGCTGAACACATGGGCTCCTTGCTCCGGCCCCAGAATCTACTGGAGGTGCGCGAGAAGATCCGTGACACCGGTATCTCCGAAGAGGAGGCCGGGCTGCACGCGGTCGAGCAGCAGACCGTCCGGGATGTGGTCCAGCTGCAGCGTGATCTGGGCTACAAGGCCGTCACCTCGGGCGAGTTCAACCGGACCCGATTCTGGGGGCAGATGTGGGATGAGTTTGAGGGTAGGAACCCCTCCATTCTATCGCAACGGGACAATCGCTAAGAGTTCTTCGCAGGAACCGTCCGTCTGCAGGATGCAGAGGCCTCGATGTTCCGCCTGTACCACCCTGACGTGGTCAGCTTGATCGAGAAGGACAGGAAGGTGATGCCAGGGGACTCGGTCATCGCCGGCGGCAAGCTGTCGTGGAGCGCGGCCAAATCCGTGTCCAACCTGCACGAACTGAAGCTGGTACAGCAGGCGCTCCCGGAAAGCGAATGGGGCAACATCAAGCTGACCATGATCACGCCCGCCTGGTTCCACATGCGCTACAAGCAGGGCAAGGCCTACAGCCCGGAGGCGTACGCCAACGACGCGGAGTACTTCCACGACGTCGCCAAAGTGTACCAGGCCGAGCTGAACGCCTTGTACCAGGCTGGCCTGCGCAACGTCCAGTTCGACGATCCCGGTATGGCGTACTTCTGCTCCACAGCCTTCCGCCAGGGCTGGGCTGAGGACAAGGACAACGTCGGCTCCGTCGAGGACCTTCTTGATGCGTACATCCAGCTGTACAATGACTGTCTCAATGGGCTGCCCGAGGACTTCCACACCGGCATCCACCTGTGCCGTGGGAACTTCATCGGAGGACGCCACTTCGCCGAGGGCTCCTATGACATTATCGCCAAGAAGCTGTTCGAGGACCTCAACGTCCACACCTTCTACCTCGAGTATGACACTGAGCGCGCGGGCGGCTTCGAGCCCCTCAAGTTCCTGCCCAAGAACAAGAACGTCGTCGTCGGCATTATCAGCACCAAGCTCCGTGAGCTCGAGGACAAGGACGCCATGAAGGAGCGCGTGTACAGGGCCGCCGAGTACGTCAGTGCCGGCAGTGGCGAATCCCGAGAGGAGGCCCTCAAGAGGATCTGCGTCAGCCCCCAGTGTGGCTTCAGCACCCACGAGAGCGGTTATCCTCTGAGCCTGGATGATCAGAAGAAAAAGCTAGGCTTAGTCCGCCAGATCGCCGACGAGATCTGGGGTCAGCCGTGAGCATGTGATCGCGGGTGAAGCAGCAGGAGTTGTGGTATTTTCTGGACATTTCAACAGCGACGGAAATCTTTGACGATGTGACATGACATATGTATTCAACAAACGTAACGACGAGGGCTTCGGGCAGTATGTATATATTAGGATAAGGGGAGCGCCGAGCCGACCTTGAATGATAAAATAATCGACAACATGTTTGAGTGACTTGTTGGTGTAGAGAACTTTCAATCAATGTTTTTCGCTGACTCCTGCTTTCGTCACTGAAGGTTCGATGCTGATGGCTGTAGGGATCGAGAAATAGGATTTGTTGCCCCCATGACAGATTCTGCGGAGCTGTGGGTATTGTGATCGTTTGCAATATTGATTGGTTCGCTTGCAGCGTGCACGTAACTCATAAGACAATCCTAACATCCTGGATTGCGTGTGAGGTAAGATCGAAGTCAGAAAGCATGATGGGACCCTCGGGCTAACAACAAAAGGCTGAAACTCCGAAGCAGGCCATGAATCCCAGGAGCAAGCACATCACATGCGGTTATCACCTCAGTCTCTCATGGTATACATGTGTCCGTTGCGAAGTCAGGTATGACATCAGGCCAACTATTCGAAATCCAAGGCTCGTGTTGGTGTCATTGGCGTGTTAACTGGAGTCTGGAATAGACGTCGTTGGGGGGACGCCGTGGATACACAGGTGCAATTGGGTTATGCGCTCGAAATGACAGGAACAAGAACGAGTATCAGCTAAGGGATTGTGGTCAAACCCTGCCGCTGGACAAGAGACGGGAGCCAGCTTGGACTCAGCATCAGATAGTAAGCCAAGCAATTCAGACAGTGGAACGGCCGGTGTCGGACTAAAATCGCGGCTCGAACAGCTGGTGCTCGCCCCTGAAGCCATCCCTAGTCTGGCACATAGCGAGCGTCAACTGCGAGAAACACCACCAAGCCGTCCGTCGATGTTCATTTGTCAATCAACCACTTCATTGACGAGTATGTCAGCGGACGGGACAAAAGTGACTTTGGCCACAGGGCCAGAAGCCAAGATCTGCGATTTAGTCGAAACGATCATACTTCTCGATTTGGTCTGTGCTTAGCTTTATTTTTGTGTCGTGGTGCGTTCCCCGCGGCATTCTCATATTGCAAGGAGTGTTTCTTGGGTTTTATGGGGAAGGCCCAGCGTTGAGGTATTCGACAGTGTCTTCTGAATTGTGCAATGCTGCCATAATCTGATGCTGCCTCCCAAACTGCCATGCATGCGCTGGTGCTTGAGGGAAATAAGGTGAAACATCCCGATCCAAGCCTGAGGCCGCGTGGACATGAGCCAATAAGCGGGCACGGTCCACAAGATCAGCAAAAGGGCCACGCCAGCGTCTCCAGCCGAATATCAAATCATGTGTCATACTTCAGCCCCAGTCACTTAAGATGGGTGGCCTTTTCCTAATCCTTCTGTTCTCCCGAATATGTCCCGTCCCGTACAGGGAGGACAGGAATATAGGGTCGGCTTGGCAGCTGCAGATACGCGCCAACTGGGTGGAAGGGCCTTTTGTTGGCAGCTGTATGAAGCTCAGACGTGCTCTGGCTCATGCTTCAGGCTTCAAAGCACCAAATCAATTAGGGGTTGCCAAGGACTCAGGAAGTCATCTCGCCCGCGTCAGCGTCCGGCTGCAGTGGCTCCTGCCATCTGTCATTCTGCGACGCAAGCTTCCCCTGTCTACTTCTACCCGATGTCATTGCATCACATCTTTGCTGTCGATCCAGCTCGTTTGGCCATACCATTATCAAACGTCAATGGCTCGTAGGATCGATCCTTGCTGGAAATAGTATCGTAGGGCCCTACGCGTACAAGCTCTAGGTCTGGCCCGCTCAACAAGCGTCAGGTCGCAAGAGGGTGGGACCTCTATAGAACTAGATTGAGCCAAATGCAAGACGCTGCAAGCTTGCCGCTGAGGTGATGAATATCAGATCCAGTCGTGTGTCGAGGACAGTAAGTTGATCCACCCACTCGGAACAGCCACAACCGCCGTGGTCTGCACTCGTTCGCTCCTGGAATGTGCACTGCATGGTGGTGGTCATTAAATAGAGATTATCAAGCCAGTTTGATCTCATCCACCGCCGATCTAAGATTACGAAACAGTGCTCGCGACTCAAGCCGTCCGAAGAATGTCCGTCTCAAGTCACTCAGCGACAATTGGAGCATTTCTTTTGATGCGTTTCTGCTTGTGCTTGTGCTTGTGATTGTGATTGTGCTTTGACCAGTCTGCCAGTAGGTTAATGTCTTCGGAAGAAAGCAAGCCACCAGATAGAAAGCGAAGGTGGAAGGCAAAAGATGAAACGGCGGATGTCCCGTGACAACGCGTCTTTTCAGCCATCATCACGTCAACTTTCCGCCTCATCTCCAACTTCTCAGTTCTGCATCGCACGGCATAACGGCCTCTCCACCTTTTGCTGAGGGTTTAAACTTTCTTCTACCTCAGCCCTGCCCCTAGACTCGCCCGCACTGACCCAGTCCTAGCAGTATGCTTCATCATTATTAGTCAGTTCGACATCAAGCGCCAGTCTAGGTCGATCCACCTTCGGGGTCTTTGTGTCCAGAATAGCCTGATGATATATTGCGAACAGTCAACGTCTCAGGGCCCTGCCAGTCGAAGTCGGGGGCTGACTGATATGACGAGTGTAGAGATCAACATGACTCCTCAGCATGCAGAGGCCAATCTATAAGATGTCCCTCGGATTTCCAGTCGGCTCTGTTCAGAAATCAAGCAGCTCAGTTGATCTGAACGCCATTTACCATTCCTTTCAGTCTACCTGACACACTCCTTTTACTTTTTTACTTTTAACTGACATTCACTTTGCTTTTCGTCCTTATACAGACCGACCGACGACATGAAGCTCTCCACATTTGCCATCGCCAGCATTCTCGGCTACGCAGCCGCCCTGCCCGTCTTTGAAGAGCAGGCCCCTACACAGGATGATGTCCAACCCACCGGTACTCCTGCTTTCCAGGACCCCCCTCCGTCAGGCTCTGCTGGACCTGCTCCCTCTGGTGGCCCTGGTGGCTTCGGTGGACAGGGTGGTCCTGGCAATGCTCCCGCTGGCGACCAGGTATTCCCCTCTGTGACTGTCTCCGGTGCTGCCCCGACTGCTGCTCCCTCTGGAGGCTTCGGTGGCTTCGGCGGCTTTGGCGGCTTCGGTGGTGCCTCACCTTCTGGCTTCCCCGGAGGTGCCTCTCTCTCTGCCGCTTTCCCCTCCGGCTTCCCTGGCGGTGCTTCTCCCTCTGGCTTCCCAGGTGGTGCTGCTCCCTCGGGCTCCCCTAAGCAGGGTCATTCCGCCCACGGCCACCACGGCGGCCACGAGGAGGGCAACTCTTCCTCAGACAACACTTCCTCTGGGTCTGAGCAGACCTTCGAGCGCCGCCAGTTCGAGCAGAGCCAGGGCTCTTCCTCAGAAGGATCTTCCAACCAGGGCGGATTCTCCCACGACTTCGGCAGCGGCTTTTCCGAGGGACCCTCGCCCTCTGGCACTGTTGGCGGTTCTTTTCCTTCTGGCTCCATCGGTGGCCAGAGTGCCTCCCCTTCCGGCTTCGCTAGCGGCGGCTCTTCTGGCTTGGGTGGTCAGGGTGCTTTTCCTTCCGGCTCCTTCGGTGGTCAAGGTCCCTCGCCTTCTGGCTCCTTTGGTGGCCAGGGACCGTCTCCTTCTGGTTCTGGCGCTGCTCCCTCGGGCGGTCCCTCGGGCGCCTTCCCCACCGGTGCTCCCGGCTCTTTCTAAGCAATCCTTGCAGAGATTTGTGCTTCAAGCTAGAATACATTCCTTCAAGTGATACTGTTCGGCGGTTTGGCTGTTTTGAGGCTGTCTTTCTTTGTTACGGGTCAAGTCAGAACGGTAGAAGATATCAGACTACAGCCCTGGTTCCGAACATGCAATTAAAAGGCGAATATGTATAACAAATAGTAGCTTGAATCAAACTATTCTGTCTTTCTACCAATTGCTCTGGTGCTTAGTTCGTTCAGTATGCAATCTGTACACATCACAAGCTTAGTAGCCGGTTTGTTCGAGCTCTTACTCTCGTCCTCCGCTGATGCACAGGTGCAACTCAAACTTAACCCGTTTCCCAAGTCATTCAAAAGGACTCCTAGCAGACCCCAATTCAAGCACTAACTCTTCGGAACAACCCCTTCCCTCTCTACACCCTCCCCCGAAGACCCTCCCGCATCCAAATCCAAATCCCCATTCGTAACAACGGACCCCGCCCCACCTCCGATATCCCCGACACCCTTCCCCGCACCCTTCAACCTACATAAAATCCAGCACCCAACTCCTAACCCCAACGAACAGCCAAGATAGGAAGCAAACAACTCACGATCTTCCCTCTTCTTCCAACCGGTGCAACCACATCGTCCCCACCGTCGCGACAATCAGGACCCCGGAAATGATCGTAGCCGCCACGAACCCGCTCCGATACCGCGGCGCATCGACCTGCTACCACACGACCAGCGGCAGCCACGCTTGGAAGACGTAGGCCATTTCGTTCATTCTCCCGACTACTAGCGCGCGTTCCTCGTTGTCGGATGTGCAGATTCCGTGGGCCCATCTTTCGGCATCATTATCAGTGTTAGCAGTTGATCGTGAAAGTAAAGGGGATGGAAGGGATGGGGAGGGGACGGCACGGAGGGAAAAGGTCAAGCTGTGAGGGTGGAAGATGATGCTGGGGAACGTACGCCATGCATAACCCGCTCAACCCAAACCCGGCGCCGGAGAGGAGGTAGCAGGTCCATTTCCATCCTACCGGGATGTTCCAGATTGCGAGGGAGGTGTAGCAGGTTATGTTTATGCACTTTCGTGGTTGGTTAGTCGGAGCTGGGCTGAGAGTGAAGATAGGAGGGAGGGAAGGAGGGAGGGACGTGCGCCGGTGCTCTGCATACCTTTTGTCAGTTTCAAGATGCATCTTGCTCTCCTCCCCTCGCTCGGAACGATATCGGAGGTGACACAACAGCCCAGACCTGAATCATCATTATTCACCCCACTTACGCCATCCATGCATGAGGGGTAAGCCTGTAAGATCGATGGATTAGTGGAGATAAGAGAATAGTACTTCTAATGATGCTGCGGCGGAAATTGGTGAATGAGGGGCTGTCATCGCACGGCGAAGCTCGTCATCGACATTGCAGATGATGTGCCTCGGCCAAGGGTTGGCATTGCTTTAGACCCAAGCTGGCTCTACATTCTCGACTTTATTCTCTGGTCCAATCCGCGTCTAAGTTCAAATCCAGTTCTGTAATCTATCCAACATCTAAGTCTGTGCTCAATGGCATGAAACCCACTGCTCGCCAACGCCACTATCTCGCCTCGAACTACTACCCCCAATTAACCCCTTGACTCGCTCTCGCTGGATCGCCTTGGCCGCATGCCAGGTCTCGCTGTGCCCATCTATCGTAGGTAACCCACGCCGTTCTCTGTACCGATTGATCCAATCCATCAGATTATCAACGTACGCCTCCTCAGCGTCCTTGAGCGAGTGAAAGGTCTTGCCGCTGCCCTTCGTCTCGATCTTCTCGGCATATTCCCTTTTCATCTCATCCTCAGATGGAACCTCCGCAATCCCAGCGAACACGTTCGCAACGACTATTGCCTGGAACTCAAACAGCGTGAACGTCGCAGTGTAGTAAGGCACCCCCACGAAAGCGAGAGTGGGGTCGGGAATGTAGAAGATATCCTTGTGCAGGTTGTGCACTTGCGTTCCGTCGGTGACGAGAACCGTCTCATCGGCCTTGTCTGCGGGCGTTGCGTCATCGTGAAACTCTGACAAGAATGGCAAGGTGATATGATATCCGGTGCAGATGATCACATCATCGATCTCGCAGAGCTTCTGCCCGGACTTGAGATGAATAGTCAACGGGAGTGCTTGGTTATCGGATAAGGTACTATCTTTGCTGGTGATCTCGAAGCTATCCACCTCGCCGATGCGTATGCCGTTCTCAGGCAGGACGCTGGACGGCAAATCAAATAGACCGTTTCGGGTGCTTTGGCAGACCCTTTTAGCGACCGGACCGATCTCTTTTGCAACATCGGTGGATGATACTCCTCCGCCGATGAGTAGGACATTCTGTTCGAATGGTTATTGCTGCTCATGCTATCTTCACCGACGACCGATGCGTACCTTGTCCTTGTATACGTCAGGCCTCCTATAGCCTTTTGAGTGGATAACCCGCGTTGGCCATCTGGTCTTCGTCTCCGGCAACCCCGGGATATCCGGCACGCGAGGCGCATGATAGTGCCCAGAAGCAACGATGACCGCATCGAATGCCTACAGTTGCACATCAATACCTGAAGACTGGGTGTCCTGCAAAATAAACTTACCGCCGTCTGTTCCTTTTCCTTCAAGGACCCTGAATCTTCATCTTTCTGAAGTGTCGACCAGGTCACATGCCACTTATGCCCATCCTTCGAGACCCTGGTAACCCGCGTACCATAGATAGTGACGCCATCAGCTCCAGCCCTTCTAGACGTGTCCTGGATATACGCCTTCATGACCGTATGGCTTACGAACTCAGGTGTTCCCTCAGGCCAGGCATTGAGCTTCACCCGCATCAACGTCGTCTCAACATTGTTCTTGAGGCCGACGTAGCAAGGCCTGTCATCATGAGCTTGCTGAATCTATAGCAACAACAAAGTCGTGATACTCACCCAGGCGGGGCATGCTCCAATGACAGCACGCTCTCATCAGGTCGCTCACACTCCCGGTGTCTCTCAGATATGGAAGGCTTCATCGCCGGATAGAGTGGTTCAAGTGGCTTACGTTCATCGTAGAGCCTAAGACTTCTGTCAGCGTGGCTGTGCGCTGGCTGGAGATGGTCCCCACATACCACACACCCCCCGCGGCATGATTCCGTTCGAAGACCGTGACATGAATACCCGCAGCCAGAAGATGGCCAGCAGACGTGACGCCGCTGATGCCGGCCCCGATGACCGCGACGTGTTGGATCTGGCGAGTCATGTTACTTTGCTACTTTTTGTGTTGTCGAGAGCAAAGTAACCCAAGCTGCGTAAAAGTCACCATATTGTTCGAGCTTCGTTCCGGCCTCGATGCGATTAAAAGCGAGAGGTTCGTGGGCCCATATCGCTAACGCTATGTCAGGCGCATAAGGTGTAATAGTTTCCACTTTACTGGACCCAAGTGTAATCAATCATACCGAGGCCGATTATCGCTCACAGAACCCGTTCTACACGATGGTGAGAACCGGGGCCAACGATATGATCAATGTTTAGTGTATTACAAATGCAATCGAGATGAGGCCATCGTACCCCTGCATGGTGATATCTGAGCTCGGTCCTGGGTGGATGAGGATGGGTCGGCAAGACAGAGATAAGGAAGGCTCGCAATGAGGGGAAGGGGATCAAAAGAGGGGTTTCTGAGCACAAGCTTCGAGAGTTACTTGCTCATAGGACGAGGGGGGTGCAAAGACGCAATGCCGTGCAACGATGATGTGATTATACTCCGGATATCGCATGGTCGATAGTGGATGGAGGGGCTACCAACTCCTTGAGTTAAATACTGAAAGCAAAGAGCAGTAGCCGTTGCTAGACTAGATGTTTAGTTCCAAGACACAAATTCGCGTTGAGTAACAGGTATTTGTATACACGATGGCTCCAGCTCCAATTGACCCCCGGATCGTCGATGTGGCAGAACCGCCGAAGCAAACCCTTCCGCTTCCACCGGCAACCCAGGAGCGCCTCGAGAAAGCAGGGATCGATCTCTCCCAAGGATACCCTTATCGGCCATCTCGTCCCTTGTACTTGGACGACGTTTACAGCATCCGCGACTACGACCGGCCACATGTGGACCCGGGTACTCGCGCGGACCCCGAGAAGAAAGCGCTACTCTCCGCGGCCAAAGAAGTCATCCACTTGACAAGGCACATCGGAACGGAGATAGTGGGACTGCAACTGAAAGACTTGACTGGCCAGCAGAAGGATGAATTGGGCCTTCTCATTGCGGAACGCAGTGTGGTCTTTTTCCGAGATCAAGACATTTCTCCACAGCAACAGAAGGAACTTGGAGAATGGTTCGGCGAGATTGAGGTCCATGTAAGCATCCAGCGTCTATAGCCACAGAGTGACAGCTGATGTTCTTGCGTGTTATAAGCCCCAAGTGCCGCAGGTCCCTGGCGTCCCAGGCGTGACAGTGATCTGGCCTGCCCTTCAAGCGACCGAGCGACCGGCGAATTTCCGCAATCCAGGAGGTGCATCGCGATGGCACACCGACCTCGTGCACGAGCGTCAGCCCGCAGGAGTGACCCATCTGCACAACGACACTATCCCCAGCATCGGTGGGGACACCCTGTGGGCCAGTGGCTATGCGGCGTATGAAAAGCTATCGCCCGCTTTCCGAAAGATCATTGATGGTAGAACCGCCATCTATCGATCCGCACATCCTTATCTGGATCGCAAACACCCGGAACAAGGCCCAAGATATGTTGAGCGCGAGCACCCATTGGTCCGTGTTCATCCTGCGACAGGCTGGAAAGCGCTGTGGGTGAACCGAGCCATGACCGACCGCATTGTCGGCCTCGATAAAGCTGAGAGCGACCTCATTTTGAGCTACCTGTGTGATGTGTATGAGAAGAACATTGATATCCAGGTTCGGTTTAAGTGGAGCCCACGAACAAGTGTTCTGTGGGATAACCGGTCAGTAGCCCTGCGTATGATACGATTGAGATTTGAGCTAACAGGTGGTAGAATCACCATTCACAACGCCAGTTGGGATTACGAAGGCTCCGAGCCCAGACATGGTACTAGAGTCACGTCACTTGCCGAGAAGCCGTTCTTTGACCCGAAGGCGCCGACCCGTAGGGAGAGTTTGGGCTTGCTGGACGATGCTGAGAAGGAAGAGCTGGCGAAAGCCAAAAATTGAACGGGTTCAAGAGATGGTTGTAAGACAAAGCAGGGTCTTCCGCTATAACAGATTGTATTCCACAAATCTCCTTTAGGTATGATCATTTCCGTTCCAAAATATATATCCAATGGAAAACATCCGGGGTATGTGCAAAGGACGAGGTCTCGCCTTTCGGGGCCTTTAAAGGTGTTCGAGATACTATGGTCCAGTACTCTGCCATATAAGGCAAATTGTCGAAGCGCATGGCGGAGTAGGATAAGGTGGCCCAGATGGCGCCTTTCTGCGTCAACGGTGCCAGATGCAAAGCCAAAACTTCCACTGGCGACAGTGTTACTTCTCCATTTTCCTCCGCAATCTTCTGTATAGTGGGACATATGCTCGATGCTTCGCAGGCGGACGAGAATGTCAAGGGTGCCGCGGTCGCGATCGCATCACTGGTGCTCTTGTCCAGTACCACATCGAAGGGGCCGTACGGGGAGGTCTTGGCGACGTCATCCCAGGACCGAAGATCCACCTGCAGCCAGTGCATCGCGTGAGACTTAATCTTTGTGTTTTCGGTTTCGCGACCGATGCGAACGGCCTCGGAGGAGAAATCGACATTCTATCGAGACAGCAACCTTGTGTCAGTGGAAAGTTTCGGACAGCTTGAAGGATAGCGCGCTCCACGAACCAGTATTTGGCTTCCAGGCCAGCCACGTCTTGTGAAATCATCGCAGAGTTTGGATCCCAGCTTCGAGATGCCTGGTCCGAGATGCAAGGCACGGGGGGCAGGCTCATCGAGCGCGGGGCGGCGCTCCAAATGCGACAGCACGGCGTCAATGAGCGGTTCGCCTGGGTTCAGCCATTCCCCGACATCGCGACCACTAGAGAATTTAATATCCCAGAAAACTGGATCATCATAGTCTGGAGTACCTGTTATCTTCGTATGGGTTCGTCCATTGGCTGCGATCGCCATTCTCGGTGGCTGCGGCGTGGGAAGGAGTTGGCGACAATTTCGAGTTGCTCGTCCCGCCCGTCGGATAACATTAGAGTCACGTGATACTTATCTTATCGTGCTCGCATAGAATCAGTTCGATGAGTAAGACGCATAAGAATATGAGCATATCCTCCAGGTGCCGTTAAGCATGCTGTATAGGATTGACCTTCTGTCAATCTGTCACTCAATTCTTTTTCGCAAAACATAATTGCCTAAGCCACACGTCTAGCTCGTTGGAAGATACCAGGTAGCGTTTTGATAAGATGAATTATCACGCTTCAGGAATTAGTCCAGTATCACAAGATGATATTCTATCATCGTTATAGAGGAATCATGCAGCGGCCGTAGTCTATAAGAGTGCGAGAGGTCAAAATATGAAGAGAGCTTAGAAGAGTCTCAGGGCCTGAGAACAGATAGCTAGGAGATAGTAGCTAGCACCACCAACTAAAAAAAAATGGTGCGCTCTGGAAGAGGGCCGCCTGCATGTCGACATCGAGGAAGGCATTGAATCACAGTCCATCCATACAGCGTGAAATTGCAGAGGGGCTTGTTTCTTCAATAAGCATGACTCAGTAGATATAACATATACACAGCAGAATATGATACACAATGAAGATCTGCAAGTCCCATATGTGGTCTGTGTTGGAGATGGCCTACATGGTATATCGAGCCACTCCAGTTTCCCAGTTCTGTCTCACTTTGACTATCTATCTGATATTATGATAAGTAATATTGGCCAAAGGCTGTGAAGTGCCCATAGACAGTACCTCGTCGCTAAGATGGCTTGATGGGGTCGACAAAAAACGAGCATCATCACGTTACTGCCAAAGTATATCAGGGCAATGAGCGATCATTGCCACGAATCGAGCGCTACCTCAACTGACATGCAACATGGCACAGTCCAAGTATGAGACTGGCCACCAAGTAGCACCATGCCTGCAGCTCGTTCTATAGGTCTCAAATGCATAAATAGGCTGATCATGGCGGTGGGAGCAAGAAGGTCTACGAGTCAGCGACTCGCCAACTCGGCCTGAGATACCCTTGGAAGGGACAACGCCACCACCGCGTCAATCAGTCCATCCCAACATCCTATGGGATCAGTACCTTGGATTATGTCTGGCCGCTGCAGAGGACTTGTCACTTTGTACGGGATAGGAGCTCATCCGGCGGTCGGTTCCAGGGGCGACATCAGCGCCAACGTTGACCAGGACCATTGATGCCAGCCAATAACCACCCCTCTCAACACATCCAGATCATCGCAGCGCATGGATCAGTGGTCGTGTTCCCAGCTGGTTGTGCGGTGCAGCCTACCTCTCTCGTGACTACCCCGCATTCACTGGTGACGAGATGAAGACATATAAACCTTGTGCCACCCATCATCTCTGTCACCATCAACGCAGCGGAGTGAACGACTACAACTACTGCAACCACTACAACTGACAGTTCCCACTCCTTTGTTATCCTCAAATATATCAAACTATCTATCTTTCAAGATGTCAACTCCTATCGTCCAGGGACTCTCGTCCGCTGGATCTACCTTCGGAGCCTACTCCCGCCAGCAGCTGGCCACTTTGCGCAACCGCTTCCTCACCACAGGTAAGAGCAGCACAACGTTTCCTCACCTCCCAGAAAAGCCATTCACAAGGCTTCAAACATCTAACCCTCTCTTCTAGAGAAACGACGAACCAGAGCCCAGCTCATGCGGACATCATTTAGCGTCCACCGACCGGTCTGGATTGCCGCAGGCGGTGCCGCCTATACAACGATGGGCGCTGTGTATCTCACCCTCCGCTACATGCGACACATAAAGTAGACCATTTACAAGTCACGCGACCCCAAAGAGAGGGGGGAGCACCAGAACGAGTCATCACTTGTCTGAGACAGTGAGACTCCTGCCTATATTCTACCGGTCACATTTTCCTTCACACCAATCATCTATGCTTAAGGGGGGAGGGGGAGGTGATCAGGCTTCGAGGACGGGATCTTCCAGATTATATTGACCTGACGGCGTTTCAACCCGGTTTTTCTTTCGTTTTGGGCAAGGGTAACGAGATACGGAGTACTTCTGGTGTACTTAGCGACACTACCTTATTATCATCAAATACATACTGGGATTCATATTCAATCAAACCGATAAACAAACACCCTCAAACGGAGAGAAAGAGGGGCAAGATGTCAGCACAAATGCAGCTGGACCTTGTAACAGCCATGTCTCTTGCTGCTCGGTTGCATCGGATCCAGCCAGTAATTACCCTTGCGGTACGCGCGACAAGGATGCTGTCGCAAACGAGTGATATAGTCTAGGTCCAGGGCTCCCTCACAGACATAAATACACGCACACACACACACACACACACACACACACACACACACACACACACACAGAGCACAGCAATATACTCCATACGCCAGTCGATTGGATCCCACCCCGCTGCGTCGGTGGCTGCTCAGGCCATAGACAGTGACTGAGGTATAGGTGAAAAGTGGTCTGATCATCGACCATCCACCCCTCCATCCTCCCCTCAGGAAATTTCGTATCCCTCGTGGAACCCCAAAGTAGATGGATATTCAACCCGTCCACTTCAACCACACCCCTTGACTGTCAAGTGCAACTAAGCAAAACAAGCCATCAAACAATGTTCACCGGCGTCGGAGGGAAGTGGGCCACTACCCCAGATTTTCCGCCGCCAACTAAGGTTTGTTCTCTTTGAAAGCGTCTTCCTTCGTCTTACGCCCCCTCGTAAGTTAGTTGGGGGGCGGGGGGGTAGTTGCCCGTGGACCATTCACCCAACAACGAATCCTGTTAGTCGGAAAGCTGATTCTGAGTTCGAGGTGTTTTTTTTTTTTTTTCCTGTTCTGATTTTCCCCGCTTTCGCACTGGTTGGCCCAGTCGCTGCATTGTTTGGGCAGGCAGACTTCTGAGAAGTGATTGTTGTTGGTTGCATGATCATCACTCGTCACCCCCGGATCCGTGCAGTGGCCACCTTACCCCGCAACAGGGGCTGACAGCTGCTACTTGGGTGGTACTTTGGCTGGCTAGACTCGTGAGAGAAAAAGGGGTATGCTTTGGTTGAATCATTGACTCAGGTTTCAGAGTAGTAGTCTTATCTCATGTTTAGACAAAATGAAGATATGGTGAAAAGGCCCTGTCTAGAATGATGGTCTAGGGGCGTGGCGAACGTGCCCAGAATCTGGAATCCGTAAGTTCCGAAACCCTCCTTTAGGGCTACTCGGTCGCTTTCAATTGGAGTCTTAACTGGGAGTGTCAGTCTTGTCGCAGCTGATCACGTAGGATTCAGGGATATATATCCGCAAAAGATGCCATTCACAACCTTCTCAAGAGATGGAGAGTCGCTCTCAAGAGTTGAGTGGCTAAAGGGGAGAGAAACCAAGAAGAAAGCACTTCAAATATCCATTAATCTCAGAAAAGAGTGGCAACGTGAGGGGTTTCATCTAGACAAAGAAACCATCCTTAGCCCTAACCAGAACAGGTCAGTCAGAAAGGCTACACCCGATGTCACTATAGCCAGGAATACAATGCCAACAGAACAACCATTCTTCAACAGCTGGCCTGCTGGCCCAATGGTAAGGCGCTTGACTACGAATCAAGAGATTGCAGGTTCGAGCCCTGCGTAGGTCATTCTTTTTGTTTTTGCTCGGCTATTTTGCGCTCCACTTTGCATGGCCCTCGACTGCCGCGAAGCCTGACTTCGTCGACCCAGGCACCTCAATATACAACCATAATATAAGCGTTTCCGGGGGATAACCCCCAAGACCCCCTTCTTTTCAGCTTCCCGAGCACCTCATCGCAACAACGAATTACGCCTCACCACAGCCACCAAACCCACTACTCTCCTCCAGAACACGCTCAACATGCCCCGGCAAATCATACTCATACGCCTCATCCAGCCCCCTCTCAAAGACCCCCGGAAAGAACCCTATGACACCAACAACAACCACCGTCAGCTCAGCCCTGAACCCAACCCATCAGAGATGCAAGAACTCACCCATAACCCATAGACCCACATACATAATATACTCCCTTACAACGCCCATATCGCGCTTGGAATCCTGCATCCTCCTCGCCCGCCGCAAGATCGCCTCGACGCGGGGCCGCCGCATGGCATCATACTCTCTCCCAGCCAGCATAACAGCCCGCCTCTCCACTGCACCAACCCCCACTATTTCTCCGCCACCATCCTCTACCTCAAGCCCCTGATACCCCCGCTCCAAGAACCCACGAAGCAACAGCCCCAACGCCTCCGCATCCTCCAGCGCCTGTGACGCCCCTTGCCCCGATGTAGAGGGCAACGCATGGGCCGCATCCCCAACAAGAATGATACTGTCGCGCGCCCAGCTAGCCAGCGGTGCCGCCGTCCAAGTAGGCCAAACGCTCTGCACCCGAATACCCTGCAGCAGGGCACAGACAACTGGATCCGACCACCCGGAATACCTCTCGCGCAGACGCGCGGTCAGAGTATCGGGGTCCATGCGTTTGAGCTCCGCGTCCGACGGACAGGGGTCAATCGCGTAGGTGGCCCACCACGCCAGTGTGTCGCCCGGCTGCGCAACGTGAGACGGGGAGTCGCGCTGTGGATCGGCTGGTGCGCTTTCGGCCCAGAAGTAGCCGAAGAAGCCGTTGCCGCTGAAGAGGAAGTTCATGGAGCCTGGTTCGATGAGGTTGCGTACGGTTTTGGGCGGGGTGAGGAAGCCGCCTACGCCGACTAGGCCTCTATCATGCTGTCAGTTTGAGGGGATGTGGGAGGGGAAGTGGAGTGGAAGGCGGGGGGAGTACTCGTAGTGTGGTGCGTGGGCATCGCATTGGGGTTCGGTGTCCGGGAGCAGCGCGTGCTTGACTGTGCTTTTCAGCCCGTCGGCGCCGATGACTAGGTCTGCTGGTTCGGGGTTACTGTTGTCGGTGAAAGAGATGAGGTTTTGGCTGGAGGCGTCGGTGGCTATGTGGGAGACGCGCTTGGTGGTGAGGACGCTGTCCGGGACTGCGCGCCGCAGGCTGCTCCAGAGTGCGTGGCGGCTGATTGCCAGCATGTGCATCGGTTCGTGCTGGGTTTGCTGTCCGCCGGTTCCCGAGGTTGGGAGCCGTAGGAGGAGGTGGCCGTGCTTGCTTTTGAGGTTACTGTGGTCCACGATGTAGCCGCTGCGGACGATGTCGTGGAGTAGGTCTTCGTTGAGGCGGTGCAGGACATGCAGGCCGTTGGGTCCGACGCCGAGACCGCCGCCTACTGTCAGGGTGGAGGAGTGCGTGGTGCTCTGAGGCTGCTCGTCGGAGGAACTGTTGTGCGGTGTGTTGTAGGGCTCGTAGATTCTGTATTCATGGTCTGCGGCTGGGGCGGGAGGCCGCGGGAGGTGCTTCTGCAGGGCGAGGTACGTCGTGAGACCGGCGATGCCACCGCCCACGATGACGATCTTCATAGTTGGTAGACGGTGCTATATCAAGTACCAAATCAAACGCATTAGTGTCATAGTAAATAGGGACATGTCGTGGATCCCCTCGTGGCCTCGGGATAAGCCAAAGGGAAGCGCGGGGATGAAGCCTTGTTATGATGTCGGAAATACGAGCCTCGCCAATAATAGAGTTTATCGTTCCACCTGCCACAGAAGCATATTGTGTGTATGTGCATCAGTGCTTACTTCAGTCTGGACTCTCCAAAGGCAAAAGACAAATTCAAGATGCTCGAGGCCATGCCATTCATAAGATCGTAAACATACCCCCGTCCCCCATATCTATTACACATACCCCTGCCTCGTGATGATATTGTATCCAGGATCCTCGATCTGAATATCGGTATTGATCAAGAACTCCAACGGCATCTCCACCAAAGTGCCTCGGATCTTGGACAACTCCTCCTTAACCTCCTTGGCCCCTTCCTCGCCGCTAGAGAAATTGCTCTTCTGAACATGCCCCCATTTCGCCATGTGCAACCCATCTGGACCGAGGTAGCGTTTCCAGAAGAGGGTCTGGTATTGGAACCAGGTCTTGGCCGTGTCGTCCGGCATGGGCGCGAATACCTTCCGGAACGCCAGGGTGTTCGCGTTTGCTAGCCCATTCCACAATTCCAGGAACTCGTCGCTCAGGGGGTCCGCGACAAGCTGATCTTCAGCTGAGCCGTAGTCGTAGTCAATGGGTACCGGGGCTGGCAGGAAATGGCTATCAGGCTTGCGCATGTCTTGCGGCCGCAACAGGCCGAGATGCTTGCGGAAGAGATATCGTCTTAGAGTGGCAGCGAATCTACTAGCTTGGTAGAGTTGATTATTCATCGTCGTGTCCAAGGAGGTCTGATCCTCGATGACGAGCGCGATCTCTGAGTCCCGACTTCCCTTGAGCGAGCGGTCGTTCAGATTGGCTGAACCACAGACGACTACGCGATCATCGGCTATCAGGACCTTGGAGTGCACGTAGAGTTCCTCACTGACAAAAGCGTCAATCTCCGGAACAGAGCCTCCAGCGGGCCACGGAACGTTCCGAATGTCCTCTCCACCGAGCATGTAGCAGGAGCTCACGGTATCCCAGTCGCTACTGTGGCCAGTGGACGCCTTCTGGTAATCACGGTACGCTTTATGATCGGCCGTTATTTCAGTTGCTTCGAATTCGCCGATCTCATTCTGGGCGCGAAGGCCGAATGGATCAACCATGTCGTCGTGCTCCTGGCTGGCAGCATTGTAGTCCACATGGCTCGCCTCGGTGGCTTGCTGCAACACCCCGCTCTCGTTGATCCGGTCGTAGCTCCGCAGATTATAGAAGCGAATGTACTCTTCCGGGTTGACACCAGCTCTTTTGATCTTGTCCATGATACTGAACCCTCCCCGGTTGATAGACTTGTACTGAAGCTTCATGATCGCACGGGGCGGGTGGCCCGATACTAGTGCCTGCAAATCGCCCGGGAACGCCGGGACCGCTGGCATCACGACTATAACCTTGTACCGTTTCCCCTCGCGGGCTGCTCGCAGAATTCGTGCCACCAATGCTTCTCCCACGCGGTTCCACACGGTACCCAGCCATGTTCCGGTTGAGGTGATGAAAAACTGTTGCTCTAGATAGACAAAATGCTCGCTCTTCTCGATGATGTCGATGTACGCGTTGTAGATGCTGTTTTCGGTTGATATCCCATCGCTCCACCGATTAACACTCCGGACCAGCTGACAAGAAACTGATCCCTTGGGTAGCTCAGAAGGAGTGGCCGAAGGCTTCGCCGGTGGCAGGGCCTCGTAAGTCCGAAAGCCGGGCAAACGAGCGTTGTATTTTAGGTTGTGAATGAAGTTCCAGCGCTCGACAAAATGACGACTGATTTCGGCGACGGCAGGACCCGTCAAACTGACCGAGATATCTTGCCAGCCCATACGGGAGGTAGTCAAGCGACTGAGTTTATTGTGTTCCCATCGATCCAGGTTCTTGAAATCCATGACACGAGCGTTGTTGTAGTCTTGACCGGGGAACACAATATCATCGAGGTTTCCAGGGTGGGCATCTGCAATGGGATGTTGGATGGTGTCCCATCGCCCATAGGACAAGTCAATGCCACCAAGAAAGGCGATCTTCTGGTCGCAAATGACGAGTTTCTCATGGTGAGCCCAGAGCAGGGTCGGTCCGCCTGCGATACCAAACATGGTCTGGAGCGTCTCATCTGAGATCTTCCCAAGGCCCGAAACCCCGGACGCAGTGATACTTTGGAGCAGGCCTTTAGTCGAAGATATGACTCCCTGCGCTCCTTGGATGAGATCGGGGTATCGGAAAACTGAGATGTTCGGGTGCAACGCCTCCAGTGCGCGCTTGGTGTGTTTTGAAGATACTAGCTCCCTAATCAGTACCCTCACATCCTCACCAGCCAGCTCGAAGACAAAGAATCACGTACGATACATCACCTGAGGAACCTCCTTGAAGACCACCACATTCACCTTGACACCACGCTCCGCTGCAGCCAGCAGCATGCGGTCCAGTCGATACTGTTCATTTTCCGATGGAGGCCGCCTCAGGTAGACTTCCGGAGACACCCACCCTGCCAAAAGTTAAAGCCCACTCATACAGTTTTCAACCACCGCTATGAATAAGAAGTTGATTCTTACATCCAAGAATCCAAACCGACTCTTTCACAGTCAGCAGCGCCTCCGAGACGGCCCAGAAATAGGCGCACCCATCAACGTGAAATTTGACATTGTTCCCGTCGGAGATGGGTGAGGAGCTCGAATAACGAGTTTGGTTTTCCTGCTCGTCTGTTCCTCTCCATGCCGAAACCGTTTCTGAAATATTTGATATTCCGAGCCTTTTTGTCACATCATCCAGACTAACTGGGCTCTGGATCGAGGCAGTAGACAGGTTCTTGGCGGCGGCGGTTGCCCTGTCGAGAAAGGACGGCATCGTTTACACGGCTCGCTATCTCATACCCTGAAGCAAGAAGATGCGAAACAAAATCAAGAATATGGCGATGGTGGGGTGAAGGTACAGAGGCACAGTTCTGGTACAGGGGAATTTGGGATCCGCCAGAGAGATATACCACTCACATCGTGGCATTTTGCACCGACTGTCAGTCAGCCACAGTCGCGAAGGGAGAAGATGTTGTGCGGCTGGCTGAAGCTGCAGCGCCGCCACGATGAATTTTTTTCAGGCCGCTTGTCTGATTACAGCTAGTGAGTTCGCATGTCGCAACTTTCGACGCCACGATTCAGCCACCCAGGAATAGTGCAGAGTTCGCCAGCTGAAGCGAGCAGCTGGAGCGTATCGCAGCCGCGAATAGGGGGTCGAGATCCCCCCACATAATGGTCCATGGCTGTCCAAGAGCATATCTGAGCAGGTGGGGCTTGAAGTTCTGGAACTTCAGGGGGATGAACATGTTCGCTTATGCGCCGGGAAGCGGAGATGTCAGAAGAGAAAAACGAGGGGGAGTTGAAGAGAAGGTCTTATCGGCATCTCCGCCTGGGGCAACATTTGCCGACACCGCAGAAGCGCGATAGGGGGCCAATCCTTGCAGTTCAATTATTTGTTGAGATGCCATTTTCGAGCATATCAGCCACGTTTCTTTCCTTCCCAAGAGCAATTGACTCTTTTCTGTGTACTTGCGACCTGATGTGCTGCCCACAAACCCTCCATATATATAGTCAACAGTACATGGACACGATGTACTGTATCTACTGTACTGCTTCAGCTGCGCCATCCCGCAACCCCACATAGTGCCTCAGCTGAAAAAGCCAAAACGGTGAAATATAAATAATAGGCACCAAGAGTTTTGCCCAGATACCTTTCTTTGACCCATACTGCAAGCATTTGTCAGGATACAGCCACTCCTTGCGCGAGCGCAGTATCAACCTCGCCAACAAAATGCTCGGACTTGGGGGCCCCAACATCAACTCGTTCGAGAACCAGCACCCGGACCTCGAAGCGAGCATTTACCCCCGCGTGTCGGACCAAGATGTGCTCTATTCCTTGTCGGAAGCATCGCTCCGATCCGCCATCTACGTCCCCACCGACTTCCAACACGGCCGTGACGGCAAGACCCCGGTCATTCTCGTCCCCGGAACTGGCACCTACGGCGGCGAAGCCTTTGGCTCCAACTTCGTCAAGCTGTTGCGCGAGAGCGCCTTCGCCGACCCGGTCTGGCTGAACATCCCCGGGCGGATGTGCGACGAGTCGGCCCGCAACGCCGAGTACGTCGCGTATGCGATCCGTTATATCTCGACACGGTGTCAGGGAAAGTCCGTGGCGGTCGTGGGCTGGTCGCAGGGATGCTTATCGACGCAGTGGACGCTCAAGTACTGGCCCAGCACCCGCGAGCTCGTAAGCAACTTCATTGCGATCTCTGCCGATTTCGCCGGCACGGTCGGTGCGTGGGCCCTCTGTCCCTTCAAGGGCACGCAACCCGGAACCCCGGCAGTCTGGCATCAGACGCGGAACTCGAACTTCATTGCGGCGCTGCGCTCCCACGGCGGGGACTCGGCCTATGTGCCCACGACATCCATCTACTCTGCGACGGATGAAGTGGTGCAACCGCAGTCGGGGATGGGAGCGTCGGCGTACATGAAGGATGAGCGTGGGGTCGGGGTAACGAATTGTGAGCTGCAAGTGCACGCGCGCCTCAAGCCAGCGGGACTGATTTATTCCCACGAGGCGGTGCTGTATAACCCACTGGCGTGGGCACTTGCGGCGGATGCCATCCAGAATGGGGGACCGGGGAGCTTCGAGCGGATTGATCTGGGCGCAGTCTGTATGCGCAGCAAGGCGGCGGGACTCAGTCTGATAGATGCGACCAAGACACAGGCTTTGGCTGCCTGGGCTTTGAAGAATATTCTGCTCTTCACGCCGAAGCCCTGGCGGGAGCCGGAGTTACCGGCTTACGCTGCCGCAGAAGAGAAGACATACGTGCCGCAAGAGCTAGTTGCAGATGACCCCAAGGTTCCTGCTGTGCTCACCACTGAGATTCCGGACACGCTTTCTGTTTAATTGTTTCGGTGTCGGAGAACTGGGTTTGGCGTTTGGCAATCTCGTCGAAATGTGTGGTCGAGAGTTTGAGCTTGGCGTCCTGTCCTCATTTTTGGTAAAAACAATAATGATAAATTCGTTTTCGTTATTAGAGATGAGAGCTTATGTTGAATGTGTTAGGTGTTATAGGAATGCTATCACGGGTTCCTCTCTGCCCCGAGACCGTACACTCACCGACAGCCAAGAGCAAACAACAGTTCAGTGCGTTCTGCAAGCTAAAGTAAAGTATACTCAGGAGTGGATCCCATGCAGCCATTACATCAGCAGAATGCAGCTCAGTGGGCCCTTCACCCTTTATGCATTGGCCCCAATTTCAGATAGCGTGCTCAGCGACATATCCCTTCCTGACCTGCGCATGGGTCTGCTGGTTCGAAGAAAGCGAAGAAAATGGTAAACAAGGATGTCGCGACGCGGTGACACAAGTCTTTATAATATTGAATTGGCACTGGGGATGTCCATCCCAGCAAGTAGCGCAATCACAGGGTGGAACCATGATCATGAGAGATCGAACCAAGACACCTCGACTTCGATCCAGAAAAAGTGGACCTAAAACCAGCCAGATACAACGCGAGAGGAGTTTCTGGTCGCACACAACCCGCTCTATTGTCCCCGGTTGACTAATGAACCTCTCACGAAGTGATGTCGCTTATGGTATTTCAGAACACGTACTCCGCCAAACCGAATCACTGGCGTGGTGATAGTCCGGGATGGTGGCGACTGACGATATCGGTCGGGTATATCATAGCGACCACATTTGGTGGATAAGGGGTAAGGGTGTACTTGTATATATGTTGAGATAGGGGGTGGGAATGACTCCTGGGCATCCGAGGTTCCCTAATCAGGGATGACTGAAGTTTATGAGACTATTGACAGTTGCAGGCTTTGTTGTAGCCTCCAGTTGCATGTACATAGACGGTGTGGGGCCACGTCCTAGTTGATTACTCAAATTAACACTGCATTCCACTGCATTGTTGTCATGGCAAATGCGGGGACTCTGCACCCTGCTATCGAGGCCTAGACACATCGGTCATGACGAGACAATGCCAGTACGGATTTTGCAGCCAATCTGAGCGATAACTCGCAAGGTGATGAGTGTGATATCAGCGTAGGTACGGAGTCAGGTACTGTAGTGACCGTAGTGACGATGGAGAGTCCCGCTGATATCATTGGGGGACTACTAAGCATTTTCAACGAGGACCCACTCAGGGTAATGAGGATAATTGCCGAGTGCCATAATAAGTGGCCACGAGCGAGAGAGAGAGAGAGAGAGAGAGTGTGTGTGTGTGTGTAGCAGATGTGACGTGGTTGCTTTGAAGATATTTTGCAGGGGAAAGAGGAAAGAGGAAAGAGGAAAGAGCGGGTAGACAGCCGACTGACGTCACGGATCGTCGATCCCGACCGAACCCTTCCATGGGTGAGTGAGTGTTTTCTATTTCTATTCTTAAGACTGCTTACTCGGTTCATTCATTCAATCTCTTCCTTACATCCTCCCTTCATTCAATTCTCATCCACTATCTCTTTCGAAACTAATACCTTCCCACCCACCCATCCACACAGACATGGCTGTCATCTGGGGTCTCGATCTCAAGGAGATCCAATGGAGCAAATTCAAGAGTTCCTATATGTTCAATCGAATCTACCATCTCCGTCGGACAAAGATGATCGTTTACCAGCTGGCCATGATTCTCTGCGTGTGTTCTGAATCCACAGGCACCGCCGCACTATCGGGTACGTCTCTAACCGTATCCCCTGCCATGAGGACCGATGCTGATGGGCGCTTCTCCACGCAATAGACTACGTCGACCAACAAAACTACATCGAACACCATCACCCCGGTGTCTCCGTCCATAACAACGACTTCATTGGAGCCGCATCCTATAATATCTTCGTCGGAGTCGCTGTGGCCACCATCTTCGGCGCCGCCTTCTTCTTCGACCTCTTCTGGCCCGAGCGACACGAGAGCAAGTCGGTCCATCTGGCCTGGAAGATCTGCAGCGTGATTGTCTCCATCATGATGCTCAGTTCGGCTCTGACCATGACGGTATGAGCCCTGATACTATACTGGTTCCCTCGAGAATATATCCGCTGACTTGCCCAGGTGATCACGGCGACGAGTAGTGTCAAGGTCCACGGCACGGATGCCGCAGGAGCCCGCAAGTTCTGGTCCGAGTCGTCCAAGAAGCCTTCTTTCCGTATGTGCTTGCTTCTCCCTTGTATCTGCGATTCACTTTCTAACATTCGAGATAGTCTACCGCACCAACCCCAAAGCGATCGCCTCGGTGGTTCTCGCATGGCCAGGATGGGTAGCCACAGTCGCCAGGTATGTTCCCGACACCCCCAATCCTTCTTTCTTTTCTCGTTGAACACTCCTGATTAACATATCTCTCACTTAGTACCCTCATCCTATTCGCCTCGCATAAGCACGATGATGTCCACGGCCCCAAGTCGAACTACGGTCGCGAGATGGACGGAGAGAAAGTCCCCGAGCCCGAGACGACCGGTGGTCTACATAATACAACTCTTCGGGAGTAAACGTGGTTTATTGAGATACCCCCTTGTCATATTTTGTTACGACTTTCATCAGGAAACATGACACGCAAGGATACCAGCGATGAACTGTATAGATATGGCGTTTTGCTTTGGGTTTATTGATTTTCTCTTGAATACTTTGGGCGGGCGGCAATGCGGTTACTATGATTTGGAGTTTACTATTCACTGTACACTATATACTTTTGCTGTAATTATAGACGACCAGGCGAATTTACGAATAATGACCGGATTACTACATGACTATACTTCTGATTGGGAAATCCTGCCCTGGAACCTGGTTCCGAAAAAGAATGACGCGCGAAGGGGATGACTAAGAAGGGCAGCTCGTACTCGGGCTCAACCCCTGTCGGCAGTGACGTCGTGCCCTTGACGGGAACCGTGGGAATCATCATCAGAAGTCCCTGATTCTTGGCTGATTGCGGCATTGTCCCAATCCGGCAGGGCTCGCCAGTGATCGGCGAGAAATACGCCATCACCAAGCTCGGAGGGTTCACTCATGGTAAAGAATTTGGACAAAAGCCACATATTAACGCGAGACAAGAGGGCGTGCCATGGTGCATCGATGGGTCCCCATGTGTTGACGTCTTGCGCCCGGGCCACCGGAGGTGGCGCCGGCTTCGGTGGTGATTGGCATTACAATTGAGAAGCAGAAGAGAAAGATTGGATTTTCATCAAATACGCCATCTTCAACTGTGAGTATGTCTGTCTTCAAAACTCTGCATTCATTCACATTAAGTGTAAGTCGTCGCCACAGATGGATACCAATTCTCCCCGTACGTGGCGTTCAAGGTGATGTGCCCGGAGACCGATCCATCCTCCAGTCGGATCCAAGTCGAGATCTGCGGCACCCCCAGGGTCGTTTCGTCGAGCAGGACCTGGCGAGATCCCCGTGTCCAGGAACCGTACCCGCCGTAGCCGGTGTGGCGCCCGAAACACATGTTCAAACCGTTGCCGGTGAGGTTCATCCCCGGCAGCTTGGAGTCCCATTTAAAGCACCTGTTCAATGGACTCAATATAGCTTCAATGGTGATGGGATGCGGGAGGGAGGCATGTGAAGTACTTACCAGTCATCGCCGTGGTCATGGCCACTGAACGTCGCTAGGAGACCCTCGGTGTTCAACATCGCCTCCATGAACGGAATGTCCTGGCCGGCGTAACTGAATACAGTACCGGATACCTCGCCCTGGCCGCTGGCCTGGCCTTGCTGGTCCAGAGGCTTGTCGGCGTTGATGCCAGGTTCGTAGTGGGCGTTGACTCCCTGATTCTGGAAGGCAAGCATTGCGTTGACGGGGATGTGGTAGAATGCGATCGAGGGGATTACTTTGCCGTATTGTTCGGTGAGTTGAGCGTTGGTCTGCGTGAACCATTCGACGACCTGCCGAATTTGGTGAGTCTGTTGCACACGCAAAGATGGCTGGCTGCATATACTAACCGACTCGTCCACCCAGCACGGCTGGGGTACTTCGCTTCCATCCTCCAATTCCTGGAAATGGTTTCCTCCGCGGCTGTCGAAGAACCACATGATCAAAGCCGGCGTCGTCGCGGAGGCGTCCGACGGGTAAATGGGCAGGTAGTAGTTCGATACGCCCGCGAGCTTCGCGGACACCATGCTTTGGGTCAAGCTGTTTGAATAGGTCTGCTCTCGCTCCAGAATGGCGCTGCGCGACAGATTGTAGTCGCTGTCATGGTTGCCGTAGGTAGAAGCCCACAGCAACTCGCGCTCGACAAGGGGAGCAACAATCTCATCGATGTAATCGGTGGCATTCGACAGGAAGGTGTTCTCGCCGGTGATCAGATCGCCATTCAGGATGACCAGTTGTGGGCTCTCGTTATCGAGGATGGTGTTTATCACCGCCGTGCTCTCGACGTCCTGCTTTGGTCCCCAGGTGGTGGCTTCGGCTGCAGGTCATCAGTGACGCTTTCTCGCTTATCCAAGGTATAGACAGCTTACCCTCGCCGTAATGCAAGTCCTCGAATACCGATAACTGGAAAGTCCCGTCACTTGTGAACTGCAGGCGCTTGTCGAACTGTTTGGTTGATTTGACGCTGGGGAACGCACGGATTTCAGCTGCGAGGCCTAGAATGGCCACAACACTAAAGCGCACCATGGCGACGGCGTTTCGTCGAGAGGTACTGGGTGTGATGCAATGCGAAACCGTGCTTCGGTGGAAAGGAGAGAATATATAGCACGAGCATTTGTCGCGTCGTCGGCAAACCTCCCTGAATGTCTCTGTCAACCTTGTCCGCCGCTTGTATTGCCGAGTGCAATATCGGGAGATAGTAGTCGAGGTCCCTGTTCGCGTTCTGGCACGGAGCACGTTTTGGCATCACTGTCGATGACAGGCTTGGCTTGACGGACGCCGGCGGCCGCTAAGTGCCGCCGTTGCTGCGGCGGGTCTCGTTACAGCTATCGTCCTGTTGTTTCGTTGCCAATTCGCGTTGAACGTGGTCTTGATCAATTTCTGCAAGGGGACTCATCAAATACAGTTGTTTTGCGCAATGGCGTAAAGTGAGCTGCCGAGGTGTGGATGTTGATGCCAACGGTCGCGACCGTCATGCACAAAGTAAAGAAATGCAAACGCGGTAAGGACACCTCAGGCCACAACAGCACTAATCCTCATTGGGTGCACTTCTCATTGACTCACTGCTGAGCTCACAGCACGGGGATACTCATTGTTTCCTCGGTACAGTCTCCGTGCAATCTAGCTCTATCTATCTCGATCAGTGCTGGTCTTGTATGGCTCTCGTCGTCGAAGAACGACAACAGCTATACACCAGCCTCAGGCGCGCAAACGTCTCCATGCCAAGCCAACAATGAACAAACACGTCACAGCAGCTGCAGTAGCCAGTTGCTTCGTGTCTTTGCCTCCAAAACCCCAGGTTTCGAGGAAGTCAGGAGAGTCAGAGGGGCTACTACTCAGGTTTGCTTTTTCCGGAGGTATGCTAACATCAACATAATCATTCTCGCACTCAGCTCGATGCTGCTCTTCCTCTTCCTCATACACCACATCAGTCTCCTCCCCTAGTTCCGCAGAATAATCTTGCAGCTGCACAATTTTTGATCGTACAAACTCTTCACGGCCCTTGTGTAGTCTGTTGTTCGAGGTGAAAGAACGAACCATTTCCGCGATTGAAGAGCGCTCACCCCAGCAGTGCTCATCAAGGAGATCCCAGTACAAGAGATAGACAGACGTGACTGACCGACACGCTAGGTAGAACCATGCGCTCTTGGTTTTGATAGATTCCCTCATTCTCACGGACAGTCGATCAACCTCCATGTCCAGCCCTTTAGCCTCATCTCTCAGCTCCAGTGCCTGCAGGAAGCATTCTGCTCGCGGCAAATAAGATTGAAAGAACCCTTCTGCACCCTCCCTACTCAGTGTCCTCTGCGGTCGCTCCAGAAGCAATCACCACGGAATACTCCCTGCGAACTGGGCAGGAGCGGCGTAGCAAAACTCCCAGTCAATGGCTCCTGTCACGTTGAGCGAGTCATCGACAAGTACATTCCCAGGACATAGGTCGTCGCAGAAGAGTTTGAACGGACCGTAGTTGTCGGCTGAGGAGATAAAGTTAAGAGCAAAAGCCTTCATTAGACTGCGACACGCGTACTTCTCCCGACAGTCATTCGTATCGCAGACACTGTTCCGCTGCCTTTCCAGGTGGGTGCCTTGCAGGGGAAAGAGCGAATGTATTTACTCCACCGAGCTGCGATAGATTCTCGAAGGCGCAAAGTCTTCCAACCCACATGTCCGCATCAACTCATTGATTCCAAGAGTCAAAGGCCTACTCTCAATGGCCGCTGTGGACTCTTTTTGTCCTCATGGAGACTTCCGATCGAATCGAAATCTAGGCTCCACAGCTCAAGTAGAATGTCCGCCATCTCCCCGTAGAGAGTCTTCAACGTTTGCAGGTCGATGTGCGGATCGAGTGCTTCCTCCTTCTCCGGCGTGCCACCACCCCTGCGGAGGGCATCAGACATCTTTTTCCCTTCTACCCAGGTCATGATGATAAACGGACCCAGCCCGGTAGGGTTGTCCGCTGCCCGTCCGTATGCCACAATACGCGGGACAGGGATCTGTTTTTTCTTGGCGATGTACTTCATCAAAACAGCTTCGTTCTCAACCTTTTCGTCCAGAATCATTGATTTCCCAGATATAGGAAACCGAATCAACCATTCTGGCCCACCATCGTCCCAATGAAGGCGGATGCTGAAGTTGAACGACCCACAGTGCATGGAACGGTATAGACAGTCATCGCGACCGCGATATCTGCTTGCAAGCTCGCAAATCCCTTGGGAGGAGGTTGAAAACAAAGTTACCCATTCTTTCTTGAGACTTTCATTTTGGCGAGACTAAGATCTCCAAAGACTATGTTTCGTCGCAAAGCAAGAGACCAGTGACTAAAACAAGGTAGTCAAGTGCTCCATCAAGCTTTCGTCCTCTCTGGGGAGAAAGAGACGGTCCGGAACTCCGCCTTCTCCCCGACGGCCGCTTCCTTGCGGGCCTCAGGGTTTATCATGCAGCGCTTGAACCCCTCACCATACGGGTGAGCGGCGAGTCGGAACATGCAGCATACACACATGAATCAAAACACAGAGATTTGCCCCCACATGTGCCTGCTGTTTCTCTCGGGAATATGTATGAGCTTCCTTACCTTACTCGGTACCCATGCTACAGGCCGCACTACTAGAAGAGTTAGTCATAGTTCTAGTAGAATGAGTAGCCATGAGATCTTTTCATACACGCCTTGTATAATGAGCTCCTACCAAGCACGGAAGTGGAATTTCACTGATGATCATGGCTCATGAAGAGTTGGCAATGCACTGGCAGACAGGGCTTGGCCACGACTGGGCCAGGCTGGAACGAAAGCGTACAGATATATGTCGAATGAACTATGGCAGCCAACGTAAGGCTCAGTAGGATTGGACTCTTGTCTCTTGCTCGCACTTGCTTCAGGCAGCACTGCTGAATAAGTCTTGAGCTGATTTTCCAGTAAAGCATGCCTGACCTACGATCGAGTTGCTGTGGGATTCTTTTACAGTGACTGGGCCACCGTCTAGTTGTTTAATGCTAGTTATGATGTGGCTAAACTTAATCACATGAGACTGTGGATATTTCAGGAGAGATAGGCGGACTTTGGGCCGAATTGGGTCCTATACCGCGAGATTGAGAGAGAGAGTTTGGGGAGATTCACAAGGGCGTCCCGGTTGTGTTAATGGATCGTTGCGGGGCCAAGTTCAGAAGATGGAAATATACTCACGGCCGCCCTCATTCCCAAGACAGGACCAAATGCCAGAGCCAAGGTACGGACAAATAACGCTCGGAGATAGCCGCTAGCCCCGTCGTGTTGGGTCAAGCCATGTGGAGTGGGCTGATGTGCCGCCACCAATGATGGCCGTGGGAAAATGTAGTCGTCGGATTTGACCCATCAAGCATTTTTAAAGTCATGGCAAGCGATTGGTAGTTGATCACGATCTTGCTAGGGCTATTTGAGCTTGAAATTTAGGATTATACGCACAACTAGACTTGCTGGACTGCAAAAAAACGGGTGCGATGGGGGTATGCAGTTCAAGGATCAAACAGAATCTAATGACAAGTTCTATGGAAAATATCACTAAGCATTTTGTACACCCTGAACATGACCACACGGGCCGTTGGACATCTGAATAGTGGCGGGAGAGCTGTGAAGAGAGGCCTTTGCATAGGTCGAAGCAGAGTTGCAGGAGGTGGTGTGGATCAGATAGCAGTACGTGACGGCGGACGAAACGTGGTTGTAGTACGACATGGCACAGGTGTTGGACTCCTGGCAGCTGACACAGCAGTCGTAGGCCGAAGCGGCGTTGCCCACGGTCAAGCTCTCGCCGGGAATGTTGGTGAAGGAAACGAGATACATGTATTGGCCCGCAAAGTTACCGTAGTCTGAGGACAGAGGTAGTCCGGCGACGTTGTTAGTGGCGCATGCGTTTAGCATGGTAGTGCTGGTCGCGACCGAGACAGTGTTGGCCGTGGTGACGGTGGTTGTCACGGCCGCGACGGTCGAAGACTCGGTGATAGTGGAGGTAGTGCTGTAACTGAGCGTGATCGAGACGGCACTGGGAACAACCACGGAGGAGGTGGTGATAGTGCTGGTCACGGTCGTTGTCGTGGTCGAGCCCTTGAGCGTGGTGGTGATGGGCACAGCAGTCACCGTCTCCACGCTGGTGGTTTTCAACACAATCTTCTGGTGGCACTCAACAGCTTGGGGATATTGATAGTCATCCAACCACGCGGCACAGTCTTCTTCCTCAGTGCTGAGTAGAGATCGTTTGGCCGCCGTGCTGGTGGGCAGAGTCTTTGCGAGTGGAGTGAAGCCATCTGAGGTGGGAATAGTAGAGGTGTACGTGCTCGTCGTCGTAACGGTTACGGCGACGGTGGCAGTGACCGCGGGAGGAGTAAGAATCAGGGTGGATGTAATGAGCTCGGTTGAGGTGGTTGAGAAAGTATCAGTGACGCTATCAGCAGTGCTCGTTGTGGTGGTCGTGACATAGTCGGTCACTGTCACCGTCACCAAAGCAGGGATCTCAGTGACAGTGCCCTGGGTGGTCGACGTGATGATGACAGGAGTAGGATCATGGCGAGTGCGAGTGATTGTCGAAGTAGGCAGGACACCAGGGATAGAGCTGGTTCCTAACTTTGTGTGGCAGTATGCACCGGCCTGTGTCTGGAATTGAACTTGACTGCTCGCCACAGGGGAACTAAATGCCACCGGAACTTTGGCTGCAACCTGCCCTAAAAGGAGAGCTGCAACAATGGGAATGAACATCGCAGACATTTTGGCTGGCATGAAGAGCAAATCTGATTGTGTTGTTACGGTGGGATGGGGAGTTGACCTAAATACTCTGTAGTTGCTCCTGATTCTGTCCGGGCTGGGGCGCCGTCGGTTATCTTCACTGCAGTCCACTGTGGGCGTCAATAGTGCAATTGAATACGAAAGAACGGCCCAGGAACAGCTCAAAAACCCGAGCACGACTTGCACTAGTAGTTCGATGACTCCACTTGTTCTCTATTGCTGAATGGTGTATATACATCAGTTTTCTCGCGTTCTTTTCTCTCTTTCCTGGTTCTCTCCAGAACCCTCCCTCCTTCATTCTTTCCTTTCCAATGTTTTGATTGTTCTCTATACGCTCTTTTCTGCTTAATCTTTCAGGAGATATTATATTTCCATATTCACTCCTTACTTTTTACCTGTCGAAAGACAGATAATCAAAATGGCGCATTTGCTGGCACGAGGATGGATTCTCGCCGCATTGTTAGTACAAGCCCTCGCTTTGACTGTCGACATTCAAACCACCGTCACTGCCATCACTCCGAGTCCTGTGGCTACAACGACTCATCACCACTGGACTTACAGTTCCAGACCTTTGCCCAGTCGCAGACCATGTAGCGCTCGTTCTTCATCTGCGATCGCTTCTTCTATGGTTCCTCCCACTACTTCAGTCGCCATTCATTCCTCATCTCCTGTGAGAACTCCATCAGGGGTCGGATCACTAGCTCCTTCGTCTTCTCCGGTGAGAATGTCATTAGCAGTGGGTTCTTCGACGCCTTCATCTTCTCCAGTGAGAATATCGCCCTTGGCCACTTCTGCGACTCCTTCGTCGAGACCGGTTCGAAGTCAGCCAGCAACCTCGCAGCCACACTGGACGTATATCTCCAGACCCTTGCCTCATCGCAGCTGCTCGTTGGGTGCAAGCTCAAGTGCTCCTATTCCGTCCTCCAGGGCATTTCACACCACACCGACAATGCCTTCTCTCACTGCCACTGGTACCTCGACAGCCAGTTTAACTGGAGCCCCTCAGCGGGGCACCACAGCTGCAACAGGACCTTCGGGCCCTGCATTCACCACATCAACGGTCTTTACTACTCGCACGCCCACGATTACTGCATGTCCGACTACTGTCCCCAACTGCCCTGCCAGTGCCAAAACGACCTTTGTGACCACTGAGACTGTGGTGCTTTCGACTACCATTTGCCCCGTCACTGAATTAGCCAGCATTACCCAGAGTTTGCCTGCTTCCATGACATCGGCTGCAGGCGCAACTGGCAATGGTCAGGGCAATGGTGGTTCTGAGCTTACAGCTTCCACAGTCTTCACGACGCGCACAGCTACAATTATGGCATGCCCTTCTTCGGTGACCAATTGCCCGGCTCGGTCCCGGACCACTTATTTGACTACTGAGACGATCGTGGCTTATACCACCATCTGTCCCGCGGCCGAAGCGACTGGTGCTCACGTAGTCACAACCACCCATCATGTCCCCTCCGCTGCTGCTACTGGCGTCGTGGGCAATGTTGCGATTGGTGGCTCAGAGGTTACAACTTCCACCATTTTAACCACGCGCACGACTACAATCACCGCCTGCCCTTCATCTGTGACAAACTGTCCCGCCAGATTGAAGACTGTCCAGCCGGCTACCGAGACCCTGGTTATCGGGACGACTGTCTACTCTATCGCTAAGCAGCCTGCCGTCTCATCCGGCGGAAAGATTCCAGATTTGATCACTTCGACCATCCTGAGCACCAGGGTTGCTACCGTTACAGCCTGCGCGGCAGACGACTCCAACTGCTACACATCCCAAGGCTCCTACCTGACCACTGAGACCTTGGTGATCGCAACCACCGTCCTCCCCGTCACCTCGATCCAGACCTCCATCCCAACCAAGGATATCGACGCTGTCACCGCCGCCCCTATGGCCACCGCTGTACCCCAGGGTGCTGCAGTTGGAATTGGATCGAGCCCTTCCAATGAAGGCGTAGACACCACTTACACGACAACCATCACCGTCGACTCGTGCTCGAGCGACGGCACCTGCACCGCATACGTCAGCACTATCACTATGACCAAGACTGAGGTTGCCCAGTCGACCATCACTGCCACCGATTACAACGCCGGAAATAATTTCGGCTTTGGGGCGAGCCATGCTCCTTCTATCATATCGGTGCCCGTGATCCCCCAGAGTAGTCAGCATAGTAGACTGAGCACGTCCATCGTGCCTTCAGAGAGCGGTAGTGGAGTGGATGCCTTGTACACCAATGCTGCATCTGTTGTGCCTTCAAGGAGCAGTAGTGCGGTTGGTGCCTTGTACACTGGTGCTGCGTCTGTGGGTGCTCAGTGGTCGATGTTGCGGATCGTCGGGACCTTCACGGTTCTTCTGGTGGCCATGTTTGTTTAAGCCCGCGATTTAAACCATTATACGGCTAATATCAAAATTTTTTCTTTGGATATTATAGCTCGACTGAATGGCACTCTTCAGCTTGTATGTATATTGTAGAACATAGAGATCTAATGCCAATTACCCACCATCTCCCTCGGCGACCTCGGATACAGCTCTTATCCCTAGAGATAATAGATAATCCAAGTCCATGCAAGCCCATTCTACCTGCAAATAACAATCTACATCGCCGTCCTCCAGAAACCTCTAGTAAGAATACAATAAATCTAATGCACAATAAGCCCATACCGAACCGACGACCTCAACTCAAACGGCATCTTCAGCACATGCAGCAAGCACCGCTCCAGAACCTCCTCCTCCGTCAACGCCTCATGCACATAACGCTTAGCATAGACAGCAAGAAACCCTCGGAGATCCTTCAGGTCGCCGTCGTCCTTCTTCGCAGCCGCAGGCATCATCAGCCCGGCGACCTCCCGGCTCAAGTTGCGCGCGTCGCCCGGCAGGTACGCGTCGCTGAAGCGGAAGATGGCCGTCGTGAAGCGCGGGACAAGGCCGTGGAGCATGCTTTTCAGGTACTCGTAGTCTTGGAAGGAGGCTTGGTCGAGGCCGGTGCGGCCTAGGGTCAGGAGGACTCTGGTTCTTGTTAGAGGTGGGGGTAGAGAGAAGGAAAGAGGGAGGGAGGGAGGGTGGTTGGAAAGAGAGGGAGACGAGACGCACACATATAGGGATTGGCTATCTTGTTGCGGATTTTCCGCGTCTACTTGGTTCCTAGGTACTCTTAGCCATTTGGGTTTTGTTTAAGGGAGATCAGGCAGGCTCAAGGGAGAACTCACGGCGGAATCTCGGCGAGCAGTAACGTGGGGATGGAAACATTCTTCAGTAATGTCTCTACCAAGACTCTGGCTGGTACGTAGGCGTCTTGCCTGCCATCGACTGAGTCCAAAGCGCGGTTGATGAATCGATATTGGGAGGTTGGTTGATCGGGGTTGTTGTCGAAAACACTGATGATCGTATTAGGGACAGCAGGAGGAATCTTGGCGGAAAGTAACGTTGTATGTTTGTTACTTGTGTATGGGGAAAACCGATTGTCTAAGCTTACATCTTTCCAAATCCATTGGAGACTAGAACCTTAGCCTCGACTGAAACATCGTCCGGGAATGGTAGCCGAGAATACCCCCCGTGGAGAAAGAAGTATCGCATGGAACCCTTCCCCCCGGAAGCGTATATGGGGTCAAGCGATTGATCTAAGTCATGCATTGTGAGATTGTGGGGTCACAGAATGGCGTGGTTTGGGCGACTGCACAGGCACGAGTATCTCATCGCCCTTGGTTGAAGGGTAGTAAGTGGCATATGCGGTTATATGGGAAATTCAACCATCAGATACACGTGGCCCCATGTTCTATTTTTGTTTTAGTAAAAGAGGGTCCTCCTTCCGATGATCCCGAGTCTAAACTACTTATGAAGGTTGTAGAGACTAACTGATTAAAATAGGCCAACCATCAGCCGCCCGCCTACAAAAAGTTATCTAAAATACTGTATTACTTATTCTTTACAGAATTCTTATCGAAAGTATCCAGAATTAATTAAAATAAATCAATCTATATATTTTCATATATTATTAGTACATGTATCTATAAAATCCTTTTTATTATTATATAAGTTCTTAATAGACTTATTTGTTTTTTATTTACTAAAATAAATAAGCTTACTTATATTAAATGTTAATTATTGAAGAATATACCACAAAAAAGTTTGAAACTAGAATTTAATTATTTATATAAAGAACTAACTAGAGAAATATTATAAAAAATAAGAATTTATTGAATAGATTTAATTAACTAAAAATAAGTCTCAACTTAAGTTAAATTCTAAATAGCTGGAGTTCAAAATTTGACTGAGCAGTTAGGTAACCTTCTGAAACTTACCTAACTCACTTGATCGCCATGTCTACGTGTACCCTGTAACTGAAGCGGGAGAGCCAGAGACATGGATATACGGATATATAGAAGAATCGCGGGAATTGGGGGAAAAGGGAGGAAAAATACTGGGAACATCAGAAAATGAAGTCAATAGATGTAAAGATGATGATTTTCACTTTCCGGATATACGGATATATGGATATCTTGGTTGTGGGGAAGTAGAGGTGTCAAGGTGTGGCTGCAGCCAGCTGTTCCTACCTGATGCCTGCCTGATTCCTGATCCTGATAAGCCTTATATATAGTATAACTAGTATCTACAGTGATTATGTTTTAAAGCGATTAGATCGACCACCGCAGCACGATAAGCGTGTGGCTTTTGACTATGATCTGCGGAAAGCGGATGGGGAGTGCCACCAAGGTACAGTACAACAGGGACCTTGAGGCCGCAGCTCCCACCACATAAAAGGATGACGACGACGAGATCCTCTTTTCCTCCCAATACTCTGTGTTGCCTCTCAGCCTACAATCTACCAACATGCATTGCATGCTAGACAAGCTACCTTTGGAACTCTTGGAGTTCATCTGCGATGAGCTCGAAACGCATGATCTTGCCTCACTTCTGGGAACTTGTCGCCAGACATATCACCGAACAATCCATCGACTGGCTCAGCGCTACTCGGAGGTTCACCTTGACTTCTCCAAAGGTAGTCTCAATCAAATCCACGCCATTGCCAACAATGAAGTTATGCGACAGCAAGTTCAGCGGTTGGTGGTAATGGCTCCCGAGCCGTTCCTGGGCCGCAATCTCGACTGGCAGCGCAGCGCCGCAGGTCACATTCTCAACCCCCTCGAGGTTCCTACCATCAGGCAATTCCGCAATGACTTGGTTGATAAGCTGGTCAACTGTCGATCGTTCATCATCTCGCCACTTGGGAGCCACCTTGCCCCCGAGGAAGACAACACGGATGCGCCCGATGATCGACATTTCAGCCCAGACGATGCCGCGAGCATCCTGCTTGATATCATCGCTGATTCCGCTCTGCCCGTGAAGCTGTTTTGGTACGGAAGGGGCACAAACTACAATTCCGACATTATGAATATCCAGCGACTGCCGAAAGCTCTGTTCACCAGTCCGCGCTTTCGCAGCGGATGGGGGTCACTCACGAACCTACATCTAGAGCACAAGCTCACTCCTAACAACTATTCTTTCCTTCTGAATATGCTTCTCAACACCCCGAATCTCCGGAAGCTTTACCTCAGCCTGGCCCCGAAAGATCTTGCAATTGAGTTCTACTCGCATGTCGCCAAGTCAGATGCTCTATCTTGCGTGTTGGAGAGGATCTCACTCTGCTATACAGCCATCCGGCCGTCAGATCTCATGCATATCCTCAGCTGGTCTCGGCAAAGTCTGAAGCGGCTGGTCCTGACGCAAGTCGGCGGCATATCGGCGGATTTACCACAATTACATGACCACTTGATTAGTTACCCCTGTTTGGAGAATTTGGACTTCAGAATGTGCCAATAGTCGGGGAACGGAATATGATCTGCCACATGAGATACGAATTACGCTTTTTCTTTGTTCCCTACGCTCCTTGCCTTCACGGATTCCGGCCGCAAGTCTGCGCAGCTTTTATCTTTCCCTTGTCATGGCACCTGTCGACACTGCAAGAAATTCACATTCACAACGATATCGTTCGAAGGGCCCGTTCTGGATGCCCCCTTCCAGCTTCCGGGTAAAGCGAAATTATAGCTCGAATTCACGAATCGACGGACTGGGTGGACCGACCATTGTGCCTCTTACACAGGGACGAGAGCACGGGCTGTCCCAACATCCTAGCTACATATTATGGCTTGACTCTTGAATAAAATCTTGTCACCGTTGAGCGGTACAGACACTTGGATCTTGTTGAACAGTGGGCTTCAATTCATATAATAATCTTAATTACACAAACTGGATAACCTCTGTGTCAACCGTGCAATAGTGTGCTCACCAGATTCTGCTCTGGGCCATGATCCGCGGTCGCATTCCTGTTCTCAACCTCTAATCGTAGCCTTCAATACTCGGGATGTTCGAGGGAAAGTAAATTTTTTGACAGTATCTCGATGTTGTATTCCTGACCAGCAAGCCAGCTTACATCCTGAATTTATCTTTGAAGGTTTCCATTGCAGATAAGACAGGCAGCTGTAAGCTGATCACCATCAGCTGGGACCAGTTCTTCACGTCTCGGGTGTCAATTGCCAGTGGGGAGAACAGGTGTGATCAGGTCCGTGGAAACTTCAGCTAGGCGACCAGCTCAGCAATTTCCGATATAGTGATCTCGGGAATACATGCACAGCTATTTCTCCGGTGACCAGCGTAGAGAGATTGCCCAGACTGAGGCAGATGTGCGATCTAGGTATGAAGTTGATAATAGGAGGGACTGGAGAGCAATGCGCGGTACAAGAAAGACCTGGCAATATCGTAACTTTTTTCACCTCACAAGACGATCGGATTGTTATAGAAATGACGGTAGACCTGAAGACGTTGAGATGAATGATTGATTGACTGATTCTGCCAGCGAGGGCTCGTAGGCTTAAATACATAAGTCATAGTTGAATGACCTTGTTCTTCTCAGCGGCGTCTTTGACCATATCTTGGAAAATGTCGAGAAGAACTGTTATCTCCTTGAATATGTCCTTGATGCGGTCGGTGACTATGTCTGCTTGGTGTAGTAGAACTGATGCTGTGCTAGGGTCCATTGATAATGCGAATTTCTTTTTTGTAAGTGCGCGGCTAATACCCTCTTTGTCGTTCGCCGCCTCGGTAAGGGAAAAAACCGCGTTCGGAGACAGATTGCGGTCAATGTGTCGGGCTTTAGGCTGCGCGGTACAAGAAAGACATATCAACATCGTAATCTTCTCCACCTCAAATGCTGTATCCAAGGCGGTCCGTTTGTAGGAGGGATGATTTATGCTGCAGTACTGGAAGTCAAGTAAGCAGGCAGCAGGAGGATCCAGGGAGATGACTTACCGATCGGAGGAGCTGGCGAGGTTGAGGATGATCGGCTTGTCTCTTTCTCAAGCGCCCCGGTTTCTTGTATGGGCTTTCCGGGGCAATCTGAAGGAACATGACACTGCTTTCCAGAACCTGGTTCGTTCGCGTTCGAGCGAACGCGAACGGCAGCCGACCGAGAAGTATCTTGCACACCTGACGTGGGGATGAACGGGTCTCTAGTGCCATTGACGAGGTGTCCTCGAGTTGTCCGTCAGTTCAAGCGACGGGATGACTCCCATGGTTCTTCAAACATAGAAGCCCTTCAGCAGGATGGCGCAAGGCCGACAGAACTGTCGACAGCATAGAGCAATACGTGATAACGTCTGCAGGTCAATTCCCAACCCGCTCGGCGTTGATGAGGCCATGGCTATCACACGCTCTCTCCGCGAGGTGTTCCTTCCTCAGGCCCCTCTCCTCACAATGCAATCGTATAGGATTGCGCGGTCCCAAGAGACTTTAGAAATGTGAATGAGGTGGAAGGTGAGGTGGTTCAGATATGATAGTTGGGCGGCCGCCGCAACATTATCCAATCTGAGAGGCAAGGCCGTCATGATGCCTTAATGACTTAATGACATTCCTCGCATTCAAGCTCTTCGGGAGGAGTATCGACTCAAATCCTGACCCCCACCGAAAAAGAAAGAACAGGACTGGTATGTACATACAACACCCCGCATTCTAGCTTCTACTCCGTTTGTATACCACTCTAGCATATGCTCATAGGACACTGTCGAAAGCTCACCGAATCGACGCGTCCACTATCGGCTAATGCCAACCGAACGCCACTTGCAGGCCATTGCAATCTTCTTTTCGAAATGTTCTCTTTGGAGATTCCTGGATATCCACGTCGGGTCTGGACATTGACGATGCCATATATGCGGCTGCGTACTTAGCCGTGGTTAAACAGCGAGGACCTGCACTGTAAAAGGCTGATTCTCGCCTGCATGATGCGCGGTGATTATAATGCTTGGGAGGAGGAAGATCAGCGGCGAAAGATTCAAGGCTTGCAGTGACATGCTCTTCCAATTCCTTCACAAATCAGCCGCCAGCCTTTGTCAGTTTTCCAGTGTCGGTAATGGCAATACAGTCCGGAATTGAGCAAGCCAGCCCACACACTCCATTTTGGAGTTCAAGTATCCTCGTTTGTGAGCTGCTTGAGTCAGGCAATCATTATAAGAATGCCAGAACTCATTATTCTAGACACTGGAAAGGGTCCTCTTAGTCGGGACGGCATTTCCAGTCTCCTCACAACTGCTAGACAGTGCGATGAAACGAGCAATGAAGCCTCCCAGCGACCCTATAGGTTTCTCCACTTGATCGTTTCAGTGCAGAAAGTATCCAAGGCTTTGTTAGTAAGCTGGAGTGACGCGTGAGCACCTCCCTTGCCATGAGGTTTTCGAGGACGTCGTCCGAAGCCAGAAGTGTTTGAAGAAGACGATCTGGTGCGTTGTTTCGTTAGCACAATACTGACACAGGCTTATCTACGATGCATCCATCCCCTTCCCTCTGGAACCAAGGTTGTCAACTTACTTATTGGAAGCCACTGCCAGAAACCTCCATTTCACTAAAGGCAGTTCGCCAGGTATAAGGTTCTTGGCGGTCTTCTTCGTACGGCGTGCGGCGGCGGCTAGGGTGGTTGAACCGGCATGCTGTACAGTCATGCCATGAAAGATACATAATAGGACACTCTATCACTTTGCTTTTGTATACTCTTCCACGCAGGTAAGAGCCAGCGTCGTTGGGGACGTGATGCGTTTCCGCTTAGGACATAGTAACCTGCATAACAGGGAAAGTAGGTGACGTTATCTCGAACAATATGTATGGTCGTGCTTGATAGTAACCCAGCAACATAGAGAATATCTTTCTCTGACATTATGGGAAATTTTTCGAGGATACGGTAGCACGCTGTCCTACAATCTGCCCGGAAGAACATCGGCTGATATGCCCGACCGTATAGCACAGCTCCGTCGTTACATGAAGGGACGTCCTTGGTGACGCCCTTCTAAAGAACGGAAATAGCAGACAGCTATAATCGGAGCATTAGAAATGGACATCCGGCATGGCCGCGATCATGAGAAGTCGGACTTGGACTTGGCTTGCAGACAGTGTGAAAGGAACCGCCATTTGAGACCTAGCTTAGCCGTCGGTGTCACAGCAATTGCACTACGATTTTCCAATACTTGTCTCCATAGCATCGAGGAAAGATCTCGCAGCGCATCCCATTTGGCTCGGGTCGGAATCCCATTTAAAGAGATTATTGGAGTCGTCGGAGAGGGTTGTCGCTGCTGCAGCCGCTTTGTCTTCGTCTATCTTGGCCTGCATCTTTGCTATGGCGTCACGTAGAGTGTTTCGGCGGGCAGGCTAGAAGATATGTGCAGGGATAGTCCGGTGAGACTTGGCAATTTCCATCGCTTGAGTTGTGTGAGGATTGTACAGCGGAGTGCCTGTCCTGGTGTATCCAAGTTCTCAGGGGTTGGCGGTGCTCTTGTAGGCATCGGCCTCGGCTTGGAGGACAGTAAGACCGGTCTTGCGGACATGGTGCACAGCTTCAATTTCTAATTTGATGTTTCTCCTAACGCATTCATAATAGTGAGCCTTAGAACTCTTCATCGTCTGGCTCCTAGCCCCGAACACCACATAGAGGCACCACATAATGTTGCAGATCTGTTTAAGCGTCGTACACAGGTATCCTGTACAACTGGCCTGTAAAATCAAGAGAGAAAGAAAAGGCTTCCCTGTTGAATTATACGTACCTTAATAAAACCCGGGTTAATCAATCCCTATCCTTCAAACCAGAACACGGCGCAAACCAACCTCCTCCTTCTTCTCTTTCTTCCGAACACCATCTCTCCGTCGCTCTGGGAGCGAGACAAATGCTTTTCTCGAGGTCAATAAGAGCTGTAGGCAGGCACCAAATTATCTGCAGGTTATACCAAAGCATCAAAATTGTTCGAGTCGTGCAGTGATCGGTATGATTCTGTCGATAGGCGCCCTGCAGCATAATTGTCCAAACCTATCCTTGGAGCATTACCAAGAAAACCACAGGATCACCGTACCTTAAACCCGCTGGCCAAGCCATGAACTGGCTTTCCGAATCAAGCTGCATCTGGCAGCTACGTAACCAATGTCATCTTGCACCCGTGACTATCAGACCGTATTAGTACTTGAGAAGCAAGTGTGGAAAGGTATTTGGGATCTATCTCACGAAGTTATCTCATTTCATTGACCTTGAGTCAGCTCAGCAAGACTGCGCGTTCATATTACGGATTGAGATACTCTCTGGCATTCAGGCGAGAGGGTGAAAGAAATCTTTTCCCGGCCTTCAAGATATCAATGAATGGGTATGGATGTACGGGAGTTGAGAGAACCGGGATGAGTTTTACAGGAGATAACGGCTGGGAATCCGTGAAATCTCGTCGTGAGGACAAGAGGTCTTTTGACATCGTTTGGTGCGGATGGGTTTATTTGCGCATGTTCAGTGTATATGCCCGCTCAAGATGAAATAGATGGAAAGAGATAGACAAGGATACATGGGCAGTGGAGAGGTGGCGGGGTGGAGGAGTGGGTAGAAAAATAGGGAGTGGAGGAGGTTGGGAAAAGTGGAGGGAAGAGAAGGATTGAGAGGCAGAAAGTCAAGAGGGGCAGGCGTTTACCTTCATCTGACAGACTGACAGCAGAGTGAATCCGATATAGAGATAGAGAATAGAGAATGGGAATGGATCATACATTTCACTGGAATCTACCAGACAAGATGTATGTACGTAAAGTGAATGACCAATGGGCAGGAGCTAACCCTAGTAGCATAGGATTCACCCGGAGACCATTGTGTCTGGTGAATACAATAATGTGCAAGGCAGTCAGGCAGACTACGTCATAGCCAATGCCAGTCCAACATTGAAACCATTTTCTATTCTACAACTCTATAGCTATAAAATCAAGCTTCAGCTCCAAGCTTGGGACAACCTTGAGTATCCATTCACTACCTACCATATTTCCTTCTAGACCTTCCAGACCGGCAACCTAACCCGACTAAACCAGTCTCATACGCAACCCCAGGATCAATACCAGGGGCAGACGATGCCTCGGTTGACGGACTCCGGCCCTCTTCTCGGCTTGCCGATCCAACAGCCGAAGGGATTGCTTGCGTGACCCTCAGCGGGTCTCTTGCTATTCTTCCACCCAATGCGACTGCAGACTCGACTCGCAGGCCCCTCTTAGTGCCGGACGAAGTGTCCATCCATGATTCAATGCTCCTTAAGCCGTTTCTGCATGGATGGTCTGACTTTAAATCATCCGAACCACCCAGCAAGATAGCCACAGCATGTGGGTTGAATGAACCATTCCATAAAATAAGAAAAATTTTCTCTTTCGTTCCTGATAACACCATGAGGTCGATGATCCTCGTAATATAGTAATAAGCTAAATCTCAATCCATATAAATAGGGAATCGTTCCCCTGTATTGACCTCATTTTGTTGCACCAAGCAATGTGCCAAGCCCAGCGCCGCGATCGCTTCCCCTCCCGTCGGACTCGGCATCATGACTTCAATCACCAGTACTGACAAAGCTCCAGTCCGACCGGCTCGCATCCCCTACTGGCGGATGCTTTTCGACCACGGCGCTGTGACCGAGGAGATCATCAACTACCCTTACACCGGTCGGGGCACCGAGGATGACCCCTATATCGTGGAATGGATCCCGGACGATCCGCGTAATCCGATGCTCTTTTCCAAAAACCTGAAATGGAGCTTCACCATCATCGCCGCCTTTGCCACGTTCGGAGTATCCATGGCCTCGTCCGCTTATGCGGGCAGTATCGGCCAGATCGTCGAGTATTTCGGCGTTGGGACTGAAGTCGCCACACTGGGAGTGTCGCTGTTCGTGCTTGGCTTCGCGGTCGGCCCGTTGGTGTGGGCGCCTCTCAGTGAATTGATAGGACGGCAACAAGTCTTCGCCATCTCGTACCTGGGTCTGGCAGTATTCTGTGCGGGTGCGACTGGGTCGCGAAACTCGTGGACCTTGATCATCCTTCGCTTCTTCGCGGGCTCGTTTGGGGCATCGCCCTTGACAAATGCAGGCGGCGTGATTGCAGACATCTTCCCCGCAGAGGAGCGGGGACTGGCGATGAGTCTGTTCGCGGGAGCCCCATTTCTGGGTAGGATCTGTGGTTCCATTCGAGAAGGTAAACACGCTGACCAGGACGTTTAGGACCAACGATCGGGCCCATCATCGGCGGTTTCTTGGGCGAGAGTGCCGGCTGGAAATGGGTGCAGGGCCTCTTGGCCGCCTTCTCGGGCCTCATCTGGATCATCCAGTGTCTCTTGGTCCCCGAAACCTATGCACCGTTGCTGCTGCGCGCGCGAGCAGACCGGCTATGCAAGTTGACCGGGAAGATGTATATCAGCAAGCTGGACTGTGAGCGAGGTCGGGTCTCCGTGGCGACTGCGTTTGGAGCGGCCCTGCTGCGTCCATGGGTATTGCTCTTCGCCGAGCCGATCGTTCTGCTGCTGTCGCTGTACATGGCCATCGTCTATGGCACGCTCTACATGCTTTTTGACGCCTTCCCGATCGTGTTTCAGGAAATTCGTGGCTGGAGCGAAGGCATCGGCTCTTTGCCATTCCTGGGAGTCATGGTCGGCATGATGTCAGCCGTCGCCTACAACATGTACGACAACAAGCGCTACAAGCGTCTTCACGAGCAACACAAGGGCTTTGCGCCCCCCGAAACCCGTTTGCCCCCGACGATGATCGGTGGGATCACCATCCCGGTCGGATTATTCTGGTTCGCGTGGACCAACGGCCCCTCCGTACATTGGATCGTGTGCATCATTGCGGCAGCACCCTTTGGCTTCGGGATGGTGCTCGTGTTTTTAAACATTATGTCGTACTTAATCGACTCATATACAATCTATGCGGCGTCCGTTTTGGCAGCGAACTCGATCATCCGAAGCTGCTTCGGCGCCGGTTTCCCCTTGTTCACGACATACATGTATAACAACCTGGGGATCCATTGGGCGTCGTGCATTCCAGCGTTCTTGTCTCTGGCCTGTCTGCCATTCCCATTCATCTTCTATAAATATGGAGCTACCATTCGACGGAAGTGCAAATACTCTGCTGAGGCGGATGCCTTCATGCGCAAGCTGGCCGAGAAGACGCTGCACCACCCGGAGAAAGAGACTGAGGCGGAGGACGAAGAGGCAGAGGCGGTCGCAGACGAACTAGATGTAACTGCCATAGACCAGGAGCTGGATTTAGAGCGTGGGGGCTCAGCTTCCACGGAAGGTCACTCGCAGCAGCAGTACGAGGCTAATCCGTACGACATCGACCGGGTCAACACCCGCAATTCCGCCATCACTCAGCGGTCGCGCTCGCGCTCAGTCCAGTCCAGGCGGAAGAAGTGGCTGGGATTCTAGTCACGGATGATACCATTAATAGCGGCACAAGCCACCCCGGGATGCCATAATATAGCATAGCCTCGCATAGCATCCAGAATTAATTATTAGATTTGTCTTTCATTATCTTCAGAACGGAAGAGATCCAAGATGGGCCGCCGACAATTCCAGCCTACGGCTCCGGTAGCTTTTCGGGCGTATCCGATCGGATGGTATCCCGAATCAGTCCGTCAAAGTTGGGAGACCAGGCTACACGGGGAGTCAAGAAGGGTAGATCCCAAAGTTCCGCCACATATCTCAAAATGGAGGTGTGAGTGAAATCGTTCGGCTGGTCCGTCGGTCGGTGCTGTACAAACCCCTTGTCGACCCAGGGCGAAATCAGCAAAGTAGGTACCCGTACTCCCAGCCGATCGAATCGGAAGGTTGTCTGCGTGCCATCCCGCGCTGCCTCTGTATATGTAAGGTTGTCCCCTGCAGGTACATTTTCCGGAGGGGGAACATGGTCCGCAAACCCGCCGTGCTCGTCAAAGGTGAGAATGAACAGAGTCTCGTTCCACTGTGGGGATGCACGCAGCGCCTCGTAGAGACTCTTCAGGAACCCCTCTCCGAGGTGAATAGGCGACGGCGGGTGGAAAGAAGTGAATGAGCAGCATTCCGGATTGATCCAGGTAAACTGGGGCAAGGTGCCGGCCTTCGCATCTTTATAGAATTGATCGATGGGTTTGACGTTCGAGACCCCGTGACCGGAGATCTTCGTCCAGGAGTAAAAAAGCGCATCGGGGAGAAACCCGGTTGTGTTGGAGTAGTTGATCCAGCTGATTCCCGCCGCCGACAGCTGCTCGAAGATGGAAACCTGGGGTAGGGAGGACGAGTCGAAGTCGGGATCATTGGTTCCGTGGCCGTACGAAGTGCCGGAGGTGAGGTAGGCGCGATTGGGGTTCGTTGGGCCTGGAACTGAAGCGAACCAGCGATCGAAGAGAACGAAGTTCTCCGCCAGCGCATTGAGGATCGGTACGCGTTCGGGTGGGTAGTAGTTGATTACCTCGGCTGCCCGACCGAGGTTCCCGTTCAGACCGTATGCGCGGACCTGCTCTGTCACGAACCCCTGCATGGTCGGACGGTCTACTTCAGGATTGGGGTCGTAGGTGCCATAGATCTGCAGGTTTCCTCCGGCGATGCTGTGGTCGGGGTCGTCGGGCGCAATGTCCTGAGCTGTGGGCTTGGCGCAGACTTGAGGGGAGTCCGGATCGGAGATATCGGCTGGGTTGCAGTATTCGGTGCGGATGAGCCCATCGATGTCAGCATTGTAGGTCAATCCGCCTGCGAACGTGTCGAAAGAAAGGTTCTCCTGCACGACGACGACAACATTCTTGATTGGGCTGCGCGCGGGGGGTTTTGTGCCACCAACGGAGTCTTGTGAGTGGCCGGAGATAACACGGCCGAGGAAAAAGAATATTAGCAGAGAGAGTATCGTGAGGACAAGAAGCAGAAGTGTAATGAGTGTACTCCGGACGAGAGAGTGCCGGAGTGGTGGTTGTTTATGTACGGGGTAGTCCTCGGGGTTTGTGGGGTCATCGCCGTGAGGGAGGAGTCTCCGTTTCTCGGATCTGAGCATTCGATCCGGCTCGGGCGATGAAGAGGTTGACGACGACAACGACGACGACATTTTTGTGTTGATAATACCTCCAGAAGCAGTGTAACTCAGGAGGAAGAAGCGAAAAAGGAAGGGAGAAGACACTGCAGGTGAAAGAAGGACATCCGAGCTGTAATAATGTAGACAGGCGGGGGCGGGGCACTTGACTGAGTCAGCTGCAGATTCCCACCCGGTGATTTGCTGCAGCTCAGTTAGAAGCACCAATCATAGAAGCTACTGCTCACCGTGGCTAGAGAGACACGCATTCATTGGCCAGACTTGTGGATAAACAACTTTGTTTCCTAATTCAGAAGTCTCCGGGTGAGCCGATCACATGCTTCCAAGTTGTACTGATTGATCATGAACAATAGACAACATTCAATCACCATTCAGAATTCAATTAGAAGTTAATGAGAAGTACTGGACCATGTACTAAGTACTAGGTACAGTACTAGATACAAGTACCATTCAATCCAACCGCTGCGCGAACCGCAACTCATTCCTCCCAAAATCATACACCGACACCACATTTTTCAAAAACGACACCCCCAGAATATTCAACATAACGCCCTCATACGCCACCGTTTCCGACGACGCAAGCAGCGACACACAAGTCCCGTCCCCAGTCTGATAAATGAGATCCCGACCATCATGGTAGAAGGTTTGATCCCCGATCCGGACTCCACAGGTGGGCGTTTCTGCATTGCAGCCACCACGTACACCCGCAGCGCATTGTCATACATCGCCGGCGGGGAGAATAGGGCGTTGATAGGTTCCACCACCGCAGCAGGAAGAAAGCTGAACTCGTTTCCGGTATCGGTGAAGGCCTGGAACGCCGTCGTGTTGGTTGTGGTGTTCTCCGCGTGAGGTTCGCCGTACGTGACGGCTGATACCGTGAAAGCCCAGTAGGATCGGCTGCGTTGGCCCGAGGTGAACTTGGCGGGGATGTTGTCCAGGATCTCCACGGGCACGACGGAGAAGTACGGGACGTGGGGTACAGGGGGTAGGTCGCCGAGGGTGAGGTAGCCTCCAAAGGTCGAGGTCGAGAGATTGAGCGGAGTCTACGCGAGAGCGATGCTAAAGTAGGCATCAACCAGGCCTCGTTCATACATGGTGTTGAACAGGGGACTGTAGACTGTCCGGTTGTAGAAGAACGTCTTGTTGTCTGCATGGTTGCCAGGATGGGCAGACGTGAGAGATGGGTAGCCCAGACCCAGCACGCCGCTGTTGACGCCGTCGCCCATGGGGTTGCTCTGGTCGGCGATCCCAACCGCTTGCCCTTCGACAGTTATCCCGGCTAAGGTGATGTCCTCGTAGGCCATGACTCCGCTGGCGATGCCATTGCCGTACTGGACGCCAAAGGTTTCGTTCTGGATCTGACGATAAGTGCAAGATTGGTCGTAGGTCTTAGCACTGTAGAGACAGTCGGCTTCGGGGATCTCAAGGTTGGTCGTCGCGTTGATGCACGTAAAGCCTGACCGCATCACATATGTGTCACTGCTGCCAGTGTCAACCAGGAGTTGAAAGATCTGGTTGCCGAAGGTCACATCGACATCGAACGTGGTGCCATACTGGGCAGCAAGCAGTGAAGCAGTATTGGAGGGCGTGTGACATGCACAACGTCTTGTAAGAGGAAGTGTGGCCGCGATACTTCCTACAATGATATGGCTCGCTGAAATTAAGAATAAGAGCCTCATATTGAGTTTCAACTTCAAGTGTCTGGCATGTGAGGATACTGCGGACTTCTACTCAGGAGTTGCCTCTCCCAGTTATATATGGTGTTTCCATCCCCAACACAGGACGGTTGCCTACAGAGCTAACCCTCGCATATTTCATTCCTCAGATTATCCCCCACGCGAGTTTCGAATCTCTCTAGCATCAGATCCACATGAATAGGCAGAAGCCACGGAGAAGCACAAAACGGCCCGAAAGCACGATGACGGCCGAGTCCGCCGTTGCGCCGCCAAGCCCTCTCGTATATTTTAGTTCTTGATTAGTGTCAGCCCCCCTCAATCAGCCTCATCCACCTCCAACAATCATGAAAAGAGCACGAAGAAGCACACCCAAGGTTCGTTCTGGCTGTCTGACCTGCAAGTGCGTCTTTTCCCCGGGCTTCCCACATCCCACACGTTGTCCATCCCAATTGACTTACCAACAATGACAATCTATGCAGAGCGCGTCGCATCAAATGCGATGAAACAAAACCCACTTGCCAACGATGTACTCACTCCAACCGCACATGTGAAGGATACCTAGCATCTTCCGACAAAGCCTCCGGTTCCCCGGCGACGAGCCTCTCTATCACAACCTACAGCATTCCCTTCAAAGTCCCTGGAAGTCAAGTCGACCGTCAATTGCTTCACTTCTACTGCTGCCAGGCAGCAGAGAGTCTGTCGAGCTTCTCCGACCCCACGCTATGGACGCGTCTAATTCTCCAGCGCTGCCACACCCAACCCATCATCCGGAATGCGCTGGTCACACTGAGCGCACTCTACCAAGACCACCACAGCCGTTACTCGGACGAGGGAAACTCACCAACACAGCCCTCGCCAAGGAACCTCCAGCTAATCGCGAGATCCCATCGACAGCTGCGCATGCACCTCTCCTCCCCACAGGCCTCCTACGAAGTCGCCTTGATCTGTGGAGTGATCTTTTATGCCTTCGAGTCGCTGATCGGACAGACGGAGAACGCCATCCGCCATCTCGATCAGGCGTTGATCCTCTTCCGACGATACCGGTATCAATACCATCTTCTTCAACAGAATGGCCGTGGCATCGGGAACGATATCTTCCCCCATCTGAGCTCGCGCCTCGCGCGATTGGACATCCAAGCCAGCATATACCACGACTCTCGCCCTGTGGTACTAGCCAGCAGTGAACCGATCAGGCCCATCTCTGAACTAGCGCCTCACAGCATGCCTTTTAGAGACGTCAACCATGCGGAAACGCTCCTCGTCGACCTCCAGGCACGTCTCTTGCAGCATCTTCTCCTGTACCTACCCTACAAGCGAACACCGCTCAACGACCTTCCGCCGGGAATCTTTCATAAGCGCGTTGCTCTCGACGCCGCATTCCAGGAATACATTCATTCCATCACCAATGTTTCCCTAGCCGGTGGCTCAAGAACCGCACAGCACATTCTTCTCCTGCGGATCCAAGCACAGCTATTCCACAGCGTCTTACTGGAGAACGTGCACGCACCAAGTGTGTCTTCGCCTGCTGCCGACGCAGACTCTGCTTTAAGCGCCGCTCTGAGCAATATCTCCGCTCTCCTCGATGGGACAGTCACCAGCCACCGTGATGTTGACGCTCTCAGCGCCCGACAAAGTGACCGAACCGAACGCGGGTTCACACTTTCCACGCAGCTTATAGCGGGTCTGTACGTCGTCTGTCTGAAAAGCAGCGATCCTTTCAATGTAGATGCAGCGTTATCCTTGTTGCAAGATCCCAGATTACCGCGACGGGATGGGCTGTGGGATGCAGATGTGGTAACTGAAGTGGTGAAGAGATTAAGAGATACGGCCGGAAGCAGCAGTGAGAGCGACGTCGATGCCGTCTGCGATCAACGATCGACTCCCCCAGATGCCCGCTTGGAAGATATTGGTAGGGAAATCTTAGATGCAGAGGGCATTCACGGAGTGGGCGATATTCTCGATTCGATGAAAAGGGATCAATCATTGCCTTGTTTGGATGAACCTTCCATGTATCGGGTGTCTCTCCCAGAGTCGATGAACGACAATATGGCCGGAGTGCCAGAAATACCTAGATAATGCGGACACCTCTTTAGAAGAGACATTTGACCACTCCGAGGGGGCAGAAGGTGTACGACCTGACATCCTGATATAGGTCAGTAGACAAACGGAGGAGCGATTTGGTCCAAGGCTTCATTCGTTGTAGACCTTCGTTCCTGGAGCTGTGAAAACACCCGAGTTGCGCTTGATCGCAACAGGAGAACTGGCTCTTGTACCGCGAACCACATCGACTTACAATGTAAGCGAGGCCCATCTCCTCACTGTGCGTCAGCAAAACTCTCTTGGTATTCATTGATGAAGCAGGCAAGGACCAGACCAAGCCTGCCAAGACCACTCTCAGCAGATTACTCATCGGAAAGTGGAATCTCCGTCGGCAATCATCGCCTAGACTCGGCCATCACTGTCAAGGATCTGCTCAAAGATCGTTCCGTGATCAGTTGGAAATGGGCACACATGTACTATCCGGCTCTCCAGCATGCAGTGACTGACAATACCTGCCTAGTATATGGCTACTCTGCATGGCGTCACTGTCATCTCTCGCTCCAACCAGACATACGCCGTATAGGTTCCTGATTCGTTCGTCAATTGCCGCGATATTCGGGTTGACGGGAACATGTATCGACCCAATCGGTGGCATCAAATTGGAGGAATGGCGTCAGTATGGAACCAAGTGATGAGATCTGATGGTCGTTGCGAAATTCCTATGGGAGATGTTGCTTTGTCGGCAATCACAGTCTGATTGTCCCTCATATATAAATGACGATGCTAGTCTGCTTTGAATCGTATATTGATCGGAGGCTGGAGGACGAGTACGGACTGCTCTCGCATATCTTCCCACTGTCCCCCTTATTTAAAAAAGTCCTTGCACGTGCACATCTGTTCATTGCAGACGTCTTTACCCGTTGCTGCGTGATTGGAAAGCGACCTGAGCTAAGCTATTCGGCAATTCCCTCCGCTTCATCGCTTCCTGGAGGAACGGGTTGATCTGCCTGGCTTCTCCACACTGACAAGTCGTCCTTGAAAAGAGACTCTGCAGTGTCGCATAACTGGTCCGGAGCGCTCACGGAAGAATATACCTGAGAACGCTATGACCGTTGGAAATGTTGATTTCCGTAACCTACTTAGCATTGTGATAAAAATAGTCGGCCCGGCGGGCATTTTCTCGAAACATGTCTTTGGGAGCTGTCGATATGGGATGGACGCCTGGAGACTATTATCGACCTCCTCATTGCTTCATCCCGACCGTGCATTTTTGATCTGGTGTGAAGCAGATTCTTCCCCTCTCCCTGCCCTTCTCAAATTTTTTGGACTTCTCTGGATCTTCCACGCCGGTGACAAGTCTGTGTATCATCGAACTCCGTGGGGATAAGATTCTCACCGTCTGCTGAAACTTGATTGGCCTGCAACCTCGACGGTCAGGGGACCCCCCTCGACGTCAAAACTTCAGTGAATTGCCAATTGGGAAAGCGTAGTGGAGCAAAGTAGACAACCGGACCCAGTTGTAGCGCGACAGGGGTTCCTGAAATGCCCCGGAGGCCAAGACATTCGCAAAGTTCCAAGCATTTTTCCAGAACACGGAGTGACTCCTGAATTTCTGATTCTGCTGATCACCGCCTCATTTCCCGCTTTTTCTACATCGGTGGTCCGCTTCAGTCGAACATCGGACTGAGCAAGTAAGGACGACGGAGTAGCCAATGTTATGGTGAATGATGATTGTGAGTTGAGGTTATCAGTATCACTGGTAAATTCTCAACCGCCTGAGTTGCAAATAGACTTCCCGGGGTTGTTGGTTGATGATGACGACGCAAGCGGGGCATTGCCCTTCGTTCGCAATCATCGGTTGCGAGAGTCGGAACAGATAAGATAACCAACCTAAATGGAGTATTTAGTCCCGAGTTTCGGTTCTGAGATATGCAGTACTGGCGGACCCTTGGCAAGAACCAATGACCGATTGCGGGTGCTGACTCGAGCCGAGCGATATCCTCAGTAGAGTCGTCACCCTCGTTACCGCCACGCTGTGGGCCAGACACAAATTGGGAACCGACTGCCAAGGTGGACTGGCTGGAAGACTTGATCCATTGTGGTCATCTTGGCACACCTTCTCTCACATCACATCAAGCTGCCCTGGTCCTGCTTGCGTGAGTGCCCCATCGTAATGGTCATTGGTTCCCACTGGTTCATTTCTGCGCCGCGTGTAGTGAAATGGGTTCTCCACCTCCCTCCGGCTATCTGTCTCGGAAACCAGTACCATTATGGATGCTCAAACAAATGACACATACTATACTGTCTGGCTTGATATAATTTCAGCCGCGATGGCGGAATAAAGAGCCAAGCCACAGTCGTTGGCAGGGGCTGGTGCCTTCGGTCGATCCCCAAATTGTCTCCAGTCTTTGACTGTGGCTTTTTTTATAAAGGAGAGCACGACCAGCTCTAGTGTCGCCTCGTGCCCCTCTCCGGCCGTTTGTGTCTCCATCTCTCATCGCGATGTTCCAATGTCCTCGGGGACTCGCACACTGTCATGCGTCCATCGTTTGCGGCCAAGGCTCTCTGGCCTACACGTTGCCACGATAGGCGCCCTCGTTAGTCTGCTGTACCTATTCTACACCTTTGCCGTACCACAGCTGCGACGGCTGCATCTCCGGACAGACTTGAGCTGGTATGATCTGGGACTCTATGGGTTCGGACCTTCCCAAGACTATGTCTCTTTCGATTATGAGTCTCCAGTAGTCCAAATCTTGGAAGCGGGCTCTGGATGCGACTCGCGATTCACCTTCCTGGCTCCCAGAGGGGACTCCATTGCCCAGCCGGGGCCCATGATCCTCGATTCCAGAGGCGAACTTATTTGGATGAAGCACAACTGGGAAATCACTCAGGACTTCAGGGTCCAAAGGTATGAGGATGCTGATTATCTCACATATTGGGAGGGTGACGAGATCGAAGGTAGAGGTTATGGGGCTTGGTATATGGTGGGTAGTGTCGAAGACATCTCGATCGTCCAATAGGCTAATCCGCCACAGTTGGATTCCACGTACACCCAGCGATATGTAATCACCCCTGTTGGAAGCTATGGTGGTGACCTGCATGAGTTTCACATCACACCTCAAGGAACCGCTCTCGTCACGATTTATGACCCAGTGCTTGCCGATTTGACCTCAGTTGGAGGGCCAGAGTTGGGATGGATATATGATGGCTTATTCCAGGAAATCGACATTGCGACAGGCGAACTGATTTTCGAATGGCGTGCATCGAAACATTACCCGATCAACAGCACTTATGAAAGCTTGGGCAAGTCTGGGATGGCCCGATCATCAGCCTTCGACTACTACCACATCAATAGTGTCGACAAAGATGAGGATGGAAACTATATTGTTTCAGCGCGACATACTCACACCATCAGCTGCATTGACAAAAGCAGCGGTGTGGTGTTGTGGACGCTCGGAGGCAAGCTCAATGAGTTTCGGGACCTTTCGAATGGAGAGGCGACCAACTTTGCTTGGCAACACGATGCGCGCTGGCATCCCAATAGCACGCTTACTCTGTTTAACAACGCAGCGCACTCGACGAGAGACCCTGACGAGGAAAGCCACGGCATGATGATTCACCTTGACCTCGACGCTCGCGAAGCGACCCTCCAGGCTGCTTACCATCACCCCCAACAGATGAAAGCTGTTTCGCAGGGGAATCTTCAAATGCTGGGCGACGACGGCCGTGTGCTAGTGGGCTGGGGCCATAACGCCGCCTTCACCGAGTTCAGCTCTGATGGGGAGATGTTGTGCAATGTTCATTTCGGAGCCTCGGCGTTCTTTGGCTTTGGTCGCGTGGTGTCGTACCGTGCTTTCAAAAGCGACTGGGTTGGAAGGCCACAGACTGCTCCGGACGCCGATGTGGTAGGCGATCGGGTCTATGTCAGCTGGAACGGGGCTACAGAGGTTGCCGCATGGCAGCTTGAGACTTGGCTATCTGGTGAGCTCGAAAACGCTGCCTTCAAGGTGGTGACACAAGTCGAGAAATCCGGGTTTGAAACCGAGCTCGAGATTCCGGAGAACCTGGAAGGCCCTCTGTTTCGACTGGCGGCACTGGATTTGGATGGCAACGTCTTGGGTGTTACAGAGCTGTTGCAGAGGGAGCAGAGGAGTGTCATGGAACAGCTTTTGAATATGCACTACTGGATCTTGGGCATTGCTTTCGTCATGAGCGGCCTCGGTCTGTTCCTTGGGTTCTGCAAGTGCTGCGGCTTTGATCCCAGCCCCCATCGATGGCGCTGTCGGCCTTCTGAATATCGGATGGTGGCTTTTAGCGACACTGATACAGTTCAACAGTCGGTATAGGAGCTATTCTAATTCTGAACGAGCTCGACACATCAACAACAGCCATCCGTCCTTGACTTGGAGGAGGGGTTGCCGGATCCTGTCAATCTTTCTTGTGAATAATTCTTGAGCCTTGTACATATGATACCCTTGTTCGTTCAAGCCAATATGGAGAAAAGACAGTCATTTCTTGTGAAACGACTGCTTTCATTTGCGACTTTCCAGCCTTGCAAAGCGGGCGCGCAGAGCAGCGTGCATGGCCTCCGAGGTCAAGTACAATTGGTCTCTGAATGAGTGACGAGCGGATCTTTGCTTCGCGCACATAACAAAGCTGCCATGGTATCAGAAATAATCTCTTCTGAGCCTGGTAATTCGAACAGCCCAGCAAGGCGAAAGATGGAAGCTAAAGTCAGGTAAGGTAGAGAGCAATTGTGATAGACGTGGTGACATGCGACCGAAAGGAGCAAGTGCCGGCAGCAGGTGACCTAGCCAGGCACCATGACATTAAGGCACCGAGGCATCAACTGACTCGGACAATCCCCAGGCGATAAGGCGATAAGGCAGCAGTTGAGGGCGGTTATTCGCGGGGAAATGGGGTAACATTCCCCGCATGAACGCATTGAAGGACCTCGGAGCCTCTCCCTCCTCCCCCTTCTATCGGGGAGGTCTTTAAACCTCTTCTCCTGAAAGAGGAGAGAGGAAGTTCCTCTCAGCTTCTCTCCTTGATACCTTTTGTGTGTTCTTCCTCAATAATCCCCCAATCCACTACCTCATCACAACATGGCATCCCGACGCATATCATCTCGGCTATTCCACCCCCGAATCCAGGGACGAACGTATTCCAGCGCCGCCGCATCGCCGGCCTCGCGTCTCAACCTCCCCATCGACTACAAGACCACGCCCCTTCTCCATCACACGTCCTCGACCCTCCCCGACACGCTCGACCTGCCGGCCTCAACCTCATCGAAATCCATGAACCTCTACCAGGCCATCAACTCCGCCCTGCGAACCGCCCTCGCGACCTCCAACAAAGTCATGCTCTTCGGGGAGGACGTGGCCTTCGGCGGAGTCTTCCGCTGCTCGATGGACCTGCAGACGGAATTCGGCTCGGAGAGGGTCTTCAACACGCCATTGACGGAACAAGGGATCGTGGGGTTCGCGATCGGCGCTGCCGCGCAGGGGATGAAGCCCGTGGCCGAGATCCAGTTCGCCGACTACGTCTTCCCGGCCTTTGATCAGATCGTGAACGAGGCGGCTAAGTTCCGGTACCGGGAGGGGGCGACGAACGTGGATGTTGGGGGGTTGGTCATTCGGATGCCGTGCGGAGCGGTGGGACATGGTGCTTTGTAGGTGTCGGCACTTGTCTTCCATGCCGTTGAAACCGGGAAACTAACCACTAATTCGTCCTCCTCAGGTACCATTCCCAGTCCCCCGAAGCCCTCTTCGCACATATACCAGGGATCCAGGTGGTGATGCCGCGCTCACCTTCGCAGGCCAAGGGCCTCCTCCTCTCCGCGATCTTCCAACACAACAACCCGGTACTCTTCATGGAGCCCAAGGTCCTCTACCGGGCGGCGGTGGAACACGTGCCGAACGAGTACTACACGATCCCGCTCAGCGAGGCGGAGGTCGTGAAGCGCGGGAACGATCTCACCATCGTGTCCTATGGCCAGCCGCTGTACCTGTGTTCAGCGGCGATCGAGGCTGCGGAGCGCGCGCTGGGCGCGAGCATCGAGCTGATCGACTTGCGCACGATCTACCCCTGGGACCGGCAGACGGTGCTGGATAGTGTCCGAAAGACGGGCCGGGCGGTCGTCGTGCACGAGAGTATGGTCAACTACGGCGTTGGCGCTGAGGTTGCGGCTACCATCCAGGACCAGGCTTTCTTGCGGTTAGAAGCCCCTGTCAAGCGCGTGGGCGGCTGGAGTACGCATACCGGGTTGATCTATGAGAAGTTTATTATTCCGGATGTTACGAGTAAGTGCCACCCTCTCTATTTAATAGACCAGATATTGACTTTGCCGCAGGGATATATGACGCTATCAAGCAGACGCTTGATTACTGAGCCGGAGCGAGATTCTCTATGAGCGTTTCATTCTGTGTACATACATACCTGAGTGTCTATCCTAAAAAAAAAAAAAAAAAAAAAAACCTTGCACAAGCCGCCCACCGTACTGAAGCCGTAGTGACGTACTACCAGGTGCAAGTCCTCTGAACTCCCATTAGAACTATAAGATAGCCAACCCAAATCCAATCTGTCGCTAAGCTACACAACAAAACATGTCCACAACTCCTGAAGAAGATACTAGTCTAGAGTTACATAACCTCCATGCGCCTACACCGGCCCCAAATAGCAACCCCAGCCCCCAGTTCAATCAGAGAGATCCAACGCCACCACAGCGCGACTCAACAACAGCCAAGCCCCCGCATAATCAGCCTGTACAATACCGGCTTCATCAGAAACATAGAAGCAGGTGAGATTGTACATAAGCCGATAATAGGAGGATCGGCATTGAGCCTGCCCCATTTGACACATCCGATGTGGAACCGGGATCGTCGCACGATCACAATATGCTTCATCTCATTGACAAAATGGTCTCTCGTCTTTTTTCATGCTAAGCTCATCGAGAACATATCGCGATCAAGCATAAGCGGGATGTCGAGTGGGCTTAGTTCTACCAGTAACCATAAGGGCAGGGTTACAAACATGTCTCCTTTCTAAACGTAAGGTTACTTGAGTTCTTTAGCGATTAATATTGTTCCGAAGCTCTCGTCAAGACAACGAGTGGATCCGAGTCAGAGTGAATATTTACAAAATGTGTCTCCGTACGATGATAGAATGCGCACGGCAAGTGATCCAGGGAGAGCGGATGCCAGAGCATGGGCCGTCAAAGATAACTGACTGCTAGCATACCACTCATTCACCCTCTAGCCGTATGCAAATTTTCTGGACGTTGTCGTCGAAAGTGTCGCTGGAGATCTTGATGGCATCGGTGTGCCAGGTCTTACCGCCATCGGAGATGGTCAGGCCGTTGGAGCTGGAGCCGCTGTAAAGGGAAAGGGTGTTGCCGAGCTTGGAATCGGCCTCGCTCAGGTGGATTGTGATGTTGTTCCAGCCTGTAATTCCCGAGAATCAGGCACCACGCTCAAAATAAGACGTGTCAGAAGGATCTAAACTTACCGTAGGCAGACTGGGTGCCGCAGGTACCGGATCCAGTGTAGCACTCGTCACCGGAGTAGAGGTACAGCAGGTTGCTGTCGAGCTCTGTTGTTCAAGTCAGCACGTGCTATATTCATGATGAGCAGACCTGAGCTAAATGCTTACGGTCGGTCTCCTTGAAAACGACCTTGCTGTCGATGCTGACGACCTGGGTTGCCTTGCTGTTCTCAATGGTGACTGTCGCGTTTCATGGTTAAACTTGATGTCAGCAATGAAAGTTGGTATCTGTGTGCTTACCCTCAGAGCCGACCTGGCTTTCCTTGGGGACGGTCACGTAGGCCTGACCGAGCTGACCACCTGCAGCCGCAATTAGCACATCTCGCAAATTTCGACCAGCTGATACCTAGAGACTTACTAGGAGTGTAGGTGCTAGCAGCAACACACCACTCTTCAATGCTAGCAGAGCAGCCCCTTGTCGCAGTTAGCTGACACGGCCTCTGATTTATGAATGCAAGGAGATTATACGTACTGAGACTCCTGATCAGGAGACCAGTTGGGCAAAGGCTGGTACAGGTATGAGCTAGTCTCACCGGCAGTCGCTCGAAGGCCGATCCAGAGCGAGGCCCGGACCTCATCGCTGGTGTCCTGGACACTGGTGCCCTCAGGGGCGCCGGGGGCGATAACCGACCAGGTCGCCTTTGTGATGTGAGCGCTGTTGGAAGGAGGGCCAGTGTAGAACCCGTGGCCAAAGGCTCAGGCATCCTTGGTAACGGCCGCAGCGCGGAGGGCGAAAGCCAGAAGAGCAGCAGCGTAGACAGAACGCATGGTGATTGTAATGAAATTTATCGATTGGATAACGAAAGTAATAAAGCGAACCGGCCGCGAAGAAAGAATGACTGCAAGCAGGACTGTGAATGAAAGACTGAATGAGAGAATGATCAACCCGTGAAGAGCAGCGCGCCGATCGCCAGCCTATAGAAACAATTGGCACTGAGGATGGAAGGCGGTTGGGGTGAAGCATTAGTCGTAAGGCGCGCCGACTAAGGGCTTGTCTCAGGAGGTAGGTGGAGTCCGGCGCCATCGCAGACTCCACCACTGCCCTCATTGCCCTCGGTTTAACCTGAAACAGATACGCTTTAAGCTTGATCCGTCCGCACCCTGGAAGATTTCGAGCTCCAATCTAACCGCCGACGCTTGTCGCATTTAAAGTTTCACGGGCGTGTGAATTCCCGTATTCCGTATTTCTTGCCTCATACGGCATTTCACCACCTCGTGGCTGTTCATCTCTTGGCCCTAATTGATTATCTCGTTTGCGTGGTTGCTTAATTGATGCTTCAAGGTGACGAAGAAGCCCCCAGGGCCTCTCTCAACAACTTCCACTTCCGGCGAATCGAGCCGTCACCCGCCGAAGCTATTAATGGCTCTCACCCTCAAGGCCATTTCAGGCTGAATGCTGCGGGATTGGAATTGTCCGGGCGGAAGTTTCGTGGTGTCAAGCTTGCCCGATGGATCTATAGCATCAGAGAACTAAGCTTCTGTTGGGTGGCATCGAGACCAACAAGATATCAGCCCCTTTTCTAAATCGTATTTCCGAGGCAGGACCTGATTTCTCAATGTGCCCGATGAGCTCGCCATCGACATTCCAGCGATCTCAATGAAAAGAAGATTGCCGTCGTCTTGGATATCGCACAAGAACAGGGTTTTGCGACCATACGCTGTCGGACAATCATTGAATATCCACTATTCCATCGAAGATGTACAATCATAGCGAGCTCTTGTGTGCCGCAACCAGGTCACTCGGCCTCCATCCTCAAAGCCATGCGAGCAATGAAGACAAGGAGCGGGCCGATGCAGACTTTCTTTCACCCTGTATATCAGATGTAAACATGAATGTGTCGTATGTCTGGCGTAATAGAAAATGTTCATGATTATACCGATACATAAAAAGCATATACAACACGTCGTCCATGAAATGTGCCAACTTCGATGAAAGTCATCAGCTCATTTGACACCCTCCCGTACTTTCACTACAGTGCAGCCGCAGTCGTCCAGCGATCATCGACTGCCGATGGAATCCTTTCTATCAGGGGGAGCCTGCCCGGGGAGAAAGTTCGGACATCCCACTACCCCAAAGCCCGAGTGAATGCCGTTTCTCCACCAATTTGAGCACCTCATACATGAAAAGTCGTTCAGGGCCTCCATCCGGAAACACCTCCCAGGCCACGCGCACTGGGAAAGCGAGGCGATTGATCATGTTTCCAGGGGCAGTCAAGATGTACCACTCGAGAGTTCGGCAAATACCGCACCCCAAGGCATACTGTTCTGCAGGCCCGACGCGGTCTGTCGGTCGACAATCCGCCGTTGATAGGACCAACCGTGTGGTGTAGTATAAACACATGGTCTGGGCTAAGCGGAGGTCTGGATAAACATATTTGGTAGGGGTTATAATGGCACCGGTGCGAAGGTCTCGACATTGGAAAACGGGAAACTCGTCGTTTGGTAGCGCCTCAACTTCCTTGGGTGGTCCGTCAGGGTAGTGGTCAACCCATTCCGTTTTCCACTGGCGGAAGCGATGTGTCAAGTCGGCGACGCCATTCCAGAGAGTTGCTTGTTTAACCTTGATTTCATGTGCACTCGCCATATTCGAGGCAAGAGTGGCTTGAAGGTCGTCAAACTGAGACAACAGAGCTGGAATCTCGACAGCAAGGTCCATTAAATAATGCAGTATATCTTTCTTGGTAGTCTTCGCTGACCACGGAAGATTGATCCAGTCCTCTTGAGCAAGAAAAGATGGGGTGCGGCTGACGAGGGCTGCAGATACCTGTTTACTGAATAAGTATAGAACGGTGCAACAGGAAATGAGTACATACCCAGTACGGTCGGAGTTCTGTGTATAATAAATGCTCCACACCGTGAACATGGTTCTCGGGACCTCGATGTTCGATCAATCGCAGTGCACCATTGACATGGGCAATCAGGGACACCTGGGTGGTACGCTCCACACTCTATGGAAATGATATTAGTCTCACCCAATCACGTTGAATTGTGTGGTGTGAAGCTTACCTCGAACGCCATCAGCAAGATGACAGTGACCAGGGTCGACTCAGCCTTGCTCCGCTCGGGGTCCTGTAACGCCTGCTGTAAACTGCGGAGTACCCGTGGATAAAGGCTGAATCCCGCAGCCTCGACCTCCTTGTTCTGCACGGATCGACCGAAGAAAGCCACCGATACGGACTGAAACGCGTCCATCAGGATCGGCGAAAACATGCGAATTTCCGCGGCGCGTCGCAGCGCACCCGCATGGCCTGCTTTGGCATCGACTTCTGGGCTAAAAGCATCCACGAACCGTTCGATGAAAACCTCGAGCATGGGTTTCGACGTGCTCATTTGACAGATAGAGCCGTAGCTCGAATCCTCACTGTCTTCGGATGAACTTCGACTGCCATCGCGATGGCCTGTCCGATAGTAGATATTATCTTCCGTGTCTGCACTATCATCACTCTCGTCCGATCTATAGCGTTGGGTTGTTGCGATGGTGTCGCCTGCCAAGCACCGAGGCACATATCAGCTCATGGGCTCTTGAGTCATTGTCCGCCTCCCCCCACCCGTCAAGGATATGACCCACCTTCTGTCCGTTCGCCGGATGCAAGTACCGAACCATGCGTAACGGCCCGAGAGGTCGTGCGGATACTGCTGATGATCCCATCCACGACCTCTGAGGGGGCAGAGCGAATCGTATCGACCAGGCCTTGCAGCTGCGCTAGACGGCGTCGGTTCCGGTTGCGTTGATCTAGTCATCAAATCACGAAACGTCAGCGTCAGCGCACATCCACAGCAGTCATTACTGTATCCCTTCCCTTCCAGGTATGGGTGTACGTACCACGAGCGTTGAGCTGGGCCGTCAGCTGACGGATCTCATTTCGGAGATTACGGATCTCGTCCGCTTGGCTTATGGGTTGGAGGCTATCATCGGGCCCGGTGTCGTAAGTGCATTTGGAGGGATACCCATGAGCACAGCATGCATGACAGGGTTTGACGCGATCGCACTATCACCATGGAGTATTAGAGCCAGGCTCACATGCGTGGAGACCGGCCCCAGGGGGAAGTTTTGACTCCACGAACTACCCCCAATCGAGTGGCTCCTACTGCCGCAGGTCGATATTCCATCCAATGGGTCGATGGGTTTCCCAATTGGGATGCACGATGGAGCAGCGTCGACACCATCACCAGCAGCAAAGAATCGGGTCGGGACGCACCTTGACCTTGCGGAACCGGCAAACCTTGCAGGACCGCAGTTGACGCGCAAGCTGATTCGAGGTGACGACTGACTTGGGTCGGGACTGGTCGGGGACCAGCACAGGCTGCGGATCGTGGTTGACCATCGCGGTCTAGTACCGAATAACAACTCTGGTGAAGGCGAGGTCGAGCTTCGGGGTAAGAGAGCCAACGAACGGTACGGCACGCTTGACACCAACAAGATCTGGACGAACATGTCCGAGATTTGTCCCCTCTTTTTTCGCTTTCGCTTACATCGGCACCAGCGCGCCCGGTGGCACGACAAGACCAATAACAAGCCGGGCCTGAGGCGACGGCGGCCTGGCAAAGTGGGCTTGGTTTTGGAGTGGGCTCACGGTCGGTACCGTGTTTCGCCACCACCACTTTCTTCTGGATGGATCCGTGGCGCGTTCAAGACTGGATGGGTGGGTTGGCGAAAGGCTATCTGATATAAAAGCTAGAAACCATGGTGTCAATTCGAGACACCGAGACTTTGAGCTGGGGAATGATTCGGGAGAGTTGGTTGATTTTCAGGCAGATGCGAGCAGACGAGAGTAGAAGATGAGGAGTGAAGCGGCAGAGACAGAGAGAAGAAAGAGAGAGAAAGAGTTGGTCCACACTGGGCAGTTGGTGGGTTGGCCCAAAGAGGCTAGCGTGGTTGGACTGGTTCTTTCGCTGGTCCAGGCACCGATGTTGATGCCTCAGGAATAAGTCTTCCGACTCAACGGTTGAATGAACACCATTCATCGTCCTGAGTACATTCAGAGCAGGCATATCCTTATCCTTATGAATCAACATTCCTTTACTGATCGATCCTCGATGAAATACTCTATTACTTTACACCTTACCCTATCCTTGTTTTACCTCAGATCACCATAGATCAGTAAGTGTAAGTTAGTACTTGCAGTAGCTGGAAATATATACTTTAAATCATTCCCTCTAAACATATATATGAGCTGATCCATTAATAACCAATTCAACACAAAATGACATCCTCACCCGTATTCCCCTTGATATCATCGAGAATCTCCGCCGCAGACGACCCAATCGCTTTATTATCACCCTCCGATGAACCAGGCAGGATAAGCGCGACAAACGAGCCATCAGGCTCATTAGGCTGATCCAGCACCCAGCCACCCGCAAAATAGGAGCGGTACGGGCATGAAAGATACAAGCGATAAGCATCGGAAGGGGTCATTACATCCACTTTTCCATGCTTCCGGCAGACGATCTCCTTTTCCAATTCGTTCGCGACTATACTTACCACTCTTCTGTGGTCGTCAGGGCCGCGGAAGTATCCCACCAGCTGGGGTGGTCGGCCCCCTTTCCGGGGTTCGATGGCGAAGCCCGTGCGTTTGGGCCAGGATGGCTGATTCTCCATCTCCCAGTCAACCACCCGAGCATTGGTCCACAGGGTATTTTGGTCCGCGAGCTCCACGAGTGCCCAGCCTAGATCGCGGCAGTAGAACCTCTCGTCGGCTTCCCATGGCGTATCCGGGGCCACGGGTAGCCGACCGAGCAGAACGCCGGTGCGGACATCGTATACTTGTCTGGGCCGGCATATTTCATGCGTCCTCTGAGACCAATGCTCCCCAGAGAGAGCTTCCACGTACTCGAGAAATGGCTGGACAACTGTCAGCGCGTAATACGTGTTTCCAAGCCGCACGACTCCGCCGATGAGGAATTGCTCGGAATGCATAAAGTCGGTCCGGCAGCGAGTGCCACAAAGAGTTGGGGAAGCCATACTAAGTGTAAGTCTGTGATGAATTTCCTAGTTTAGTTGTTTATCTGTGAACTGTAAACTGCGAACTGTAAACCCGGGTCCTGTTGAGTTGCGCCAAATTTATACTTCCGCTGGAAGACTTGTGAGATCATACCCCTTTGTTAGAGTATCCATTGTTCATTGGTTGTGGTTGATATTGCTGGGTCATTGTTTCAAGCTTCTTTGTTGTGGTTGCACATTTGGATTCTCGAAAGAGAGATTGTGAACGAACAGAATTCCACTAGCATACTACAAGGAGGTGAGGGCTGAGATACAAGATCTGCGCCTCTTTGATTCGAGTCATTGAGTGAGACAATACCATTGTGCCTGGCCTTTCTGGCTTGTCCAAGAGGGACTGGACCGAGTCACCTAGAATGGATGATGATAAAGAGCGTTGCAGTAGAGACGGTTGAGTGTTTGATCCATGCATCATTAAACACCTGACCATCTTCTGCAAGGTAGGATCGGAGATGGTGCGAGCCGAGGCCTAGACGGCGTTGCATGGCTTGATGGAGGCAGGACTCGACGATCCAATGTCTGCTTCGTACGTATGTGCAAATAGTTCTGACTGGCCGATCAAGCTTCCCGGGGAGGAGGGATCTGCCTAAATGGGTGGCTGCAGAGGTTTTACTCCCAGTGCCCATTGGTGAAGAAACCGGTCATCCCGTGTGCCAAGCAGAAACGAAAGATAGGAAGCTCTCGGACAGCCTCCGATGTTCAGCAGCACCGCATTCACCCTCCATTGCCATTGAGCACCAAGTGGGGGCAACCTCCGAACCCCAGACTTCTTCTCCCCGCGTTTAACAATCAAACTTTCTGTTTCCCCGCCTTTGGGTGCTGACTTGGATCGATGTCATAGCATCCCCCCACGCTTTCTGGGCTCGGTCATGCTATGTTGTATGTCTCGGACTAGAAGTGGTATATAATTGATCAGCATCTCCTCTATGCTCGTCGGCAATCATACACCCTTTCAACTTCAACCTACCCCGGGCCATTCCTCGATCATGACCAAGAAATATATCACCGACCATGAGGCCATGGGCGACAAAGTCGACGTCTCCCATGAGGAGGTTGTCCAAATGGCTCAACTGACGGAGGATGAGAAGGTGGTAGAAAAGAAGCTGCGACGAAGAATTGACAGTCTGATCATGCCACTGGTCATTCTCGTCTATCTTATGAACTACATCGATCGGTATGTGCATTGCATCTTCTCAACCCGCGACCAAAGCTGATAGACCCCAGCAACAACTACGCCGCCGCCAAACTCCAGGGTCTCGAGCAGGACCTCTCCCTCAACGACTCCCAATACCAAACCGGCTTATCAATCCTCTTCGTCGCATACATCCTCATGCAGGTCCCCTCGAACCTGCTCCTCAATTACATGGGCCGCCCGTCGCTTTACCTGGGATTCTTCACCACCGCCTGGGGCCTCGTCTCGGCCCTGACCAGCCAAGTAACCAGCTACGGGGGCATCGTGGCATGTCGGTTCATCCTGGGGCTGGTGGAGGCCCCTTTCTTCGCGGGGATCCTCTTCTACCTGTCAAAGTGGTACACCAAGAACGAACTAGCCTTCCGAATGAGCATCTTCTACTCCGGCTCGTTGGTCAGCGGTGCATTCGGCAATCTCATCGCCGCCGGAATTCTCGGGGGCCTACAAGGCCACCGCGGGATGGCGGCCTGGCAATGGCTCTACATCATCGAAGGCAGCATCACAGTGGCCATCGGGATCGCGATCTGCCTCCTGCTACCCGACTTCCCGGAAACCTGGAAACTACTTCCCCCCGAGATGAAACATGTCGCGAACCGGCGACTAGCCATCGAAGCCGCGGAGGCGGACGTCGACGAAGGCGGGAGCATGTCGCAGCTGAAAGGGCTGAAGCTAGCGTTCACGGATATCAAGACGTACGTGCTGGCGATCGCGTATATGTGTATCACGGCGGGGGCGGGGTTCCAGTACTACTTCCCGACGCTGGCGGAGACGCTGGGGTACAGCAAGATCATCTCGCTGCTGCTGGTGGCGCCGCCGTACGTGTTCATGGTGTTCTACAGCCTGTTCCACTCGTACCTGTCCGACCGGGTCGGCAGCCGGTTCTGGTTCTTCCTCTACCCGATCCCCATCACGATGATCGGCTTCATCATCTTCATGACAACCGAGAATTTCGGCCCGCGCTACTTCTCCATGTTCCTGATGAACTTTGTGTTCGCCCAGAACGGCACCCTGTACTCGTGGATCGCCAACGCCATCCCCCGCCCGCCCGCCAAGCGCGCCGCCGCCTACGCCTTCATCAACTCCATCGGCAACTCCGCCAGCATTTGGACCGCCTACACCTACCGCGAGCAGGACGCGCCGTACTACCGCCTCGCCATGGGCGTGTGTATCGGCATGCAGGCGCTGGGCGGCATCATGGCCGTGTTCATGTACTTCCATCTGCGGTTTTTGAACAAGCGGCTCGCGCGGCTGGAGGACGAGGATGCCGTACTGACGGACCAGGAGTTGGACCGGTTGCAGCGGACGGCCGAGGTGGAGGGGATCGATGTTGCGGCGGCGCGCAGGCTGCAGAAGGGGTTCCGTTATGTGATATGATTTATGATGACGAACGAACATTTTGGGTTTCTCGCATTCTGCATTAAGATTAAACTTTCTTTTGACCGATTCCGTACAAATGGTAGGCAAGAAGATGAATGAAGTGACTTACCTGCCGGACCGCTCACATGTATGTACAGACCCGCCTGCGGCAAATCGTCATCTAGCATACCGTTGATGTAGAAGAAGGCAGAGCAAACGATGGAACGACCTCAACAACCTATTCCCTGTCCCGGGACCAAGCTTGAAGTAGTCGCTAGTCAGGTTCTCAGCTACCCTCACCATTGACCGTACCGATGATCTTGAGTGGCGATGAAGGTGAGCTATCCTGTGCCCATTCCAAGGCAACTGAGCATCTCGAACACGACTCACCCAGTCAACTCGGGATTGAAGACCGGTTACCAGCTTTCGAGAATCCCAGGCGTGATCCACCACAGCAATGCATTGTTCTTGATCGCCGTTCCGCGAACAGGATGAAGAATGGTCGTGGCGATAGAGGCAGCCGTCCTGTGCTGAGGAGCTGCATTATCGCAGGCTTCACTGCCCGCATTGGGTGAGAGGATAAGATCACATGACTGGCGGGACGGTGGGTGCTCGCAATATATAGGCTTCACCGCGCTCCTCGAACGATACACCACTCATACAAGCGAGATCCATTATCCGAACTATCACCGTAAACAGAGTAAACTAACATCACCCGGGTGGAAATCAATTATCCAAGCTTGATCAAGATCGTTATGGCTCCATCTATCCAGCCATCACGCCTCTTCCGCACGATTCGCCTCCCGCCCGCCCCCATACGGCGTTTCTCCATCGCAGTCCCCGCCCTCAAGGAAGGCCAGACAAGCTCCCCCAAGCTCCGTGGCTTTAGCCGAATATGTCCTTCAAGTTCTCGGGAGAACATCCCGGATTGTGACCACTCTGTCGCGGAAGGAGTCCTTGGATTTCGAGTCAAGTCGAGCTTCGTCCTCGATGACGTCATAAACTCTTAATCCATGCGAGAACTGTAGAAAAAAGCTAATTCCAAGAAAGAAACGATCGAATCGCCGTGAGCGCTGGTCGCCGCAACACCAGCCATGACGATGACGTCCACGACTTACACGATGCAGGAGTAATGAAAAAATTGCTGATGCAGATTAGGGCTAACAAGCAAAAACTTGATCAGATCGAGAGCCAGGTGTAGGTTTCTTTTCTTTTCCTCAAGAAGGCATGCATTGACCGGGTACCCCAGGCAAGGTCTTGCGAAGGTTGGACAGCAGAGGTGGTGACTCTGAGGAGTGGGTTTGGGAGTGACTGGTTTTCTTTTTGGACGGCGTTGTTGTTGCTGAGCGTCTTGTTCTGGGGTTGCAAGTCAGCGGCTGTTGATGGCCCCAGCAAGGAAGGCTTAGCCGAAAGGTAGAACGGGGAGTCGGATAGTATCACCTCCCTGCTCCACCACTACCCCAACTGGGCTGGTTGACAGTTGGGGAGATCATGTTACCGAGGGAGAGAGGCACTGCTTTAGCTGTTAGGATAATGCCATTAGTGTTGGCTATTTCGCTCATCAGTGAGCCCAGTGAGGAAAAATGCGATCACGATGACTGGATCGATAGCTGGACCCTCCTAGCCTACGATAGATGAGCCCATCGGATTGTAGGATCGGGAGTGGCAAACAGCCTCAATTATCGCATGAAGGTCCAGAAAGAGTGAGAACCGTTTCAGAAATCGGACCCAGATCTGATAAGGACCCCCAAGTCACGGGCCGCGAGCCATCGATTATTCATCACCAGGGATGCTCGTTGTCAGCTTGTCAAGAGGGTTGCCGTAGATTCATCGACCCTGAGAGAGCGGAAGAAGGATTATACCGCGAGTGGAGTCGCAAGAGCTCCTACAAATGGCGGCATAGTTTGTCTGAGACATCAGTCAAAGGCTAGAACTCGCTAGAAGGACATGATCGGTGGTGCCTGAATGGCGCCAGGTTGGAAGTGGAGAGCGCTGGTTCGGCCTCGGCTTTTACGGGCCTCCGGGATACGAGATGATAAATCCGAAATTGAGTTAGAGATCTAGCTCCGTTTAACTTGCTTTCTGATGCGTTTTCCGAGCATGATGAGCCAAGTGAGAAGATCATCCCCAACAACAGAAAATATGACCTGTCAGTGTGGCAGCTTGGAGGAACTTGTTAGGTAGGACAGAGTACGGTGTACGCACAATGGCTGCATCGGAGCCCAACTGAAAGCATGGTCATACTCACAACCTCACAATCAATCCCAGCATTGAGCAGGATATGTCGTAAGTAAGTAGAGAGTTGATAGCTCCCATACTTTCACATGACGCACCATATCGAATCTGCTAAGTGATGATCGCCTTGACGGCTGTTGAAGCCACCGGACACTTGGACTTATGGCCTATCTCCGGGCCGTTCAGCCTCTAGATCTTAGATTCATAGGTTAGGTAGGCAGGAAAGTCGAGAGGGCCATAGCTTTGATTGGTTCCATGCAGTAACATCAGAGATTTTTTTTCCAGGAAGGGTTTGTTGTTCATTAAGGTTCCCTGAGGCGGAATCCCGATTAGACAGTTCTGGTTTTGGTTCGGAGGCTGCAGGATGTTATCCGCTGAGTCAGCCCGCTTCAGCCCCATCTCGGACAGAAAGTTGATTGCTTATCCGCTTTGTCAGCGGAGAGAAGGGCATGTCAGAGATTTTCACGTGGTTTGAATTCCGAAGAATGAAACTCCACTCCACAACAACTTCCTCCAGCTTCCATCCAGGCTTTCATTGGAGCTGTCATCCTCCTTACCGCCGTTCCTATGCTTACCAATGCAAAATGCACGTCAACGGTCGCGGAGAGTCGGCTCTCCGCGACTGTTTGTCCCAGTGTTCATCTGCTGTTGGCAGCTCCTATGCGTATCCATGACAGTGCCAAGCCTGATTAAGCGGATATTCGCGACTGCGCAAAATAGCCGTGTGGAGCCCAAATCCAATCTTCGGAATCTCGCCCAGGCCCCCCCCCCACCGACCCACTACGGCCTCCCTCAAATTGTTAATGTTCGCCGAGTATATAGGACCGCCTCGCCCCTCATGTCGCTTGCCCGTTTTCTCTCCAGACCCCTGTAATCGGGTGACAACGAGACTTGGTATCATTGCTGTCTCGCCTCTCTCACCATGGAGGAAAAGGAAGCCTACTCGACACCCCAGGGGATGTTCGACAGCAGGGACGACACCGATAGCACAGCTACCGTCCTGAACGATGACCCCGCCATCTCTGCTCGCGGCCCCAACGTCAGCCGCGCCGAGAACTGGGCCTTGATGCCCGAAGTCAAGAGACAGCACGAACGCGACATGCAATCCGGGCTCAAGCCTCGCCAACTGGGTGTTACCTGGAAGGACTTGACTGTCGAAGTCGTCAGCGCCGAAGCCGCCGTAAACGAGAATTTCCTGTCGCAGTTCAACGTTCCCCAGCACATCAAGGAATCCCGCAACAAGCCCGCTCTGCGGCAGATCCTCCAAAATAGCCACGGATGTGTCAAGCCCGGTGAGATGCTGTTGGTCTTGGGTCGCCCGGGCTCCGGCTGCACCACCCTCCTGAAAATGCTCGCCAACCGTCGCCTCGGCTACAATTCGATACAAGGTGACGTCCACTACGGCTCGTTGACTGCCAAAGAGGCTGGCAACTACCGTGGTCAGATCGTCATCAACACTGAGGAAGAAGTCTTTTTCCCGACCCTGACTGTAGGTCAAACGATGGACTTTGCGACTCGTCTCAAGGTCCCCTTCACTCTCCCCAACGGCGTGGAGTCGGCAGAGGCCTATCGCCAGGAGGCCAAGGAGTTCTTGCTGAAGTCCATGGGTATCACGCATACGAACGACACTAAGGTCGGTAACGAGTATGTTCGAGGTGTCTCGGGTGGTGAGCGCAAGCGTGTCTCCATTATCGAATGTCTTGCTACTCGCGGTTCGGTCTTCTGCTGGGACAACAGCACCCGTGGCTTGGACGCCAGCACTGCGTTGGAGTGGACTAAGGCCATCCGGGCCATGACGGACGTGCTCGGTCTGTCCACTATTGTCACGCTCTACCAGGCTGGTAATGGTATCTATGACTTGTTCGACAAGGTGCTTGTACTCGACGAAGGCAAGGAGATCTACTATGGTCCGATGGAACAAGCGCGCCCATTCATGGAGGATCTCGGCTTCGTTTGCCGCGATGGTTCAAACGTGGCTGATTACTTGACCGGTATCACGGTTCCCACTGAACGCAAGATCAGACCTGGCTACGAAAACCGCTTTCCTCGCAATGCGGAGATGGTCCTCGCCGAATACGAGAAGTCGCCGATCTACACTCAGATGCACGCCGAATACAACTACCCTGACACCGATATTGCTCGCGAGCGCACCGAGGACTTCAGAACCTCTGTCGCTCAGGAGAAGAACAAGAAGCTACCCAAGTCAAGCCCCCTAACAGTTGATTTCATAACCCAGGTCAAAACCTGTGTCACCCGGCAGTACCAAATTCTGTGGGGTGATAAGGCCACCTTTATCATCAAGCAGGTCTCCACCCTGGTCCAAGCCTTGATTGCTGGCTCCTTGTTCTACAATGCTCCCAACAACTCAGGCGGTCTCTTCGTCAAATCCGGTGCTCTTTTCTTTTCGCTCTTGTACAACAGTCTGCTTGCCATGGCAGAAGTGACCGACTCCTTTAATGGTCGCCCTGTTTTGGTGAAGCACAAAGGCTTCGCCTACTTTCACCCGGCTGCATTCTGCATTGCCCAAATCGCCGCCGATATTCCTGTGCTTCTCTTCCAGATTAGTGTCTTTTCCCTTGTCGTCTACTTTATGGTCGGCCTGACTATGTCGGCCGGTGCTTTCTTTACCTACTGGATTCTGGTTTTCACCGCCACCATGGTATGTCTTGACAACTCCGGAAGAAGTGTTCCTCGCTGACCTAAATTAACTAGGCCATGACTGCCTTGTTCCGTGCTTGCGGTGCTGTCTTCAGTACCTTTGACGGTGCTTCCAAAGTGTCTGGCTTCCTCATCTCTGCTTTGATCATGTACACTGGTTACATGATCAAGAAGCCCCAGATGCACCCCTGGTTTGGTTGGATCTACTGGATCAACCCTCTGGCTTACGGCTTTGACGCACTGCTCTCGAACGAGTTCCACAACAAGATTATCCCATGTGTGGGCGCTAATTTGATCCCCAATGGTCCTGGCTACGATGGCAGTAGTCCTCAGTCTTGCGCAGGTGTTGGTGGTGCCGTGCCCGGGCAGACCTATGTTACGGGAGATGCTTACCTCGCTTCCATGTCGTACAACCACAGTCACGTGTGGCGCAACTTCGGTATTCTCTGGGCTTGGTGGGCTCTGTTCGCAGCGGCCACCATCATCGCTACCACTCGTTGGAAGGCTCCTGGGGAGAATGGCGCTTCCCTCCTGATCCCGCGCGAAAGGCTCAACCAGCATCACCAAGTCGCACGCCGTGATGAGGAATCCCAGGCTGTCGAAAAGGGCAAGACTCCCAGCGACGAAAGCTCTCAGAGCGAGGAAGACATTGACAAGCAATTGGTGCGGAACACCTCCGTTTTCACCTGGAAGGATCTGAAATACACCGTCAAGACCCCAACCGGCGATAGAGTCCTCCTCGATAATGTCTACGGCTGGGTGAAGCCTGGTATGCTGGGTGCCCTGATGGGTTCCTCTGGTGCTGGTAAGACCACGCTTTTGGATGTGCTGGCTCAGCGCAAAACCGAGGGTACCATTCATGGTTCCATTATGGTCGATGGGCGCCCCCTTCCGGTCTCTTTCCAACGCTCCGCTGGTTACTGTGAACAGCTTGATGTCCATGAGCCTTTCGCCACTGTCCGTGAGGCGTTGGAGTTTTCGGCCTTGCTCCGTCAACCGCGCGAGGTGCCCCCCGAGGAGAAATTGAAGTACGTCGACACTATTATTGATCTTCTGGAACTGCATGATATCGCCGATACCTTGATTGGCCGTGTTGGCGCTGGTTTAAGTGTGGAACAGCGCAAGCGCGTGACCATCGGTGTTGAACTCGTTTCGAAGCCAAGCATTCTCATCTTCCTGGACGAGCCGACGTCTGGTTTGGATGGTCAATCAGCCTACAACACTGTTCGTTTCCTGCGGAAGCTTGCCGACATCGGCCAGGCTGTCTTGGTGACTATTCACCAGCCCTCTGCGCAGTTGTTCGCCGAATTTGATACCCTGTTGCTCTTGGCCAAGGGTGGAAAGATGGTCTACTTCGGTGACATTGGTGACAACGGTCAGACCGTCAAGAACTACTTCGCTCGCTATGATGCCCCATGCCCGCCTAACACTAACCCTGCCGAACATATGATTGACGTCGTCTCTGGCGCTCTGTCTCAGGGTCGTGACTGGAACCAGATCTGGCGCGAGTCGCCGGAACACTCCAAGGCTGTCAGTGAACTGGATGCCATTGTCAGTGAAGCCGCCTCCAAGCCTCCGGGTACTGTCGATGACGGTCACGAATTTGCCATGCCTCTTTGGAAGCAGACTTTGATTGTTACCAAGCGGTCTTGTGTTGCTGTTTATCGCAATACGGACTATGTCAACAACAAGCTCGCTCTCCATATCGGTTCCGCTTTGTTCAACGGTTTCTCTTTCTGGATGATTAATGACCATGTTGGGGCCGTCCAGCTCCGACTTTTTACCATCTTTAACTTCATCTTCGTTGCTCCCGGTGTGATCAACCAATTGCAGCCTCTCTTCCTTGAACGTCGTGATATCTACGATGCACGTGAGAAGAAGTCAAAGATGTATTCTTGGATTGCTTTTGTCACCGGTTTGATCGTCTCGGAGATTCCTTATCTCTGTATCTGTGCAGTATTGTACTTCGTCTGTTGGTACTACACGGTCGGCTTCCCATCCGACTCGAACAAGGCCGGAGGTGTTTTCTTCGTGATGTTGATGTACGAGTTCGTGTACACTGGTATCGGCCAATTCATCTCCGCCTACGCTCCCAACGCCATCTTCGCCTCGTTGATCAACCCCCTGATTATTGGTACCCTCGCCTCCTTCTGTGGTGTCTTGGTTCCGTATGCGCAGATCCAGGCTTTCTGGCGGTACTGGATCTATTGGATGAACCCCTTCAACTACCTGATGGGCAGTCTGCTGGTGTTCACGACGTGGGACTCGCCCGTGCATTGCAAGGAATCCGAATTCGCTCTCTTCGATCCTCCGAACGGCACGACCTGCAAGGAGTACTTGGCCGAGTTCATGAGCGGCATGGGCGCCCGCATGAATCTGGTGGATCCCGACGCTACGTCCAACTGCCGAGTGTGCGAGTACACGAAGGGCAGCGACTATCTTGTCACCATCAACCTGAAGCACTACTACTACGGATGGCGTGACGCTGCGATCGTGGCGTTGTTCGCCATCAGCTCGTACGCTCTGGTCTACGTGCTCATGAAATTGCGTACCAAGGCCTCGAAGAAGGCCGAGTAAGCTGCTTCGTGATATCCCACCTCGCTTTATCTTCTCTCCTCTTTTCTTCTTTACCCCGACCACAGCGATAGCAACGCAGGCTCTGGTTGTCCTCATTATTCGCTTCTGTTCTGTGTTCTGGCTGCATCTACACATACATATTCCCCCAGATAGACTCGTGTTGCATTGCCGGAGTTTTCCTTTCTCTGTATCGTCCGCCGTGATCCGTGCATCCTGTACATTACACGGTACATAATGTTAGACTTATAATTTATTCTCTGCGAATACTCCTGGTGTAGTGGTCAGCAGCTGTAATAGTTTTAGCAATTGCGATCTGTCTTAAGAGACAGTACCTACTTAGTAACTCGCCGCCTACCAGTGCAGCATCCGTATTCCGGCAGCAACGATGACTCTGCGCAGAATCGCGCAAGACAGCCAGATACCATCACAACAACTACTAGTTTATCGTGGAGGGAATAAAAAGTGGAACCACTGTAAGTTGAAGGATAGATATGATCGCTCAACCCTCCAAGTCCCTCCGACACAATGAACCACAAGACACAATACAATGCAAGTCTCGATTAACACCAAAACGCCTGATCAACCCGCCAAAGCACATCCTAGACCAAGAAACTCGAGGTAAGCTTCCCGTTTCCCATCAAACCCAAGCAACCCTATTCTTCAACCCAAGCCCCTGAGCTGACTCCACGAGGGAAGGTCTTGGCAGGCACCGTGTGTCATTCACGACCCACCCGAAAAACCACTCTCTTCTTTTCTTAATCTTTCCAAGTTCCAAGAAACTAACTCAACTCAGCGCAGCAGTCAGTCCCTAACCCGAACTAACTTCTGCATCCATCTTACCCTACAATCTTGAACTCAGACTCTTCTAAACCACACATCACATCCTCCCAAACAAAAAAAAGAAGAAATACCAGCCAGCCAGCCACAATCCCCAATCCCCAATCCCCGATCCAGTACAAAGCAAATCCCTCAAGCTGAAAACCACAAACCCACCTGAAAGTGGATCATCGATCGATAGTTCATTTCATTTCCCGCCCATCCCGTCCCAGCTCAAGAAGCCAGACCAATGGCCAACCCCAATCACAAGATGCATTCTCTCTCCACCATTTTTGCAGCCGAGTTTTTTTCAATATTTAATCTATTTGCGCCGCGGTGATCGGCTTGGTCAGTGGTGACTGGTGACTGGTGAGGGCTATCCGATCGCGGATTCAGCCCATGCTCGTCTGAGTGGTTGGGTGAGTTTCTGCACAATGATGACAGGAATGGATAGGTCGAATGTAATTTCCCCGGCTTGCTGCCAGGTTTGGGGCTGAGATTAGGATAGGGATTTGCGAGAGGGGACTGGATAGATTGACAGGCACTAGAGTCCTAGACACACTACGATGTACTCGTTCTTGATCGCACTTCGCTGATCGCTGATCGCGCTGGTTAGGCTAGCTTGGAAATGGGATAAATTGCGCGGATGGCCCTCTGTAGAGCTTTTCTTTTGCTCATTTCATTTCTTCATTCTGGGTTGTCGGGGCACGCGTGCTTTTGGGTCTCCCACTCGATCGTTAACTTTTTTTTCTTGGATATTGGCTAGATTTACAGTAAAATCCAACTGCATAACACTCTTTCAGTTTTGGATAAATACCACCAACATGCACCCTTCAACTCTCTTGGCCACCGCGGCCACCCTCACCACGGCCTTCGGCTACGCCATTAATGATTTCGCCTGCCGCAGCACCGACCACCCCAACCCCGTCGTCCTGCTGCACGGCCTGGGCGCCACCTACTACGAGGACCTGAACTACCTGCAGCTATGGCTCCAGGCCCAGGGCTACTGCACCTACGCCGAGACCTACGGCGCCTACGCCGGCTTTCCCTTCCTCGGCGGCCTCAAGTCCATCAACGAGTCCGCCGCCGACATTGCCGACTACATCCGCGAGGTGCACCAGGAGACCGGAGCGGAGAAGATCGACCTGGTCGGTCACTCCGAGGGGGCGTTCCAGACGCTATACGTTCCCAAGTTCGAGGACGGCATCTCCGAGTTGGTGGACAAGATGGTGGCCATCGCGCCGCCGACGCGGGGGACCACCTTCATCGGGATCTACAATCTCGCCTATCTGTTCGGGGATGTGTCGCGCGAGGCCGTCGGCGAGGTGCTGGATACCCTGGGTTGTCCCGCGTGCGATGAGTTGGGCCCCGATGGTGCGGCCGTCGAAAGGTTGAATGATGGGGAGCCCATCGTGCAGAGTGGAAACAGCTTGACGGTCATTGCCTCCAAGTTGGATGAGATGGTGACCCCCACCAGTACCTCCTTCGTGCATGAGGACGGCGTGCGGAATGAGTGGGTGCAGGATACCTGTCCGCTGGACCCGGTCGGTCACATCGGCGAGGCGTACGATTTGAATGTGTGGAACTTGGTTAAGAACGCGCTGGATGATACGCCGAATCGGAAGTTCATCTGTCTGCTGGGCTCCCCGGGAAAATGAAGAGCAAGGAGTATATAAAAAGTCCGGCTTACTCGGTCTAGCCGGTACAATTTGCACTGTATATAATGTATAATCACAGCACGATCATGGCATATCTGAATTTAAACTTTCTGACTCTTCTCATCATTCAAGGAAGGCACGTCTGAAGAGGCAGGGCTGCCTTTAGATTGCATGAGATTGTGCCCATTTCTGGAAGTGAATTAGCCACAGTCACGAATCCAAACGGGTGGTCCTACCCAAGCTTCTTATTCGGCAGCAGTAACGACAGTACCACGACAGGGGCGGAGAAAGCAAGAGCCGCAATAGTAATGAGTCTGCTGTGGTTAGTGGGGGTTATTAATGAATGTGATGGGTAGACAAACCCCATAACATCAGAATACTACTTCAAGTTAGCAAAACTTTCACCCCATTGTACGGAGTAGGGCGCACTGACAGCTCTATCTATCGCCATCCGCTCGGGGGACCCCGAAGCGGGCAACGTGCCTGTGATCGAATTGTACAGTTTTTTCACCTCGGTCGGGCTCACCTCGGGCCCAAGGTGCAACCGTAGCTGCTGGCGTAATTCCCCTGAATAAATCCCTCCTGCAATAGAAGATCCGATTCCGTTACCGAGGTAGGCGGCCAGCATGACCAGGGACGTGACCTGGGCCATTTCAGCATGAGATACGGCAATCTGAGCAGCCACCACGGCGACCGTTTCAATGATGCCACTTCCAATCCCCTGAACGAGCTGCACGACAACTAGCTCGGCAACAGAGCTCTTATTCGTACGTAGCCGGACCATCACTCCATATCCGACCATGCGAATGATGGCACCTGCCACTCCAATCCACTTGTAGGACCGCATGCGATACATGATAAGACCCGTCGCCATCCCTACCAAAGCCTGCATGACCCCGTTTGCGTAATAGATAAACTGGGCATCTCGGGCATTGAAGTTGTGAGAGACCATGGACCAGACATACAAATAAGTATGCGTGGCACCGAAGCTGATGTTGTCGATTGCAACCAGGACAACCGGGATGAGGACAGACAGATTACGAAAATAGTGCACTGGGACAACAGGATGCCGGGCTGCGTACTTCTCATATGGGTAGAGGCACACTAGGATAATCGCGCCCACCGCAATGAGAGCATCAACCCAAGGCGCCTTCCACCTGTCCGCAACAGTGGCAGCCAACGTGATCGGGATCAGGATCAGGGCAAACCCGCCACTAAGAAGAATGAGACCACCCAAGTCGATGCGCGAGCAAAACTCATAGATGCTTAGCTTTTCAGTCAAGACCAGCCCTGACTTTCTGGCTCGCCACTGAAAGATGAACAGCGTAGTAATGATGAAACTAGCTCCAAAAGGCATCAAAATGGCGAACATGCCAATCCCCCATCTCCAGCCAATTCCATTGACAACACTATCGACAATGAAGGCGGACACCCATGGAGTAATCAGGAAAGGGACATAGAGAATGTTGTAAGCAAAGCCTCGCCATCGCATGGAAGATAGATCAGACACGATCGTGGCATTGAGCAAAGAAGTCCCGGCTTGACCAATGGAATAGAAGACGTAGCCGCCTGCGTAGGTATCGAAAGTTTTGGAAGAGGCACAAAGGACATAAGATAGGATGTAACACAATACGGCGAGAATATATGCCTCGCCTCGCCCAAGGACATCCGAGATTTTAGCGATCGGAGGTTTTGTCACGGCGGAAATGATGCTCGCAGCTGTATTCAAGGTGGCGAGCTTCGACAGGGCATCGAAGTCGGAAGTTGCGAAGTTGCGATAAGTTCCAACTGTCGCGTTGTCCAGCTCACTACAGATTAGAAGATAGGTAGTTAGGATATGCCCCGTCAATGATTTGACCAGACCTACTAGATGACCATCATCATCGCCAGACTATAGCGGTTAGCACCTGGTGAGTCATTCAGAGTGACTATAACATACCCTGCATAGAGCAGATACCTGCCTTTCCTGCCACCCACTGCCTCCGCAGCCTGGATTTTGGCAGCTCCAGTGCTACCAGGGCCGCCTGGAGATGTTTCCAAGACTGTGATGCCGATGTTGTCGTTCTTGCAATCCAGGTTTGGTGAGGCACCATGGACCTCCTCGCGAATCCCTGGGGATCGGAGATACCGGCACCAACGGGCCATCGTGCGAATAAACCTTATTCGAATCGAGATTCAATGCCCAGCGATACCATCTGGAATGCGACTTCCTCAAGGCGTCTAATGAGTCTTGGAAGCTCTGGAATGCTGCCCAAGCTGGAGTGTGAATTTCCTCGGTTCCGTGATCCCTGGCTGTCAACGACGCATTAGCCGGATGGTGAGAACACGTTGTGAGTTATACCTGGCAAGAACAGGTAGTGAATTGCCTACAGTGTGTCAGGAAAGACGAAACGGAGGAAAAGAATGGTTTACCGGATCAGGTGAAGACATCAGCTAAGGGGACTAGAGTCCGGTGGGGGAAAGGCCGGGGTAAAGTGACGAGACTTGGCGTGGCCAGCAAGGGAGTTGAACAGTGCCTCCGACAGTGCCGATCCTGGTGAGGATCGACAATTATGGTATCATGCTGCAAACACCAACTCATTCTCAGATCATTGCCGATTGGAGAAGAGACGAAGAGGTGGAGGCAGATTGTGACCGGCTCGGCGTAGTATCCTGTAGTCTACCTAGTACCACTGTAGCAATGACTGATAAGGCTATTGCATTAGCCGTTTCTGGTGGTGCGTGCGGGGCTGGTGAGCCTGGTGACAGAAGTGCAACTGATGGTTGAGAAAGTGGGACTTCATCTGCAGGACAAATATCATCTTGGCAGCAGACTGGCATCAACAATCTCAAGATTGTTGCGGTGTCTGAAATAAATCCCAAGAATGTTGAAGTGATGAGTTGATGAGTTGATGAGTTCAATGGCTACTGCCCGATTGAGAAAGCGGACGGGTCATGCCACGTGATCGGCGCGAGGTCGTGACGCGTTTTCTCTTCACACTTGATGATTTCTCAACTTCCCTGGCAATACTTCGTAGTCCTCTCGAGCACATCTTGCATCATCGCAGACGAATTGAACATCAGACCCGAGACTGACGAGGCGATGGAGACTTGAAGATCCTACGCCTATGAGACGACCTAAAGAGAGTAAGAAAATAGCGTGCATCGCTTCGACTCGAAAGTCAATAGGCTCGAGAGCAAAGGTTGTTGACAACCCGCCTTTGGCTACCATCATCGCGCGACCTCCATTGACGAAGACGAATGACGAGAACCTTTCATCCCGTGGCATCAAGAGATCCCGATCAATAGTCCCCAGATCTCGCCGATGAGCGCGCCCGCGGCCTTCGAGATCCCTCCCGCACTCGAGCTTCCTTGGCAGACGAACTACGGAGCCGTGTCCCAAAAGTTATGGAACAACGCTAGTAATCTTGAAGGTAAGAATTCAAATCAAACTGTGCTGATATAGATCATATTTTTATCAATAGCAGGGATATCGATAGTTACGATATATGATTTGTTGATTAGATACTTAATAGTCTTGATTATAATTCTTAGCTTACTTTTATTAGCTTGATATATCTGCCTGCATAAGATTAGTAGATTTATACCTGCATAATGTAATCTCAATACATCATAGAATTTAGCGTTGTTCCATGACTTTTGGGACACGGCTCCGTACGGCGCAGACCGCACGGAGTTCCTCACCTTCACTTCGCTGTTGGAGACACATCTCTGCAAGTGGAGGAGCTACTACTGTTTCGACACCATAAAGATCGACGAGGCCACCAGACATCCAGACATGTCTCGGCAAACGTCGCCGGGAAGTGAGAGATTCACCTCGCCTTGATCACTGGGCCGATGACATGGCTCCGCTTTCGCACGTTCTTGCTACAGCATATGACCGGCAAGCGATATGTGCGCAATGGAGCCTTGCAGACCCGGCACCAGTCTGTGCGAGACTTGCCCTCTGACACAGATAGAGCATGAGCTTGGGGCTGTGCCTGGCGACTTCATCCGCATCAGCAAGCTCTGAAACACGGTACTTCCTGAGGTGAGGGAACTCGCTCCTATTCCTGACGAGCTTGACGGCGACTATACCGGGTTCATCGATCTCTTGGTGGAGGTCGAGGCTGGGATTCCGAACCGCATCGACCGACTGGGGCATAAGCCGGAGCGGCAGAGACGGAAGAGGCAGCGTCGGTTGTAAGAGCATAGAATCGATCACCATTGACCCCCCATTCTCATCATTATAAGTAGGCGGGACAGGCTTTACGAATTTCGATGTCACGGATCGTCGCCAAGAAGCCGATTCACTCGGTGAATGTTGACCATACAGGAGGCAGAATATGTATAAGTCGATCACCACAAGTGACCATGATCTGCAGATTGTAGCATACCTTATCAAAAGTGCGGGTCAGCGTCTTGAATGGACATTGCCCTAATACCCCGCTGAACATTTCGGGTGATTCCTCATAGCCTCAGGATTGTACCTCTCGGGCGGTTATCGGTCAGATAAGGCCAGCCAATCGACAAATACGAGTAGACAGCTCAAGAGTGGGATCGTTGCACCATCTACAGACAGGCACAGACTGAATAGAAGGGATCGGCAAGCGAATGAATGAAGGCACCAGGCATCCTTTCAATTCTCTCGGGTATCATCATTGGTCTTTCTCCATCCCCCATTTGCTGCGCATCGACATTAGCGGCTTACGCTGGAGACACTTTGCAGCCCAATCCTGACAGCTGATCACCTCTCATCCCTGATCATGATTGGAAATCTCTGGCTCTCCATTTGTGGGCCCGACTCAAAACCTGCAGAGACAGATAGTGGCTTGCTTTCACCCTTAATAGGTAATCGAATGAAGTTTCCAGCTCCAGCACTCGAGCCAGCCTGCTAGCGTATCAGCTTTGACAATGTCCACCCAGCATTTAACTGGCGGGCTCCTCCTGGCCCGCACGATATTATCGCGAGAGATGAGCATCGGGTTGTGGTTAATGTTGTCCAAGCTTCCCCATACCGGCAGTGCGACCGATGGAGAGTTCCAAGCTTACCGGCGTCACGACCCTACCGAACCAGCGTCTCCTGTGGCCAGAGACCAATGCACGTCGGCATCTGTTTCATGGTCTATCGGTGTTCCTAGCGTGCTTAGCCGGGTACACATGGTGGACGCTGCCTGTATCGACCACAAACAACACAACCATTCAGCCATCACAGTCAGATTTTGCTTGGGATGAGGTATGTAGCTTGTAGTCCTGGTATGAAACTAAAACTAATTTATTCAGATCGTCCCCTCCTCATCACTGCAATACTATGATTGCTTCAAGGGATTCCAGTGCGCCCGTCTGGAGGTGCCGATGGACTACCATCGTGCGGACGGTCAGGGCCAGCGCTTGGCGATCGCCATCACTCGTCTTCCAGCAAAAGTGCCTGTCACAGATCCACGCTACGGCGGGGCAGTACTAATTAATCCCGGTACAATCGCTCTCACTACCCGTCTTAAAGGCCGAGTCTAATCATAGCGGATGCAGGAGGCCCTGGTGGCTCTGGCGTTGCCGAAGTACTCCTCGATGGCAGAAACCTGCAGGCCATCATGGATGCAGAGACAGATCTCAGTGTCGAACCTCGTGGAGAGTACGTACGCGATAAGTACTATGACGTGATTGGGTTCGATCCTCGCGGCGTAAACAACACCACCCCGGGCTTCAGTTGCTTTCCCAACATATTCGCGCAGAGGAACTGGGAACTGCAGGTGGCGGCCGAAGGTATGCTGGGGAGTGGGGACGGTGCGTTTCGACGCAACTGGGAGCGTGCCATCGCTCTCAACATGGGATGTTCGAACAACCTGACCACTCCGCCTGAGGGCGGAGATGAGGCCTTGGGGGAGCACTTGAACACACCCCCGGTGGCCCGGGATATGCTGGAAATCATTGAGCGACACGGGGAGTGGCGTGAGAAGCAAGGTGTAGCGGCACAGCGACAACATGACCGGGCCAATGGGTACGATCAGCATCAGCGTTTCGTGGCGCAAACCAGATGGAGGCGCGGTCAGGAGAAACTACTGTTCTGGGGCCGTTCTTACGGGACTGTCCTGGGCGCCACATTTGCAACACTCTATCCCGATCGCGTAGAGCGCGCTGTACTGGACGCGGTGGTCGACGCGGACAAGTACTATTTTGATGATGGGCCCAACCCCATTAAAGATGCCGATGCCATCTTCGACCGGTTTACGGAATACTGCGACACCGTCGGATCAGAAAAGTGTCCCTTGTATTCAGAAGGCGGAGCCTCGGCTATCAAACAAACATATCTCGAGCTGGAGGATGCACTATATAACGCCTCCTTGCCTGTGTTTTCATCATCTACCCGAGGGCCGGAGCTTGTAACGTGGAGCGATCTCAAGAATATTCTACGGCAGGCCATGTACCAACCCATAGAGGGCTTTCCACCTCTTGCACAATACGCAAGTGAGTTGGCCCGGGGCGATGGCGCCGCAGTGGCAGATCTGAAGAGCAGCGCCCGCGTGCCATTGTGTCCTTCTGCGCAGTGCGTCCAGGCCGGGCCATGGTCAGCAGTTTGTCAGGTGCCGGATCAGAATGAGGTATATGCTAGTTCGGCGGTCCTCTGTACTGATGCAGTCTACCTGCAGAATAATGATGAAGAGAGCTTTCATCGGTACTGGAAGACATTGAAAGAAGACAGTTCCATGTTTGCAGATTATTGGGCTGGTCTCCGTCTGGGATGTGTGAGTTGGAACATCACACCTAAATGGCAGATGTCAGGTAGGACCTCTTTCTCCCTTTCTTCCGCTATTTTTTTACATCGGCTTAATATCGCATAGGACTTGTGGGAGGCAATACGTCCCATCCGTTACTTTTTGTGAACAACATCCTTGACCCGGTGACACCTTTGAGCAAGTAAGCATATCCTTTTCTCCCTAATCCTTCCGACCTCTGGCTAAACCTGTTTAGTGCACAGAAAATGTCACAGAGATTCCCTGGTTCTGCCGTTTTGCAGCAAGACTCGGAGGGAGTAAGTTCAATTCACGTACCTACAAAGCATGGATACTGACCAACGCAGCATTCGACTCTAGCTGCGCCCTCACTCTGTGTTGACAAGGCGATCCGACAGTACTTTCAAAGGGGGGAGTTGCCGCCGTCTGGGATGGTCTGCGAGGCCGATCTCAAGCCTCTAATTGGCATTACTGCAACTGCAAAGACCTCCAGAAACGCCAGCGATCAGAAACGGTATGAGAAGCTCCTCAAGAAGGCACACAACAGGCCCTGGACGCGATTACCATTATAGTGGATATGATTGGCACCCGCGATTGCGGGCCGTAGGATTCCTTGTCTTATCGTCATGAACCTGGCCTCCACTTCTCTCTCCGCATTTTCAAAGGATCTTGTACTTACTAGTACGAACTCGGGAACAATAGCGATATCCTATACGACATGCTTAGAATACCCAATCGTGTATCTTTGGACCTTCTTGCTTGACTCATTCCCAGACAATAGACATACTGTTTCACATTCAAAGAGTCATAGTGACTGCCTGCTCTTGAGAGAACCAACACCTCAAAAATACCCCGCGGTAAAGGTTTACTAGCACAGGGCCATGACCCAGCGGATAAGCAATGATCAACAATACCCTCGCCACGATCGTCCAGTGGCATCCTCCGCACTCGACCAAGGAACCCAATGCGGAGTAGCCTCGGTCGCAAGGTATTTTCGGTTATGCTACCCCGCCGAAGGAGTAGCACCGCCTCCACAATCGAAGGGTGCCTGAGCTGTGACTGCATGCATGAGATCTCTCCTACTTCTTCCATTTATACCCTTTGCTCCCTCAGCCTTGACCTTGATTCAACGACATTCTCCTGATTGATCACACCTCTCATCATCATCATCGCAAGCCCCCCACCATGGCTCCCCCAACCTCCACCGAAACATCAACCACCAACACCTCCCAAGTCACTCTGGAAACCCGCCAATCCACCCAAGAAGGTGGCATGGAAGGTGCCACAGTCAAGAACGAGATGTCCCAATTCCCCAAGCCGCCTGTCTTTGACGACAAATACAAGGAACGCGAGTACCTCAAGGGTCGACTAGCCGCTGCGTTCCGCATCTTCGGGAAGAATGGATACGATGAGGGTATATTCATCGCCTTAGACCCACTCCTCTGCCATCTAAAGCAGACAATACTAAACTCCCTCCAGGTGTAGCTGGTCACATCACCCTTCGCGACCCCGTCGACCCCACCACCTTCTGGGTGAACCCATTCGGCGTCGCCTTCTCGCAGATCAAAGCCTCCGACCTAATCCAAGTCAGCCACGAAGGCAAGATCCTCGACGGAGGGCCTGTCCGACTGCTCAACGCCGCAGCGTTCATGATTCACTCGGCCATCCACGCTGCCCGACCAGATGTCCTCTGCGCCGCCCACAGCCACAGCATCTACGGCCGGTCGTTCTGCGCCCTTGGCCGGCCGCTGGACATCATCACACAGGACTCCTGTGCGTTCTACAGCGTATGACCGCTCTGTATGGACCAAGACTCTCAAAAATGGAAGCTAACTCGATCCTCTACAGGACCACGTCGTCTACAAACAGTTCAATGGAGTCGTGCTGTCGGAGAATGAAGGCCACAACATCGCGCAGGCACTGGGAAACAAGAAAGCAGCCCTGCTCCAGAACCACGGCCTGTTGACTGTGGGCAAGTCCATCGAGGAGACGGTCTTTTGGTTCGTCAGTCTGGAGAAATGCTGCCATGCGCAGCTATTGGCAGATGCGGCGGCGGCCGGCCGGGGCGGCGCGACGATCAAGATCGATGATGCCGATGCTGCTTTCACTTACAAGACAGTCGGGACGCCGGGGGCTGGGTATTTCAGTGCGAAGCCGCTGTTTGATGTGATCCACGAGGAGACGGGGGGAAGTTATCTACAATAGACTCACAGCAGGCTGCATCAATGATCATCAAACATCTGTGATAGTCGGATATCTTCGATTAAGACGTATATACATAACCACCTTGGCTACTCCTCCTCATCCTCACTCAACACCTCCCCATTCTCCTCAGCCTCCTTCCTCCTCAGCGCCTGCTTCTCAGCCTTCCTCTCGAGTAGCCGTTTCAACTTCTTCGACGAATTAAACACCCCATTCGTAGCCGCACCGCAAGCCGCACAACTCGGATCCTTCCGATACCGCTTCAACGCGCAGGCCTCACAGAAATAATGCCCGCACTTCGTGATGACGGGGTCCTGATACGGCCCCTGACAAATGATGCACGCAAACGGAATATCCTCCAACTCGGCATCCTCATCATCCCCACCATCGACGCCGCCCCGCGCACCCGACCCGTCCGCGCGCGCCCGATCCGAAACCACCGTGCCCACCACCTTCCGGCCCTTGGTCACAGTCTCCCACTCTTTGTCCAACTCCCACCCGGCCTTGTAATCCGACCGGTCGTGCAGGAACTTGCAGTTATCGCCGAACCCGCACCACCCCGTCAGCTTGTAGTCCTTGCACACGTCCGGCGAGTAGTCGGTGAACGTCGTCATGCGCACGTTGGTGGGCGCGCGCACAGGCCCCACGGCTTTGCGGGTTGGTGCGTCCGGGTTCTTTTTGATGAAGGTTGTTTGGTGCGCGAGGCCTTTGTAGGTCCCGTCGGGCGTGTCGGTGGGGTTTGCGGCTGCGTGCCGGGTTTTGCCCAGGAGGTTGCTTGTGCTTAGCGTGGCGTCTTCGTCGTACCAGTTTGATTGTTTGGTTGCGTCGTTGGTGTCGGGGAGGAGGGCCGGTGTGGAGGAAGGCTGCGAGGTGGTTGATGTGGGTGCGTGACGCAAGCCGGATGACGAGGACGCCGTTACGGCGCCCGCGTTCTTCTTGCGGCGCTTGATGTTGGCTTCGTCGGAGGAGAGGTCCGAGTCGCTGGAGCTCGTGTCCGGTGGCGTCGCGGCGCGTTTCTTGCGGAGGTTGTTTTGGGCTTTCGCGCCGCGCTTTTTGAAGAGGGGCGCTGCTGGGGCGGCGGCGGTGCTTGGGTCTTGGGGTTCGGTCATGTTGGGCTGTGGATGGGGGTTGGGGTTGGGGGCTTGGTGGTGATGATGATGCTGCTGCGAGGGAGTTTCTTATCTGCGATGGACGGAATCAGTGGCGAGGCACGTGATGATAGGAGCTTTGAGATTGCGCTAGTGCGTTTTGGGACGCCGGGGGTTCATGACTCGGGCATCTATCTGACTAAATACTCTCTCAGATGCTTCTGGTTGGATCGGTTTTGTCTGTTGGCTGGGGATTAATCATTGGTTTGGAAATAAGAGTAAGTCAATATTGGTTCGGGCTTGTGGTGATGGATTGACCGACGTTCACTCGAGTATGAGCAGAGCGTGCTCATATATATCTTGCTATGCCGCTGTCAAACGCTTTGTTGGATTATCCTCAGACCTTGGAGAAGTCGCGACTCAACTCAATATTGATTGGATATAAACAGCCGAAAGGATTCTACTCCCTATGTGCTGCTGCATTGAACTTTTGCTTGAGACCTGTTTTCCATGCCTGCAGAGACGTAGTACCCGAGCCTTTGTCAGTCCTTCCGACCTTCGAGGCGCCTCCTGACCTTTTCTGACCAAGTACAGGTCGTACTCACTCCGCCAGGAGAGGATGATATCAAGACAAGGCTCTTTCCTATACATGTCTCGGAGCAGGCAGAATTCGAGTACGCCAGTCTCGGTACCCCTATTTTCAAACTAGCTAACATACTGGCTGCAAGCCTCATTGCCGTCCACGGCTGGAAGGGCCATCGTGAGAACTCCTGGACAAGTGCGTCCGGCATCAATTGGCTGAGAGACCTGCTTCCCAAGGACATCCCCAAGCTCAACATCTATTCATGGGGGTATACATGCGACCGCGATATTATGGGGTGGAGTAGATCAGTGATGCAGATACTGTCCCGGAGATTTGTTGCCGATTTGCAGGAATATAGGGAGAGCTCCCAAGTAAGGCTATATTTATTATCTAGGTGGCAGTTCTAAAACAGGTATAGGGCCATCAACGTCCACTGGTCGTCATTGCGCATAGTGTAGGAGGGATTATGCTGAAAAGTGTATGCTCTATCTCCTGTCCTGTCGCGACGTGGAGTGGTGTCAAGTGCTAATCGCCATTTCGACAGACGCTGCTCAATTCGGCCTCGTTCACCGAGTCTAAAGATGCAACTGAGGACATCAAGAGTTCCATCCAAGGGATCCTTTATATGGGTACACGAGAGGTAGATGCCAGCATTACAGACCTGGAGGCCTACCTGGCTCGTGGAAGTAGAGCTCATCCAGCGGAGGATGAGTACTTTAGGGAGTCGTCTTGGCTGATCAATACCCTGCGGCAATACGAGAAGATCAGTCAGGGGTTTCGAGCTGGGTATGGCTACGAGAGGGGACCAGACGCTGGGCAACGGCACGTCGAGGTAGATAGATCCAGTGGTAGCTTTTCAAGAAGTATATGTTGACCATCGGGTACGACAGGAGACTTCGAATGCTCGTTCCATGTACTTCAACACGACGTGGGATGGAATGATCAAGTATGACTCGGCGACTGACCCGAACTATACACAAGTCCGAGAATGCATTTTGTGGATCTTAAAAGGGAATGGAGAGGGTAATGCGAATCAGCAGGGCTGAATGTTTTGTTGGTTTCTTGGATCTGCCTCGAGGGCATCGATAGTCTGTTCTAATCTTGACAATGTGCGTCTTAACGAGTCTGTCTGTATGCGCGGTACGGAACTGTCGGGTTCTTCGGGGTAGTTGAATGGTGATACCAATGCCAAAGGGGATTTATGCCCAAGGTTCTCAAGCCACTTCTTAACTCGTTGGATCATACATGTAAATCACTTTCCCTTGGGGGCTCCAAGACGGAAGGATCGTGCGCTTTTTAAGTAAGGAAGCAGCGACTCTCCCTTTTTCATCACCACACACCGTGCCTCAATGCTACTGACTCAATTCACTATCATCTCCGAACAAGTTTGGCTGAGTCTGATTGAACCTCGAATGAAAAGACCCCTGTCGACAAACCACTAAGATTCCATCACCTCAGTTCCAGCGCACGTTGCTGATCCTCCCTGCGTTATTCCCGACTTGAAATCCCGAGTTGTTCCCCGAGAAAACCACCGAGTTCGTATATGTTGTCGTCGATGTCTGTTGAATGACCTTGACAACAGTCTCGCTCAACAGATCATCCTGATCGGCAGCGACCTCTTTCAGAATGGGTAGTGCGCCCTTGATGTTCTTCATCTCCGACACTTCTTCCTCGGCAAGCTTGCGTTGTGCGTCCTCCACCCCCGGGAACAACTCGACCAGGTCGTTGACCAACTCACCGATGTCCTCAATCAGCCGCGTGAAGTTCTTTTCTTCGTAGAGGGTCAACTCTGCTTTGGGCTCCGCATCCGCTTTACCCTGGTGCCGAATAGAAAGATCATTCATCTTTTGATGCAGAGATGCAGCGACACTATCCAAGTCCCTGGTGGGGTCAAGAACAGCCGTCGCGTTCCGATGACGCAGCTGGAATCGCTTCGAGATTCTCTCTGCATCCGCAAACTGATCAAGAATTCCGTCTAGAAGCTCGGATACTCGAGGTATATCGTCGGGAGACAGCTTTGACTTCTCCAGGGAGTGTACATCATCGATGTTGGCAAGGCCGACGGACTGACCCCATCGCGCCAGTCGCAGTCTCACCACCCCCAGTTTCAGCACGCTGGTCTTGAAGCTGTCACCAAAATTCTCTCCCATCTGGACAGATCCAAAGTAGCTAACCACACTATTGAAGAGCCGAGATTGCTCGCTCACCATCTCCAGCGTTTCCTTCTGCAACTGCGTCATCGTATCTTGTTTCGTTCCGAGATTCTGGTTTTGTTCCATAATGGCATTGGTATTGGACTGGATCGCCTCTGTTCGCACATCGAGGACGGTAGCATTGGCGACAAGGAAGTCCACCTTTCCATCCATGCTTTGAAGTACCTCGTCGATGATCTCCACCGTTCTCAAAGTTGCTAGACCCACGGCCTGGCTCAACTCATTGATGGCTTCCTCCATCTCACTATTTGCTGCAGTAAGATCTCCATCGGCCCCTTTGACCAAGTTCTCGAACCATTTTTCTGATACACTCGCGTTAGTCCTCAGATCTCACAAAGCCAAAAGTTGATCTCCGCCGCCGGAAAAATCGAATGAAGCACATACTGAATCGTTTCTCAGCAGCGTACTTCTGCGCAACGGCGCAGATTTTGAGGATGCTAGAGAAGACGCGCGTGACGCATCGTTGAAACTGAGGTAGAGCAGGCATCCTCTCATCGATGATCGAAAGCCGATCGAAGAAGCGATGTGTGAACTCGAAAAATCCCATGATCTTGTCATAGTCGGCAGAGGTATCTGCAAATGACTAAAGTCGATCAGCAAAAAACGAGTGTGGAGATCAATCATTTGCATTGATCGCATACCTGCATGACTTGGCCAAAGGCCGTGAAGATCAAACTGGCGGGGAAAGCAGGAGGAAATGCCTGTTGGTTGATGAGTGAGAGGCGAGCATCAACAATCCAACGTGTTTAACTCACTGAAACCGCGGTTCCGACCGACTGAACGGTATTGACGACTTTCTGGATGATCCACATATTGTTTTTCAATGCGGTGCGGACCTTGGCCATCTTGGACTTATCGTCGCGAAAGTCTTTGAATTTGGTCGCGAGACCTTCAGTCCCACTCATTACATCGTTCATACTTCTAAACTGCCCCAGTCGAAGGCTTCTCCCGGTCCTCTTCTCATAGTCCTCCACGGCGTCCTGCCACAGTTGGGCAAGGTCAGAGGTTTCCGCTGACTTGTTGCTTGCTGGTTCAATTGCCATCTTGGTCACGCTTCTTCGAAGCGAATATTACAACCAGTAAAGTGATCAGGCTTGGGTGAATGCGATTCCGATCACAATTCTCCGCTGCGGGGGTTTCTTGCCAGATAAGATCAATCGCCCGCACAGACTACCGACTTCTGCCTTGTGTCACACACGGTTTAGACCCCGCGTCTTGTGGTATGTTCTTCCCACGTTGTCGTTATTCTAATGCTTTGTGCTGTCGCGCTCTCCTAGCCTATCTCCGGCACAACCAACGGCACGATGTCGGACACGCCGGGAGCTGAAGTTTGCTCACCCCCCAGGTGTCTGTCTTCCCGTCTCATCAGCTAGCCACTGTAGCGCCGGCGGCGCACGGCGACACCAATAAAAATCACCCACGTACGAGTCATCTGCATCGGCACTCCTCCGGAGTTATCCGACGACAGGAGACCGCCTATGTTTGTCAGGGTTCTAACTAATGTGGATCGCCAGTACACCTGTCGTATTTTGGTGAAACCCCTCCATGACCCCTCAGTCGAACTGTTGTTAGGCTCCAGGGCAACGATTGACCCCAGTACTCTCACTGGTCTGTGTGACAACTAATCGGGTTGATCGCAGACCTGCATGTAACACTCCAATCTGCTGCAGACATGATATCAGCCTACCGGTCAGACGCTGTTCTGGGCATCAAGTACGCTGCAAGTCGTCATGCCTTACGCCAATGGAAGCCTCCTACACCACCGACTGCATCTTCTATCTTTATTCGTCTAAAGGCCAATTACTGCCAAGGTAACACAGCAGTACTCGATGCACGTTATCATCATCCACAGAAGCTTCTGCTAGATCCCGTCATGCTAAGAACATCACACGATAACTCATCCACCACTATGCTCTTCCAAACACGAATCCACTCTGGTTACCGACGTTTTGCCCCAACTGATATCCAGAGTTGGTCGAGCCAGCGAAAGACGCATGAGAGACATTGTTGACCGTTGTGCCTCCATCATTATCGGGCGCCGGAACCTTAGCCACCCATTTCTTCAGCACCCGTAGCACCTTGACGAAATCGCGGTCGTCTTCGCTCTCAAACTGACTCATCTTCGCATGGTTACCTGCCAACCGCTCGGCAGGAGGCCCGTCAGGGCACCGCGCCAAGGCCATCTCCACAATCTTGACCCCCTTGCCGTCCAGATCGGTGGGTGATCCCTCGTAGAAACACTGCAGATCCATCTCCAGGCCGGCAGCACGGAGTTGAGCAAACTCGCGCGGGATGGACAAGACCCACTGCGACCGTTCTTCGAGACCGAATTCGCTGGGAGCTTCTTCGCCCGCGAGCTGGAAATATTTGTTTGCTTCGCTCAGCACTCCAGGATGGTAGTGTGGTGTCCCGAGAAGAAGGAGACCTTTGACACAGCTGATAAGGTTCTTGCGATCGTCGTGCTCAGCTCCCCGGACCAACGCCTGAAATAGCTGTTATTGGTTGACTCCATGGGGAATAAGAGACTGTATGCGAAAATACCTACATTCTCGCAGATCAGGCCACCAAGGCAATGGGCCACCAAAATCACGGCTCGTTTTTCCTGGGAATAGTATCAGCAATTGAGAAGGTGGGGGAAAGGTGGGGTGGGAAACCTTCTCCGGTTCTGTACGTTGATCCATGAGCTGGTCCATCAGCTCATTGGAAAGCTCGGTGATAAGATCCTCTTCGTTCCAGAACGTGTCAAGGGCGACATCGTACTCAAACGAGAAGACCCGCGCCTCGGTAATCTTCCCCGCGAAGAGCTTCTCGGGCCAGAACACTGACTTGGCAGCGGAGGTCCAGCCGGGCTGCTCACCATGCCAGCCGTGGACGAAAACAACACTTCGAAGTACCAGGATTAGTGATTCTACACATATACACACACGGTCTCGAGGAACAAGCGCTGAACATGGGTCATATAGAAGAGACACTGTAACTTACTCCACGCGAGCGTCACCGGGATCCCGGATCACTTTGAGCTCCATTGGTGCGTGCGAAGCCTTAGAACAATGACGAGGCACAGAAAGGCTGGTCGGAGTTCTGTTTCTAGTAATTATTTTGAAGCAGGGACACTCTTCGCTGCTGGGACAGACCGAATTTAAGTCCCAGAGGTCGACTACAACCATCCCGAGAAATTGGGCATCGGTCCTTAGCGGGACGATGGCAGATCTAGCAGATGCAACAATCCCAGAAGAGGCCTGATCCCAATGCTCGTACTTTGGTCCAATGAACGTGCGATACTCATCTTCGATCAACTGAATGGCCGGGATTGAAAGTTAATCCAGATTGTTTGTTTCCACACCACTCCGGGCCGGTGCCGTGAGTTTGCTGGGAGAGGGCCGCTCAACCTTATACTGTACAGGACTCACCTGCAGGAAGCTCATCAGCGCGGGAGATGAATCGTACAGGCGAGAAGAGGGGGCGAGACGGGGCAAAGGAGGGGCCAGTACAGAGAATCGGTCTGAGGGGTGAGCGCTGATCGATGCTGACGGGGTGTCGTTTGTTTGGGTGACTGCAAGCGACGTGCATATTTGCCCCTCATTGGATGCAGCTCGAGTCCTGCACTTCAAATCACAATCGCGCGCGGAGGGCTGAAGTCTTCTGACAGCTAAAATTGACTACGGCAACGCCGGTTATCCTGGTGGCGACCAATCGAAGCAGTATTAGGTTTGCTGCAGTCGCGGAGATGCAACCCCTGCTTACTGTCAAGCTGAACCTGCTTGCTACATTTACTGCATCCCATGAGACTGGTCTTATTTAATGACTACTTCGGCGCAGTCGAGGGCTGTGTGCTCGCGCTCTTGTCCGAATTCTCTATGACTGTTCTGATTACTCTGGGCAGAGTATAATATCATGGTCGATACAGTGAGTCTTGTGCTTCGGATCAAGGGGGGGTTGAATGATTTGGCCCCCGGGGCCGCTAACGCGATAACTCCAGGCACCAGCGCCGGCGTCGGCCGCCTTCAATAACTCGACAAACTCCGGACTCCAGCTGGGCCAGAACTATGGCTCAATGGAAGCGTCGTTCTACAGCGATGCCATCCAACAGGTCACAATCGCAGCTGGAGCTTCCGTCTACATGGGTACGCTGCGCCTAGTCACAACATTATCCTGTCTATCGCGCATACAAAGAGCTAACACCACACTGTTGTGATACTCTAGGGGAGAAACAGACGGTCGAAGAGAAACTGCTCGACGCCCTGGTTGCAGGCGATCCCGGTGACCGGCACGATATCGCTCGCGCGTTCCCTGGAACATGCGAATGGATTTTCGAGTGCGCCGCCTTTCAGAACTGGATACAAACCAGTCCCCCAACGACCACGCCGTTGTACATTCGCGGAATTCCCGGCAGCGGCAAGACGGTACTGCTGAAGTTCCTCACAAAGGCCATTCAAACCAGTCTGCGTTCTAGCGCCAACCCCCAGTCGCCTGCACTGACCGAGGACGTGATCCTGAGCCCGGAGGTGGGAACGCCCGGGAAGACGATCGCGGTGGCTTGTTTTTGCGATGATAAGAACGAGCATCGGAAGGCTCAGATCTGGGTGCTCCGTACGTTGCTATACAAGTTACTGCATCAAAACAGGGGTTTGATTAAATATGCGCTTCAGCATGTGCAAAACCTCGAAGACCTCCGAGGGGCATCCAGCGGAAGCACGGTCGAGGTGGACGAATTCCATTCCCGCGATGTCCTTCTCAGAATCATTGAAGACATTGTGACAGATCCTGATCTGGAAGTGTTGTATTTTGTCGTCGATGGTTTGGATCAATGCGGACATTTCATCTCTCCTATTCTTCGAATAATGAGCGACTTGTCCACCAGAATCAGCAAGAAGGCAAATGAGCTGGGCAGAAAGTTCACTTTCCGGTGCATCATCTCGGACCGGGGCAGCGCCATCGTCTCTGATAAGATGCTTCCTGAGTTTACGGTGAACATGCCCGAGGGTAATCAGGAGGATATTGGGCAAGTTGCAGAGAGGAGGGTCCGACGCATCCAGGAATATCGGAAGTTCCCGGATAGGCTTCGCGAGGATATTACGGATCAGTTAAAAGAAAGCTCGAAGGGCATGTTCATGTGGCTGTCGCTTGTCTTGGATGACCTATCTACGTGGGAGGGAGTCTGGACTGAGGCCAGGGTCAAGGAAAGACTCCACAGCATTCCCTCTGACGTCGAGGCCTTCTACAGTGCCATCTTGGGGCGGCAGTCGCGGGACGTAGTGGGTCGATTGCGAACATTGCTTATGTGGGTCTATTTCGCCTGTCGTCCGTTGACCTTGCAAGAGTTGGATGTGATCCTGACGCTTCAGGAGGGCAAAGAGTATACTGGTGGAAACGCCTCTGAAGAAGATACTCAGGCCTTGCGGCATAGTATCGAGGGCAGCTGGGGCACGCTCTTTGCTGTGCGAAGTAATGCTGTCTACCTGAGTCACCAGTCTGTCAAAGACTTCTTACACCATGTTTTCAGCGAGGATGGCGCTAAGGACTACCCCCGGTTTGGGATGAGCCAGTCAGAGGCTCACCGTCAGATGGCCTCTTCGTGTCTGACGTATCTGCGGTTCGACGAGATCCAACGACATCAGGTGCCCAAGCCGCCGGTCGACAAAGATTGGAAAATCGATGAACTTGAGCTTGCGAAGACTCGACATGAGTACCTCGCCGGGTACCCCTTTCTACAGTATTCCGTAATGTTCCTGGGAGATCATCTTCGTGAGAGCCAGATTATCGAAGAAGGTAATGTGGTTGGCATGAAGCAGTTCTTCGAGGCAGAGTCCGTGCCATTGCAGAACTGGGTGAAGGCTTACGATCTTCTGAAGCGATGGTCGCATGGGAAGTGTAAGTTGTGCCCGTTGTGTCCGTCCGAAGAAACTGCAGCGCTAACCAGCCGTACTCTGATATTGCATAGACTCTGGCTTTTCCACGAGCACTAGCTTGCTCTTCGTGGCAGCTCGGCTCAATCTCCCCTGGTTAGCCGACCGCGCAACCTCTTGGAATCTGTCCAACTTCTCGCTTCCGGTCGCCGTTGCAGCGCCCGACACGTCTGGCTGGAGTGCGATCCATATCGCCGCGGACTCCGAGGCCGTCGAGATGATCACCTGGCTTTTGCAAAATGGTGCGATCGTGGACGCTACCACCCTCGGGCTACTGCATCCCGGTCGAACGGCGCTACACTTTGCGGCCGCGGAGCGCTCTGACGCGGGACCAAAGATGGTGAAAGCACTACTCAAGGCCGGCGCCAGACCAAACATCTTCACGAGAGGCGGAGGTAATAGTGCCCTTCACTACGCCATCGACGGTCGCTCTGTCGAGACGGTGAATACGCTCCTCGCCCACTCCGCGGACCCAAATGCAACAAACAGCTCCGGTATCACTCCTCTGCACAAGGCCGCAGCTATCCCGGGACTCGAAACACTCGTGGAAGCCCTCCTCAAAGGCGGCGCGGACCCCAATCGCAAATCCAGTGTCGGTAAGGGTCTTGCAATCCGGGGTCTAGCGGCATGGCGCACCTCCAAGACCCTCATTGACACCTACCACGCTATCAACACGGCACAGACCGCCCTCCACATCGCTGTGAAAGTGAAGGACGCAGAACGCACCTTGGAGGTGCTCCTCAAAAACGGAGCCGACGCTAACATTCGCGACAGTGTCGGCCAGACACCTCTCCACGTCGCGCTTGTCGGTATGGACCGCGAAGTCATGGCCAAGCTGCTCATCGATCATGGGGTTGATGTCAACGCCAAGGATGAGGAGCATCGGACACCATTGCTTCTATTTCTCCAGACCGTCGGGGCGATAGCGCATGAGTTGCGCTCCCAGGGCCAAGCCGAGCTACTGTTGTCGGACCTGGATGGCCAGGCATCATGGGAGAGAACGGTGGAGCTGCTGCTCGATGCCGGAGCCGACCCGCAGACAGAGTGCAAGAATAAGGTCTCGCCGCTCAGCTTTGCAAAAATGGCATCAATGAGCTGGGCGTCGGAGATCATTGAGCGGAGACAGAAGGTAGTGGTGAAGGAACCAGGCGTCGAGGCCCGAGAAATCCACGAGCCTGAAGCCGTGGATATGCCGCAGCCGGAGTCGGAGCCGGAGAAGAAGGGATTCTTGCAGAGTCAGGCAAGTAAGTATATTCCGAAGAAGCTGAAGTGGTAGTTTTTCGCTGCCCGTGTTTACAGGATGCTATCCTGGTGGGGTTCTCTTTCTATCTATACTTTTGTGGATGGATGTAGCATATCTAGTCTTGTCTAGCAGTTGAGGTAGTCCTATCACCAATTATGCCTTAATCATTTTCGCTATGCTTGTTCCCTTTCGTCCTGTTCGAACGTTCTGGATCGCCCCTCTGTCGCGCTCTCCATCCGTCCAACTTAAGAACTACTTGCACAGGAGAAAGAGGCTCCGGCAGGAGTCTCATGGATGGCTTTCCCCGAGACGTATAGTCCGAGCCCGCACTAGTCCTTCTTGTTAGTCCCTGCAATTTCTCAGACACAAAGGGGGACTTACAATAATCGCGCCCACACAAAACATAAACCCATTCACGATCGTTAGAGCAAACTTCCTCAGCGATCTAAACCACTGCCCCCAGTTCAGATACAACCAGAAGATCCCGGGTAGTCCATCTGCACGTTTTGCATAGTTAGAGCTCGGCACTCAGTCTTACCAATTCACACACAACACAATTCGACCCAAGGAGGAGGAGGAGGGGAGGGGGATCAACGCACAAGTAAACCAAGTAGCGAACAACGACGCCTGAGTCACGCACACAATCCACCGCCCTGGTCAGCTCTTCCGCATACCATGCACAAAGGCCAGTCCGAAAGGGGAAATAACTCACCACCAAACTAAGAATATTACTAAAACTCGGAATCGCCTCGGCAATCACCCAAGCCAGCACCCACAGCACGAGGGCAATCAGTCCCCACAGCGCGTAACTGACCCAGTCGGTCGCGTGCACGCGCTCCGTCCCGCGGAATAATCGGATGTAGATGTATTTGCAGGCGATGTGGCCGTTTACCACGCCTGAGATGATGATCTTGGGGTTGTGGTTAGTTATGTTGTGTTTTGCGGATGTCTGGGTGCTAGGGCTGGCTGGGATGAAATGCCTACCGTCGGTAAAGCCACCCCGTAGGCAACTTTGCGGACCACCGGGGAGGCGGACCCTAGTGCTGGGGAGACGACGTCTGGTCCGGCGAAGTAGTAGATTAGAATTGCCACGAAGATGTACAGTGAGGTGTCGACCCCTTGCAGGAGGAAGACGGCTTTGGAGTAGTCTTTTGGGTCTTTGAGCTCCGACATGAAGCCGAAGAAGGCGGCGTGGGCGGCTGCCGGTTTGGGTTAGTGGATGGATGGCGATTTGAGGGTCGATGTCTGGGTGGTATGAGGACTTACCGAATGAGAAGACCATGTTAGTGATGGCTAGAAACCCGTGGTTGAGGTCCGTATGGTGCACCACAATGGTCTGGTAGTGGCCTCTTCTGATGATTCCCAGGTCGATCATGACCACGAAGACGGCGGAGAGGATACTTATGAAGCCTGGCATTGGCTATTAGTTGGTTTTGTTTGCTTTTAAGGGGGCGTGGGGGTCGCTTGCAGATTACTGCCATGAGGGTCATCCCTCGTAGGGTTCGGGGCAGCGTGCACAGCAGCGAGATGGCGAAGCCCACGATGCTGAAGGCAACGGTACACGTTGCGTGGTTCGTGATCGTGTTCATCGCCACCGCGAACGTCAGCAGGTGGCTGCCCATCACGAAGATCAGGAGCAGAATCAGTCCCGCGCCCAGCAGCTCCCGGCCAAAGGCACCCCATAACACCTCCCCTGCGTCGGCCATGCTGTGCACATGCGGGTACCGCCATCTGAACTGTCCGATCACGTATCCCGTGTATGTGGCCATGCCGCCGAGTCCGAGAAGGGCGATGATTGCGCTGTTGCTCCGTCAGTTGCGTGCTAGCTGTCTCCCGTTGCTGAGCATGAAGAAGCGTACGGAACAATTCCCATGGCCGCGACAGCTGCTGGTAAAGACAGGATCCCCAGAGAGACTGTTTCGGCGATCATGACTACGGTTGTCAGATTGCGTCATTCATTGACTGCTTTTTGGTGGGTTGACTCACGCATTCCACATTGCCTGAGCGGTACTGTTAGTGCTGAATTCAACCTGGCATTTTCATTCGACATACCACCAGCTCAACGTCTTATACCTCATCTGTCCCTCGACCTCCTCTCCAAACGGGTCCCCTGGGATATCCTCATACACGTGAGGCTTTTTCGTCTCGTCATCGTCCAGACTATGGCGGACGTTGCTCGGTTGCAGTTCGGCGCTCACCGGCTCGGGACGGTGGGGCATTTTGGCAGACGGGGGGTTGTCCAAAAAGCTCCCTGAAATATAGGGATAGTACCTTCAAGGAGATGTACAAGGTTGTCAATTGAGGGACTGCAATGCCACACACGATGGACGACAGGATTAGCAATAGTCAAAAGAGCATTGGTGGTGAAGATCAATATTTATGTGTGCGCACACTCACGCCCTAAGGTGGCTTTCTGCCAGTTGCTGTTACCCCGCGTTTCACCTCCACAGTGGAGCACTCTAGTCTATGTCGAGTCTAGATCCATTCGCGACAGCCTCCTTCTCCCCCTGGACTGTAGGTCAATAGCCGACGAAAAGCCGGGGATTCCGCTGTCTAGTTATTCTATCGAATGCACGAAAAAGGTCTCACTTCGTTAAATGTCACTGCGTCTTCTGCGTTCTGCTGACTAATTGGAGATCCGGTGCAGATACCACTGCATTTGATGACCTCCGTGGCTTAAGGGTGCACTTATCATGTCTTCCGCTCCGCCGAGCTTGATGGATGCTTTTTGGCTGTTGGAAGATAGAATTCAATGCTTAGACTATATGTGCATGAAGTAGAAAAGAACAACCACAATGATTATTTCACCACTTCCCCAGACGGGTTCAGTGGTGGCAGGAGTCAAATGCTATATACCCGTTGTGAGTCTGAGGTTGAAGAATGACTTTTTTTTCCAAGTCTGCACGGCGGCGGAGCGGTAGTTTCCGCCGGGGCGGAATTAGCTTTATCTTTTTCCTCATAGTCACCGTTTAGTGGCGTTAGTTAAGGTTTGGAGATTAGCGAGTTTTCATTAAGCCGCCGGATAGTTGCGGTTGTTGGTGGCTATTTGCGTATACAGAAAACACGGCGATCAGATTTGTAGAGCCAATCCCACGCCCTTAAAATGGCGGGTCAATCACTGCGAGAAAGTCTGCAGCGGCCTGCGAGGTCTTTGCAGTCAAAAATAAGACATGAAGGTTTGATACGCTTCGATCAGTGGGATGACAAATCAGCCCGGCAAGTCATGGAATGTAACGCTCTGCAATCAACCTGTTTTCCGACGTACTAGAAAACTATCGATGTCGCAGCGGCTCTCTCTATCGATACAAGTAGGTTTAGCAGAGCCTGAAGCTATCCGAAGCTATATTCTCCTGGTCGCAAACCACGAGCGTACCTTGCCACTCACTCCATAGATATCTTACGACAAGCCCCTTGTTCATTGTCAAGGCTCATGCGCACAGAACTGGTAAAGTTGTCAAAAACCAGCAACCCCTGACCACAGATAGAGTCATTACTCATGGATTCAGTGACACGTGGGGTAGGGCAGCTTCAGATCATGGAACGTGAGCCGCAAACGGCGGATGCGGGTGGTAATGTTACCTTTCCGCGGAACGATATACGAGTCAGCCATTGGACTATCTATCTGCCCTAAAAGACTTGCCTCTCTCGGTATGCATCACTGCTCGGCTACAGCCAAAGTCGTTTCTATCGTTCTTTGAGCCCTTGATATTGATAGAAGACCAAGAGAATCTCTGGTTAAATAATCAAAGCTAAGAATTAGTTACAAATGTTGGTTGTTTCGTCTCGACTCGGTGTTTCGTTACTTAGACGCCCCTTCGCTCCAACACCCATCGAAAACAGTTGTGCTTCGGGTACATATTGCCTCTGATATGTGCCAAGGTGACCGGCAGAAAAGAAAGTCCTCCGCATGATCAGACAGCCACGTCAAGACACTATCACTTCTTCTGGCACACAACGTAAGAGTTATATCTGTTCGACTATTTTGAAACATTAGAAGCTGCTGTTTAAGCTTTGATTGTCGACAGCCAACTTACCGGAGCCGGGAAGGCAATGTAATGGCCGCTCTCGCACTTCAGATTCTCGCAGCCTTCGAGCCCTACATCTCGCGATTAGTGTTTAAATTGGGGGCACCAGGATGATGAGAGTCTGGAACGTACAAGTCCACCCGCATTCAGTACCGGCAACGCCTCTGACTACCACACCCTTGCACCAGAATTCTTTAGCTTAGTCGTTTTGCTTGACGATGGAGATCTCATCCTCGCCTCCTTCGTCGGTGTCTGAGGCAGGCGCGGCGGTGACGAAAGAGGCGGCTGCGATGAAAGCGAGGATGTTCTTCAACTGCATGATGGCGTGGATTGGCACTTCAAGAATGTGCTTGACAGGCTCTGTGCTTTGTTGATGTACTGCAATGATGGCAATGCTGATGATGATGAGCAAGACACGAGGATTCCCGGACACAAGGAGCATTTTATAGACGATGGTCTCCAGATCTAGACTTGGTCCTTCGTCGTAAATATACGATCTCTGATCTCACGACTGGCATCTGGAGGAGATCTACGGTGATAGCCAAGAGGCTCAAATGATCAACTTCAGTAGAAAAGTCGGGTTTTCGGACAGCCTGCCGTGATTGCGGATATGGCAGCCGATCACCGTTGGGTGGGCTTGCGGGCCGCCTCGTATAACCATTGTTGTCCGGTGGCCACATCGGGTTCGTCTAGTCTTGCTCGCTCGATTTGGAAACTAGCACGCTGAGTCTCTTGATGTGTATGACGCTGCCGAGGAAATCGGGGATAGAATGAGCTCGAGAAGCCCGGGTTTCCACGACCGCTGAGTTTACGAACCCCGCGTCCATCTGGATGAGCCTACTCTATATGTGAGGAGCGGGCATGCTATATCAGCTATTAATATCTTCCTACTTTTCCTCATTCGAGTTGTTGACAGGTTGAATCCATGGGATTATAGGCTAGACTTCCGTCTGGCGAGTGAATGGAGTCATAGGTCGTGTTTAGCATCGCTGTGGGTTGCATCTCTATGGACAGCGATGCTGTCTTACGATTATATGATCTTAAAATATACACCATGCGTCTTTTTCAGGTAGCCAATTCTTAAGCACTCCATTATAGTTGCTCTTTGCCAACAATATTTATCATGGAATGATGCTAAAGGGCCGACTGAAGCCGAACGACGTAGCAGAATCATTTCAGACCCATTGCATCTTAATCAATGAGATGCCCGGATCTAGTTTAGAAAGTCCAGTCGATGATCATAACTACTCGACCTTCTCCTCACTTGTGGCCGTATGCCGCCAAAAATTGTTCTGGGGCAGGTCATCAACCAAGGGTGAAAGCTCTCGATCATCTACTCCACGAATCCAATCGTTTACGTCCCTTTCAGGATCGACTTAGGGCATAACAGCCTTCAGCATAGGCTGAGTAGACGCACGAGTGAGCCTGGCGGTCAAGATGCTGCGGCCACTGCACTGATAGTGAGGAAGTAAATGTCTGAAGGCGCGAAAATCGATCATCCTCTAAGCCCAATATCAACATAAGTGGAGAGCAGATTCATCTTGATCTTCGACGCGATGATCCCAATAGTTATGCGCAAGCTAACTCGGACCTATATTACAAATGAGGGATGTTCACTCATTTCCAAATCTAGATAGCATATCATAGAAAGTATCCAATGGCTAGAATCAACGCTAATCACATCATGCACAAACTAATAAACTCCTAAAACAACGAAGACACCACCACCACCGCAACTGCAACTCCCCACCGGTTACCCCCTACCATCCTCGACCCAGCACCCGTAGCCGTCGAATCTGAATTCAGGGCCCCAGTGGAGCCACTGACCACTCCACTCTCCGTGGACGGAGCACCCGTGGCAGCAGCCGAATCATCCCCCGTCCCATCCGTCTCATTTTTCTTCTCCCCTTTCCTCTCATTCTCATCCCCCTTCTTATCCTCATCGTCACCCGCATCATCATCCTCATCCTCCCCGACAACCCGAAACGTAGCCGAATACTTCACCTTCTCCGCATCATCGACATCCACAACCGCAAACCGATAATCATCCGCCAGGGTCAGTTTCCCCGGCAGCACACACGCCAGACTCCCCGAGTTAGCGACATGCGTCGCGACAGTGGACACATTCCTCGAGTCGGTGCTGGATGCGCCTTCCATCAGGTACACACTGACGTGGGCCGTCTCCTTCTCGACTGGCCAGGTGAGGATAGTGGTCTTCCCGCGCGTGACGGGCTGGTTCTCGGTTGGGTAGTAGGTCGTGGCGTCTGTGGAGTTCGCTGCGGTGCTGTTCCCGTTGGATTTGGGCGCGATGATGGTGAAAGGCTTGGAGGTGTAGCCTTCTTTTGTCTCGGTCTCACCATTGTTATTGGAAGTGGTGGTGCTTGTGTCTGTGTCGATGCCAGAGGAAGGGTCGATGACGATGATGTACTCCGACCCCGGGGGTAGGCGGGCGGGCGGAGACCAGGAGATCGAGCCCGAGTTGGTGATGTTCGTGGCGATCGTGTAGAGCGATGTGTGGTTTGTTGTTGTTTCGACGTGCAGGGAGAGCTTTGCGCTGCTGCGTTGCGTCGTTGTCCAGGAGATTACGCTGGGCGTGTTTGGGGTCAGGATCGCGCCGGAGGTGGGTGAGGTGATGCTGTATGCGGGCTTTTGCGTTGGGGAGCCGCGGGTTAGGGCTGTCAGTGCTGTAAGGAGGAGGGCGGTGGTGAGCTGCATCTTGATTCTGAAGGCTGGTGCTTGTGGTGAGGGATCGAAGTCAAGGGCGCAGTGGGATTTAAGGTCAGTATTTATCTTTCGTTAAACTGTGCTATAGATACATTGAGGTTCGGCGATCCGGGGGAGGCGTGGCTGTGGAATGTCAAGCCTATCCCGTCTTGAAGATTACGGTCTCATTCTTGCCGCCGGCTGAACCTATGCGGAATGACTTTATTCAAGGGGCTGGCCGTATGCGCTGCCTACACCTGGACTTGCAGGCAATTTTGAAATTATTTTCGGAAGTACAAGGTTGTTTTCGGTTGGCTGAACATAATATCAGGCAGTTGATGAATGTCGAGCTGTTATTCAGGCGCCGCGCCCTCGCGGATGCGGTCCTTCTACACAGTTGTTCACTACCACTGCCAGGATTGTCAGGCGAAGAACAACATCTTATCCCCATTAGTCAACGACGAACATAAATAGAATTGTGCTCGGAGCTCTGCGATCATCTGACACTCTGTCTAGCATGCAGCTGAACATCAGAAAGAGTAGGCAACTTTTCCATTTACTTTCTTCCCGTCAAGGCTTTGTGCGAAGGAAGGACACGGGCGTTCTCGAACGAGCGGAAAGTCTCAATCCACGTATCGAACTTGTTGTCGTGCCGAGTCCAACCATACTTCCTTGCCTGTTGATGGATGAAAACGTCAACCGGGGCTTCCCCGTAGCCCCGTCGAAGAAGCCCCAGGTACCCCAGCTGCAGGCCTCGGCCTTGCCACTATCCCACACCTCCTGCTTGTCTTTAGCCCACTCTAACATGTCAATCTCCTTCCGTAGCGTCTTAGCCTGTCTCTTAGCCGTCTCAAAATTGGGCTCCGGTGCCTAGAATAACAATCAGCCATCGTCTACTGTTCGTTGATAAAATCCGTGTACCTCCACCCCGAAATACTGCGCAACATCCTGCCACATGTGATTCCACACGAACACATCACCATTTGCATGGTTAAACGCCTGGTCCTTGCAGTGGTCCTGCATCGAAGCCCAGACCGTCAGATCCGCCAAAACTGGGCGCATAGGAATTATCATCAATCGAGTTCCAGAAATACTCATTGCCCAGGAAGGTAGCGGGTTGAGCCAGCTCGCGGCAGATCAGCATGTAAATCGCGACCGTCAATGCCTCCGACATGCCGTTTGCTGGGAACACCATCAGCCCAAAGCAAAGCCTTATCTTTTGGTATGAATCTCCAATTCACCATGCGGCGCATAGCCATTGATCGCACTCGGACGGATAACATTATACGACCAGCAGCGGCGTCTCGTCTGCACCTCCCGGAGGTAATCCTCCTGGTTGTAGTAGAAGTTATACCCCTGGTCGTCGTACTGAGGGAACGATTCGTCCAGCGGGACTTTGACGGGCCCCAGATGGACACCATAGTACTATGCCTCGTCATTCGTCTCTGCTAATTTTCGTTCAGAATGGCTGGGGCTTCTTACCTTGCCGCCAGTCTGCAGACTCACGCGCTGCAAGACAGGACATACTGTATCCACGACGTCCATAGAATTGCGAAACTGCGGCACTTCCTTGTCCCCCAGAATATGGAAATCATCGTCGTGGACGTACGAGGCGAAGTATGCATGGGTGACAGGCGCGCAGATGGGCTTCAGCTGGGCAATGATCTCCTCGACGGGCGCGAGGAAGTCGATGGCCACGAATTCCACGCGCGGATCAACCCATGGAGCGTGGAGTGGACGCCGCGACGAGACCATGATTCGCGACCTTTCTCTATTAGTATATAGGATATCATCTGAGCTTTCTGAGGGTTGATATCATTTTTCTTTCGGTTGTCGGATTAGGTGCTCCACGATGGCATAGCCGCTTACCCCATTTGCGCCGGTCACGAAGGCGAACTTTGGGTTGTTTTAGGCCCATGATAGGGTATCTCGTAGAGGGGGTTCTCGGGTCTGTGGAGTTGGGATTGTGGTCTGGTTTCTATGTACATTTCATTTCTCGAGACTGGCTTTCGGTGCAGGTGTGTGTTCCGATTTACCCGGGTGAATAACTGAGTATTGAAGGCCTGAGTCGATCTTTTCCGTGTTCTCCTTAGGTTGGATTAGCTTGCATCATTTCGGAAATCCGGCTTTAGTAGGTGTCGGGGCTAATGCACGAGAGGACAGATTCGGGTTTAGATGGTGCAACTATTGAAACATGCCAAGGATTGGGGATAGTGGTGTGGATTATAGGTGAGGATGCGATGGAATCTTGAACGCTGTCTTTACTACTTAGTAGAACAAGTGCATTGACAATTGGTCAGTTGGGTTTTGTGTAACATAGATCGATGGCCTGATTTCGTGCCATGCTGTCAGCATCTGAGTACATTCTTGTACTACATTCGCGCACTATGCGCTGTCACGAATCTGATCTCTACAAGTGCTTCGTGCTCGGTTGCAGGTCACACCAAATCCACCAACTGATTCCGAGAAGCTGTTCAGAGTCCGTCAAGTATCATCAGGGGAGATTGTCCTTGTTTGGGGGTATCAAAGGATCAGAGGTCAAATGTTCTGGGTCATTGTTGCTGCTATAGAGTCATGAGCGCAATGGGTGCTCTGCAATAGAAGGAATAGCAATAGGATATATTAATTGCTTGAGATAGAAACACAATGCGACAGGCGCAGGAATGATCAAATCACACCCGCAAATGCCTCAAAACGCAGCGCTACCAGCCCGCAATCTCTTCTTTGCATCCTCTCTAACCGTCTCCACGATGTCCTTCGCCTGTTCAAGCTTGCTCATCAATCCAACGCCCGTCCCGGCCCAGACACTGCTAGTATCACGATAGCCATTCTCCGTCTCCCGAAGCCGATCCCCGTCGCGAAGCAACTCCGCCCGGACCTCCTCCATACTCATACCCTTCTGCTCATTCTCGTAGCAGACATTCGTAAGACACCGCCCATCGTACAGAGCCGGCCACGGACTGGGCCCCGACATCTCATCGAACACGCGCGATCGAGCCGTAGCCTCGCCGCCGTCGGACGCGCGAAACAGCGCCTCGCGATACTGCGCCGGCACGTTCGTCTCCTCAGCTGCCAAGAACCGGGTCCCCATCGTCACGACCGCGGCGCCCAGCATCACCGCCGCCGCCGTGCTCCGCCCATCCATAATCCCGCCCGCCGCCACAAGCGGGATCCCGCCCATCCCAGCCGCTTGCAGCGCATCCGCCACCTCAGGGAGAAGCGTGATCAGACTCGCGCCCCGGGCGTGACCGTGCCCGCCCGCATCCACGCCCTGGATGACCAGCGCGTCGGGCCGGCACGCCTGCGCCGCGCCCACCGCCGCCTTGACGCTGCCAATCTGAATCCAGATCTTGGTGCGCGGCGACGCGCTCCGGATCATCGCCGTCCATTGCGCGAAGTCCGTGGCTTCCCCGAAGGAGAGCCATACGACGGCCGGTTTGTATTGGGTTAGTACAGGCGCGATGGCCAACGGTGACATCCCCGCGCAGATGACCCCGACGCCGATAGGGAGGATGTTGTCGGGAGATTGCGCGGTGATGCTCTGTAAGTGCTGGCTGGCGTGCCCGAGTTGCGTCGCCAGGGCTCTCGAGTCGGACAGGAAGCCGATTTGGCCCAGTCCCCCGGCTTGCGTTACCGCGACCGCTAGCTCGCTTGTCGCGAAGCCGCTCATCGGCGCGTTGGCGATGATTGGGCTTTGGAGCCAGGGGAGGTCGTGGAGGAGGGTGGTGCTGGACATTTTGGTGTAGTATTTTATTGTGTTGGGTGTATGTATGGTGGTTTGGTCGTAGATGATGGTGAAAGAGGGGGTGGGTCGTATGCTTATGCTTATGCTTAGTTATAGTATGGCTGAGATCCGGCGGATCCGCCACTGCTCCGACGCCGCGGAGCAAACGCCAGAGAGCAAACGCCGAAGAATTGCTTGGCTGCTCCAACTACAGGGGAGGCCTGGCGATGTGAGCGGGGTTGTGCTGCTAGAGAGCTGACTTAATTTGTGCCTCAGGCAGTAAGTCTCAGCTTCGAGGCTTCTTGTCTCGCAGCCTTCTGAAGCCTGACTTTTGAGGCACTCAACGCCAAGTGTTTGGGTTGGTGTAAGGGAGGGAGCCGAATTAAAGGTCAGTTCCACATCCACATCAATCTGCAGCAATGAACCGTGTCAGGCAGTACACTTGACTAAGTCTACATCTGGGCGGAGAGAAGCCTGTAGCCACAGTGTCGCGCGCGAGTGCGTTACCTGATCAGGCAACTGCCGGCGTGGTTCTCGCGGCGGACATCAATCAGAACTACCGGATTTGGTAGTTCTCGCCGCCATCCTAGATGAAGTGTACTTGAAGGTCTCTAGGACATAGACACAGTGAGATGCACCAGGAACAAGATATAAAGAGGGCAAGACGTCGGCAGAATCTCGCTACCATACTCCGCTCCATTCCTCCGCAATCCTTTCACTCAATATCTTCACTCAAGTTCTCGCACAACACCAAAATGAACCCTCTCAAAATTGCAGTTGTTGGCCTTGGCCGCATGGTATGTACTAACACCATCAAGGGCTTTATGACCTGCTAACGCTATCTCAGGGCAAACGCCATGTACGCACCCTTTTGTACCGCGTGCCCCACGCTCAAGTGGTCGGAGTCTGCAGCTCCGATGCGACCGAGATCGACTGGGCGAAGAACAACCAAGAATACAAAGACTTTGGCATCACAGTCTACGACAACTACGACAAGATGCTAGACCACCCAGGGCTGCAAGCTGTCTGGATCTCGAGCAGCACCGATGTTCACGCAAGTCAATCGCTGGCTGCGATTGCCAAGAACCTGCACGTTCTCTGCGAGAAGCCACTCAGTACCGATCTTGCCGAGGTGGGAGACCTCCCCACATCATCAAGACACTATCATTAACGCAGTTCTGGCAATCAGGCAAAATCAGTAGTCGATGCCGCCCGCGCAAAGCCGTCTCTGAAGGTGATGGCAGGCTTCTCGCGGCGCTTCGACGCCTCCTACCGCGACGCCAGCACCAAGATCTACGAGCAGCAGGCCATCGGCACCCCCTTCCTGGTCCGGTCCAACACCTGCGACCTCCGCGACGACACGGGCTTCTTTGTCCGGTACGCGTCGCGCAATGGGGGCATCTTTGTCGACTGCGCCATCCACGACATCGACCTGTCGCTCTGGTTCCTCGGCAACCCCACCCCCAAGGCGTGCTGGGCAGCGGGAACCTTGCAGCACCACCGGGAGCTGAAAGATCTCTCCGATGTAGACAATGCGGTCGGAGTGGTGGAGTTCTGGGGCGGCAAGATCGCCTACTTCTACTGTTCGCGGACGCAGGCGCACGGCCACGATGTCTGCACCGAGATCACCGGGACCGAAGGCAAGCTGATGGTTAATGTCATTCCGCGGCAAAATAATGTGGTCCTGGCCGACAAGCTGGGCATGCGCCATGAGGTCCAGCCGGAGTACTGGGAGCGGTTCGAGCACGCCTTCGCGCTGGAGGCCAATGAGTTTATTGCTTCCATCCGCGAGGATAAGGAGGTGCCGTTGCCGCTGGAGGCTGGCATGAAGGTCATGCAGATTGGGCAGGCTCTGCAGCATGCCTTGCTGTCTGGGGAAGTGGTGCGCTTCAACTTCAATGAGACTGGCGAGCGGCTGAACTAGGTCTCTGGGGAGTGGGTCAGTCTATAGCATCCTAGAGTTATCATGATGTTGCAATGTGAATTCAATCCGTTTTGAGATAAGATAAATTCTCAAGAAGTCTCCGGGTATGATTGAGTCCTTGCCATACACCTTAGAGATTTGGGATGGAACTCATCATCGGAATCATCAATTCTGTATGCGAAAGAGATGTGCGTCTTGATAGCCGGATTTGCAGCTCGTTGCTCAACGCCTGCAATGTATGTTGAACTTGGGATCAAGCGCTCCATCAAGAGTCCCTAGAAAGGCAAATGAGTCAGGATTCTACAGTAAGCTTGTGCGCTGAATGAGGTGGAGGTTGATGGATTGATGATTGAAGTAAGTAAGTGGGAGAGTCCGGGTCACGGGTCCACGGTCACGGGTATCGGGACTCTTTTCCTAAAATGGATGCGGGGATGAGGGGTCGCGCCTGCCTCCATTGAAACTTGAAGTTGTATATTTTGACTCCAAAAGGCAACCTCCGCCGTCCCCGACCAAAATTCTTCACATCGGCGTACACAATGTCCGCGACAGCTAGGACATCCCAGGGTCAGACTCCGTGCTCCAAGTGTCGAGGTATGGCGCGCATCTTTCATGGAATGAATACCCGGCGCTCTCGCTAACCAAGACGCTCGACTAGAAAAACACGTACGATGTGAGTGGATAACAAGCTGGACACCATCCTTGATACCCCTCACTAACTGGCTTCCCTGCCATATCTCCAGGTGATAGGCTACGTCCGACGTGTACCCGATGCAAAGAAAAAGGCTGGATCTGCAAGCCAATTCGCCGCAAGTCGCCGTTCCGTCAGGGGTCCACGGCTGGATTGGACGCCAGTTTTTCCGGGAATCAGGTTTGGGTGAGCAGTGCGCCTAAGCGGTGGAGACCACTCTTCAGACAGGAGCAGATCTCCGACGGATTGGAAGGACCGACGTGCCACGCGGGGCAGGGGGCTTACTCAGAAGCCAATGGGGGGCTCTTGTTCTCGCCAGACACAAGTGTTGCAGCATGGGCACAGAGTGGCTCGTCATCCTTCGGTTCCCCCAAAACTCGCATGAGTGATAACAACGTACAATGCGAGGTGGAGACTGGCGTTCTAGCCACAGAGCGTGGTACTTTGATGGAGCGCTCGACTTCGTGGCGTTTGCCAGGATACAATAGGCCCATCGATGCGTTTTCGCTCACGGCTGGCCACGGATTCGGCGAAGTCGCCCATCCTGAAGCACTCCACCAAGAACCAACCAAGCTCCCATCGAGTCTCACCAGGCCTGGCAAGTCCCAACGCGGTCACAGCAATGAGTCGCCAAGGCATCTTGATCCAGAGAAATCCCTCCGGGAAGCTTGTCTACTTCGTTATTATATCGAAGAGATTTCTCCCTGGGTAAGTCGATGCCGAGTACATTCAGCATCGGCTGCTGACACGGCACAGTTTGATCATTGTGATCATTTAAGGCACTTCCGATTAGAAGTTCCCCGACGTGCACGACACTGCTCCACCATCCGTAACGCAGTTTTCGCCGTGTCGGCACGGCATTTAGTTCGGCTTCCCCGATATAGGACGCCGCATGGTATTCTATATCACGGACAATTAATCCGCGACATGGAAGATGCCACCGCAGTGGAGTATACACTACGTTGTATACCTGATCTTGTCAAGTTCCCGGAATCAACCGATCCCGTAAATCAGGAGAATATCATGGTTGCTGCAGTGATTCTCCGCCAATACGAAGAGATGGATGAAGACATGGAGGACGATGGACTTCTCGGAGATACTGCAGCTCATAACAGAGTCAACTTTCTGGCCATTACCCAAACTATCATCGAGTCCATGATGTCGCATCGCCTCGAACAGTCGCTTGCCACGGCGTCGTATTGGATTGCTGTCAGACAGGAGGTGTACTATGCTCTAACAAGAGAACGTGCACCCATCATGCAATTTCAATTAGAAGACTGGAGGACGGCGTCGGTTGCTAACAATTTCATCATGCTTGCTAGCGAAGTGACGAAATGGTTCTGGGAGGATCAATCAGTCGATGAATGGGGTTTGTATTGCTATCCCATGGTGAGCTCATCGAGAAGAAAAGCTAATTCGTTTAGAGCGACTTTCGTTGCGCGAGCAGGAGCTTGCGAGTGCATATCGAAGCGATCTAGCACCTATCCTCGAGAGACGAGCGGAAAAGCTACAGGGTCAGATCTTTCCAGCCATCTGGTACAGCTCTGAGGATCAAGTCACAGCAAGCCAGCATCTTGAGCTGTCTCGAATGATCTTGACCGCCGAAAATCCGCACCTGAAGTAAGACTGTAGGTCCGAATAGCAAATTAGTTCCCTAACGCGTCGCAAGACACTCAACCCGTGCAACACAACGCAGGACAGAGTCACAAGTGCGCGCAATCGTTCTGAAAATCTGTGGAATTGCTTTGAATCACATGGATTGCAAGCCAGCCTTGGTCAATGGTGTTATTGCGGTGACCCTGTATGGCGAGTATTTTACGGAGCCGGAGGAACGCGATGCTTTGGTAAGAGAAATCATCAATCGAGCCCAAGACCTGAACGCGTGGCCGATGCAAAAGCGGCATGAGCGACTGAAACAGCGATGGCGGTTGATGGACGGCGAGGAGATTTGAATGGCCTTCCTTGCCTTTGCTTTCCGCCTTGGCCACCGCCTTTGTGGAATGGCGCCTTTTCCTCTTTCATGGCCCAACCACCGCCATCACTTCAACGTACCGGTAGGTCCACCCTTCTCGATAATGGGCTCTCTCCAGGTAAGGTGGTTCTCCACTCATTCATTCATATTTTCTGAAGCTGTTGGCTAAAACTGTGTCATAGAAGCACTACCCCCAAAGAGTGATGACGAGTCAGAAATGGGATCGTCCTCCCCTGGGCTCAAGGATGATCAAACACTCCACTGTTTACGAAGAACATTACAAATCCCGGCTGGGGTCCGTGAGGCGTGACGAAGGGCTGACCCATCACGTTGTTAGTGCTGGCTGGCTGCATGTTACATCCTGAGCAATGATCCCATGCCTAAAAAGGACGAGTGGAAGGGGGAAATGATATCATTTCCTCCTGAAGCCCAATAATTTTCCGATATCACCCCAGATTCTAATGCACTCGAAGCTTGGTTTTGTCGTCGCGAACTATAAATGCCGGGTATCCGTTCCTCGCTTTTCCCACATTCCAGTGTGCAGTGTATCCAGGTCACATCTTTATCTAATTAAAGCCGGAGCTAGGACCCTTTCGACGGGCGCCATCTGGTGTGACCATGAGCTCTCATCAGACGACCCACTAGTCTACGTTGACGCGATGATGTTGATACGTTCAGGGAGAGGGCCGTGAGCCTGTGTTGCGTGCACAGGTTACAGTCCATCCAGGAGCATATGCAAATCCTAAGACGGTAGTACTCCAGCCAGCATTTTGCTTGCAAGTTGGCATCTCAAGTTGAGAGATTCCTTGAGGATTCCCCGTTGTCTGCAGTACGGTGCCATCTTTGCTCCGGCCATTGTCTAGTCCTCGATCCCTACCCTCTCGCGAGCTTTTTAGGCAGCTAAGTCCAAGCGATTATGGATCTGGTTGAATGTTGATCCGCGTTGCACCAATGACCATCCCTTTGGCCCAGTGCAAGAGGTATGTATCCCTTGATTTAGGCTCTTCACCAGGCCTTTAAAGTCAACCCCGTAAACCAGCTTGATAACCAAGATTTATCAATGATTTCACGATGGGTGAATACAAAGTTGCAGAGTTTACTGACCTAGATCGTCTTGCAGCGGAGCATGGACTGGAGTTGACTCCAGATGGAGCCCATCTGCGATGGGCGAAGACAAACCGGAAGCATCCACGCAACTGGCACCCAGCACGGAAGACTTATGACATATGTGTAATCGGTCTTCTAGAGTTTTTCACGTGAGAAGACCTTGTTATCTCCGTGACGTCTACTAATAGGCACGCTCTTATAGGACCGCTATGAGTACTTCGGGGGTGAGTCCATGCATCACAATAACGAAGCCTATGTTTGGCAGGTCAGCTAATCTGTTGATAGGCCTCGACGGCAAAGGCAGCACAGATTGAGCTGGGGACTGGAAAGACCTTCACATTGTTCATTTATGTTTCTACGTGAGTCTAGGACTTTTCTACCTCTGGGCATCGCACTAATCCATCTTAGTTATCTTTTGGGCCAAGGCCTGGGAGGCGTGATCTTCCCACCGTATTCAGAAACCTTTGGTCGGAAACGGCTTTACGTCCTAAGTGCTCTACTGTATAGTGTCTTCTGTCTTATTATTGGAGCTGTTCCTTCAGCCAGTGCTCTAGTGATCGGCCGATTGGTCACCGGGTTCCTGTCTGCTATTCCAACTATAGTCATTACTGGAAGCATCGAAGACCTGTTCAATTCGCAGGATCGGATATGGGTCATGCTCCTATATGTTACCATGGCATGCTTTGGGGTCAGTGCGGGTCCCATTATGAGCTCCTACGTCACCTATCGATATGGATGGTATGCTAGCTAGAGTTCAGATTATTTGCCTTTTGTGCGGCTGCTTACAAGAAGCTTTAGGAGATGGGTGTTCAACATCGGTGCAATCGTGACATGTGTTCTTGCACTGATGCTCATGTGCATTAAAGAGTCGCGACCTTCGTTGATTCTTGCTCGGGAAGTTCAAGCGTTTCGCAAATTGACCGGTAACGACTCGCTGCTTGCCCTGAATCCAGATTTTATGCCGGACCTTCGCGCTTTTGCCCATCTGGGACTGTTCCGACCGCTTCGACTGTTCTTCACCGAGCCCATCGTCTTCACCGTCACCATGGTGTTCTCCGTTTGCGTGGCTCTAATCTACCTCTTCACCGAAGCCCTCCCACCTATCTTCGAGGCATTCGGTTTCAATACGGAGGAGTCGAGCCTTCCCTTTCTCGCCCTTGGACTGGGGTGTCTTCCCAATTTTGCGACCCGGATCCTGGACTATCGCATCACGCAGCGACGCCTCAAGGAAGGACGGACCATCAAGCCGGAAGACAAACTGACAGGGCTCTACATCGGCGCACCCGTCCTTGCCCTTTCACTATGGTGGTTCGCCTGGACCATCCCGCCGGTGGGCGCAAATATCCACTGGTCCGTGTCCGTGGTCGCCCTCTTCTTCACCGGATACGCTCTCAACGAGCTGGAAGTCGTTGTCTCGCAATATATGGCGGACTCCTACCTGAGCTATGCTGCGAGCGGATTCGCCGCTCTATCTATTGTCCGGTCTCTTCTCTCCGCCACCTTCCCGCTGTTCGGAAGCGCGATGTTCGCTGCCCTGGGTGCGAACATTGGTGTTTCTATCTTGGCCAGTATCGCGACCCTGTTCTGCTTGGTCCCGCCACTGCTGGCCCGCTACGGGGAACGGATGCGGAAGAACAGCAACTTCGCCAAGTACAGCCTGCAGGTGTACGCGGAGAACGGAGTGGACTCGGACTTTTTGTAAAGTCTTTGTCTGGTGGGGCTGGCTGCTTTTCTCTGTCTCGATCTTACAGGCAAGATGCGAAGCAAAAATGTATAGCCCCTGTCTTCGTGCGGTTCCAGACCCTGACCCTTGACAGTTATGTTTGTGGGCATGAATAAAACGTTAATGACTAGGTTTCAATCTTGTTCGCTATTATGATAACGATGATGAAAATGGCCTTATGTCGATTTACCATGTCATATATGCTGTCGTCCTTTGTTTTATGCTAGTTAATATATACAAAAATCAGATGGTCGCGAAGCCGAATGAGATCCTTGTAGTTCCCATTCATCGGACGATTCTGGTTGTGTTCATGTCGCGCTCCCTTTCTCGGGTTTTTGAAGGGGATTTTTCGTGTAATGAAAATAGCAGGGAAGTCAAGATCCACACAATTATCTCTATCTAGCTTTCCCTTCGGATTAAGTAGAAAGTTTGAGCTTGTGGCTTTGCTCTTGAATGCTTAGATAGAAGTAGGCCATGACTGGTATACTCCGTTTAATCCGATGATGATTCTCGGAGCTGGAGCAGAGATGGGCGCGGGCGGATTCAGGAGAGATACAAGCCATAGAGCACTAAGTAGAGGCCTCTGCATACCATAATTAAGTGAAAGGGCATCAGTGACAAGTCAGCCTTGGAGCGCAGTATCTCTGCTTCCTTTGTTAAAGGTCAGTCCGCCTGACCTTTTATTAGCATGAAAGCCTTAGCGGTGCTTGCGAAGGGTGTAAGTCTGCGCCTTCTGAAGAGGTCAATGCGTCTGAATGTCAGGCACTGAGTCTGGACACATCGTTGGTGAAAAAGGACTAACCCTAGCGCGGGATCCAATGGTATCTCAGCGACGCGAACGTGTGTATCAGTATTTCTGAGTCCCAGCAAGAGCGCTTTACGAGGTTAGACCACTCTATAACAGAACCCTTTGATGGGGGCCGGGCTCTCGGTTTTGTAGTGGCCTATACTGGTGAGGTGGTAGAGGGCTGCACACGAGTGTTTCGAGTGCTGCTCATTCCGAGGGTCTTAGGGCTGAGCTAATGTCCGCAAATTATGGCCGTGGTCACGGGAATAATATGCTCACCCTGTTCGGTCATCATCTTATCATCGACACTGAAGAGGGTTGGCGTAGGGTCTCGATTTGATCACGGTCGATCAAATAGTTCAAGACTGTAGTGGATTCAGTTGCATAATTTCTCTTTAGTGTGGGGGGGGGAACAGAATCGCTCGCTGCTGATGCGACCGCAGGCTTCGATCATGGTGGGCAGATGTCCTTAGCGATATCTGGCGTTGTCGTATTCATGTCAGACACTTATTAATTAACCACATCAAATCAGATCCCCGGTACAGCTAAGAAAGGTTGTGAATCTTACGTGTCGTGCATCCAGAAATACAATGGACATGGCAAAAATGTGGAGCTTCGGGAATGTCATCGTGATGGGCATAAGGGACAGTTCGCACTAACCCCCAACCCCTGTTAATAACAACCTCATATAGAGCTTCAAGGCACGGACAATGTCGGTCAGGAGATTATCGAAGCCTTGCTCAATGCAGAAAACCCTGGGACTCACGGTGACTGCAGCGACAGCCCAACATTTCTACCGCATCGCATATTCCCATCCCTTCTCCAGTTCAAGGAGACATGTGTAGACTACGACTCAGTCGGCTTCCCCAAGAGAGCGTTCACCGACCAGTACGCAATTATCGGTGGCTTCAACTTCAGCGTGGCTAGTTTGCCAGAGGCATTGTGTAAGTGGCGGTAAAAATCGACAAGCCGAGTTCCGACTGGGTCTTTCCTGATGGCAGCTTCTGGGTTCCGGTTGCTGCTGCATGGATAGTGGGCTGCGTCTAGCAAGGAGCTCAGGGATCGAAATTCGGCGGATGGCGTGGAGGACGGAGTCGACACCGGAGCGTATCAGATTGTGGGGATGCAGGGGGTCTTCGAGGAAGAAAACCCGTAAAGGGCGAATTATAGTGATTGGATCGAGGTGGGTATTGGGAAGACAATGATTAAGGTCTGTGCGGAATTACCCAGAGCTGTCTCAAAGGAGGGCAAGGGGGGAGGAGGAAGTGACCAACGCAGCCTCTGCCATCCAATCTGGCGGTGGCAGGATTACATCAGCTGTCAGTCAATGCCGGTAGGCAATGACCTATGTGGTAAGGTAGTAGTGTAGTTGTGGGAAGTGCCAGACATCTCAAAGATTGCGTTCCTTGGATGAGCCAATCCGATGGGAGCTGATATAGATTCCGGGACGAGCCTTATCATGTGGAACCCAAATCTGTCTCTCGGTACATGACTTCATTTTTCGCACGGCAACGTGTGGGCACTGCGTGTGACAAGACGAAACCCTCGTGCATTGGTTGCATTTCCCCTCTGACTTTATCCTTTCCCGTTGCTTCTCATTTATTTTTTGGGTTTTTTTTTGTCTTTTCATTTTCAGGTGTAGAGGCCCACCGTCGTTGCACATTTTTGAGATAACCTTTGCAACTACGTAGCATGTGAACCAACAATTACTCATATATGAATCTGCTGGACTTGTTCATTTCTGTCCATTTAGTATGTGCTTATATTGCGCGCATCGCGAATCATGGTAAATGACATCACATCGACATTTAAGTAGTTAAACAGCTTGAGTCCATGTGTAGAAGGCATAATGCATAGATAATCTGCAAGACTTTCCTGCCCCTCATATCGTTCATCTCTGCCTACAAACACAATAGATATATGCGACTGTCATGACCATGTTGCTGATATTCCGACTATTTATGGAGCAGTTATGGCCAGACGTGAGCTACTATGTCCGAAGTGCTGCCTCCCCCCCATTATCGCTGATGGAGACTGATATCTCGTAGCTGAGGCCTGCGGATCTGGCTGTCCTAGCTCGTGTTTCACGAGATTTTAACGATCTAGTCAATCCCTACCTTTACCACACCGTACGCTTCCATAGCCCCGGAACTATCAATGTACACGACAACTTGTTGTTGAAGTTGGATACCTTTGGAGACCCGCGATTCTCCAAGATGGGGTATATCAAGCGAGTGATTGTCTCGGGGACATGGTATGAGACATATGCTAGCATCGACTCGCATCTTGCGCCTCACAAGATTCTCTCTCCGGCGGCAAGGATGCTCAGCGCCATCCTCTGTAGCTGCGTTGCCCGCATGCCAAATCTGGAGGAATTCATGTAAGACAAGCACAGGCCCAGCTCGACATAAGAAGACTGATCTCGGATGAACAGTTGGGACATGCAGGTCTCAATGACCCAGCATCTGGTCTCGAATCTTGTCTTGCAGCCGATGCTGCGGGCCCTGCATCTTCGCATGGGCACCGACTGCACGCCGAAACCCTTCTTCCGCCCACCGCTGAAGATGAATCTCTCTGTTCATCTGAACGCCCTGTCCCTCATTCAGATCGACGATATCGAAGTGATGAAATCCGTAGGTAGCGCAATCTCTAGCGCCACGAACCTAGCCCACCTTTCCATCTGGGCGGATGATAACTCCGAGCTCAGCCTCAGCTCCCTATTCGAGAGCTGGCCCATGCAGCTTCCGTCGCAGCTCCACCTGCTCGACCTGCGAGGGTTTGCCGCGCTAGGGGTCACGCCGACTGATTTCTGGGCCACGATGCGACCGGCCAAACTCAGGGAGGTGACCCTGGAACTCGGCGGGCGCTCTCCGGTCACCTCCTTTCAGGATTTCTGGGACGCCGGTTTGGAGGCAGGGCTACGGCCAGTCCACCTGACTACCAACATCGCTGACGACACCATCGAGACCTTTCTGCGCTCCTTCAGTGGTCTGGAGGTATTCCATGTCTCCCCTTCGAAGATCCCAGGTCGTACGGCTGCCTCCGTGTCCCTTCTGGACGCGCTGGAGAAGCAGCATTCGACCACGCTGAGAGTGCTGGGTCTGAACCTGCTCTGCCATGAGACGCGACCTTGCTCCTGCGTGGCGATGCTGCATCTCATCGCCCACTCACTTCCCCTTCTAGAAGAACTTCGCATTCAACAAAACAAGATCGACACGGTAAGCATGTTCCTTTTCCTCCCTACCCCGCCATCATTTCAACGCCAACGACTATCTTCTGGACGCTCAGGACTGATTGAGACCCCTTCTTCTCTGCAACCACTAGCAAGCCATCAAGGCCGCTTTAACCGTACCCAGATTGCGAGTCCTCTACATCGACCGAGGCGACGACGTCCTTGCAACTACGCAGTTCCTATCCATTGCGGAATATTTCCTCGGTGACGGCTACGCGAACCAGTTGAAATACATTGCCTTCGACGGTGGCCCCGCACATAAATACCTGAGACGAGCCAGACGGTTTTCGAACGGGGTGTGTCTCGTGGGATATCTTCCGGACACCACCCTTCTCCATGAAAAGAACTTCGACTGGGTCCGGATACCTTATTGAGTTCATTGCCCTCCCGCATGCAATCGGTCCATATCTGGCTAGTGTTTATGGAACCATGATAAGAGTTTTCAATCACCGGTAGTCGGGATATAATTTCCGCAAATACTGCTGCAGATTCTTTAGGCGTTGGGTTTCTCAGGCCACCTTTTTCTTTTGGGCTTTCTCGCTTTTCCATACGATCCCCAGACAATGTAGCCTAGGCTGAACAATTCTACTTGGTGTATGGAATATCAGGAGCATTTTGGAATGTATAGTAAATAGTATTATGTTTTACCACATTCAGAAGGACATGGTATAAGGACAGCGCGTGAAACAGAAACGCTTGCTACCCGTATCTAAAAGCTCTTATGTATGCGGTAGGAGTCTATGACAGTTCTTAGTAACCAAAATGCTAGCATTCTGTTTTCGCTCGCCTGTTATCATGGGCGCTCGTCACAGAAGAAGATTCGGTCATTTTTGGCTAAATAAAATGCGACCAGACATTGGGCGATACATATGACAAAGTCCGCACTCGACAGGAAGCTAGCCAGATCCAGATTTCAGTGTCTATGTTGACAATACTCACTATGGCTGGGATGCAAAGGATAACAAACAACATCATTTGTCATGCTTCAACTGCCCGAGCCAAGTGCTCTCACTTCTCTTTTCTCCATCCTTATTTGTTTCGTCTTCCATTTTCGTGTCTCTTCGCCTCCCCGTTGCTCCGCTCCAACCCTCGACGGGAGTGAAAGGCCACCACCTTTCTACAGCAATCTCACCTGCGTACTCAACGTTGTAGCGATTTCGGTGGGCAGAGAATGCGATGAGTCGGTCCTGTGGTGCTTTGACGATGGAGGAAACGGTATCCCGGAGACTCCCTCTAGATGGCCCATTGGCCTTGGTCACCAGGTTGGTTGTTGGGTTGCCCCGGGACAGGTTCATCCTTCATATCTCGCTGCGCAACCAAGGGAAGCCGACTGACCGCAAGTTCTCGCCAGAAGTACAGAAGAAACCCAACCGCCAGCCCCAGCCCACGGGGGAAAACACAATTCAGTCTTTCTTGGGGCGCTGGGTCAGGATTGGCCGGGTTGTTTCGGGTCGTTCGATTTCGTATTCTTCCCCTTCTCATCATCCTTCTCTTCTTGGATCATTTCCAGAATCTCCTTTTCCGTGGGGAGGATTGGGTCGTTACCCGGCACCAGCGCGATCAATTCGTTGCGGATCACATCATGGGACTCGTTGTTCCGGATGATGGCCAACGCCGCTTCGATGATCAACGGGTCGGAGACGCGCAGCACGCGGAAGGACTGTTCGAGGAACGCCCGGTAGTACGCGGCTTGCTCCAACGTGTGTATGGCAGTCGTCTTCCGGCGCTTATCGGAGAACTCGTTCACCGTGCAGGTCAGCCCGTGGACGCTGCACGCTGCACACGGGATACCTTGATCAACTGCGTTGCACTGTTTCAGGGGCGGAAAAAGATCTGTTAGAACAGGAATGGAGAGAGACGATGAAGGTGGTAAAAAGGAGAGAAAAAAAAAATAAAAAAAAAAAGGAAGGTAAAGATCTAGAGACAGTGCGATGGTTAAGGTGGGTTCGGGGGAGGGATGAGCGGTAGTTATCTCTCTTTCTTTTTCTGTCCTCTTGTCCTCCTCTATTTCTTGTTTGCCCCTTCGTGATGATCAAGATATTCGGTCTATCTGTATCTGGATGGGGACTGCTTAAATTCGACTAGGAAACCATGACACCGGCTCAGGAGTTTCGATGGGTTGTTGGTGGGTTGAGAAGGCAAATCAATCAGGGCAACGGGAGGGGTCGTGGGCAATGTACTTTCACCCGTCTCTTTTTACACTCTTCGCAAGACATCGGCGCTCTCTTGATTCTCCCCTTCATGTTCTTTGGCAGCGAAGGATCTGGAGGCTCTGGAGGATCAAAGGCTCTTCGTTTGGAAGGTCCGGACGTCGGCTTCGGGGCAAGGGTACGATAAGCAAGCGTGGACCCTTGTTGTGCCATGACTTTTCGGGGGTGGGTGGGATGGATCTCAAAAACAAAGGGGAAGGGTGTGGGGCCAGCAAGATTGAACAGGCCTTTGGGGGTTTGATATTGGGGAGGGCAGTGCGCGATGTATGGCCATAAGAGGCTAAAAAAAGGTGGTAGGAAAAAACAGCGGAGGTGTTGAAAACTCATACGCTATGACACGTCGACGTTGTTACAAAGTTCATTGGGAGTCGGGCTTTGACGGAATCTTTATCCGATGGATTTGATAGGTTACGCGCGTAGCAAAAGTGACGGGCCAGAACAACTGCAGAAAAAAATTCAAAAGAGACAGATTCTCAAGAGTCTTCGCCATGTCGTGATTACCGTCCGCTGGCCCGACAGCTGAGGCTTCGGTAAACTCCTCTTATCATGAGTATTTTGGATATTGTAAAGCAACTTCCTGTTCGCTGTAAGAATAGCTCAGGGGAACCACTGGTTGGCATAAACTCAAATTTCGTGCAGGACCCCAAATTCAGGATGAGCTAAGTTGGCCGTCATCCATGATTCTTCGCAATGCGGTCCAAATAATGCCCTTGGGCCCAAGCACGTGATTTCTCGATTACGACGAGGCGACTGTCGAATGAAATTATCTGTGATATCACCGTCGGCTGTTTGTCTCCTTCGTGCAAATCGAAGAACTGTGAGGGGTATGCAATAGAACAAGATGTCCTGTCGAGCTTTCTTTCCATTTTCGTGCAGGCAAGGGACCCATGAGCATTGCACCCGTCACATTCAACCGTTCAACCGCGGTGAGTATCTCGTTCCCAGCGGTTGTACGTGCTGCATTGGGGGCTCGGGTAGACATCAATTAGACCGGGCCATCCAGCAGGTTTGTCTGCGTCATTCATTGACTCTCAGACTCAACTACATGCAATCAACCTGCTGGGTAGTAAGCTGGGCGTTCTTCCCAATCGTACATCTCGCTCACGCTGGTGCTCAAAACGTAGTAACTCCTGCTCACCCGCCCCCTTCCTCCCATCTTCCCCTTACATGTGACGCATTGAGACGACTGTTGCCATCGAAGGTTCTCCTTTGCCCCCCCCCCTCAGAGAAGAAATCAAAGTCAAAATCAAATCGATTACGCCGCCATTGGTGTCCATCATGCGATAAGGTGAAACTAGTCCCATGGCTTTGATGGGGTGGGATCCGGTCTGGAGGCGCTGTGCAAGATTTAACCTGGGTTGGAATTCTCACCAGGCAGGCACATGCGAGCAGAACTTACCCAATCACACCGTACGGATTAATTTTGTATCGTACCTCAAGGTCGAATAATTTGACGGGGCAAGAAGGGGGTTGAGGAATTATACTTCCAGCGCGGACAAGAGGGGTTATGGGAGGGGGAGGTGGCGTCACCAACAGTCATGAGAGACAAGAGAAAGTTGGCGTGGTTGGTTCCTAGAGGTCGAGAAAGAAGGTCAGATGAGAAGAAACTAGCAAAGCCGGACCTGATCGCATTTGAACCAGATATACTGCAACCGGGAGGATGCATTGCAAGGCTCCGTAGGGCGCGTACACGCAAGAATGACATCGACCATGGGCAAACAGCAAACCCTCTTGCCGGATCCGGTTTTGGCCTCTCCCTTCCGAGCCCGGATGCGGGGCTTTCTTGTCTTTTTGCTTGGGGATATGATGTCAATTCTTAGCATCGTGTTCAACTAATCAGCCGGGCTAGCTCAATCGGCAGAGCGTGAGACTCTTAATCTCAAGGTTGCGGGTTCAACCCCCGCGTTCGGCTTTGTTCTTTTTTTTGGCTCTTGGTTGTTATCATGCTAAGAGAACAGATATGAGCTCTCGGGCACATGAAATAACCTTACTTGATAGAAAATGGCAGGCCAGGCCAAATGATTGCAGCGTTATCCTCAAATCAATCGATCTCTGTGCCCCATGTCTTCATTGTCCGCGGCTACCAGTCGAGCATGACTACTCCTATGAATGGTTTTGCTTCAGGAGAATAATGCCTGGACCTTTAATTAGGGTATTCAGGGCTCTGGCGTTCTTTCTCACATTGGCAGGCACTTCGACAGTCAACGCCCGACTCTCTGCATTAGCAGGATCGTCGGCCCACAACGCATCGGTTTCCGTAGCGCATATAGTACAAGTTGTACTCCGGAGAAGAACCCTTGCAAGGCCAGGGTAGTAAGTCTTTAACAATGCAGATGCAGGGCTGTCTAGCCGTTGATCTGTCGATGTTGCCTCCATGCCAAGATCAGCGAATCTCGGTCAATAGCACTACTCGCACTTGAACGGACCAAGACAGGGTACTGTACGTGGCAGGCGATCTGGAAGATGCCTGCAAGTTCATGTGCATATAACTGCTGACATACACAGCATCATACTGTTCTGCCGTCATGCAGACCTTAGCAAACATTCAATCGACCTCTCTGTCCCCGGGGTCTGCTCACATCGACTGCGCAGCATGTGCATAACAGTACTGCACTGGAAAGACTTTGTTGGGCAACATCGTCGCACCCAAGCCGAAGGTGCTGACGTGCTGTTTTCACTAATCTCGACGCATGTAGACGTAAGCAATAGTTAAGTCTGTCAACCGCGAAGGCGCACAGCCATACTTCCCTCGACGAAGTCCATTCCCAACCATCTGAGCAATTTGAATACACATTCTCAACTCGCTGCCCTCCAAATGCGCTCTGCCTCTTCCGTTTTTCGCCTCGCCATACAATAGTATTCTGATGCCAGTATCGTGTTTCGACGCTCTACGTCTTCGAGACTATCGATGTCTTTGCCTAGACGTCCAATTCCGGCTTTATTCCACTCTTTACCATCTCTTTATCTTGCGTCAGCCGCAGCTTCGACTACGAACCGCAATAATGACGGAGGGGGGTTACATCAAGGTTACATTTCCAAACTTGTATCTATGGGCTAACCGTAGTCAGAAGCATTACTGTGAATGATATGGCTGGAGTTTGTAACACTGCCTCGGTAAGAAGTTGCAAGCAGCATGGCATAGGCTCCTGCACTGTCCGGTTTGCAATATCCATGGACTAATCCGTATCAGGGGTTCACGACAAGTTCCCAACTAGAGGGAAAGTTCTTCTTTAACCAGTATGCCACTGTGGGAATGCGCGGATATGGGCAAGGCTACTAGGGCTTTCTTGATTGCATCTAGTGTGTAATTCATCATGGACAGTTATTTCATGTGGGTAAATGATGTTTGATGCTCGGCCGTTGAGTGCGCTGCATTCATCTGCCTATGAGCAGGGATAACAGGCATCTGAAACTTCAACGGGATGCGCTCTTCCAGAGCCTATGTGTGTATCATATCAATGTGGTGGTGTTCACCTCTTTCACTGGGTCCTTGCTTGGTTTCAATTTAAATGCCAGTAGAAACCCAGCAGGCTGCACGGAATGGGTATATGTTGTTCCGGCGCAAATGGGGTAGAAACAGATAGGGGATTTATACCAAGGGAGAGCTGCCGAGCCAGATCATACGTGTCTAAGATACAAACACACTGACCATTGGCTCATATTGTGCATCGAGGACATCATCACGAACATATTTGTAGGGCTGGGTAATGGTCTTCGAAGTGGATGTGAAACATAAAATTGATGTAAGCGGCAAGACTGTTTGTAGCCATAAGTTAATAAACACGTATAGCAAGCACCTACGACCACAGGGTGTGGAAAACAGGGCTTCCCGTCCGCTCAGCCGTACTTGAGCCACCTATTGAACGCGGCTGACTGGAATATAAGCTTTTTCTCAGTTGCTGCTTTATGGGTGAGCGACGCTAAGACGAAAGGTGAGTGCGGATGATTTGGGGGAAGTTGTCAAGAGCGTGGGTGAGCGAATGGGTGATCAAGCGGGCCAGCAAGGCAATCAAGCAGAACAATTTGAAAGTTAAATAAGGTACTCGACCTAGTTGTCCATTACCTTTTTTTCTGCTCGATATACCCATTCTAAGCAAACAACTTCATAAGTGATCCCATACCGAAAGCCAACATGTCACGTAATCATGCATAAACTCGGGCCCTTCCGAGGAGTAGAGCCGGAAAAGGTTGATGAGCTCCGTAAAATCGGTGAATTATGTCAAAGGCTGAACAGCCGTGGGGCAGTGACTAAAAGGTCTGCAAGAACAGAGTCAAATTGCTTACATGACTATCTAAAACCAGGGATGTTTACACCCCTATTTTTATACCTTTCTGATCTGTTCTTAGGTTATAGGTCTCTAAGGGTATCTTTCACCAACAAACAAAGAATCACCCAGGCATGGGGATATCTAACAATTTCTATCCAATATATCCAGCATGGTCAATCATACTACTTTCTTTCTAGTGTTGATAATCAAAACACTTTATACGGTATATATGGTGTATAGGAATTTTGGTGGGAAACACGACTTTCCGGATGACGGGTCATTTGTGGCTACCGCGCGGGCTAGTAAGACCTCACGGTCTTACTTGTTTAGATTGTGTAGAAGATGTCTGAATATATATTATAAACGAACAGTCAGTATTTTGTTTCTCAGTATACATAAATCATTACTCACGTTGTACTTGAGGACTTGGAATAACCTGGTTACAAGTTTTTGATAGAAGAAGTAGGAAACGGGGTGGAAAAGCGGTGGCGGGCGGTTTCTGGCAGCCGGGTGCTAGGGCCACAAGGGTGACAAGGCATACTAGTCCAGAGTAGATCTCTGTTTGACTACGTATGCAACACTTCCTTTCGAAGTCAAGTACTAGTGGGATGGTCATCCTCCCTTTTTCGCCCCCAACTAGTCTTACATTTGACGTGGGCCGAGGGCTCAGCTGCAGAGGTATCAGTGCTTTAGTGCCCTTAGTGCTTATTGCTCCTAGTGATTGAAGCCATCCACATTTCCCCAAGTGGGGAAAGTGACCGGGCTTTAGTAGTTGTAAGGAACGAAAGAGAGGGGTAAACTTTAATCAAACATCCTTCGTTGAACTTTGGGTGAATCCAGCAACCTTGGATGCACGTATGGGCGCACCTTTCCCCTCCCCCCCTTGGAGGGTAAGATTTTCTCTCTAGATTGAAAAAGTCGACAGGCACACAGAAATCCGGAGAAGAATGGGAAGAGAAGAAAAACCATAGAACTGATTGCCACTACTTTGCCCTCACCAGCCTCAACATCGCAAAAGAAAGGGATTCTCGTTTTACACCTCACCCACCCATCATGGCGGCCACTGCCTTCGACCAGCTACGATCGCTCTTCCCCGAGAACACGAACGATAAGGTGGTGACTCCCATCGACAACGACAGCGACAAGTACCAAGCTGCGGTTTCAAGTCCCTGGTCGCAGACTTGCTGGATCCCCGCAGCAGGGTATATCTACCTGAGTTCCGTTCAGGAACTGATCGAGGCGCTGGCCATCGTGCGAAAGACTGGCACCAAGTTTGCCATCCGCACCACCGGCCACAACCCTAACGCCGGGTTCAGCAGTGCCGACGAGACGGCCGTCGTGCTAAACATCAGCCCAACTTAAATCCAAAGAGCTAGTGACGACCAATGAAGGTGAAAGTGTCGCCCAGTTCGGGGCCGGAAATACCTGAGGCGAGGTCTATGCTTGGCTGGAGGAGCGGGGGTTATCCGCCATTGGGGGGAGGGATCCGCAGGTGGGCTTGGGAGGGTTTCTCTTGGGGGGTGGTATGGGGGCTTTGCCTAATCTGTATGGGCTTGGTGCAGATGGGGTGAGGAACTTTGAGGTGAGTCGGCCAATATTGTGTTCAAAATGCCAGAAATTCACGCTGCAGGCCAATAGGTCCTGCTCGCCGACGGCCGTCTCGTCAACGCCAACGCGAATGAGAACTCCGATCTCTACCGCGCCCTGAAGGGCGGTGGCTCGAATTTTGGTATGTGTCTGGCCAGCATGCCATGCTGTCTGGGGACCTGAGTTGGGGAGTTAAATCGTTGAACACAGGCATCGTGACCCGGTTCGACCTCGCAACCCATCCTCTGATCAATGTCCAATACACGATCAACCTCTACAGCCCTGAAGATCACGTGGCGATCAATCGGGCTACCGTGGCAGTCCAACAGGCCATGGAGGAAGATCCCAAGATTGGGCTGTTCACTACCTTCAACAATGGCTTTGTCGCGGTGGGCTTGCTCTACGGAGACCACCCGGCCGAAGCCCCCAAGGCCTTCGAGCCGTTCCAAACCCTGAAAAGCCTGGTAGCGACGGCGCTGCCTTTTACGAATGGCACGCTCCTGTCGCTCGCCCAGGCTATGGGCCACCCCCAAATAGCCCAGAAGTGAGTATCAGTGGCTGGAAACATACCCCTTTCATTCACTGACGTCGTTGCACATCTACATAGGCGGCGTATCTGCAAAATTAGCACCCAGGTTTCGCACGATCTCTACGAAGAAGTGTTCAAGGCCTGGGGTGAGGTCAGCAAGACTCTCCCGACGGGCGCCGTTCTACATTATACCATTCAGCCATTTGGTAAGGCAGGTGTCCGAGTTGGCAAAGATCGTGGAGAGAACATCATGGGTCATGAAGATGTTCCACAGTGCTGTACGGGTTCCCTCCACTCTCTTCCTTACAAATGCTTGGCATGTCTGAGCATGTGAGCTAATGTAATTTGGTGCAATCCTTATAGGGTGGGTCTTCACCTGTGAGTGGCCTAAGGACGGTAGTGATGATGCCGCGGCGCAGAACGCCATCGAAACCATGTCGGAAACGGTGCAGTCTCTGGCCAAGGCCAGGGGAATCCTCCTAGATTTCAAGTGTATGAGCTTTGCTACCGCCACGCAGGAGGTTCTGGGCAGCTACGGGGCCGAGAATGTCAGGCGGATCCAGGAAGTGGCGGCGAAATATGACCCCGAAGGCGTCTTTCAGAAGCTGCAGAATGGTGGCTTCCTTTTGCGCGACAATATCTAGTTTCTTGTCCCGCATGTGAGCGAGAATCGGGAGGAGGAGGAGGAGGAGGAAAACCCTGATGGTGTCGGATAGCAATGTCGATCTCTTTTATTTTTCTCAGCGTGCAAGTTTAGCAGTAAATGTTAGGCCGCACTAACCCATCCTCTCCCAGCGCATTCTTTCTGGAGAGAAGTTGCGGGGTTAGTTTCGTCGGATTCGTGAAGGGGAGGGAGAGAGAGGGGGGGTGATTATAGAGTAGGAAATAACGCAAGCGGCTGCTTGGGCTGGAATCATACTTTGGAAGTTAGGGCGGTCGTTGAAGGTAGAGATGGGGGTTTCTCACTCGGCGGAGAAAAGAGGATATGCTGCGATTTATAGGGGGTTCTGTAGAGGGAGAAAGAAGCTGATCTGAATACCGACTCAGTGGTTAGGGCTCCTGTCATCGTTCAGCTGGCCCCACTCGGTGCTCAGCGGTTCGGTATTCCCGGCGATCTGCTGCAGGCATACCCGATTTGATCATTCTATGATGGTCAGTGCATGCCCAGGCGGCGCAGAACTGACTCGTCGCTGTATTTATCCACAAGCAGCTGGTGAATGAAGAGAGTAGTGGGTAATATTTAGTCGGATTGAATTCAAGTCACGTTGCAGAGGGATAGATCCCTACGTAACCTTGGCTGATCACTGTGAAATGGCAAACTGACTCATTGTTGAGCTGGCACAGCTGAGATATAAGCATGATTATGGGATGGTACTCAAGTTCTCAACAACTGGCGGAGTAGAAAAGCTGATTTGCATATGTATCGATCCAGATCTCGGACTCCACTCGTGGGCCAGAGCCAATTATCGATGAGGAATAGCTCATCCAATCACGGAGAAGATCGGCTTGCGGAACTCATATCCTTGATCACGTCGGCCCGGGAGTTTAGATATCAGTGGCTGGCAGCAAACACTGTATCTTGAATTGAATTGAATGGAATTGAATCAGACGAGCCGGTCGAACAATCACACCCCTATCACCGCGTAGATCCAGTCTTCAATGCCCCTCCAGGAACCCGCACAGGTCGTAGGCGTGGTAGAAGCAGGGACGATATTAAGGGGAGGAAGTGGAACGTTACGAGTATATGTACTGTGCAGATCTAGCCAGGGCAGAGAAAGCACCAACCGACGAAGCCAGCAGCCAATGGATTTATCTGTGGCAGAAGATATTTCCTTGCTGTGTTAGCAGATGTCGGATGATGGATAAAGTGGTCCCTACGAAGACTTCGTGGCTTTTAGTGCGTAAATGAGCAGATTTGAGTGGATTTAAATTAATCAAGAGTTAGTCGAATCTATCCCAATCAGGCCATGTCTTCCACCAGCCCAGGGCTGGTACGTTAATGCTCCAGATTTGTTCTGATGGTGGTAGATTGACGACTCCCTAATTGGCCCATGCACCCACCCCCATACTTTTACTCAGATATCTGATAGTGCTTGTAGACATCATCTATTATGGGATTCGGTGCTTTCGCCAGGGCTGAATGTTGTGAGACTCGCTCACAAGCCCTGAATAGACTAGGCGTCAAGCGATGACAACCACACTAATTTTTTGAGGTGATCAGAATATTCGGGGTGACTGTCTGCGAGCCACAGCACCAATGCTTTTCCACGCATCGTGGCGAAGTCACTCTAGATAAACAGCCTCCCTCATAAGACACAATTCTGCGATCTCCATTACACAAAAGACGCGTGACTCTACAATCGCGAAGAATGAGCCAGAGGGGACTGTTGTGTCAAATATTCACTCGCGCGCGGTCTGCCACCATAGCGAAACTTAGACCTAGCCAGTGCTTTTGCACTCTATGTATTCGTACTTCTTGCTTTCGCTTCGTGACTTGCAATCAAGATCCTGTCGATAAATATGGAATAATAACAATGGCGGATTCGGACAACAGCTGACGAGCGATTCCTGAGCGTCAGGCTGTCATGGCACAGTAAGAACAGTGCAAGGGAGTGTAATCCAGCGACTACATAAATAGACTGGTACGTACTATAGGAAAGCTAAGAGTGGATTGATGCTATATATACTACATACAACATGTTGTTCAGATCGTCTTCGTGGCATTGATATTACGTATTAGCTGAGTCATTTGAGATGCATGGAAGCTGAATGTGAAATATATAACGACAGGAAGTGAATAGTACACCAATCCATTTTAACCAAATAAGCACATATCCCGTCTCAAAGCATTGCAATATTGTTTTATGTCCAGCCGGGGAGTGATCTCGTCATGTACGCTCACCAGAACAGAAGCCCAACGTCGGTTGTGTCCCATTCCCATTGATACGGAATATGGTCATTGAGGACCCAATGCCCGATCGCAAGGTATTGTCACCCAAAATATTATCCAGCCCAGGTGTTCAGGAAACCCCAACAGCTTTGCGCTGAAAGTCGAGATATCGCTGCAGCCTTCGCACATAAGTCCAACCCCACCATATGCTTCTTCTCGACTCTGTTGTCGCCACCTTTGTTCCTTCAACCGAGGGCGTGATGCTGAAGGTATCGGTGGCCGGGGACATCGGAGAGTCCAGACCAGTCACGACCAGCTCAATCGCCGACTTCGTCTCTGTCGTTGTTGTCGCCGTCGTCGTCGGTTCACCAACCACCACCTCCGCCCAGCTGAGCGCAAAGTAACCCCCCTGGCCGGCCGCCGCATCGCCAGTGACCCATTCCCCGCGCACCTGACCGCTTGACAGGCCCTCACGGACGACCTTGGTTTTCGTTACGAATATCCCCTCGTGCCCCGCGATCTGAAATACGCAGTTATGCCAGGGCGTGGGGATGTGGAGCAGGTGCGGAGAGGCGTCGCCGAACTCCCCGAGGCTGGCGAGCTCGTTGATCCGGCTGACCACGCGGGTCGTGGCGCGGTCGAAGAGGCAGATCCCAAACTTGGGCCCGCTGTTCGGGTGGGAGTGGATGGACAGCCGCAGGAAATGCGGCAGGAACATCTCCGTCATGTTCGAGTAGGCCTGGTTGCGCAGGATCATCTCGAAGGCCAGCTTCTCAGACAGTTTCTTGCGCTGCGAGCGCGAGAGCGCCACCGCGGCCGCGTGCTCCTCCAGGTCTTCGAGCATGAACCGCGCGAACCCCCGGTACAGCGCCAGCACGCCCGTATCCTGGTTGAGGATCTGCTTGCGCAGGCTGTCGGAGTTGGATCCGCACATGTGCATCAACATCTGCCGGCAGAGCTCGGACTCGTCAGTCAATTTGGTACGGATGTGATGTGGCACTGCTGGGAGGTTTAGGTTATGGCCCGCCTGTCCACCTTCCAGCAGGTCGGGTAGAGACAAAAAGCTGATGCGTTTAGAGTCGCTGTCGCCGATGGCGCGGTTCAGGTTGTGTAGCTGCACGCCGTACTGGTCTACCTGGGTGTCGTTGACGCCGACTACAGGCATATTTAGTACGTATCCGCTGGAGGTACAGCGAGGGTGAAGACCTACTGCAGTCGCTGAAGACGTGGCCGTCACTGATAATGCAGAGATATGCCCCAGGCTCGTATATGTCCTGCAAACGACCCAGCACCCGGTGCAGCCGACGCAGAGCCAGCTCCTCGCCCCGGTCCGGGCCCACGCCGCCCACCTTGTTGAGGTTCGATGATTTGCAGGGAAAGGCGGGTAGACACATTACGAAGGGGAGCTGACGCGCTGTGAAAAACGAGATGGTCTTATGCATCGCGGCCCGCCCAACCGCGTCCCACTGCGAACCGGGGGGCTGGAATAGTAGCTCTTGCTCGAAGACCTCGACTAGGCGATTGGCAATAGCCTCCCCGTTGCAGCAGACCCGCTTGGTCAGCTCAGCGCCATACCGACTCAGGTGGTTGAGCAGTAATCGAGCAAAGACCTCGTCCGACTTTGGGCATGAGGAGTCGCGCACCACCACGCCCAGAACCCCCTGCTGTCTCTGCAGCTCATAGATCGAGTTGCGCCCTCCATCTTCCCACACGGAAGACAGAACACGCCACGAGCTTGGCTCCTGCGTCGCGAAGACTGGCTGTAGCTTGGACCACGCCTCCTTCAAGCAGACGTTATCATTACCATAGCCGAACGATTGGATGAGGCTACCTTCGCCAGTGCGAATGTAACTGGCAATAGCCCGGATATAAAAAGAACTACCGTCCATTCGAACAGAGGTAGAGGATTGAAGATAGAAGAAGATTCCGGGCTGCAAGGCAAGAAGGGAAGAAAGGGAATATAAACAGAGTCTAAACGCACGCTCGGATGGCGCTTCAGAATGCCCTTACTTGCACGGAAAGACCTGGGGGACTATATAACTCGCTAATGCATGGATTCTTCACTCGGTCTTCTTGGGAGGTATTGTATACGACAGCCGGCTCGAGATTCTTGAACACTGCTTTAGAGCCTCAGCAAGGTATCCACTCGGCCATGTCTCGTTAAACAGAGTCTATAAAGAGGAGCTAGGATTCGGAGCTGAAAGAGAAGTCACCCCAGTCCAGCTGTGCATCTCACCACTTCCTTGGCCAGACAGTGTTCTTCGTATCAACGCCATGCTTCCATACCTACTTGGACTGTTCGGGCTGCTGCTCGCCCTCTACTACAGCTCTCTCGCCCCTCCGCAGCAGCCGTATGGTGTGCCCACGGTTCCGTTCTGGGTAAGCCTGCTCCCGCTGATCAAGGATGTCGACCAGGAGGAAGTGTTTCTCCACTACATCGCCCCCCTCCTCCGCGAGAAGGGGGCTGTCAAGATGTTTTTTGGCGGCCAATGGAACGTGCTCGTGCAGCGGCCCTCGCTCGTTTTGGAGATGCTAAAGCGAGAGGACATCTATCACAAGAGTGGCAATCAGAAAAAGATTCCGCACAGCGTCTTGGCTGAATTTCTAGGTGAGTGTCTCGGGTCCTTCCTTACTCCTTAGTCCCCTTAGCTTTCCCTTCTTTCCTTTTCGTTTTCATCCTTCATGCGCAGTATTGAGCAGATTTGTCTCACGCAGGATCGAACATCATCTCCGCGCGTGGCGAGGAGTGGCGGCGATATCGCAGCGTGGTGCAACCCGGGCTATTGCCCAGTGCGTTTGCGGTCGAACCACTGGTGGAACATACCCAGCAGCTGTGCGCATGGCTGCTCCACCTGCAGAAGGTGCAGGGGCCACATGGCGTCGCCGTACAGGAGGTTCTGCAGCGGTACTCGAGTGCCAATTTGCTGCATTGTGTGCTGGGCCAGCCGGAGATTGCGCGCACCATGATGCTGGCCGACCAGCCGGCGCCCCTCCACCAGCTGCAGCTTACCCTCAAGCAGTATCTGTTCCGGCCCCTTTTCATGAGCTTTCCGGTGCTGGATCGGCTGAGCGCGCTGATCCCTTCAAGAATCAGGGCCCGCCAGCTAGTGCGCTCATTCGCCGCCGCTCTGCAGTCCACGATCCTGGTGGAGCGCGCTGACAACCACCTCCAAAGCAGTCTCGGCAGCCGTCTAGCGCAGGCCTGGCGCGATGGCACGCTCTCGGACAAAGAGTTCCGCGATAACCTGATGGTGGTGTATGTGGCAGGACAGGAAAACCCGCAATTACTGATGATTTCGACTCTGTACCTGCTGGCGCAGCATCCGGTTAGCCCCCCCCCTCTTCCCGAGGGTCGAGCCCTAAGAGAGAAGATTCACGCATGGGATCAAAGCTTTACATTGACAAGAGTAATCTACGCAGGAGGTCCAGTCACGCCTCCGCCACGAAATCCGCGCCTCTGGCCTAAGCCTAACATCCTTAACAAATAATCCTGGTTGGGAGCAACTCCCCTATCTGACGGCCACCATTCTCGAATGCCTGCGCCTCTTCCCCCCGATCTCGCAGCTGATCAACCGACGGGTAGCCGTACGCACGCAACTGGGCGACGAGATCGAGCTCCCCGAGGGGACGTATGTCGGGTATCACAGCTACGCGACCAACCGCGACGAGGGGGCGTGGGGCGCCTCAGCCAACGAGTTCCAGCCCACGCGGTGGGGGACCACCGACCAGGAGATCTCGCGGACCTACCGGCGGGCCAAAGCGAGAGCGGAGTTTATCTCATTTCACGGGGGGGCTCGCGCCTGTCTCGGCGAGAAATTCGCCATGCTCCAGATGCGGGTGTTGCTCATGGGGTTGCTTGATAAGTTGACTTGGAGATTGGATGAGAGTTGGGTGCCGAGGATGGTGCCGGTAAGATGCCTTTTTAATCCTTCTGATATTACTTTTTCTTAATGTGCGAGGAGGGGATTGGAATGCCCCCCTGTTTGCCACACTTCAAGAACATATGTTCTTTCTGGCTAACATATACAGGCGGGACCCCTACACCCTCGCGGCTTGCGGCTAATTTTCAGTCCGTGCGACCCGGAGTGAGTCAATGAGGGCATTCTTTCTCTAGTGTGAGACATATGAGGGGTAATCAAGAGGGGTTTTTCGTGTCCATGGAACACCAGTTGGGGGGAAGTGGAGGAGAGTGAGATCGAAGGAACTGTTAGTACTTACTACTTAGTAGCGGGAGAGACTTTGAGCATGATATGACGATGGCAGCAGCAGTCCTGCACAGACTCCCTCCCACATTTTCTGGCAGGTTGTGTTCCTTTGAGCTTTAAGGGTTTTTACTTCGAGCCACACAAGTATAGCCGGGTTGGAGCTGAGCGCTAGTTGTTCGGTTGATTATAGTCATTCTGGGCACGTCGGCAGATTACGGAGCAGGGAGTTGTAGTGCTTACGCTTTTATTTTATGGTGTTCTGTGCTTGGTAGTTCTACTTCGAGCTCATTGTTTTGACAAGGCTGTCGGAGATTATTTACCGAGGAATCCCAAGCTATTGATTTAGATGAAGAAACAGTCTATCCGAGTTATTCTCTAGCCTAGCTATACGGATAGTCTGTACTCATCCTGTGAATCACAATCATGTCGCTTATTTTCTGTCTGTTAGAAGGAAAATGCCTCCCAAGTTCCCCGAGTCCCCAAACCCACCTTAGTCCCTCCCCTGCCCAATCTCTGCACATATTAAGCCCTATAATCGGAGCATCAAGCTCCGTCCCTCTTCTCACACCCTCCCTAAAGCTCCAGCGGAATCTTCGCCTGCTCAATCCCCTTGCGCATATTCACAGAGAAGTAGAACCCCAGCGCGACCAGCATAAGCAACAGGTTGGGAATCATCGGAAAACGCAAATTATGCGTGCGGTCCTGGATCACTCCCATCACGAGCGGGTTGACCCACCCGGTGGCCAAATCCAGGGTGATCTCCAGTCCAAAAAACTGGGCCTCGGCGTTGCGCGGGATCAGCGAGGAGTAGATAGCGCGGTTGTAGGCGCGCAGGGCGCTGCTGGTCGACATGAATAGCACCTGCTCGACCCAGAACTCGGCGCTGTGCTTGTAGCCGATAGTGACGTGCGGACTCATGCCGATGCACCCCCACAGCACGCACAGGATGTTAATCACCAGCAGCGTGTACGCCCAGGTTTTGACGGGAAGTCTCAGCCGCGGGTATAGGAACATGAAGCTTAGGCTCCCCACGCACGCGAGGATCACGCTCATGAATGACCACACTGAGTACACCCCGGAGCTGCGCGAGATCCCCGTTACTTCTAGAAAGAGCGTCCCGATGAGCGTCAGGTGGTTGCTGTACCCCGTGTTCCACAGGACCCAGCCGATGCAGAGTTTGAAGGCTTCCGAGTAGCGGGGTGCGTGGCGGATAAGCCGCACCCAATTGCGCATCGGGAGCGTGAGCGCGTCGCGTGGCCGCTCCAGTTTCTTGCCCTGCACATTGGGCAGGAGCCAGTGGCCGAGGCAAGCGAAGACGACTGTGATGGTTAGTTTGGTGTGGCGGTGGTTTGGGCAAGGGAGCTCACTGGTCATACAGCCCGCGATGGTGATCGCGAGGAGGTAGTTGAAGTATCCGACGGCAACATAGGAGCCGCGACCATACACAAGAATGATGCCAATGATCAGCGCCGCCAGAGCCCCGACGTTGCTCGACACCAGCGCCAGCACACTGACCGACACGCCCTTCTGCCAGATCCTGCCTTCGGCGCTGTTGTCACTACGGCCTACCACCGAGGTCCCGAACCAGCCCGTTGAGCGCATGAAGATTGGGATGTAGGAGCCTTCGATGACAGTGTAGATGCCTTGGACGGTGGTGAGCGCGCAGTACAACACGGACAGCGCGGTCAGATGGCTGTAGGATTGGCCGGTGAGCCCCGCAAAGGGGAGCGCCAGGACGCCGAAGAGGAAGATTGAGGTCATCATCATGGTTTTGCGGTAGTCTAAACTCTGCATCAGCACAGAATATAGTAAGACGTGCGCGTTGCAGCTGGTGCTGTACGTACCAGAGTAATCAGCAATCCCGGCGGTGATGATCGCCAACACGCCCTCTGTCGCCCGGCTGATTGCACGGAGGTACAGTCTATCCTGTATCAGCAAGAGTGCGGAAAAGAAAAGTCCAAGAACAGCTTACGTGTAACTGGCATAGTCGATCTCGCCCGCGCCAAACTTGACCACACAGTTGATGCTCGTGCCACGTCGGGGACACGGCTTGTTGGTCCCTGCTTGGTGTCCGAGGACGTTGGCCGCGGAGAGAATAGCCGCCGATGCATAGGTCGACGACATTCCCGATACTGGACCAGTCTGTCCAACACCACTATGATTAGCACACCAGTGCAGGACTGACAGGTCGGACAGGGTGATGTTACCGAGAAGCAGAGCACGAGAAACCCCCACAGCGCGTGTCTGGAGTTGAAAACCCCATCGCTGGTTGGTGGCTCCTCGCGAGCTTCGACATCTCCCTCGACGGCAGTCTGTGTATGTAGGATGCCTTTGTCACTGTTATTGTCGCGAGGACCAGACACATAGTGCTCAGGGGACTCGTGGTTCTGTGACATCATGGCAGGTGACGGGCGAAGGTGCAGCAAGCGACGTTGAGAATGAGGTGATCAGGTCGCAGGAAACCTCGAGTCCAGATGTCCGTTGGACTGATATACTGTCTGGACGGGCTTCGCTGGTGGATAGTCTGTTCGCTCTCCACGTAATCTCGGGCGTGCGATGTGGAAAAGAAACATCCCTGCCAGTAGACAATAGTCTGCAGTCGGTGTGTGCCAAGGCCGATGTGCTCGCCACGACGCCGTAGTAGAGGTGGCTATATGTCTATCACGTTCACTTTTACTCCCACATACACATCCATCGCGCCTCCTGCGCTACTATGAGCAGATTTCATGATTGGTGCTCTTGGCTGCGAGCCACTAGTTTGAGCGAATTTGCGCAGAATAATCTCTTAGACATGAGGGATGCATGGCGCTGAGTCCGATCCTGCAGCGCCCCACTCCGCTTGGACCAGCCTCGCCCATGTCCGGACTTGTGAGTCTCTCTTTCTCTCTCGCCCCTTCAGCAAATCTATACTCCGGAGCTGCGGTGATCAGAAAGGCTGACTGGATCTGAGCCGTGATGAAGAAGTATTAGAAGAGATTATCCGGCCATGGGGGTGGATATCAAGCGTAGAGATTGAGTGAACAACTCAAGCATTGTTAGGGCTAGCGCGAGTAGCCCTCCCTCCCACCCCTCTCTTACTCCCTTGCACCACCTTCGACCAGACAGACTATTATGTCAGATGAGAAGCAACAGCAACAACAGGAGGTGCAGGCCCTGTCCCAACCGCCATCTTCTACCCCCTTAGACCCCGTCCCTGCAAGCGGCCAGGCGAAAGGCCCAGTGGCCGAAGTCCGACCGCGACCCCCTCCGTACACCGTCCTGTCTCCACGGCAGCAACGCTTGGTTCTCACCTTGGTCACTATTGCCGGCTTCTTTGGGCCTTTTGCGGGCAACATCTATCTCCCGGCTTTGCCGATCCTCGAAGATGCTTTTCATGTGACCGCGACGGAGATTAATGTGACGGTGACGGTGTTTATGGTGGTATTTGCCTTTGGGGTGCGTCTACTTGCCAACAATTGAACTGCATGCACCTACTAATCTAACCGTCCCCCATCAGCCCCTGTTCTGGTCCAGCTTTGCCGATCGCGGAGGCAGGCGCCCGCTCTATTTGACCTCTCTTCTGGTCTACATTGCAGCCAACATCCTGCTGGCCGCGATCCCGGCCAACTATGGCGCTCTCATTGTTCTGCGCATCGTGCAAGCGTTTGGGTCCGCGGCGGTGGTCTCCCTGGGCGCGGGGACAGTTGCAGATGTAAGCTCCATTGGTCAACTGGCCAGCGAGTAAACCTGTCTACTAACTCATACTTCTACAGATCACCGAGCCCAAACAGCGCGGACGGGCCATGTCGTACTTTCTCTTCGGGCCGCAGTGTGGGCCAATATTCGGACCCTTGATCGGCGGCGCCATAGCGGGCAATGCCTCGTGGCGGTGGATCTTCGCATTCCTAGGTATGTATGCCTTCATCGCCTGTGCCCTGACCTGAGCCCCCGCATTCCAAGCTACCAACTGACACGCGCATATATGCACACACCTGTAGCCATCTCCGGCACGGCATTATGGCTCGCCCTCCTCTTCTTCCTCCCGGAAACCCTCCGCGCGCGCGTCGGCAACGGCGCCCTCTACGCTGACAAGAGCTGGTTCCTATGGCCGCCGCGCTGGGTGTCACCCGAAGCCGAGGAGAGTGTACGCGGGCCTGCGCCCCCGAAACCCACGCTGCGCGGCTACTGGCGCCTCTTCTCCTACCCGCCCATCGGCATCGCCTGCGTCAACACCGCCCTGTTGTACTCTTCCTACTTCTGCATCGCCATTCAGCTGCCCTCCGCCCTTGAGAAAGTGTACGGCTGGTCCACCAGTGCGGTCGGGGCGGGTTACGTGGTCGTCGGCGTCGCCATGATCATCGGCTCCGTGGCGGGGGGCCGCTTCTCCGACTGGCAGCGCGCGCGCCTCGAGCAGAAGCTGGGTGCGGAGCGCGTCACGCCTGAGATGCGGTTGAATGACCAAATCTGGGGGCTTGGGATCGCGTCCGTAGGTTTGATCATGTTCGGCTTCTTCGTGCGCTACGCGGTCCATCCGGCTGCGGTCTTGATTTCGACGTTTTTAGGTATGTGAAACCTCGCCCGCCTTTTCCGGTCGACTGTTGTTTATGCCGGTTATGGCTAATGCCGAATCATCCTGGAAGTCGGGTTCGGTATGTCTTGGATGTTCGTCGCCTCCAACAGCTTCCTGACCCTATGCGTGGCCCAGCAGGCGGCGGGGGCGTTCGCGCTGGGCAACATGCTGCGCAGTCCCGGCGCGGCAGTTGCGGCGGTGGTGGTGGGCCCCCTCGTCGAGCGCATGGGCTGGGGGTATTGTTTCCTGGGGCTGGCGTTGTTGGATCTCGTGGCGGTTGGCACGATGCTCGTGGTGCTGCGCACGCAGTCACCGCGGTGGTGCCGGGAGAGGAATGCGAGGATTGTGAAGACGCCGACGCCGAGGCCCGGAGTGTAGTTTGTGGATATAGGTTTGCTGGCGCTGGGGTCGATGCGAGACGCTTGGACAGAGCGAGGACGTGTCGGGACCCTGGTGCTGGTGCTGGTGCTGGTCCCTCTAGCGAATATGATAATTCCTTGTATTGAATCTTCAGCGAGTAAGTGGTGTTGTGTCCTTCCTGCGGCTTCTGTTCGTTAGCGAGTGCCTTGAAGATATTCCCGCGTGCAGCGAAAATCGGAGGATGGTCTCTAACGAGTCATCCATGCCTCGATCTACTTTGCAGGAACAACCTGTTCTAGCCCCTCTGCACAAGTAAGAGTCTCTGTTCAAGTGATCCGCCCTATCTTGATTTACTTGTCAAGTGAGGATATCCCGCTTGGCTCTGTCTACGTATAATCAAGCTACCAGCCGTACACACAAAGCAAGAAGAAGAAAGCACAAGCAATGCCAATGGAGCGGAAGCGAATACCCGGAACTGGCCATTAGTATGAGCTAAGGGTGGTGTTTAAATTGCATTGAGAACTTTTGAATTAAGCATTAAGCTATCTTCTGCAACCGCTACATAGTGAACAGTGCGCAACGCTGAACTCGAGCACCGTCTCGCCAATTGCAGGCTCAGCTCAATGTCTGAACCCCTCCTGGTGCAACCAAATCTCGCGTCCCGGCAGTCCCGCCGCGAGGATCCGTGCCTGGGTAGAGGCAACCGCCTGGCTGGCATCGTGAGAGGTCGCCCGGGCGAGCAGGTGCCTGGTGGTGCCCTGGGGAACCAGCGCGTAGAAGACGAGCTCCGACTGCTCCGGGTCGAGCGCACTGGGCAGAGACGCGATCGTGAAGAGATGCGTAGTGAACATGTGGGCGTCCGGCGTGAGGAAGCGCAAGAAGAGGTGCTGGCCGGTGCGCCAGTGCACGCGCGAGGTCGAGATCGTTATTTCCAGGGTTTGGCGCGAGACAGCCTCAATCAGGGCCCGATGGTGTCAGCCAAACTCAAAGTAGGTCTTTAGCTGGGAGTAGGCCCAGCAGAGGGTGTAGAGCACCGCCGTGGCGATAAAGTAGTTCCAGGAGGAGAGGCGGAAGTCGCAGTGGAAGAACAGGAATATGATGAAGACCAGCGCGGCGACGTAGTGGGAGAACCGGAAGAACTCGTAACACTGATTGCTGCGATGAAGATTTTAGTGTTGTAGGAAAGCGAGAAGTAGGGGATGGGCAGTACTGTATGTACTGTACTGTGCATACCGAAGCCAGGGTATCGAAAGCACAGTTAGCCACGTTTGAGCGAGCAGCGCCACCACACCATGGTGACTGTGTCGAGACAAAAATGAAGGGGATTCAGAGCGAAGATAGAGAAAACAAGCGATGTTTAGTTGCAAAGGAAAGAATTAAAGAATTGAAGAATTGAAGAAAAATACATTCGAGTCTTTCTTTCATTCCTTACTTCGTGCGGGGCCAGTTGCAATGAAGTTAAATCCACTCAGTATTCCGGAGTAGAAAAGAAATAACTGCATGGGAACATGCCACGCGTCGAGACAGAATTTCAACTCCAACACACATATTTACGGAGGTTATTATCACCCTCGCCTGAGCCAATCTTTGGAGGGAGAATTGTCGTCAAGATTTGAGCACATTTGAGAAGATTTCGGACAAGCCAGCACGCGGCATAGTGCTTTAGTGCACAATTGGCGTGGAATTAGTGTCAAAGCGTGGCGGGTCGATGCAGGTTGACGCCAAATGATAGAATGATAAACCCTACACAATCTCCTCCATTTGGAGTTGTTGCCCGATAACTTCAATTATTTTTTTTCATTCACCCTTTTCTGATTCTCTCTGTGTGTGTCTCTCTCTCCTCTTTTTCTCGATCGATCATTTCATCCTCCTCTTTATCTGCGACTACTTTACTCCTCCGCGGCCACGGCCTCTCCTCCACCACAATGATGGACATGGATATGAGCTCCACCACCACCACCACCATCACCCTTTCCCTTGGACTAAGTGCGCACATTAACAGCTTGGCAAAGGTTTCAACTGAGAAACTCAGTGTTTCCAGCCACCCGGTCCCATTTCTAATCCTGCTGACTCTGTTCAGTCTAATCGTCGTGCAAGAGATAAACCTACATTTCTATCTGGCATTGATAAGAATACGATATCACTTTACTCCGTAGCAATATATATACAGTATACCAAGTACTTTATCTAGCATTCATTATGGCTAAAGACTTAGTACAGAAAAACCCCGTCTCTTCAACACCCTGTGGCCCCTAATACGAGCCGTGCTGATGTGTCATCTGCTAACACAGCTTGAGCAGTCTGTTGCCACCTCACAAGTTGTACGGCGTATTTTGCATCTTAAACTGCCCCTCTGCAAACCACTTATTCGCATCATTCATAGGCAAGGGTGCCTTGTGTCTGTATCAGCTGAATATCTATTGTCAGCCTGCGTACGAGCTGATGGTACTTCGTAGAGTGGTCAGATGCGGGAAGGAGTCAAGGATATATTGTTCTATCTGGATGGAAGCACGGGTTGAAACACTACAATTTAACAGCATCCCTGTTCGTGGGCCGGGAATGCCCTCCACCGGTGTAAGGGACAGCCACTGGGCCGGTCTGGTCGGTACTGTATGCATGCGAGTGAGCGTATTTGAGCGGATATCTGATGAGGATTCCTGTCCATGCGAAAAGGAGAAGCAGACCGTAACAGCTTGGTTACACGGGCACATGTCGAGCTGACAGCTCATACTATTTTTGCAGCCTCTTGTACAAAACCCAGGCAACACACAACCAACCTCTCTGAAGACTCAACTCACGGAGCTTCTAGCGGGGCGCAAGATGACCCTCAGCATGAGCATGAATGGCTCCGAGTCGGAACATGAGTGTATGGCCATGTCAGCCATCTTCCGCGGGGGCACGCAAATCACCCTATTTGCCTCTGCTTTCTCCACCACCTCCCCGGGCGCTTATCTTGCCGCCCTGATAGCCCTATTTCTGCTTGCATGGTTCAACCGCTTTCTCACTGCTCTTCGCTACCAGATCGACGCCACGCAAATCCCCGGCTCAGTTGCGAGTAGCCTCCCACTGCAGTCGTTTTCGGGGCTTGAAGAATGGGACGACGGGGCCAATTCGGCTCCCAGCGCGGACCTTATTCCCGGTCATGAAAAGGCCTATGCCAGCAACGATCGGCTGCTCCTCCGCCGCCTTGCTTGTCCCTTCCCCACCTGGGTTGCTTCGAGACCGTGGCGCTGGCAGACCGATGGCCTTAACACTCTCCTGGAGGGCATTCGAGCGTTGACCGGCTATCTGCTGTAAGGGTTGTCTATGTTCGTCATTAAGCCAGGTCGCTAACCACCGTGACCTGAGAAATATCCAGAATGTTAGCTGTCATGACATTCAACCTCGGAATCCTGGCCGCCGTTATGGGAGGCGTCATGGTCGGGGAACTCACTCTCGGCCGCTTTTCACATTCTGCTCAGTCTGCATGGCAGAATGGGGCCTGTCATGATGGATAGTTTGCGTTTTTGTTTCGGGTGTTTCCGGTGGCGGTTTCTCTGTATAGCCTGTAGTCCTTGATCTGATTTCTATCCGCGAGCTACTTGCATGTATCTCCAATCTGACATGAATAGGACCTTGGGACTTGCGGATATGGATCTTAGATACATGCAAGGCTTCTTCGTTCCTGTCCACCCTGTCTCTGCCTTCTCATCTCCTATCCTCTCCTTCTCTCATGCTTGTTCAACCATGAAGCATTCACACTCGAGAACCTAAATAGCGGAGAATTTTCCCTCGTAAGTACTGCTGATGACCTTGGGAGAGCCTTGGTAGAACCTACTTGTGATTTGGCGTAAAGAACGCTGCCTTTTGCCATGACCATGGCGACCGTGTCAGTGGCAGCCGTGGGACGGGGTTGGGCTCGAAACAAAAGGCATTTCTCCGGGAAGCCAGTGTCGCTTTTGTGGTGGCTTTGGTGGCGACGGTTCTCAGCATGATATAGTGAAATGCAATGCCTCAGCTTGTCTTGCTTGTAGGATCTTCGTCTGGGCGAACAGAGGTTGCACCGATCGTGTGATAATGGTGAAGTCTATAGGTCAGATATACCCAGTATGCCAGCAGGCCCTATTTAAGCTTGTTGGACACCCAATCCTCTGCGGGTCTATAACTAGGCGCAATTTAGGAGCACGGGGCAAGACAGCTCAAGTGATGACCAGTACAGTGAGAAAAACAACGTGACTACCGCTGGTGATCAAAGTTCCAAGTATTATGCTGTGAATAGACTGTGCAGCTCATCTGAGCAGTGCATACTGCAGTGTGATACGCCAGTGTGGCGGATGTGGAAATATTGGCTGCAGCACCCGATAGATCTCCCCCGCGTACAGAAACATATCCGCTCAAATTCTCTCAATCCCTTTCTTTCTTTTTGGCACGAATGCCACACTCTCGCGTCTGCCGCCGGTTCCTCTGCTTTCAGTCAACTGATCACGAAGATTCTTGTGGGAGCGACTGGGTTACTTGGTAGCAGAATTGGTCAGAGTTCAGATGCAACGCCAATTGCAGTGTCTCCTGGCCGATTGATACCTGAACTAGAATTGAATATAATCTCAAAGACTGGCGGCGCTTATTCTCCTCAATGTTGGCCTGAGATTTATTAAAGAATGCCATTCCAGAAACGAGGAGCATACAGGACTATACATACTATTTCACCTCTTTGTCTTTCTCTCTCGCCGTCCCCCTTCCCTTCTCTTTCCCCCTCCCTTTTTCCTCTATCTCGCACTCTCTACCTCTGCAGCACCGTCGCCATGGACATGCGTAAGATCGTCCTAGGTCCCACGGTGTTTCTGGGAGGGTACTTCACCTCATCCAGCACCCCTCGACACTCCTTCCACTTGATCCCAATCCGCAACATACACAAAAAGTCCGACTCCTGGCCCTCCACAGCCGATGAGCTGACTCCGTATCGCGTCCTGGGGCTGCAGCCCGGCGAGCCCTACCGCAAGAGCGCCTTCTACGAGCGGGCCAAGCTCTACCACCCCGACCGCCACAGGACCGTGCCGTCCGCGCTGGCCCCAACCGTCCGTGCCTCGCGGTATCGCATGATCGTCGCCGCCCACGAACTGCTCTCGGATCCGCACAAACGGCAGGCCTACGACCGTTGGGGCGTAGGGTGGATGGCTGCCCCGCAGAAGACTGCCGGTGGTGCTCGCCGGACGTACACGTACGCGTACAGCAACCCTTATTCTTCTGCTGGTTATAGCCCTTATGCTTCTGCTGGTTATAGTCCTGGTGGCTCTGGTTCTGGTGCTGGTGCCGGTGCCGGTGCCGATGCAGGCGGCTTCAACCACTATAACACTACCGACAAGGTCCCTCTCGCGCTACGCTTCTTCTGCACGCGCTCCGGCCTCCTTCTCGTGGTTGTCATCCTTGTCTTCCTCCAGACCTGTCTCTTCATCGTTCAGTACAACAAAGCCCAGCTGCGCGCCTGGCAGGTCCACCAGCACTGCCAGCGCTTGCTGGAGCGGCGTCGCACCCGCGCCGGCGATTTCGCCGGTCTTCCAGCCACCCAGCTCGAGCGTTTCCTCCTCAATCGCGACCCCAGTGGCATGGGGCTGACGGGCGAAGAGGTAGATATTTATCGCGGTATGCTGCCTACTTGCGCATATGGTCCGGTGTAGCCACGATTTGGGTCTGGGCAGTGGGTTAGGGTTATAAGAGGACCTCTGGAAATGACCCATGATTTGCGATGGCACCTGGGGGTCCTCGCGGGTAGCCCGGGGGAGGCGCAGGTCCGGCGCGAGGGGGTAAATGCAGATCAGAGACGAATCAAGCCCGGTAACAGGTTGATAATGGCGAGAATTCTTGTATACCAGTTTTTGGATTATTCTGTCGGCGTGGCTGGTCTTTCGGCTGCGTAATTCCAGACGCGTTTATCTTACACAGTCGTGTTAACTATTTCCAGTCATAACAACGAGAGATCAAGAGGATTGTCCCAAGTGCCCATTCCTGAGCCAGCAAGTCAGCAATTTTCGACGGGCCTTGGAGCGTTGAGGGTGGTGACATTGAGGCTACGGAGGCTAGCTAAGAAATCACAGCCGTAGACTAGTCAGCCCGGCCAACGAGGGCTCCGGGTTGTCAAGAGGTTTTTGTTCTTCTCAATAAAGAGCCATACGCTAATGCACACGTGTGTGGCAGCCAGGGCCTTAGTGCTTGGATGTAGTATCGCAATTCGAACAGAAGCGTCAATCCAAGCGAAAACTCTAGCCAGTCACGATGATCCCTGCCACCTCATCTCACCATAGAATAGAAGACACATAACGACGCCTAGCGGAACCTCAATGGCCAGCGTCTTTCAGACAAACTTCAAGTAGCGAATGCGAGCATACCGTTGAACGTGGCCCAGGCATCCCTGATTCTAAGCGTGCCGTCCCCAAATCCGCTGCTGCTCTCCCCAATCTCGGGCTGCAACTTGCCGCCAAACAGGCGCTCGAAAGGCACGATTGGATTATCCTCGGGCAGCATCGAGGCGGCGATGCGGGCAAAAATCGCCCTCGCAGGCAGGGAGACCACCGCGAACAATACAAGCGACAGAACGCTATCGAAGAACACGAGAAGCCTCAGAAGCACTGCAGATGCATGCCTGACAGTAAACGCGCTCATAACGACCAAACCAGCGAGCCTGACGGCAATATGATGCAGATAGAACACCATACATATGACAGCACTGTTCAACGCAGCTGCATGGGCGATGCGAGGCCAGTGTTTGAAGCCGAGCATTCGCCGATAAGGGCTCCGAGGGGAGTTGTCGGCGATCACAAGTCGGACCCAGCCTACCGGCCGGGTGGCCAGGAGCATTCCACCGATGAAACTATCACCCATCAGACCGGACTATTGCCATTCCAAACCGGATTCAACGCGAGAAACAGAACAGCCACGCCCGTATCGAGCCACATGAGGGCCAGATACACCAGGAACCCCCGGAAGCATTACCTGAATCCGCCTCCACCACTGGCGCGTAGATGCTGGATGGCTGAGCGTAACCCGCTCGCGACGGGCTTGTGCGTGGATGCAGCTGCGTCTCCAGGATTGTTAGTGTCGCGGATTTTAGCGGGATCTCCAGTCGAGGCGAAGGTAAGTGGTTGGGTTGGGGTCTTCGACTGCGGTCAGAGTCGCGATAATTTGACCGCAGGAGTAGTCAGCCTGTTCGCAGTGAGTTTAAAAAGTTTTGCTACTTCCTGAAGAAAAAGTATGACTTTATGACTCACCCATAAGATTGCAAACCCAATACAAGGACGGTCGAGAGCACGAGTATGATACCTATCCATTGGCTCGAAGCCGAGCAGATATGATTTCGGTGCTCCGACGTACGAGAACATCACTGACAGATGCTATGATAATTGATCGAGGAGAATCAATGATAGTCATCGAGAGAGAGAGAGGCATCAAAAGGGGGGCTGGCGGTTGAATAGAAAGATTAGCCCTAAATTGTCTCAGTAAAGTTTCCATCAAAATGCAGGGTTCTCTACCGAGGCATCGTCGCCAAGGCCACCTGCATAGTGCCGGACTTGCCATGATAAGCGAAATCTTTATCAAGGGGAACTTGTGGGGTTCGATGAATCTGTGGACACGATCGTGCACTCCATCTTCCAATCATTGAGTCTGCCAAAGCGTCAATTCCCACTATCGATCTGGTGGTGGTAGGGGCCAACAAGCCTAACTTCTGCTAAGCTCATGCCGACGTTAAGTATATGGATTTTGATTAAATAACCGCTTGTTTACGTCGACAGTCGAGTAACATTTGAATTCAAATTGAATGCAAGCGAAGAATCAACTTTCCAGCGCGTTCTTGAGCGAACGGGTAAACTGCTGAATGATCTATAGCCGACTGCCAAGCGAGGGCGATGGTTGAGATGACATTAGACGAGAAGCATTTCGTAATCGAACAGGGTGCTCAACCTTGCTACCCTTGTTCTTTGATTGAATTGATTGAGGTCCGTCACTTTTGCGACATCTGCACTTCTCACCTTTCGCGAGATAATTGAGGCATTGTATGTGGTTCGGGGGCCAAGAAATACAGGATATGCGAAGTCTACTACCAGTTCCGTGCTATCTGTGGGGATTCTGCCAGAAGGATGGGCGCCTCAGGAACTAAGATAGGATTTAGCTTTATCATTTTGAAATTCGATTATGGCTCATTTACACTGGCGAATCTGATTATATCTAATTTCTGATTTGCACAGAGATGCTGTTATCAAATTTACCCAGTAATGCACTAAGTAGTTTGTGATCTACGGTTTCCGAGAACGAAAGGACCTCTGGCAAGTCGTGTTTAACGATCTTGCTCTGGACCGTAGACGCAGGCTGTCGGTAGAAGTTCGTTCCCCCGCAGAGGTAATTGCAAATACTACCACAAAGACAAAAGGGAAATACGTCGAGTATGAGGGCAAAAGCCTCTTGAAACGAAGACGGGATCGGGGAGAGATCAAGCTGCAAGATAGCCCAGTACATCCTCAGATCGCTATTGAATGCGCATCAAGTCGTGGGAGCAAATATAAGCCTTGATTTGAGCAGTCATGGTAGGCTTGTTCTCTGCTCTGCGCCATGAATGGTGGTGAGACGAGGACGCTGACATTGAAGCGAAGCGTAGAGCGCCTGGGCGGTGATGTCGATAGCGTTCCAGGTAGGTAGCCCTAATTAGCATACCCTGCTCCCAAGCCACCGGTCGCGACTTACGGGTACGTGTTCAAGATGGTTAAAATTCACATAGTATGCAGAGATGCTACCTTCGAAGCAGTCGAGTACTTGGCTACAGGCTTGCTAAGTCTACTATCATTGAAAAATAGTGCCGATACTATAGCAATTGGTGTCTCCGAGGGAGTACTTGAGCGATGTCTAACTGCGTGTAAGGAAGGCAATAGAAAGTGATCTGATGCATATCGGCATCGGCCATAGGCTACCTCTTCGTATGACAAAACAAATGTCAAACTTGGTGCTAGACAAATTCCATATAGAAGGAAATCAGGAATCTGTCACCGCGCGGCCTCTTGGATTAATTTACGTGTGCCTCTAACACAATCGTGCTTTACAATCATGAAATTTGCCTTGGCCGTTTATCATTGACTGCCAGGAGGAATCAGGCATTAATTATGGGGAATCAGGCCCTGAGCCCATCCCACGGGCCCATCTACCCTGCGACAACTGTCCCACCATGTCATATCCACCAAGCCCTCTTCAGGCCAGGCAGCTGTATGAAAAAGGTCGGCAGGGACAAGCAAGCAGGAATTTGTCTTAAGCTTTTTGGTGTAGTGGCCCGCACCGCTCCATATAAGTCCGGTCACTGGGCCCCCTACCTCAAATCATTCCACCCTTGTAGCCCTACGACGGCTTAATTGCCCTCTAGCCACGCAAAAGCACGTAGTTGGCGGTGACTCGATTCAGTCATCATATCAACGGGAAAATTAATCACTAGCAGGTGTCGTGCATTCTGGAGGGGGTCACGAGCTGCACGCCAAGCCAATAGAGAAAGCAAGGGTTGTTCTTGAGCGGAGCAATGGCAACTAATAAATGATGTGTCATGCCCATTGACTCACTTACACTAATCACACACTTGTATATCACATCCGTGACTTCACTTCCGAACTCACGGAAAAGAAATCTCAACTACGAATCGAGCCATGTCATCATCATCCCCAATCCAGAAAGTCCTCATTGTCGGTGCGACTGGCCTTCTCGGACCGCACCTAGTGTCCGTTTTCGACGCTGATGCCCAATTCCACGTGTCCATCCTCACACGCCAGTCATCATCCAGAAGTCGGCAATTCCCACCCCATATCACAATCCACACCGTCAGCGGTGAGTACGACAAAAGCGAATCCGAATTGGTCAAGATCTTCACCGGTCAAGATGCTATCATCAGCGCGATCGCCGCACAGGCTGTGCCGCAGCAGAGAGTTCTGATCGACGCCGCCGTCAAGGCTGGCGTGAAGCACTTTGTGCCATCGGAGTATGGACACGATACGCGGAATGAGCAGGCAGCACAACTGCTTCCGCCGTTTTTTGTCACCCACAAGAGACAAGTCGTGGAGTATCTACAGAGTAAGGAGGTTGAGGGACTAAAGTGGACCGCTTTTGTGACAGGTCCGTTTTTCGACACGTAAGTACGGATTCAGTACCCAGGGCTCTTCATTTCTGAGAAAAGGGGCGGTGCTGAAATATTGAGGACATCACAGCGCACTGTCGAACTTTCTAGGTTATGATTTCTCAAGGAAGCATGCCATGATTCTGAAGGAATACGGTGATTATCATTGGTCGACGACTACTTTTCACATCGCTGCCTTGGCCGTCAAGAACGCTATGCTAATGACATCCGAGAAGATAGCGAACAGATATCTGTTCGTTGAGTCTTTCAACGTCTCCCAGAAAGGAATTCTGTGTGCACTCGAAGAGCTGACAAGCACGAAGTGGGATGTGAGTTACCATGACGCAGAAGAGGAAAGACGGGTGGCGGTCGAGAAACTGTCTCGAGGGAACTTCAGCGCGATCCCGACTCTCATGCGCTATGTTACGTGTGCCAGAGGGTATGGAGGAGATTATATGTGTTACGAGGAGAGTGCGAATGACTTGCTATCCTTGCCGGAGGAGAGTCTGCGCAGCGCCTTAACAAAACTGTTAAACTGAGATTTGTAGTATAGCGGTTCCGACAGAAAGAGATGCATGCCTGCGTTCGAGGTTCTAGCGAGGTAGACAAATCTAGACCCAGACAAGTGCAAGCGCAAGTCCGACCAACGCGTACAGCAGACTTCCCAATACCCACACCAACCCCGTTCCTATACCGCCTATCCTAAGTCCCAGATTGAAGACGTTCGTGAAGCATAGACTGCCAAGAACGGTTCCCACAAACTGTAAGAGCTCGATCGCTGAGTAAAGTCTTGCGGTTTCTTCCCGGTTAACTAGAGCGGTGGCGAGGGATCTTGTGACTATGGGCAATCCGACTCCCATAGCATGGACACATACACTTGCAATCAAAGCGTATGCTGATGGAGAAAGACCGATCCCGAGAGATCCTAAAAGAAGAGCGATAAGGCTGAGACGAGCGACCTGGAGGTCTCTCCTTGGGAGGGATAGCGAATGGAAGACCTTCTTTGATAGGTATGGAAGTAAGAAGAGGAACACAGGAATGGTGATAGCTGCATGGAGGGAAACAATCAGGTTCGCTCGTGCTAGCGTCCACGTGAATTGTGTTGAGATGTGCTGTGACAAAAAGGAAGAGGCGCGCTGCGCAACCTCCACCGTGCCAAAGGAGAATAGAAGCAAGAGTATACAGGGATTAAAGACGAAGAGGTAAGGTTGCATCAGGCGTCTGATCTTAGTCGGCAGTGGCAGGTATGCGGACTCTGGCTTCCAAGATGTGTTGCTAGTCGGTTCTTGCTCATGATCCGAGCGTGGCGCTGTCGATTCCTGTCTTTTCACCACCATGTTCATGGTCTCGGGAAGAGAGAGCGCACATCCCAGCCCCGTCATAACGATACCACAACCAAGTAGCAGAGGTATCCAAGGATTGAGAGCCATTAGCCCAGAGCTAATCATGCTAGCAAGGAAGCTCGCCACTTGCCCGGCGACTCCGACCCGAAAGAACAGCGTTGCACGCTGCGCATCTGACGTGAGATCTGCCAGCATGGTCCAGATTACAACTAGTGCTACTGCTGGTCCTCCACCTATGATCCAACTGAGGGATGCCAGCCAGATAGCTCGAAGGGGCAACACATTAGAGAACCAGAGGACGGAGTTTGTGATGACTGCATTCAGCAGAAATCCAGGAACAGTCAGGCGGATGGCTCGTCGGCGACCATATCGGTCCGCCAACAAGCCATAGGGAATGGCGCAGATAGCACCTGCAGGCAATGTCAGCGTCAATTGAGTTTCTCCGGGCCGAGCTTGACAAACATAGTAGACCCTCGAGTAGGTCGGAATATCCTTTCACAGTGGCAACTTCCGTCTGCACCTCGGCTATCTTGCACAGGTGTTCTGGGAGATGACCCGACACCGGCAACCGAGCTGGGTCGTGGTGACGCCAATAATTATCGCAAGCGATGGCCTCAATGATTCTAATCATGGGACCAGGAATCATCTGGCCTCCAATCTCAAATGATAACAATATCACTATCAAGGTGATCAATAGTCGCAGGCGAGTGCGGGGTGATATTTCTGAGTCTGGCCGGCTGCTACACTTTGATTGACCCGGTGCGCCCGGTTCATTCTGCTGCTCTCTTGAGAGGAACGGTTCATCTTCGCCATGGTGCTGATGACCCGGTTCAGAAGATGTGCCATGTATAGTCATGTTCGAAAGCACAAATGGAGTGAAGTGAGAAACGGGAAGTCCTGGAATGAGAGACAGTGATAATACACAAAACCAGTGCGGGGTCGGCGTCGTACAAGCAGAAAGGGCGGACTGCCAGTCTTTGAAAGGCAGCGCGAGGGGAATCCAAAGAGATCAGCGGTGATTGTCTCCATGAAATGTCTAGTGGCTGTGGCCAATGAACAACGAAGTATGGATGTTGATCACAAACACGTCGATCCTTGCAGGGCAGAGGAATGCTGGGTCGGGTCGACCGCCTGATCACGTCATGAACCATTGCTCCAAGCAGGTCGGGCCAGAAGATCCTAGCGTGAATCTCTCGATCCCAACTACATTATAGATGAGTATTATATTTCATGAACGTCACCTTAAGAAGAAATATAGGGTCGGTGCGGGGACCGGAGAGCTGCGTGGGGAGTGATCGCCCTGCCTTGTAGATCCTAACCCTAAGTGTTTACTGTATTGTGACCTCCCCAAAAGAAAAGCAATAAGACGCTTAGAAGATGCTCTCCCGCATGCATTCCTCTCTAACTGTAAGCCAAACGTGATACTTGATTCACTCATATCCGGTTTCTGCACCACCGTGAAAATTAATACAATAACTGATTCTCCGATTACTGATGGTCATGAGGCATATGTGGGTGTGGGTCCCCGAGAACTTGCCCTTCCTGCATATGATGGTCACCCAACTTCACGCCTAGTTCGTAGTCTTGTTTTTTCCATGGGGCTGGCCACACGAAGGCGTCCTTGGGAGCATGCATCGCGTCGAACTTGTCGGCGTCAACAGCATTCTCATGCTGCCACTCTGCCAACGCATTGAAGTCCCGACATTTGCGATTCACACTGAAATCCGGCCATGGAGCCTGACGGCCCTCCACCCAGTCCAGAGTCAGTACCTCTGTATTAGCATTGCACTGAATGTTTTGCAGCAGTAGATCAGTGCAATGGCCAAGATGAATCCACCCGAATTTGTCTTTGTGTTCCATTTCAGGTTCATAGCCTGGATAGTCGGCGAAAGCAGCTTTACGCAACATGTTCAGACAGTGGATTTGCTGAGATTATACGAATGTCAGTTACTGAGACGGTTGTATTGGGGATCAATTGACCGGGGAAAGCAGAACGACGAGGGGGACCTTACATGCATCACATCGAGCTGAACCATGTACGCATCATCGCCGAAGCCCCAATACTCATTATCAAACCGAGCTATTGTTTCAGGATCTTTGCCTAGCTTCAGAACCTGTTCTCGGGTGACAACATGGGTCAAGACCTTCTCATACTTCGCCCAAGCGGCGTCGTTTGCAGCGCTGGGCTCCTCTCGGGCGATCGAGACCTCTGGTAGAGGAAAGAACGTGCCATTCAGCATTGTGGTGTAGCTGGGGACCTCTATGTCATCTAGAACGGGTGCTACAATGTAGTGCATGCTCGTCAGCTGCGAGAAGCAGATAAGTCGGAGTGGATGGACCTACACCACCATGACACTGGCCTAAGAATGGCATTTTTCTCTTCCTTCGAGAAACTGCCCTTACCACTGAGGATTAGAGAGACAGTGATGCTCAGTATGCCAACGTTTGCAATTGTCAGGTAGATCCAAGCGGTCGAGGGACCTCGTTCGTTTGGACTCCTCTTTGTCAAGAGCTCCTCTGACTCAATGTCTTCCTCATAGCCGTCGTGACTCTCTGTCTTGAGCGAATGGAACTTGAACTCTCGGCGAAAAGGCTTCAGAATGTCCGAAAACCCCATGTTGGATGTCAAGAATATTGCGAGAAGATAGTGAATGAGAATTCACTCAAGTGAAGACAAGCGTAGGTAGCAATGCCCTAAATTAAAATAGAGTGTTAGAGCTATTATTGCGACGGTGAAAACCACCGGGATTATCCACCTGAGTAAAAGAGGCAAGATCACATTATACATATTTAGAAATGATCGACAATGGTTCTTCGCTCGTTCTTCGAGGCACTGTCGGAGCTGGGACGACGATCACAGAGGCGGACATGCAGTGACATGCATGACAAAAACAAGATGGCGGTTTAACGCATGATAGGTCGAGCAAAAAGAATCCCTAACTGGGACGTCATGATTACATGAATGTTTTCAACCCACCTACAGTCGGAATGAAAACACTAGTGAGACTGACTGACTCCGTGCATCACGACATGATGGTGTGATGCCGGGCGAGGAATGCATAAGCAGCCTTGGTGGAAGGATGGAACAAATACCTCATGGCAGGTAGGGGTAGAAGAGGTCACTAACTTGGACGATATCTTACACATATCTTGAAAGAGCTCCCTCAATTTGCTATTGGACTTGAACACATACTTGTTAGGAGGGCTGGCGTATTAGTCCTAAATCAAACCAGGAGTCAATCCTTCATCTTGGCCATGACATTATACCAGGTAGTGCCATGCATGAACCTAATGCTATACAGAAAGCCCGCAGCATCAATTTGTTTCTCAGACATGCATAATATAGATGCCAAAAGATGTAGGGGGCATATAGTGTCACGCGATGTGAGTTGGAAAATCAATATACCTGGTCATATTCTGTCTCGTAGCGTAGTATCAAGATAGCGGGGTTTCCACGAATTACCAAATAGGGGGCATGACTTATACAGATATGGGTGCAAGAACTACGTAAGTGGCTGTCGCCGCGATATTAAACATGTAATTTTCATTGAAGATGATACGCGATAGTCAAAATCGTACACTGCTGGAATGCTTTTGCCGAACGTTACCGAGCAAGTGAGATGAACGCGCTCCTTTCGAGAATTATAAAGAATCATAGCCCCTCCCCGTCAAGGCTCTCTTCATCATCAGCATCACCTTCTCATCGTTCTTTGCCTTGCCTTCTTCGACCCTCTTCGAGCCTCAAGATGCACCTCTCATACATTCTCGCTCTCCTTGGAGCCACTGGAATTACTTTGGGGCTTCCTGTCTCCAACGATGACCAGCTTGAGTCGACTTCTCAAGAAGTAGACAAGCGCTTTTACTACATTACCTACGCTCCCGAGAAGCGCAGTGAGGAGGCTGTTGACAAGCGCTTCTACTACACTAGCTACGCCCCCGAGAAGCGTGATGAGGAGGCTGTTGACAAGCG